TTAAAGATTTCGGCCTGGCTTCTGGCGAGCTTGCACTCTGACTTGGCTTCGTGTGTAGTAGTAGATACGTTGGAGTCCTCAACAACTGTCAGCTCCAGGTCTGAATGGGATGCAAGGCTGGCACCTTTGCAGATGATTGCATGTCAGGATGTTGACAGCCCGGGGATTGCAGCTTCGTGTTTCAGGTCGCATGCAGCTTCAGCCACTTTGACGGCCTCGTTCGCTGAAGAGTGCAAACACAAAAGCGCCACTAGCCAATCTTCGTTGGAAATGTCATGTGGCAGACCAACTGATGCTCGTCCGCCACACGTAGGAGGGCTCAACCCCTAGGCTGCTGCTAGTGTCGACGCCGCTTCGCTGCCACATCTATTTCAGGCCAATATATGCAAACGTCACTCCGCGCTGTTCGCAGTTAAGCACGCTTGGCCTCACTAACATCGCAAGCCTAGCCTTGCTATCGCCCCATACCTTCACGGATGTAATCTAGCAGGAGATCGCAATCTCAACATCTGGCCTCGTGAGTGACCAAAGGGGCCGTCGTCGCGGTGGGAATGTGATTTGCATCCAAGTACACGTGGCTCGGCGTCGTCATGCAGGGTTGCTTCACATATTGCCTACTTTTGCTTTTTCGAAGGTTCGCGCGGCATGCACTGAAACTCGACGTGCTTCCATGCGCGCATGTTGCGGCTGTGGATACCATAAGGTACCCATGGGTTGCTCCTGATCTGCTGTATTGAGGATGCCTGTCCAGCACCAATGCATCTGACAGGCGCCGTAGACCACGATCTGGTCCGCTTATGGATCAATGTGTCAGTGCATGTATACTATCCACATGCCAGAAGCAGACAGGAGAGGGCCAGGGTTTGCCAGAAACAGGTCGCCATCAAGCAGCCTCTCTTTTTTTGGGCGTTGCGGATGCTTGCCCCCCTCTTTTGTCGTGGACTTCGGACAACAACAGGGTCTCTTTGACACTTGCCGTGGGCACAAGGCAGCACAGACATTGTACCCCTGAGGTGGGAACCCCCAGATCGGCAGCACGGCCTGGATCCAGAAATAGTCGGACCACATGACAATAAATAAATTGGCGCTAGACAACCGCGAGCCACTGTGAGCGCCAGCCACCGCCAGCTTCCAAGGTTGCCGTGCATTGATTGTATCGAGACCAAGGATAGTGCATACAATCGGCGCTTCTAGCGCATACAGGCTTATTGAGCTTCTGTTGAAGCTGAGCCAAGACCAGTCATGATTCAAGGACAATGCCGCGTTGGTGTGTTGGTGAGCAGAGCCTCGCATGATTTGCTAGACATGACTAAACCGTAGAACGAATACGAAGAGTGGGTCGGGGGATGACCGTATGAGGCGCATCGACCAATCAAACCACTACAATGCTCGCCATTTGTCCCGATCGGGCTTCATCATTACTCGCGTTACGACATTGAGTCTGAAATTGTCCGAGGAGAGAGCCAGGTGAGAGAGCCAGGTGGAACTGACCCTGCCTGCCCTCAAGGAATGTGCGGCGCACTGTCATCCGGACGGTGCGAATGTCTTGGAGCGCGTGGCGCGTCCATCGTATCCGCTGCTCACGCAACTGCTTTTGGTTGCCAGGTAGATCCTTGCGGTGCCTCGGGGCTGTGTGGATTGCGAAGGGAGAGACTACCTTAGCGAGACTGGCAGATCTTCTGCATTCCCAGGGGCCTGCTGCTGCACTGTGGGGTGATGAGTATGTACTTCGACTCACCCGTTTTTTCCGACTCTGACAGCGTTGCATCAGGAGAGCAGACGGCGGACCTCTGATCGAGTTCTGGCACACAAACATCCTCTGGCGAGCTTTGGAGGAGTGCGCTGTGCAATGAGATCTCTTCCGCCCTTTTCTTTTGGACAGCCGCAGTTGCCGCGCCCCGAAATTCAGATGGTGGAATGCGGGGGGGCCTTGCAAGTCCTCGACGAATGGGGGACTGGGACTGGCTGAGGCTGGGCAGGGGACCGGCATCCATGGCCAAATGGCTACGACGTTGATATGGTGATTCGACCACGCACACAAGGCTCGTCCCTGTCTCCGCCGCTTTTGCCTCGTCTCGACAGAGGGGTAAGGTGGTCGGAGACAAGACGGCGTGCTGGAGAGCCCGCCCGTGGTGCATCGATGCGGACGAGCTCTTACTGCGACGTGCAACTGGAGCGGCCATGACGAAAGCCTTGGAAGTTTGGCTGGCTGGCTGTTTGCTCTTTCCCTCTGCCAGACAGTCGCCCCACCTTCCTTCCTACTTTGCGCGTGCCACTTTGGGCATGGGTTACACCGACGACATGATTTATTCAACAGCTTGTAACATTGCCACCTTTGAACATGGAAACCTGGAAGGGCGTTCCGTTCTGGGGCAAAATGGCAAGGAGACTTGTTCGCCGGCGTTCTTTCAAACCACTGCGCGCCCAGCCACAGCCCCTGGATCGCTGCTGCGTTCCGATTCGACCACAGAGGCCGGGGACCCATGCTCTTCACACCTGCGGGCAACAGCACGCGACGGTGGAGTTGGCTATCAACCCCCCTCTGTGATCGCATGTGCTGCCCAACACATGCAGGGCTGCACTCTCAATCAATCTGAAACAAGAACTCTGAGTTTGTTTCTCGCCTCGAGCCTGCCGCAGTCATCTGCAGAAACGCAGAAGAGGTGGGCAACAAGACAGCCGTCAGCCCAGCATGTTTCGGAAGCGTTTCTAGCGCCACCATGGAAGCGCATCCATCCCATGGGATGGATGTCTGACCCAGCACCACAGGCAGGTTTGACTTGGGCCCCGCAGAACTCGCAGCACGTGCCATTCTTGGTAATAGACGAGCACTGACATATTTGACAGGCAGCTCTAGGACCATCAGTTAATTAATTAGCACCCGCTGGCCAGCGACGTGGGTCTCCGGCAACTCCCTCCATCCCGGACCAGTTATCACGCTCACGAGCCGACTCGTCCACTAGCCATTGTCTGCTGACGACCCCAACAGAGATAACACACGCTCACATGCAAGAAGAGGTTCTGTCAACGAGGAGGCGTTCACCGGTCGACACCCCTACCATGCGCAGTACTCAATCAATCCAAGACGCACACTGTGGGTTTCGATCCCGCGGTATCATCCGCCTCTGCTTGGGAAAAGGGGGGGGGGGATGGTTATGAGCGTCGGGCAGGGCCATATGCCGAGCATGCAGGGCGGTTCGGAGACTTACTACTTTACCATGTCAAGCTGCATGACCACGCGCTTGAGTCGGCAACGGGGAAAAGAGCTGGCTGCAAGCCAGTCTCCATCCCCAGCAGTGCCAGCCACAACCAGGTCTGGCCACTGTTCATCTGATCCGGATGCACCGCAAAGCACACCCACCGAATGGTTGCGGCACCCACATCCATGGATATCGCAATGCCAGTCGGATTAGAATACCATGCCTGCCGTGATTTGTTACCGCTTGCCGGCCACTTGCGCTTGCGCCAAGAGAACGAATCAAGCAGCTAGGGGATTGAGAAGAGAACACCTTGGTACACCGACAGTCCTGGCGTCCGCAAGTGTGCAGCACCGTGTCATGTCACCATGCTACAATAACGGAAGCTCGCAGTGACGAGCATGATAGCCCAGAGCCTCAATCAGGAACGAACAAGAATACAGCATCGACAAGAGCCAGCAAAGCATTCGTCCACACACTGAACCACGGTGCAATGCAATGAGCACATGGTATAGCCATCATAATGCCTCCATGGTCACATCGGCCGGGCGGGGGGGCATGCGGAGCCGGCACTTTTGCAGAGTGCTTTCTCGTGCCTGCCTGGGGCTGCAGCCACATATCTAGCCTCGGGCTTGACACCACCACGCCAGGTCACGTCCACCCAGCTGAGATTAGCCCACAGCCAGGTATCGCGCTAAGCTACACTAATGGCAGCTAGGCTGGAGATTTTGTTGGTCGACACAATGCTCTCCCCCGAGGGTGGCTCCTTGGTCGTTTCTGCTGGCTGGGCCTAAATCAGCGCCCTCGATGCTCCCGTGCAGGGCAGATAAGCGTGCCAAGTGTCACTCTTACGGGTATGCTCCGAAACAACAGCAAGATGATTAGAAAGAGTGTCGTCCGCATTTGGCATGCTCTACGGCAACGACGAGGGTGGTGGTTGAGTGAGATCCCTGTTTCTGACAGTGCCTCAGGCGGAATCCGGCGGAGAATACAACCCCAACCCTGTCTGTGGTGGTTGTGGCATCCTGCGGGACAAGGGCAACTGGGCACAACAGGGGCGGCGCTCCAGGGCATCTCCGCACGTCAAGTCGGGAAGAAAACAACGAAAGAAACATGCACCACAATCTGCTGCGGGGCTGGGGACGGACGCTGCACTGCAAGCACTTTGAAGCAGGAAAACCACACGCATCCCCATTTCATGCCACCAACCTTCGGGCCACAAGATCAGAAGCAAGGACATCATCGAGGTGACGAGGACAGCGACTCTGCCGACCAAGCTTCAGTGTTCTCGGAGTCCCATAAATCGATGGCGCTTGACCGTCGTCAGAAGCAGACTGCCCTGATCACAGTCGGGCTGTGCTGGTCTGGCAAATACTTGCTGCCAACAGCCAGCGAGGGTGGCGTACCGGGCCCCGGCGAGCGATCCGATGATGATGATGGTGGTGAAGGGAGGCTCCATCCATGATGCCATGCCATGACTGACTTGGGTGACCCCTGGCATCTGCGCCCCTTTTGGGAAAGGCGGCCCCCCTCTGGGATTCTCACCGACGCGGATCGCGGCTGCACATCTCTAATATTCTCAATGCCGGGCTTCCATGGGGACCCATGTCGGACAATCCCTGACTCGCCCGCGTCAGCCCCCCTGCTGCTAGGGTCGTCATGGCTGGCCTTGTTGCCTCTTCCCGGACCCGCGAGGCTCGTTGCTCCTGCTACCCCTGGTACCTGACCTTCAGGACACGGCGGAGAAAACCAGCATGCCCCAGCAGTTCAGCGACACCCACCAGCCCGCCACCTGACCACAGCATGGCCTCCAGACGCCATTGCACGAGCGGAGATACTATTGGGACAGTGGCTGCGATTCTTTTGCCTCAGCGCCTGGATCATATCGGAGGATGCATCAGCTCCCTGGTTCCCGCTCAGTGGTTCGCAGTGCTACCAAGAGCCATGAACCTTTTTATGAGCTTGATGATGACTGTGCCGGCTTTCCACGGTTCCGTGCCACAGAGCTACGGTCTTGGCTGTGCTTGTATTATCGGCCATTCAGGACCCCTTGTTTCTTGCTCTCGTCGTCGCCTTCGGCTCAGCGGTGCCTACTGTAGATCTGGGGTCGAAAAATGTCCACGGGTGGCATCTGCAGTGGCCACGAGTGCAACCCTGGATAGCCATGCTTACCTCGCCAAGGGTCCTTCTCCCTGGGCAATTCTTCTCCCGTGTTGCGGGGGATCTCCATCAAAACAGGAAGTGAAGGTATGCCTCCCTCGGACTATGCATCCGGGTTTTCCCAGGCACCACCGTCCTATCTGGGTGACAACCTGGCTGCCTATATCACTCAAGGCCCCTCCTACACGAGCGCAGATGTCGTCCCCAAAGTCCTGAAACTCCCCAACCCTTCTGTTATTATTGCCCACACGCAAAAGTTGGCGGCAGAACGCCCGCACTTGGCCCAAGCTTTTCAATTGGTTCTAGAAACCTGTCAGACGCAGTTCCACATCATCACCAGAATACCCACGCTTTGGTCGCTACAGCTACACCCGCACTAAATGACCATAGCGATAGTTTTCGCTGATCGCCTCCTTCCTCCACCGCGAACGAGGGACTAGCCTGCTTATAACACCTCAACGGAATCTGGCAGTGCTGATCTCACGCGAACGCGACGAGCAAAGCGTCCACCAGGCGTGGGTTGGCAAGTTGAGCTATCGCTGGTGTCGGCCAAAAAGCCGAAGTTTCTTGTCCCTCGAGATCGTCCGGCACTTGAGAGAGTCCAAGCCACCGCCAGCACTGGCCACTCGTGCTCGTCATCTTCCCGAAATACACCGCAAACACGAGGAGCTCGCCCCTCTACCTGGCCCGGGCTGGGTACAAAACCCTTGTCACTTGTCTTGTCATCTGCCTCTGACAGCTCCACGCACAGCACTCAATCTGGTTCAGTGATCCTCGTAGGAGTTGTTGCGTCCTATACCAGGTGTACTTGCGCAAAATTTACATTACAATCGGTGCTTCACCAGCCTCGGGGAACACTGCTGCGCGTAGACATTGAGCACGGCGGTCCGTTACCAGCGCAATAATTCACCACACTGCCTTGGTACTTGCGAAACAACGAGGCTTTGTCCACCCTCTTCTGTACTGCTCCCACTGACGGGCATCGTACAGCGATTTCGAGCTCCTTTTCGTTGCCCTGTCTGCTCTAGATAGCCATCACGTACCAGCAGTCCGACGCAGCTTGATATCAATCGCTGCCAGCGAATGCAGATCTCCATGTGCAGCAAGCAATACGAGGAAGTGTCCAGTTTCACAACCTTCGCTTAACGCCAAATCCACGAGAGTTGCACGATCACCGAACATCTATACTCGGTTTCGACAGGCACGTTGTTTTCTCATACGCAACGGGTTATTTCGAGGAAGCGGGTCTGGCTACGGGTTTCACCGTGTCCCTAGGCCTCTTGTGTGTCGACCAGCTCCCCAGAAGCTCAGCCAGGCACAGGGCGATCTGACAGCACGACGAGATAGCAATTTGCTCTCTCACCCCTTAGCCCACCTCTGAGGAACTAGGCCGTTGGCTTTCCCACGCCCCTCTTTTAGCAATATCCCAGAGATCATCAGCGGGTTCCTGTCACAACGCAAGCCCACTTAGCCATCCGACTAGCTTCACAGCTGAGATCGCCCTGAAACTAGCCTTAGGGGTGTACACTGTTGCCACCAACCTGTAGGTGCCCTGCTCTCTCTAGTTTGCCCTGTCAACGGGTGTTAAGCTCAGCCATGTCATGCCGTGGTGCATGACTTCGGAAGATTTCTGGCGGCCAGCACCCTTCTCCTCTCCCCACCGCACTTCATGCAGCTACTGCTGGCTAGCGCATTATCGAGGCCTGCTCCTCCTGGTGCGACTAGCACGGATGCTATGTGCCAAGTCTCTCTTCTTCCAGCCCACTCCCACCCCTGGACATATTTTGAAGATACATCTTGAGAAGTACCCTGTCACTCGCCGCCATGCCGCCTGGTTCTTGGGAAGACCCACCTCTGACTTGCCGCAGGAAGCACTTATAAGACTCAACCTCCCAGTCTATACTTGTTCTCGAGTGTGGTGATCCTCATTCACAAAGACAACAGTACTATCACCACATCTCATCATGGAGCTTATGGAACTCGTCGATAATGAGCCTATGGCTCGTCCTTTCCAATGCGACTGGCAATCTTGCGACAAGGTGGGTGACAGTTCTGGCTCGGCCGCTGTCCAAATACTTGAAGAAATCTAATCCTTTATCCGGAATCCAGAGCTTCAATCGCAAATCAGACCTGCAAAGACATTATCGTATTCACACCAACGAGCGCCCGTACGCTTGCACGACACCTGGATGTGGAAAGAGCTTTATCCAGCGAAGCGCATTGACCGTGCACATCCGCACTCACACCGGAGAGAAGCCACACCAGTGTCAACACCTGGGCTGTGGTAAGCGGTTCTCCGACGTAAGTATCGCTGAGTCGACACCCCGATAAAAGATGTGTACAAGCAGCGGAACTGATCAAAAACAAACAGTCGTCAAGTCTGGCCCGTCATCGCCGGATACACACAGGAAAGCGCCCGTACCGCTGTGCCCACGAGGGCTGTTTCAAGAGGTAAACTCCCATTCCCTGTTCTGAGCCACTCTGTTATTCTCGATCCGGGATCAATAATGCTGATAACAGTTCGTTTTACAGCTTTTGCCGCAAGACCACCATGGTCAAGCATCAGCGCAGGTCGCACCAGGGCGGTATGCCCTCGTCAGAGCTCGACGACAGCATGTCAGAGTCGGAGAGCGGTGACTCGCCAGCCACCCCCCAGCCTGGCCATATCGCATGGCCTGCTCCAGCATACGCCAGCCACCCGCATGTCCTTCACGGCCACCACAACATGCACCGGGCGTCTTCGTACACTGATTTCGAGTCTCACACATCGCACTGTGGCCCTGAGCAGCCTTACGGAGGCCGGCCTATTCCTACTTCTGGATCGGGCTACCACCAGCTGTCCGCCCACGACCACATGCACCACGGGGTTCCGAGAGCCTCGAGCGTGCCACACCATACAATGACTCAGCACCCTTTCTATGTGACGGACCAGAGCAACCCCGGCGTGGCCACCATGAACACTGCGGCGTTTCCTGTCTCTCGTGCCGCGGAGCCTCCAGCCCTGGAGATCCCCTACTCTGAGAACAGAGTTCCTAGCTCGATTCATAGCAGCCCGAGCCCATACTCGCCTGCCTCTGGTAGAAGCGTCGCCACTCAAGAGAGTTTGTACACGCACCAGCCGCAACCGCCGCCGACCTACGCCATGCAGCCGACCTCGGCTGTCGTCAGCCAGCCTTCTCAAGTTGTGCAATACCAGGCGATGCCCACCACGCACGCTGTTCCTCGCCATGTCCAGTCCCAGATCCCCCAGGTCCAGGACCAGTACCACTCCCCCATCGCCCAGCAGGACGAGCAGTGGTATCACGGAGTGCCGTACCAGTCTCCTGTGGCTTCCATGCCTATCGGCCAAGTTCCCACCTACGTCTCTGGCCTCTACGACCCCTGGGCCATGAAGGACGAGTACGCGGATCCGTCCATCCAGATGCCCAGCGCTAGGATCGATGCCATGTAATAAACATGCGTGGCTCCTAATCGCGGCTATTGTTGTCGTTGATTCCTGTCTGCATTTGTTGTTCCAGCGCACACACGACTTTTTTGCAACCACATACCCCCCAAATGCGTTTGACATTCGACAGTTGTATCATCAGCATCATCCTTGTTTTGCACACCACCATTATACCCCTTAGGAACCACGGCACCACAGTTGGGAAAGAAGGAGTTGACGGGGCTCCGTCTCAGCGAAGAGACGGAGATGACTCCAGTGAGGGAAGTCGAGCCTGCAGCAGCTCGGGGATTATTTGAACCGGCATTGCGATGCTTGACGACGACTCTGAGAATTGTTCTGTTGTTTTGTTTTTTCATGGCAAAGGGATTAATGACGCTTCTACACTGTATCTGGTTGGGGGATTTGCATCGCACTTTGCGCGCCACACAAGAGCCGGACCTCTTGAAGAAAGAAAATGTTAATATATCTCGCCTACCCACGGAGAGCTATCCTAATACACTGAGCCTTCAACTCAACCCGATTCCACCGTTCCCACGAAATGCCATGCTGAGTCTTTGGTGATGATACGACGCGCACAGAACGGGACACGCACAAGACGTAGTGACAAAAGCGAACAGCCTTTGTTCAGACATGCCATTTGGCCTGTTTTGGCACTTCGGCTAAACTTGTCTTTTCTTGGCCGAGAGCCATCGAACAAAGGCCCTTTTTTGGAAACCACACGCCCCCCAGTCCCCCCCCTCCCCAGAAACAAGCTTCGCCGCCGTCAGATTTTGCATTCTGCCAATGTTTCCAGCTTTTCCTCATTGTGAGTCAAGGGGTAAGAAGCCAGGCCGGGGGGGGTGGGTGGGAGAAAGGATAAAAGCACAATGGCGGCAATGAGTAGCTCCTGTGTGTGGGAAATCCCCCACGCGCACGCGATAGAAAGAGAGAGAGAGAGAGATACGGGAAGGGTTCTCTGTTTCCCCCTCCCTCCCTAGACGTGACATGCTGAAAGAGCAAGCCGTGAACTTTATTTCGGTTGCTTCCGGGGACCGGAGAAAAGAGAGAACCGGGGGGTGGGGGAAGGGGTGTTCTACTGAGGATATCAGGCGTGGCATGTGCTGATGGATGTTTATGGTCCCATGATTCCTGAAACCTAGTGCTTAGGATATAGAAGTCTGCGAAGTTTGGCAATACGAGAGACAGAGAGAGAGAGAGAGAGAGAGAGAGAGAGGTGGATGGATATCCGAGGTGCCCGGTTGGGAAAGGCCGAGGGTTGGTGGCATCCTGCAGTCCACTCCCCCAGGCAGGGAGGGAAGGGGCCGCCGCGCAGAGAGAGAAAAGAGAGACGCAAAAAAAGCTATCGTCCGATTGTGGCAGGGTCGAGATGCGCAAGGTTTGCCCTGGTCTGCTCGACCTGTCTTCTTGTCTTTTTGCGTGTGTGTGTGTGTGCAACACGAAGGGCACCGGCGTGGGGGTCCAGTGGCCGAGCTGTGTTTCCATGGGAATAAGATTGTGTTTAGGTCTAGCAGCAAACGAGACAGCAGTAGCAGCAGCAGCAGCAGAAGCAGCAGTAGGAGCACCGCCAGCAGCAGCATCTTCCTTGCTTCACATGTGAGAGAGGCAGTAGCGTCCGGATGTGCATGGAGAAATGGCACGAGCTATCCCCCTTGAGCCGGAAGGGTGAACATGTAAGAAGCGAGCACGGGGGTTTGTAAAGTCGGACGATGCTGGCTAGTGCTTCAGCCCTGTCGGCGGCCGCTTGTCCTGCTCCTGCAAGGCACTGCTTCCAAGGTTGATATTATGCACAAATCACGGCCTAGATGGATATGCAACCATGGACTCTAATCACACACAAAGGTGTCCACAAGGGCCAAAAGGCACCACTCGCTAGTTGTTGTGGGTGTGTGTGTGTAATTAACTTTTGATCTGCCATCACAGCGGCACCAGCCGCCCAGTACAGGATCTACCCGAGGCGCCCTGCAGGTGGAAGCGACTCGCAAACCTTGCTATGTATTCGCATTAGTTAATACATGGATGTGCGTACCAAAGGGCCCCGTTGCCTGCCGGAGTCTTCTCCGGGCGCTGGCATGGCTTAATACCTAGGTATCCCTGTCATGCCCCAAGGTTTCTTGGCTGCATTGTGCTCGACACTTAAGCTTCGAGCCGGGCGCCTCAAAGGGGGGCCGGCGATGACGTCCTGCCCTCACAGGGAATATAGAGGCCGCGTCAGAGGGCCATCTCGGCCGTGCCGGTAACACCCGGCTCCATCGTGTTTGAACCCCCCCCATGGCAACTCAAAATGGCACCATCTCGACTTCGAATGCCAAGGAGCAAGTGCATCTTCTCTGACACGATGGCCAGTAGCTTGATTTTCTTTCACGAGGACAAGCGCGCAGATACGAATGATGTGCTGGTCAGCAACTGCAGAAACCCCTATGTGCAGAGAGCATCTGCTAACATGATCCGACAATTGACTTCGACGACCTTGTCCAGCCCCATGATAGCCCAGTACCTTGTTCAGCCCTAAATGCCCTCCACTCTCACTAAGTTGGAGCTATCGTTCTGGCCCGAGGGAGTCCGGATAGCTGGCGGCCAGAGCCGCGGACTTGCGCAACCACTTGACATACTTTGTGTGAATTGTCGCAGCCCAGCAGAAAGCTGTTCTTGCATCAAGCGCAACAGCCGGGAAGCTTTGGTGGGGATACTCGCAAGGAGGGTGTGGACCGGGAGGTTCCGTTGCGGGAGATTTAGATCTAGATACTTAACGCAGCGACGCCATGACCCACGAAGGTGTAGGTCTTTGGTGATGTAGTTCGTTTCTCATTCGTCGCCGGCTCTGACCAGCTCTATGCTAAAAAAGAATAATTGTAGTCTGTATGCACAAGCCAGATATCTGCTCTGGGTGGGAAGGGCGAGGATTGGTACTGTTGCCGCGAAAATCAAGGGAGCTCTCTGAAGCATCACATGCGTCATCAGTCCTCGCTGGTGTCCATAGATCCCGCCGCCTCCGCCGCTTTGGCGCGCGCCTGTTCAATCCTCTCCGCCTTCCAAGCCATTATGCGCTCCCGCAACTCATCCGCGGGCACAACATCATCAATGGTCATGGGACTGCGCGTGAATGGATCCAACGGATTGGAAAGAAGTTGCTGAACAATCGTCGAGCGGTCCACAATGTTTTGCGACGGGAGGATGACAGGGTCCGACATCAGGTCTCCCATCAAGGGGTCCTCAAATTCGTCGGGAATGTCGCCAAGGTCAAGCTCAGCCTGGTCGAGGCGGACCTTCTCCTCTGCGAACTTGGTGCGTAGCGCGTCCCACGCTGCAGCCGTCTCTGGTGCTGCATGCAGATTCGCGCTAAGGATTTGTGAAGCCTTGGAGAAGTTTTCTGGCTTGTATGACCGTCCGTCGGCAGCAACAGCCTCTACGAAAGCCGGCTTCGAGCCAAGGTTGAGGTAGATATCAATGAAGTCGGAAAGCAGCGCTTTCGCGTCAAAGTGGTACTTCTTGGGGTCCTCCACCTTGAGGTTGGCTCGGCGAGGACCAACAAGAACCTCGAGATTGTAGTCCAACATGTTGGCCAGTCTGACAACAATCTCTGGCATCGTGAAGGCGTCGCGAAGCGCTGCAGTGAACATCTTCATCATGGCCATGGTTTCGTTGACTTGCTGCATCCACGACTGACAAAAGTTCTCGTCCTGCTCCAAGTCTGTGAGAATTTTCTCCCTCTCCTCCGGGGAGAGGTCACCCTTCAGCTGTTTCTGGTAGTCGTGGATCTTGTACAACTTTCGAAGGGCTTCATCCAGCGCATACGTCGTGTCGTTTAAGAGCAAGTTGACAAACTGCACAAAGAACTGCCGGTTCACTCTGCTCTCCTTGCTCAGTTGCTCTTTATAGATACCGTTCGTCCAGATGCATTTGATGACCTGGAAGATCTCATATCGAATGTTGAACTTGTCGTAGAAAGCCGAGCTCACACCACTGTGTTCGCATTCTGTACACGTTGATCAGCAACCCACTCATATGTCTGCGTCATGCGATTGATTGCTGCAAACATTCGGGAAAACACTGCCTCGCAAGAAGTAGATGTTGAGTTTGACTTACCGATGTAGAACTTGATCAGCGTATGTAAGAGATGCTCGTTCGCGAACTCGGAGCCAATGAGAGAGTCCCCGAGGATGCCACGGCTGAGGTGGTACATCGGCCACGTTCCTGAAAACAGCAGCGTGACCAAGGATGATTTGAGATAGGGATTCTTGATGTATTCTGACGATCTCAAGAATGTGATGCAAAGAGTGATGATCTCATCACCGACAGCTGAAACAAGAATCTTCGGGACGTGCCTACACCAGATTAATAAGCTTCATGATTGCGAGGCAGGAGAAAGAGGTAGAGAGAGCGCGGTTGGTCACATACTGAAAGATAAATCGCAGGTTGTCGACAACGTCCTGAAGAGCGTACTCGGGTAAGCAGCTGAAGGCCTCTGGCTTCTGCGCCGACAAAGGCAACTTCATTTTCTGGCCAGGCAGGTAGTTGGTGCCACTGGCTGTGCGAAGCAGCCACACGGACACATAACGCATGAACTGGAGCGATGATGTCTGCAACCCATCATCCAAGACGACGCCCTCGATCGAGTATTTCAGAGACAGAGCCTTTTCAAGTGCCTCGACGGCATTATGGTGGTGCCGTTGAGCGAGAGCGCGTCGCAACGGATCCTGTTGACAGTCAGAAAGTGCATCAAAGACATGAAAGGCAGTCTTGATACTCACCCCTTGAAGATTGACCATTTGCTCGTCCATCTCCTTCACAACCTTTTCGATATGCTTGATTTCTCTGTCCAGGGTCTTAAGCTTGGCGTTCGTTGCACCAAGACCGTAGTGATGCGCCGCAAGCGCCAGGAAGAAGACTTCTGAGATGAAATTGGAAGTCCCTTCGACCTTGGTGCCGTAGTACGCATCCGCGGTGGCCTGGTCTGCATTTAGCTTGGTCTCATCGCTCATGTCGACGCGCGGACTGCGTCGGAGATAGTCAATGTCGATCCTGTCCATCTTGGAAAATGTTGAATCCATGAAAGGTTCGCACAGCTTATCGAGGACGACGGTGACATTAACCATAAGTCCATCAGCGGCAACCTCGTTGGCCTTGACCTGGAGGGCACGGCGCTTGTGGTTCGTGTTGAAGATGAATGCGAACCATTCCAGGACTCTACTCCGCGTCTCGGGCCCCTTGGCTCGTATGAACTGGTTGATGATTCCAGTCAGGTCTCCAAGATGAGCTTTCAGTGTCATCTGCAGAGAACTCTGCGCCGACTTCTTGTGTCCTTGATCAAGTGTTCGTGGGCTGGCGAAGTACGACTTAGTGACCTCAGGTTGAAGTGGAGAGATCCGGAAGAACGGCCCAAGTATCGTCTGTGTTTCTGTGGCCGTAGCGATCTGTTCCTTCGTCATCCCGGGAGTGGGGTTCACCAAGAATCGAGGATGTCTGGCGAGAGCATCTAGTAGTGGTGGAAACTTGGAATACGTGATGAGACACTGTGATTGTGTGTTAGCGCCCATTCAACAAAGCCCTTCAAACTGTATCTTACATTGATGTACGGCTTATAGTCATCATTCATCGTCATTGTCGCGAGTCTTTGGCTCAGCTGTACCATGGCCTCCGTGAATACGGGCTCAATGGTGTCGTCCTCTGGTATCCGGGAAACGGCCTCCTCAAAGAAGTCGAGGCAAATGCCATCGTCGTTCTCATGGTTCCGCAGGAGGAATGGCGCAAGAGAGTCATGCGCTGGGTTGGCATCACGGCTACCACGAGTTAGCCGCCACGAATTCTTAGCTGAACGGCGAGTCGCAAACTCACCCAAAATATTCCGGCATCGTAAGAGCAAAGATGCTGTTGCTCATACACAATCGCTTGGCTTCCCTGAGAACCTCCTCCCGCTCTGGTGTTGGCTTCCGCGCAGCCTTGAGCGCTCTCAGTATCCTCTTCCAGCAGGGAAGGAAGTAATCCAGCAGAGCCATGTTAGTTGGTACGTGCCTCGCTGCCTCGAGCAGAGCCGAGTCTAGCGAGGATGCCGACAGCTTCAACGGTTCCCCAGATTCCTCCAGGTCAGCCCTGAGCTCAGGTAGGGAAATTAGCTGAGAGCCGCGGCTGTCTGTGGAGCGATCCTGATTCACAGTCACCCGGAAAATATCGCTGAGGGTCCTGTCTGACCAGTCTTCAAGCGTCTCCTCCTTCGAGACCTGAACCTTCTTGGGCGGTGGCGCACCAGCTCCATTTTCCGGCTTCTTCTTGACGCCTAGCTGGTTGAATGGATTCCCTCCACTCGATCCGGCCGTACTTGGGGTATTAATCTTTGTGACTGGTTGGGCCAGCGAGCTCGAAGAGGCTGCGGCGTTCTCGTTCTCGGTTTGGTTCCGTGGTGACTCGGCTCGATCGCTCGGTGTAGGCGAGGAGGGAGAACCAGTAGCTCCGCCCGCGGCGGCCAGTTTGGCCAGTCGGCGTTGCCGCATCTGCTCCGCCGGAGGGAGTGCTGGCTCGGAAGTCGGTGGCTGTTCGTTGGAATCCATGATGTGGTATGTAAGACTCGGTTGGGGTTTGTGGTTTTCTGGGGAAGGTGATGCAAACTAGACTGGTGGCCAAGTTCTAATAGCACCTGGAGACAGTCTGAGGCGATGCCGCCGTCGCCGCAGCAAGAGCTTTGGTAAGCGTGGATCTCGACTGTTAACAGCTCTAGTCAAGATGTGGTTGCGAAATGTAGTGGCCGGTTGTGCACAGCGCAGTCTCCAGGCGTACACCAGGTTGCGTGATCTGGGGTTTCAAGTGCCCAGGGATGTGTCTGCGCAAGGAAGCGAAGTGCAAGACCTAGGGCGAGACTCGTTGGATGGTTGTCAATGTTCACCTCGACCGTGAGGCAGCAGCTCGATGGATGTCGCGATGACCTAAGCATGCGGGGGAGCTACCTCAGGCACCCCTTATCGATATAGCGCTTCCCGGCGCTTCGACTCTGTTCGATTTCCACTGTCAACGCGCTCCAGGGCTATCCCGGGCGATAGGCAGGTGCGCCGGGTCCGGCGCTAGTGTCTAAACCCCGGCAGCTACATGCACTGAACGGGAAACAGTTGTTGTCATCTACTTCCGCTGCACTCACACCGAACAGATGAGGGTTCATGGCAAAAAATGTCCTCTATTTCTAAGTTTGCTCACAAATATGTGCTAGCAACCCCTCAGGCCGCGACAATTCCGCGGCCGCCTCTTTCAATCTACCTAGGTGCGCTATCCTGCTCATCCATCAGACACCGTGCGGCTTGAGGCTCTTGACTGTGTCCACGACGGACTTCTCGAATGGAATCCAATCAATGCCAAGAACCTTGGAGGCTCGGGAGTTATCTGCCTTGGGGACACCACCGTCGGGGTAGCCTCCACCCTGCACATTGTCTCCGGGCAAGTTCTTTTCGTATTCTGGGAAGTTTTTCCGCACGACCGCAATGATGTCTTGGTTGCTGAAAGCCTGTGGCGCAACCGTGAAGAATCGTTTGCCGCCGGCCTCGGTCTTTTCCAACGCGTTCACGTGGGCAGCAGCCACGTCCCGTACATCTACCCAGAAATAAACACCAGTGGGTGGGATTTCCTCTTTCCACTTGCCCTGGACGAGATCCACGAACCGTCCGTTGCTTGTGTTGATCGATTCCAGGCTGTTCAGGTGGTGCACCACAGGACCGAAGACGAGTGGAGGGCATATGGTAGCGAGGTCAAAGTTTGGTTTCTCGTTGGCAACAAAGTCCCATGCGGCCTTCTCTGCAAGCGTCTTTGAGACACGGTAGCTAGTGGCAGGAGTTCCGGTAATGCCATCCTCGTAGGTGTTTGGGTTCCAATCGCTCTCGCTGAAGACCTTGTTGGGATCTTGGAGACCTGCCTCGTTCAAGATCGAGGCGAAGGAGGAAGTGACGACGACCCGCTTGACGGATGGGGCGTACTGCTTGACGGCACGCAAGATGGAAGTTGTGCCGACAATGGCCGGCTCGAGAAGCTCTGATTTGGCGTCTTTCCACTTGTAGTGGAAGGGACTGGCGGTGTGAAGGACATAGTCGATGCCGGGTATCTGCACGACATCGTCGAAGGCATCAGGCTGGGCAATGTCAGGCACAATGGCCACAGTGAGTTTGGCGCCGGGATGTGCCTCGCGAATCTTGGAAGCCTTGTCCTCGGACCGCACGGTCGTCACAACCTCGTAGCCTCGGTGCAAGAGCAGCTCGAGGGCGTGGGCTGTGGTGATATGATCAGCTCGCCGCACGATACGTGTGTGGCATGCAGGGGTTGGCAATACTTACCGGCAATGAAGCCAGAGCCACCTGTTGATTCCGGACAGACAGTTAGCGTCCTTGCCCACTCAAAAGGGCCTCGTGTGCTCGGCAACTCAGAGCAGCAGCAGCTAGGCACGTCTCGAAAACGTGGCACACAGCATGGACAGGCCGAACGGGTGTTTGGGGGCGTGAAGACGAACCTGTAAGGAGTACTTTGGTCATGACGGCTGAGGTTCCTGTGTAACGTGACAGGTCTGTGGTTTGTGAATGGTGTTTTGAGACGGCGTGGCTACAGTTCTTTGGGCTACGAGATGCCAAGGACAGATGCTGGAGTTTGCGATGTGGTCGACTTATAACGCAATCGCCGGCATCGCCCGCGGGGTACTCTGCCCGAGGCTGGCCCCCACGATTCCCCAACTTGGGTGCGGGTAGGTTCGAGGCGCCCCACCACATCGCAGGGTTGGTGTTGATGTCATCCCCCCCTGATTTGTCAGAACCCTCTCGCGACGACATACAAAGGCCACTTCCTCTCTTTGCCACTGTCGGCGATGTTTTCGGACATAGGGACTACCACAGTCAAAGGCTGGTTCCCCCCGAAACACGCCTGCATGCCTCGCTCAGGCAGCTGCACCTCTTGGCGTACCCGTTCCAGTCATGCCAGTTGTGGCTTTGATTGCATTGCCAGCTGAAAATGACTGCTGAGACATAGCCATGGGCTCCGGAAGGTCCACGACGAATCCGCTCCTCCCATCCATGATCGAGTCATCCAGCCCCAGACGCCATTGCTGCACACGCGACCTTCGCGTCATGCTCCCATCGGCCCTACTTTTATCCCCCTAGCACGGTGGACTTTGCCAGGATCCAGCCAAGTTCAAGCGTGTATCTAGGTCCTTCGGCCTGTGATTGTTCTGTGCAACACGGACAACCTCGCTGTCTCCGTCTGCGCAACGTGTCGAGGCCAAGACCACGCACGACAGTCGCACGCTCAACTCCTGTCAACATATGAGACCGTCCTTGACAAGCAGGCACTTCCCCTATGTCGATACGACCGACCCTCTGGTACATTCCGATCGCCTAGAACCCATGGTCGGGCTTGTGCCTGGACCAAGGCTCGTCGACGTGGTGCAGGCGGGACCTAGTCTCAACGGCTCCGTCTCGGCTGCTTGCATTGAATCGAGCCTATAACGGCCTGGCCAGCTCGCATACACCCGTCCGCTTGATACGAGGAGCATCCTCGTGTACATGCCGGCAAGTTGCAGCCTTGTGTACCACAAGGACCATACGTACTGCTCGGTGAAGTGTCTCGTCCTTCTTAGGCACAGCTGGCGGTGCTGTCCGCGACCTTCAGGATGTTATCCGAGTGGCCGCCTCTGGAGATCCACAAAGATCAGGTTTTCAGGAGGAGGAGGACATCAATCGTCCGGTCGTGCAAACCCAGCTCTAGCCATGCTACCACGGTCTGTCTAAATCAGGCTTGATGTCGGAAACAGCGCACTCTGACACCGCCCGCAGCGAACTCCTCGGCCGTGATTAAAAGAGCATCTTGGGGCCCGCACGCCGGAGGCGCTTCACAAATTTCCGCCTGCTGATGCCTCTCTCATGTCCTGTTGGACGTTCCTCACACTCGCTGTCACGTTCGCTCGTTATCGTTGTATTGCACATGGTTGCCCTTCAATATCGTCACGCATAAGCCGCTGCTCCTTCTCTGAGTCACAACCTCAGACTTCTCACCATTCGCTCTTGATAGACATCAACTTTCTGTAAACGAGACGACTGGAGCGAAGCATGCGCGCAGACTGCAACAAACCCATCAACGGCGGGACTGACACATCGACGCTTCCCGCGATCTTCGGGCTTGATGACCGTGCTGCGTGCATGTCAGCATGTGTCGCTCACTTTGTCACGGCTCGAAGGCCTGAGACGGCCGTGAATGACGTGGGCCTGAGCTCAATATGTCCTGTTGTGCAAGATGGTCCAGCGCAGGATCTCTGGTCGTTGTATTGTTGTGATATCACCTTTTGCGGTCTGCAAATTCCACTGTCAACTCCACACGGTCAGAGCAGTGAGTTTGCCCGTCCCGATGGCTGTTCCTGCTGCAAGTACTGATTGAAATGTATGCAAAGATAGCGTCGATAATGTAATCTCCACTTGCCAGAAGTACGTTCTCGGTCATTCATAAGTGGTGTCTTTGACGTCTAGATCTGACAACTCTCAGTTTCGGGTTCTTTGCGATCAACGATCCTGGCCCGCCACCTCTTGCCTTCACCTGCACTGCGCCGAACAACGCAGCTGCTTTCTGGGTTTCTTGTGCTGCCAGCGGCTCTGTACCGGCCATTGCGCCTGTATCCGACAATATTGGCATGTCGATTGCTGCCCTTGGTGATCTCCCTGCGATACCAAGCACGGTTCAGGAACAGGCCACCTCCTCGAGCACATCAATAGCAGCAACAGCAACAGTGGCCATGCCATCAGACATATCAACCGAGACACTTCGGTCTGCAGAGGCTGGGCTTTCGACAGTGTCATCGATCAGCAGTCTGGTAACTCCAGTCCCTCCTTCAGTGTTGTCGGGTAGCGCCCGCCCAAGCATTGTGGACGTACCGCCTCCCTCTTTGGACACACAACAGCCGGCGGTCTCAACGGAAGAACATGACGCTAGCAATTCTTCATCCTTGAAACTACCTGAAGGTGCCAAGGCTGCGATCATCGCTGGCTGTTTACTCGCGGTGGTTCTCATCGCGGCTATAGTGCTATGCTTTCTTCAACGTCGCCGGCGACGTGCCGAGAGCATGGAGATTGGCGCGACGATGGCGGCTGCCACGATTTCTCATGCAACGTTTGACACGTACTCCATCGATCGTCCATCGGGTGGCTCCGACTCAAGACTCATCTTGGGCGCTCCGTTGACAGCCGGATCCAATCTGTCGCCACCACTGACGCCCCCACCGAGGCTTGGGGAACGCAGGATGCTCTCGCTGGGCTCAACTGATGGGTCTTCGCGTGGTTCTCTCACCACAAAGTCCAGCTCGGAGACGATGGGCCCAGCGAGCAACAATGCGCCCTCGGGACTTGCAAGGACTACTACTCCATCCCAGAACCCCGGATCAGGGGCTTCCTCCGCGGTAGGCAGTCCCAGCGGTGATCTGCCTGCCGGGTTACCGCAGAGCTGGCCACTGAGCCCACCGCAGCCGGGAGTCCTCGGCAACAACAATATCAACGGTCACATTCCGCGAAATCTGGGAGGCTGCGGCTCCCCTCCACCCGTTAGCCCGCTCCCGCGTCTCCCCATCTCGCCGCCGTCGACGCCGCAGCCCACGTCGCCTCTTGCGCTCGTTGTCTCGCCTCCGTTGTCACCTCGGCGGACGACTGCAGCCACGAGTATGGGTAGTTCTTGAATTGTGCTTCGGCTAACTACTTCGAGCAAGAGTCTATATGCCTCACAGGGAATCGTTGTTGGGAGTAAGATTCAATTGGTAATGCTAGAGATATCCCAGACGGCGGGTCCTGGAACTTGTTTTCGTTGAGCGTTAAGATAGCAGGCTATCGACAGGTCAATATGTGAGTTATTTGCCATTTTATCGTGACGTCTTTGCGCAAAGTCTGAGTGGTGGGTGCATGCTTGTCGCCTCGACAGTACCATTCCCGCCCCCCCCCCCCCCCCCCCCAACAGCATACACACGCACACAGCTCGTCCCAACCCCTGTCCTCGCTCGTCCTGGTCACAACCATATGAGGCGAGACTGACGTCATTGTCACTTTGAGAGATTTGAACATGCCGATAGCATTACAAGGTCGTGCGAGTATATAAGTGTCTCTGGCCGAAACCCAAAATGTATAACTCCCAACATGAAAAATTCAAATAAAACGGCCCAAGCTCTTCTATACATAACACATGACAAACATATACCCCCTAAAAAAGACTTCATGGCCATATCCAACCTTTGGCTACCTGGAGCCCTTTTTGCCATTCTTGCCGTTTTTTCCACTCGCCGCCTTCGCAGCAGGCGGCGATTCCGCCGGTTTCGATCCGACAATGGCGATCCACCTCTCGATCTCGACCGACCCCTTTCTCATGATGAGGTACATTTCCCTCCGGAGCCGGTCGATCGAGTTGGCCCACTCCTTGGTCTCGCGCCCGTTTGCGCGCATGGCGTGGTACCGCTCGAGCAGGCGGACCTGGCCGTCCTTTTTCTGGCGGAGCTCGTCGGCCGTGTCGTCGGTGGCCAGGCACACGCCGTACGTGTCGCAGTAGCACGCGGCGGGCTTGCGGCAGAGCATCCCGCGGTTCTTGAAGACGTACTGCCACATAAACTCCCACATGCGCGACGACTGGACGGCCGTGAGGTCCTGCGCCCGGTCGGCCACCCAGTCGCGGTAGAGCCCCCACTCCTCGCGCGTCTTTGCGTAGCGGATCCGGTCGCGCGACACGGCGAACTGGTTCCCTCCCGCTTGCCCGACCTCCTTGGGGAAAGGGATCCCCGGGTTCAAGGAGTTCCACGCCGCGTTGAAGATCTGGAAGTCGCGCAGCTCGTTGTCGTTGGCGAACTCGCCCTGGTTCGCCCGCCAGCGCGGGCAGTTGTTGCGCGTGTCGCAGTACAGGTTCACGTAGCCCTCCTCCCAGACGAGCACGCCGTTCAGCCGCTTCAGCGTGGCGGGCAGGTCCTCACCAATCAGGTCCCAGTGCTGCGGCTTGCGCTGCGCCTCTCGCGTGAAGACGACAATGTCGGGGAGATTGTCGTAGTGGTCGAAAATGTAGGTGAGGTAGGCAATCACCTCTATGCCCCTGATGGTGTTTTCCTTGATGTCTCGGGTGGTGGTGGTGGTCGCAGAGCTCGAAGCGGAAGACGACGATTCGTCTCGGCGGAGCTTTCTTGAGGCGGGGTGTTCAAAAGCCCGCGGCTGGTGTTGCGTATTGGCGACGTGCTGGTTTGACGGCGCCGCTGGCGGGCCTGGTGCAGGTTCGAGGTTGTATAGCATGACAGGTACACCGGGCAGGTCTCGCTTGATCCACTTGATGTCGTCGTCCTTTTCCTTGGCCACGACGACCGTGACTGTGAAGTTCTGGCGCTGCAGGAAGAGCGTCGGCTCGCCGTACTGGACGGCATCGTGGGCGGAGGATTGTGGCTTCGCAGCCCCTGCTGCAGGCTGGTGGTGCTCTTGGTTCTGCACGTTCCTGGGGTTCTGGAGCGAGTTTGCTTCGACCGACAGCTGATTTGCCGGCACAGACTCGACAACCGAGCGACTCCGTGCGAGAAGATCTTGCCGTGTTGAGCTGGCGAAGAAAAAGTATGCGGAGACGAGGACGAGGGTGAGCAAGAGGACCACCCTCTGCCTCGTGCGTTTGAAGCCGGGAGCCATGATGGGGATCACGAACCCATCGTTCAGAAAGCAAAAGCAGGCCAGTCGGGTCGCAATGTCGATCGAGCAAGCGTGTATGTATGTACGGGCGCGCAGTGTGTGTGTGTCGTGAGCGGTCGGCCGAGCGCTCAGCGTGGGATGACTGGCAAGATCGGCGTAGGGGACCAAGGCGAGTTGCGGGCAGATCAGGAGGCGAGGACAGGCCGCCTCCTGCAGGGCGGATGTCGGACGGAACGTGTCGCGAACCGGGGCTGGAAAAGGGTCTTCGATTGGCCCCCCCCCTGAAGGGGCCTGCCCTGTCATGCCAGCGTCTAGGCCTTTGTCAGCCTAGCGCCTGGGCCCAGTGCCCCGGTTCCATGTAAAGTTTACCCCTTCAAGGTTGCTCTCACTGCCCACCACGTGCCCAGCCGCAGACTCCAGCCTTTTCAGCCGCCCCAAACCATCACCCGCCAGCTGCCATTTAAACCGTGCCATGGCACAACTGGGTCGTGAAAGATGGAGGGCATGCTGCCGCCATACCCCATTTCTGTGTTGCCGCCGTGCTCATCACGAGGACTCACAACGTGTTACAGACCAATATCACACATGTTAGATCTGGAACCTCCATGGCGTGGCCAAATCCGTGCCCAGTAGATAAATTCCCAGATGACGCCACGCTATTTTGCTTGCTTCTCATGACATAAAGGAGACGACCCTGCGTTTAGGACGCCGCCCATGGTTGGCTGCAAAAGCAGCCCTCTCTACGCGAATCCAAACCCTTGTGCATTCTCCAGCGCCATGCACAGCCTCTCCTTCAGCACGTCCCGGCTTGGGTATTCCGGGAGCAATAAGGTCCCGTAGCACGTGTATGCCGTCGGGAGATGCCCGCCCTCACCTTCCTCCTCACCATTCTTCTGAATAATGAATTGAATGTTGCCCACGCCGCCAACAGGTACACGGTCGCTCGCCGTCACGAATTCGAGCAGCTTCCTCCGCATGCGGTCGTCAAACTTCTTCACAATGCTCCAGAAGTCGCGGACCGTGCGATGTGACACATCCCAGCCGACATAACGAGCTGCACGCCGCAGCTCAGAGATGTCAATCTCCTGGGTGCCTTCGACGATAGACTGCAACAAGCTTGGAGTAAGGAGTGAAAGCGACTTGGGTTGGAGGCAGGTCCGGAAGCCACGTGCGAATGCCTCAAATTGCGGCTGGACAGACACGTCAGTGAGATACCGAATGTAGTCGTCCACATATGCCTGCCGGTTGTCGCCAGTGACCATAGGCGCGTCGGCCGGGTTGTTGCTGCTCAACGACGTCTCATCATGGCCAACCGAGAATTGGGGCCAGGCGTCACCGTCTCCGGAGTCCATCACCCTCGAAACGGGTTGGCCAAACATTGACGTCGAGAACTCGTATGTCAGGACAAAAATGTCCTCGATAGCTCCGTCCTTCTCGTTCCATTCCAGCAGATTGGTGAGCCCATTGGCAAGATCTGGCCAACCGTCCGCGATATGATGAAGCTCAGTCACTGGTTCACCCAAGAGCTTCTGGTACAAGGCTTTGGGGAAAGTGATGGGTAGTGTGAGCCCATTGTACACAGCCAGGGACACCAAAAGCCCAATGAGCTCGTACTTCCAGGTTGGCTGGAGTCCGCTCGGTTGGAACCACGTCATGCGGGTCCGGTCGTCCACCATGAATGCACCATAGTCCGGATTCAGCGCCTCGGCAATCGCAAGCCGGAAGAACTCCTGCTGTACACCGCCAGAGTCAAAGCCTTCCTCACCGGCGTCTTCGCCCAGGTGCACCTTGAGAGGCCGCATGAGCTCGCGCGACTCTCGTCTCCACAACTGATCAAAGGCATCACGGAGGACGTCTCTGCGGCCAATGTCCAAGATCAGATACCGTGTAGACGGGACTTTGAGAAGATCTTGAAGGATATTCTTATGATGGGGATCGGTGACGAGACTCTCCGGGGCGATCACGGCACCGATCCGGCTCCGCAGGGAAGTGGACTCCTCATAAGACCGACTCATTCGAGAAAAGTTGATCGCTCTAAAGTAGGAGACCAGGGAGGCCGTATTGAAGATGTAAGGATAGTCGAGCAAGTGGGCGACCTTTCGGGATGGTTCAAAATGAAGCCACGACACGGGCATTTTGATGCAATCAAGTCGCTCGCCGAAGTATTCAGAGCGGAAATGGACATCTCCTAGCAGGAGTTCTTGACGCTTCCGGTCTGGAGTTTTGTTTATTAGAAGGAGAAGAAGGCAATGGGAAGGATTTCAAAATGGAACTTACACATTGCCTCGATCAGCGCAAGTGCGCCGCCGAAAGGGCCATCGCCGTCAACCTCGGCTTCTCCATTCCAATCCTGGAGCATGACAGCTCTTGCCCAATCTAAGAGCAAGATGGGGACTCTCTTTTCGTGCAAAATGCGTTCGTTCTTTGAGAACTCCAGCAACGGGGCGGACGAGTTTTCAATGTGAGCAAGAACGACATCAAAGACGTCCTTAGGCATGTCGCAACTAGCGAGATTCTCTGCGCCGGAGACCGACCGGAAGTCAAATAGACGCCTGGCAGGTATTGCTGCTAATAACCTTCGTGCCAACCGCAACGCAAGATCATCTGTGAACACATCTTCATATTGCAGACACAAAGATGTAGACTGCTGGGCCAACATGGCTCCACCAGCAAGAGTCATGCCATGTGACCGAATACGTGACATGTCGGCAAGCTGGCGATAGTCGGAGACGAGTGGTGCTGCGGCAACCAGCGCATGGAAACAAATAGCCATGAGCTGTCCAGCCTCTTGATTTGAAAATGTCTCGGCTGCCGCTACCTCTCCAGCCGTCAGGGATGAGATGGCAGGATGCGGTGTTCGGAATACGCAAGCTAGGGCGTGCCACAAGCTGTCAAACACGAGACTCGGTGCGGCTCTAGTCAAGCGCAACATGCAGTACCACAACGACTGCGAGTCGATTAGCCCTTCCGCAGTGGTGAAGGACGATAACAAAGCCCGCGGTTCACTAAGAGTGCTGAAGATGGCCTGTTCAATGAAGAGCTTCCACTCGAGGCGCAGGTCCTGGGGATAGGGACTTGCGCATGATCGCTGCCGTCTCCTAAGTGACTTTCGGCCGCTGGGTCGTGATATATCGCCGATATGAATTGTGGCCGGCTCGAGGAGATGCTTCTCGCCCGTGGAATCCGTTTGCAAGACATCGCAAAGAAAATCGACAGCTTGCGGTGTAATGTGAGAGAGAGTCTGCGGGAGAAAGGAATCCAGCTCTGGCAAGCCTTCGTGATCTACACTGAGACCAGACATTGAGGTTTCGTCAGGTGTATCTAGAAGCTCACTCGACGTGGACGATGATTTTCCCGTCGAGCCACTGCCTATGATGACTGTCTTGGTATCATTCGTACCGAGCTCAGATTCCTCGTCAGACTGCGCTTCGTAAGCTTCTTCAGCAGGAATTGTTGCCGAGCCCCGTGATATCGCCGAGGGTGATCGAACAAGGCTTTTTCTGTGTAGCTCTGGCGCTTGCGGCCGCGTGGGAGAAGTGATTTTGGTTTCGTATGGCAAAGAGCCATCAACAGAATCAAGCCTAGTATGAGGCTTGCCATTTGCATGCGTGCGAATGCGGGCATTCGAGCTTCGCCTTGAAGCTGTCGTCGGTGGTTTCGCTTCCGAGTTTGTCACTCGACCTGAAGATTCATTGTTCGGTTTGTTTGAGGCTAGTGTTGTCTTTTGTGGTACCATGATACTTTCCGCATTGTTTTCGTCTGGTGTACCCCTCGCTGGTGATGCAACTGTTTTGCGCGAGACGTCACTACTTCTTTGAGCGAGGCTGTCAAATGTCGTTGGCGTGAGCCATTCAATCATCTTGAAAGCCACTGTACCAAACATATTGGCTGCGAACGATCGGTAGTCCTTGCTCGTGTACGTCTCGGCGAGTCTTACTCCAGTCGTCGGGGTTCTCTCCCCCATCTGTGGGACGGACTCGTTCAAGCTACGCCTCCTCGGCACCACTGCTCGGCCATTGGGCTGTTCCAATTGTTCTTCGTCGGTGTCGGTGTCCTCTGATTCGTGAGAGTGCCGTGCAGTTTCGGTTGGCGTTCTTGGAGAGCCTCTTGTAGACGGCTCACCCAGTGCAGTGGGATTCTTGGCGTGCATGGTATGCTTTCCAGGTCGCGCGAGGCTGTCAGGACCACGACTGCGATGCCGTGGCGCAAACAGAAGTGGCTTGGCTGCATCGCTTGGCTCTGTTACTGGCGACAGATATGGACAGAGGTACAATTCCGGATTGTCCTGGCTTGCGAGATAGACGGCTAATGTCCTGGCACTTGCTGGGCTATAGCGGCGTATGGGTGCTTTCCCCGAAAGTCGTCGACGACAGCTAAAGCACGAGGAAGTGGGACAAGCGGCGTATCCGCATCCGTAGCGTAGTTGTAAGATGAATCTGCATAATCAAGGACAGTCAGATGCCGCCGTATGGTTGACGCGCTCTCCCGATGGACTCACTTCTCTACCAGCACATGCAGATGGTGCCGCCGACTGGCCCGATGTATTGTGTAGACCTTTCTGGGATTCTCAATATTGACAAGCAGCTCCCGGAGCTCCCGTGGAGCATCAGGAGGCAGCCGCGGAAATGGCACCTCTTCCCACAAAGCTGCCATGGTCTCCATCTCGAGTCGAGCGGCCTGGCCGTGACGGCCCTCTGACGGCCCCGTGGCCTCAGGCGTCATATCATAGGGTCTCTGCACCGGAGAGCGGTTACGACCAGACTACCGTGGAAAGGATCGTAGTGGGTGATGTCGGAAGGAAGTGTATTTCGAGACGGGTCTGCCGACAGAAATGGTTGGGGCAAGTCTTTCGAGATCGCGCGCCAGGCCGTAGAAGTGGTGAGTGTATGAGATAGATTACTGTTGCTGCTGTCGAAAGCCACGCAGTTGAGGGGACTGATTCGAACTGGTGTCCTGCTTGCCAATGGACCAACGGCCAACGAAAAGGCGCGTCCTCTCCAGGCGATGGGGGGGATGGCTGGACGGCTAGGCGGATTCGAGAGGCAGATGAGCGACTTGGGATGACAAAGTCGCGATGATGGAGATGGCCGGTCGTGGAGAGCTAGGGTGGTGGTGGTGTGTATGCGCAATGAGATCGCTGGAGCGTCCTGGTGGAGGAGAGTGGGGATGACGGGGAGCCTAGTCTGCCGGGATTCTCGTGACACAATAAACCGGACGCTTATACGGACCCCTGCGGGTGTAGTGTCTGGCTTTTTTTGTCAACCACCCCCGGCAGGACTGGGCCCGTTTCCCATGGCGTTACGCCAGACAGGCACGTTAGGCACATTGGCAGTTCCGTCTCGTACCCCATTTCAGCTCCGTCAAATCCGTCGCAAAGGGCCTTGGATGCCCTCTGAAAGCAAGACATGCAGTCAGCCACTGCGTGACCAGCAAGCTGCCGCGCATGAGTGGTATGAGCTATTCCTGCCTTCGTGGACGGTCACAGAGGTGTAGACGCTTTGCTGATTTTGTCTCGGTCCATGGGTCGCGTTCCAAGATGGGCAAACGCAGCTGCGGACACGCTTGGACCATGCTTAAGCCCTGACGATGCATAGAGAGCCGCAAGTGTGTATGTCGTCTTGATTTCTGGGAACAAGGGGCTCAGCTGGGCAATATCCACCAACAGTTGCTAGTCAGATGAACCCTTGCCTGGTTTCCTTCCGCACTGACGTAAGATGACTGGCATTTCTCAACTGGAGGCACGGCCAGTTCCCTGCTTAAAAATGCGCCGCCGCACCGGCCTCACCCCACCAATGACTCCTTGGGCCGCCACGTCCTCCTCGCTTGTGCTCTTCTCATGGACACAGCCTCACTAAGTATGAACGTGCCGTGCCTGCAGGCTGCCTGGAGATGCTCGAAGCTATCCGTTCAGCTTCTTGAAATCATGTCGTCTGTGTCAAGTATTGTCTTGCATACTTTCTCGATCGCATACTAAGTATCAACCTAGAAACCGTAATGACCCAAATCCACCCCGCGCGTGGATGGGCGGGAACCCAGCCTAGTCCTAAATCGTCCTGACGTTTTTTGCCATCGGTTTAGAATGCTTCAGTGAAGGAGGGTGATGACGACTTCAGGATTATTAAGACGCTCCTGCAATCAGTCTCTGCTGGAACAAGTCTGCCGTCCCTGCATTCTGGCAAACTTCTGCATCTCCTCTCGCCTCCCGTACATTGCAGACCAGGCACCAGCCAGCTGGGCTTTTCCTCTGGCTTTAGTCAACACCGCATCTGCATTCGCCTTGCGCACTACAGACCGGACCCCGCCCCTCCCGCTCTTAGGAATTTTTTGAGAAACCTGCCCACCCCTCCATACCGCGACCGCTACATAAGGCACGAAACACCTTCCAGGTTCACTTTCTGCGGCGCCAACTTTGTCCTCTGCCTGCTGTTCTTTTCTTCCCCCCTTCGGATCATCATTTGCACCACCGGCGACGCAAAGGCTCGCCAAGTAAACCAGCACAAAGGCATCATGGCCACCATCGTTGGGAGCCGGCCTGGAGCCACCCAGCAAGAATCGGCTCCGGCCTCCCACCAGTTCACCTGCAACACCTGCCAGGTTGCCTTCCGCTTCGCCGATACCCAGAAAGGTCACATGAAGAGCGACTGGCAGTAAGTCATCCTGGGTGTTTCCCGGTTGCCTTGGGTTCCCAGCTAACGCCCGCTCCTCACCCTTCTAGTCGCTACAATCTCAAGCGCAGAGTTGCCTCTCTCCCTCCCATCTCGTCTGAGGTCTTTACCGAGAAGGTCTTACAAGCCAGAGCTGCCACTACTGCCGAGGCCGACCGGGCCGGGTTCCAGCAGGCTTGCGAAGTTTGCCAGCGGACCTACTACAGCGAGAACTCCTACCGAAACCATATCAGCAGTCAGAAGCACAAGGCCAAGGAGGCAGCCGCCGCCAGGGCCGGAGGTGCCGTCGCCGACGATGCAAGCTCGGTCATGAGCTCCACTTTCTCCCTCGGCGAGCCTGTGCCTGTTGCTCGATCCGAGATTGACTCAGACGCCGAGCATGAGTTCAGCGAAGTAGTAGAGGGCCTTGAGAAGGCAACTTTGAAAGAACGACCCTCGCCCGTCAAGCGACCCTCGAATCCAGACCCCACTGCAGAAGGACAGGACACCGTCGAGCAGCCTGTCCTAGGAGATGTCAGCGAAGCAACGACGACTACAGCAACACCCGTTCCGGCCCCCAAGCTACAAGCTTGCCTGTTCTGCAACTATGAGTCCCCTTCGGTGGCACTCAATGTCCTGCATATGGAGCGTATCCACAGCATGTTCATCCCCGAGAAGCAATATCTTGTGGACTTGGAAGGTCTCCTTACATTCCTCAACAAGCGCATTTACGAGTACCTGGAGTGTTTGTACTGCTTCAAGCTCAAGAGCACACCGCTCGCTGTACAGACTCACATGCGAGACAAGGGCCACTGCAAGATTCCGTTCACCACCGAAGACGAGCAGCTGGATATCGGAGACTACTATGACTTCAGATCCACCTATTCCGACGAGGAGGATGATTCGGAAGATGAGTCCATGGATGAAGACAGGCAGACCGGCGGAGCTAAGCTCGGCGCCAAGAGGGCTTCCAAGGCTGTTGGCGAAGACGGGGACGAGATCATGGAGGACGAAGGGTGGGAAACCGATAGCTCAGCCTCCTCGTGCGCGTCAGAAGACCTGAAGGCCATTCCCATCGACAACTCTCTTCGCCAATTCGAGAAGCTTGACAAGCACCCTCACCACTCGTCGCACGACCCTCGCCACCACCACCAGAAGGACGGCTGGCACTCGCATGCTCACAAGCACAACCGCGCCATCTTCCATGATGACACGGAGCTCCACCTCCCTTCCGGACGATCCGTTGGCCACCGCTCGCTCCAGAGATACTGGCGCCAGAACCTGCACAACCACCCTTCACCTGAAGAGCGTGCCGAACGTCTGGCCATCGAGGCTGCCGGCCCTGTCGAGCCTATGCAGGTCGATGGCGACAATCAAGTTGCCGCCCGCCGCGAGCGCCTCCGCAAGGGTGCTGTCGTGCAGTCCCGCGCCAACGGCGGTACCGGCATGACCGGAGTGACAGATCAGAAGAAGAAGGAGGTCACACGCACCGAGCTGCGCAGCCAGAAGGTCGAGCAGCGCGCCCAGCGACAAGAAGAGTGGAAGCTGAACAAGCAGAACAACCACCAGAAGTACTACAACTACCAGATCTTGTAGATGCGGGATCGCTGGAATGGCTTGTTCTCTCATATTCTTTTGCGGGCTCATTGGCGTTTGGTTTAGAGGTCATGAGGGGTGACTAAGAGGTCAAAAATTTTAGACAGGCTTGTGGATGCCATGCGGGACGCGAATTCCGTATTATGTTCATTATGCCAACCGAACCTTGTCTCATCGTTTGGTCGATATGATGGTTGATGCCGGTGAATGATGAAAAGGGCAACATTGTGTGGCGCTTGGCGTTTGCATAAGAAAGTTCATGTTTATAACAATTGACCAATTCGCAATATTTGTCCTTCACCAGATCTAGCAGTCCATTCGTGCTCTTTGTACCACTATCCTATTATCATATTATCGATTGTGCATCGGATTGAGTAACAAGGGACTCTTCTGAGATTGGACATTGATTTCACTTTTTGGTATTCGGGTCGGCTCTATAGGTATCTTATCTACAATTCGCCTACTCGGGGACAATTTGATGGTTCTTCCAAGCTCCAGCCTCGGTCGGCTTTTTTAGTAAGGCACCGCCGCAAGCAGAAGTCGGGGTTGGAACCATGCGTTACGGACGGGTTTCACCGTCAATATGGAGTGCCTAGAAGTCATCCTCGCCAGAGCCGCTGATGATGACGTTGTTCACCTTGAGGACCATGCGGCACAGCTGTGTCGCCAGCATCAACTGCTGCTTCTTGCCGATAAGAGGATCAATGACGAATGCCTCCTTCATGTCGTTGCTGCCCTTCTGCATGCAGTCGACACCAAGCTTGCCACGAGACTCCGGGCCGGCCTTGACCTGCTGAGACTTGACCTCGGCCAGGGTCGCGATGGGGTTGAGACCGCTGTTCTCGGCGAGGGCCATGGGCACAGCGTCGAGGGCCTCGGAGAAGGCGCGCATGGCGTACTGCTCGAGGCCGGGCGTCTTGACGGCGGCGTCCTCGACAGCCAGAGAGCAGGCAATCTCAGCAGCACCACCACCGTAAACAACTCTGTTGTCGCGAACAAGGTTGCGGACAACGCAGAGAGCGTCGTGCAATGACCGCTTGGCCTCGTCGATGATCTAAAAGTTCGTCAGTACAAGCTGTTCCTTAGGGGGTCCTGGAGCGATCACAACTCACCATCTTGTTGCTTCCTCTTACGAAGACGGTGACAGCTCTGGTGTTGGCGCACTCCTCAATGACCAGCATCTTCTCGCGGGTGGTACCGAAGGTCATCTCCCTCACAACGCCGGCCTTGCCGAGCTTCTCGGCCTTCAGATCCTCGAACCTTGGCACGATACGTCCATTTGTGGCAATGGCAATCAGCTCAATCTCGGGACCACCAACCCACCGAACGGCGGGCAGTTCATTCTGGAGAAGCAAGTGATTGGCCTCGTCATCGAATCCCCACTGGCAAATGGCCAAGTTGGCACCGGTGTCCTTGATCTGCTGGATCATCTCTATGAACTTCTCGCGCTCGTAGTTTTGCAGCTTCTTGAACTCCTCCACTGAGGTGATGTCGAGGTGGTGCTTCGTCTTGGGCTTGGGAGGCTCGAAAGCGCATGTCAGGATGGCAATCTTGGCGTCCTTGACCTCGGACGGCATCTGGGGGTGCGAGAAGTCCTTGTCGATAATCACACCCTTGACAAGCAGCGAGTCTTCCAGAGAGCCTCCGACCTTGCCGTCGACCTTGATCAGCTCAAAATCAACGTCCTTCCGCTCCAGATCTGCCACGGACAGGACAGCGTCGACGGCAATCTTGGAAAACTGGTCGTGAGCCTTTGACACGATCTTGCTGCCCAAGCTGGTCTTTGCAACCTTGAGCAGGTTCTCGGTGTTGTCGGGTCCGAACTCAATAACGTCTGATATCCGGTCGAGCTCGGCAACTGCGATGTCGCAGGCTTGGTCATAGCCGTCCGCTATCCGAATGGGGTGGATTCCCTTGTCGATGAGCTCGGCAGCTTGCTCGAGCAGCGCACCAGCCAACACTACGACACCAGTAGTGCCGTCGCCGATCTCGTCATCTTGCGACTTGGAGAGCTCAACAAGTAGCTTGGCGACGTGGTTGCTGATCTCCATCTGCTGCAGAATCGTGGCGCCGTCGTTCGTTACCGTGATGTCACCGTCGGGGGAAATGAGGATTTTGTCGAGGCCGCGCGGGCCAAGCGATGTCTTGACAATGTTGGCGACTGTCCGCGCAGACAGGATGTGGGACTTGACCGCCTCGTTTCCGTATTGCCGCTTCTTCTTGCCTTGACTGTAAGACAAATATGCCAGGTCAGCCTTGCCGACTACCCCAAACAGCTCTGAAGTATCGAGAATACTCTCTCAGGAGAACCACTGATGGAAAGGAGAGCTTACTCTCTGACGATGATGAAGGGCCGCCCCTGCTCGTCCTTCATGACGGCAGCTAAAGCACAGCAGCAGTCAGTCACAGTTTCATCTTAGGAATACACGGCATATCGGGCTATCGAGCATACCATTGGCGAGATCAAGGTCTGTAACACACAGGTTAGCCAAGGGATCCGGTGAAGCATACAGACGGCTCTGGTGGGGCAAGGGGTGGACGCACTCATCGCCATCTTGTCTGGTTGCAGGCTCCTGGGAGAGCTCGTTGACGGATGCCTGGCTGGATCGAGACGATTCTTAAGCGTTGTTCCTCGTGCTGTCGAGCTTTGGAGGCTGGGCGGGTGATCTTGAAGCTGTTCAGGGTCGGGGGAGTGTGGTCGCTGCAGCCTGTCTGGACGTGGATAATGGCGGCGGGCTAGCAGTGTTATCGGAAGTGCCCCTCGAAAATAAATTGCTTTGATAATGGGCGCCCAGTCGCGCGACCCCTCGACCAGGTCCCCAAATTTTGGACAGGACAAGAAGACCCCCAGGACCCGTGCACGCCCCACTTGGCAGCTGCCATATTCCAGGACGTTGTGCTTACGCCTCTGAAGCCCCTGCCTCAGGCACGACATTTGAGTTCCAGGGCATCGCATAAAGTTCCCAGCACCATCTCCCCCGTGGCTGGCACGAGGCATGGATATTTCGAGGCCCATCTATCTCTCCGTCACTGCGGCAAGTCTACAAACCAAAGTAAAATCTCAACGCCGCCCGCGTCGCCATTCAATATTGGAGTTCGCTCAGCAGAACCCCATTTGCTACACACGATGCAATACCGGCTTCCAGCCGGTATAAACCGCCCCTAGACCTGTCTCAACACCGCGTCTCAGATACAGCTGTACGAGTAGAGATCATCGTGACTCAAAGAACGTTGTGGCCTTTCCCGTGTATCTGCCGTCTGGACCAGCCAGGCAATCGGTGTTCAGGAGAGTTGAACACCGACTTGGCACGAATCGACACGGGTCTGATGTGTTACAGGACAGTCACCGAGGCAACTCTCGACGCAACGTTCTGCATCACGTGGCAACTCGCCGATCAGCTGGCGCAGGCGAGAGAATCGAATGGTTTTGTGTTCCCGATCGCCACGGTGCCTCACGTCCTACGGTGCTGCACGCCGCGCCATCCACGTATACTTAAGTATGCAACCATGCTTAGCCGGACACAAATGGGGGTATATGGACGAGCACGACTTCGATAAACGACCCGGCATTCGGTTCCGGATCCATCAATGGCGTCCATCATGTTGACACAGCCTATCATTTCTGATGATCGGCTGCTCCCCGTGTTATACAACAACGTGTCGAGCATGTTTTGTCCTCCCAACGCCCTGGCAGCCTTGATCTCGTCTTTTTAGATGTGCTGGCGTCTTGAAGTTGACCGGCACAATTCATGGCAACGCTGAAGAGTGTCAGCGTTGCATTTTGTGCTGTGGTCGGTCTGGACAGGTTACCTCTTTTCATCACGAGGTCCTGCCTGCGCAACGTGAGACTCGATTGCCACCATGTTGCACGTTGAACATTTTGCCCTGCCAGCCGTCGCGGCTCGCTCCAGTAGCAACGGCAGCGCCGATGACGACGCGAGGCAGTCCACCGCCGTAGCCTTGCCTGTCCTTGTCCGCAGCGGACTCTCTGTCGGCGTACTCAAGGTCTGCTCCGTGGTGTGCTGCTGAGACGGGTATACTTGCAACTATATAAGGCTTGGAGGTATCAAACATGGAAAGCAGAGTTCTGGCACTCCATCAACTCAGGCATCGCAACCAAATCGACCTGTATCGAACAACTCTTGCATTAAGAATCGCACAGCTGAACGGCACTGCACTGCACTCGTGTCCCGATATGCTTCACCGACAGTTCGTCAAGAGTCTCGTGAGACTTACCCTTCTCACTGCCGTATTTGGGCATCCGCTAGATTCGACATCCGTCGTGAGTCCTACCCACAACTTCTGAGCTCGTCACTCTTTGGTTAAATGACACTGCTAACACAGAAAACCATACCAAAGGAGGGGATATCCGTGGAAGTGGGGAAGAAATGCGTGGATGAGCTGCCGGATGCATGTGCCGTCATCGACGAGGTCCAACTGGTATGCCTCACTGGGAAATGGTGGTGCGAGTGGCCCGAGAAGGTCTACCGAACCCCAGTCTGGTGGCCGATTGAGAATTCGTGTGCTTGCAAGGAGGGCGAGGTCCGCCACCAAGACTAGCCATGGTCAACCGCGACACTGAGAAGAGCCGAGAAGTGAGGGCTGATTCTCGGGGGCTGGAGGCTCGTGGATGTCTAAACTCAAACCCATGCCGGGCACATGCCGAGCTTCATCAACTGCATGAGGTCCACTCTCCAGCTTCGCTGACCAGGGGGATAGGGATGGTAAGAACCTTTTTTTGTAAAAGCCGAGGGCTTGGAAACGCAGAATCCTATGACCAGGAGCATGGCACGGGGTCATGTTCATGCCTGCTGTGGCTGTAGACTTGTGGTAACATCGCAGACTATCTGAAGCAGGAGAAATGCAACCTTGGAACAATCCGCTGTGCAGGGACTCGAGCCATTTGAGCCCAGGGGGGCCATGACGTGACAATAGATTTGGCGGCTCAAGCGCATGACTCCACAAACGAAGGTCCCGGCCGAGGATCCGCCTGCACGTGCGGCGGGATGTTGGAGGACAATTTCTTCGTCAGAGGCACGTTGGCGATGTTTTCTTTAATTTCCTGGCATGCGGCCGCTCTTCTGGAGCAAGAGCGGTGGCTGACTGGATAAGCCGTTCATGTTGTTGTGGTTGAATCTTGCTGGTAGTGTGTGAGAATGGCTGCTGACCATGAGCTGGAGAGATCCGGGGGTCTCTCAGAGCCGGCGATGCCGCAGTCGTTGGGGCTCACGCTTGCCAAGACGCCGCTTTGCCCAGACGACGGAGGTCGTTGAGATGGTTCGGGTGCTGACCCGGCTGAGAGGGCCAGTAATCCTAACGGCGAGTGTATTCTATTACTTCCCACAAGGTGCGTACCTTATTAGTGGACGCTGCCTGCTGAGTGCAGCCTGTCACAGAACCCCTGTCTGTGGCGAGGTCCCCGGCGCTTGGCCTGGGGTTGCCGAGGTGAGCTTCCCAAGGTTGGACAGCTGGTTTGGTTGAGCTCGAGCTTTGACGTGTGTCATCCACGCTGCGTCACCGGTCCAGGTCCGCGCGCCCGCCCACTCCCCTCGCCTGCCGCCTGCCCTCCTCACCACAACCTCTACCATCCTCACCATAATATCCTGCTCATCCACGGCTGCCTTTGTCCTGGAGATCGACAGCATTGCTGCTGTCCTCGTCTTTCTTCTCCTCCAGCTCCCCAGCCACCTTGTCTGCCTACAGCAGTTTGGCTGTCTGCCAGTAAGTGTGTCTCACCTCGCGCCAACCCCCCCGGTTCATCGCCAGTGCGGCTGCTTTCAAGCTCTTCCCAGCTGAAGCAAGACTCCTCCCATCTCCTCCTTCGTATGGTGCCAGAGCGTAGTCCGAACTAGCAGTGCATCGTGACTGACGGTGCTCAATTGACCCTTGCAGCACCAGGCAGCATCTCCCCCAAGCTTCCAGAGCAACTACAAGCTACCGCCTTCTACGCTGCCCACCATGTCGCTCCCAACCCAGTACGAGGGCGTCTGCCCACTAGCCATGGTCCAGAAGCCCCCATACATGTTCCAGGTCGAAGACGCCCCGTCCGTCCCAGGCGAGACCAAGCCCTACCGACACATGAAGGCCAAGGATGGTCTAATCGAGAGACCTTCTCCGGAGGTAGGCACCGTCTACGACATTTTCAGGAGGAGTGCCAAGCTCTACGCCGACAAGGAGGCCATTGGCTCCCGTAAGCTCATCCGCACACACGTCGAGAAGAAAAAGGTGGCCAAGATCGTCGACGGTGTCAAGAAGGAGGTTGAGAAGGAGTGGACCTACTTTGAGCTTTCGCCATACAAGTTCCTCACCTACAAGGACTACGAGGCGCGTGCCCTCGCTGTTGGTGCTGGCTTGAGGAAGCTCGGCCTGCAGCCTGGCGACATCTTGCACTTGTTTGCGAGCACTAGGTATGTTGCGCGACAGCCTTGGGAGAGTGTCACTGGCTTCCTAAACTAACACCCTGTGTCTGTTCCGAACCATAGCGCCAACTGGCAATGTACCGCGCATGGAACAGCCTCTCAATCAATCACCATCGCGACCGCCTATGACACACTCGGCTCCGACGCTGTCGAGTATTCTCTGACTCAGACTGGCGCAAAGGCCATGTACACCGACCCTCACCTTTTCTCTGTAGCCGGTAAGCCGTTGAAGAACGCAAAGGACGTCCAATTTGTTATCTACAATGACGATACCACGGCGCCGATCAGCGACTCCGCGATGGAGAAATTCAAGTCCGACCATCCACAGCTCAAGATCATCTCCTACAGCGAGCTTGTCGAGCTCGGCACGGGGAACCCGCTTGAGCCCACACCGCCCAAACCCGAGGATCTGGCGTGTATCATGTACACTTCTGGCTCCTCTGGTACGCCCAAAGGTGTGCCCATCACTCACGCCGCACTCACTGGAGGAATCACTGGTCTCTACGAGAACGTTGCCGAAGCCGTGTCGCATCGCGAAGTCGTCTTGGCATATCTCCCCCTTGCCCACATCCTTGAGATGGCCTTGGAGAACATTGTGTTCTTTATCGGTGGCACTCTCGGCTACGGTTCGCCAAGAACCCTCTCAGATAGTTCCATGAAGAACTGCCACGGCGATATGAGAGAGCTTGCACCCACGATTCTTGTTGGAGTTCCTCAGATCTGGGAGACAATCCGCAAGGGTGTCGAGGGTAACGTCACCAAGGGTAGTGCAGTCACTCGCAACCTTTTCTGGGGGGCCTACAACCTCAAGAAGCTTATGGTCGCAACTGGCCTTCCTGGTCAAGGCGTCCTGGACTCTGTTGTTTTCAGCAAAGTTCGCGCGCTGACTGGTGGGCGCCTGCGCTTCCTCTTCAACGGTGCAAGTGGTATCTCTGACGGTACGCTGCAATTCATGAGCATGGTCCTCGCTCCCATGATTACAGGCTACGGCCTGACCGAGACTTGTGCGAATGGTGCCCTGGGTGCGCCGCTCCAGTGGACCCCAAATGCCATTGGCCCCGTACCACCATCACTGGAGATGAAACTGGTTGCGCTGCCGGACCTCAATTACAGCACAGACTCCACTCCTCCGCAGGGTGAGATCTGGCTACGTGGTGTCCCTGTTGCAAAGGAGTACTTCAAGAATCCCGAGGAGACTGAGAAGGCATTCACAGCAGACGGCTGGTTCAAGACTGGCGACATCGGCGAGGTCGACTCCAATGGCCACGTCAAGGTCATCGATCGTGTCAAGAATCTGGTCAAGTTGCAGGGTGGCGAGTACATTGCTCTTGAAAAGCTCGAGGCTACCTACCGCGGATCGCAGTACGTCAACAACGTCATGGTCTACGGTGACGGCACTCAACCTCGCGCCATCGCCGTCGTCGCTCCCAATGAGAAACCGCTTCACGAGCTGGCCGACAGCCTGGGCGTCGATCACCACCAGGCCCCCAAGGACCCGAAGGTCAAGGATGCTGTGTTCAAAGATCTGATTGCTACCGGAAAGAGAGCCGGCTTGACGAGCTTGGAGATGGTCAGCGGCGTCATCATTGTTGAGGAGGAATGGACCCCAGCCAGCGTAGGTTTTCTCTTCCGTCCAACACGTCCGCAACACAAAGGACAACGTGCTAACCACGCTATTTCAGGGCCTCGTGACTGCCACACAAAAGGTGAACCGCAGGGCACTGAAGGACCGATACATGAACGACATCCAGGCTGCCTTCAAGTCGTCGTAGACACCGACCTGTATAGCAGCCCAGGGGCATCATCCGGTTTCTGTATTATGCCTGAGCCTTGTATTCTTTTATTGACCTATTTCAAGTCACACGAAACTCTATCATACATCCTTGCCCAAATGGTACATGTGTTGGTGAATTATGCTGAAGTATTGCGTCAAGAAATATGTCTCATATGTCCGCTCTGCTCGAGCTGCGAATGCTGGCCTGAATGTATGCTTTCTATATACACCGACACATCTCGGGTGAGCCTGTGGCATTCCGTTCAGCAACCAGTGCTTATATGACATGCCTCTACAAATCTTCTCCAAGGACAAACCAGCCCCTCAGAAGTCCTCCAAGCTTGTCATGGTCTTTCTTTCCCATGGGATCAGCGTTGAATGGTCTACTTTGCCCCCCCCCCCGGGGGGTCATTTGTTCCTAAACTTCCCAGGGAATATCCCTGCGCTTATAAAACAGCATGTACGGCGTAAACCCGCCGTCGCAGTTCCATATTCGCTCTACTGTATCGTTGTATCGCTTCTTGCCAGCATTGGGCGTCCTGCGCGCCTCGAGCAGGGGTCCAAAGTCTTCCGCGCTGGTGGACCTGTCGTTGCAGTACCACCACGTGTCAGTGGCGCCGTCCTTGACGCGGCAGACGTAGTGGCCGGCCGAGGCGTCGCTGCCGGCGTGCGACAAGACGGCAAAGAGGTCATACTGGCAGGGCTCGGAGAAGCCGCCGCCAGTCTCGACGAGCTGCGGGTAGCCACGGAGCTTGCTGCGCTCGGCCTCGTCGTGGCAGAAGTTGCTGAGGTCCAGGTCTTTGAAGGGGAACTGGATGGGGTGGACGTTCTTCTGGAACGTCGCTCCGTCGAACCTGCGCAGGCCGACGCGCAGCAGGGGAGGCAGTCTCCCGATGCGCGGCGTGAGCTCCTTGTCCTTTGCTTTGCAGGTGTCGCATTCAGACTCGAGCAGCTCTTTGACAAACTCTCGTCTCAGGGCGGACTCTAGCGTATCAGTTTCCCCGTGTTGTCGCTGCTGGGGCGTGACCCAAAGATCCTCCTTGAGATCGACCGTGTAGTTCTGTGCCCCACATTGCCTACACGTCAGTTGCTGTGTATTGAGATACCGCCAGTACTTGTCGATGATTGAGCCGCCTTCCGTGTTGTAGTATCTCAGCCAGTCGTTAGCGAGATCACGCATGGGGTTGCTTGGATCCTTAATGGCTGGCAGTCGCGGCGGATGATTGGACTCGGGCCGGTTGCGCTGGGTTTCAAGGTCAAGCTGGTCAGAGAGGAATGTCATCAGTTCGGTGACATCGTGTTGCGAGCCGTCACCAAACTTTGTGAAGCGATTCCTGCCGTTTCGTTCCATGATGGTATAGCCTGCGTGTATTGAGTTGAGGTAGTTCTGCAGCATAGTCAGCGGGTTATATTCTCAGACACGCATGAACCAGGGCTAGTATGCTGAGTCAGGCGACATACCATAAACGTTGTCGGTCTCATCTCGGAGAACTCTCTCTTTTTGAGCCATTGAAACATGTTGCCCATGATGCGCGACATGAGCTGTGGCGTTTTATCTGTGGTTCCACTGCGAGGCTTGTAGTTCGTGGGCCACTCCGGCTCTGTCAATTCCACCGAGAATCGCGGTGCAGCGAGCAGTGCCTGGATGGTTGAGTTGGCGAAGCATGTATTTCCCATATTGACAAGACCAGTCTTGGCAGCCCCGCGCACAGCCCCCGAGAACTTCTGTCGTGAAGCCGGGCTGCCACTTTCTTCCTTGGACTCAAGGCCAGAGTACCTGGTCCGTGGCAAAGCGGGTGCAGGTCTGGTTGGCGGAGAGGGAGAGATACCGCTATACAGGTGTCGGTGTTGGTCGTGCGAAGGAGCAGGGACCACTGCCCTCTGGGCGTGAACGGGCGCCATCATGGATTCTTGTTGACTTTCTATGGAAGGGAATCGGCGGAGGAAATCATCAGTGCTCCGGTGAACCCTCTCGTTCCACTTCTCAATTTCCGTTTGGCTGAGGTCGACTGTCTGCGTTTTAGATGCACTCCGGTTGCGAGAGCTGGGCACGGAAAGCTTAGTGTTATATGCTGGCGTGGACCTTTCTCCGAAACTAGTTGTGGAAGTCGCCAACGACTGCTCGCCCAAGACTGCGGTCCAGCCAGTCAACCCACCAACTAAGAGCTTGGGCGGGTTGACAAGTGGCTTGCTGAAGTTGTAATTCGTGAGAGCCTGTACCAGGTTGAACAGCACATTCTCTTCGATGTTAGAGGATATTTGCCGAGGGACAGTGGCCGTGTCCTGGTCGTACATTACGACCAAATCGACTTTGTGCCTATTCTCGAAATGTACTCGCTCTTTTGGAGGTGCAAGGACCATGCTGTCGGCGATATCATCAGCCGAGATGCCCTCTCGCATCAGAATTTCTGGATCCACGCATATTGTTCTCTGGGACATGATATGGCCATCATCGAATTGTCCACGGCTCCGAACGTCGATAATGAGCAAAGATATTTGAGTGGACCCCTTTCTCATGTACCTGAGCAAGTCAGAAGTGGTGATTGTGTCTCCAGCAGGGATCGTAGCGCCTGTTGGCTGAGGCACGAGCTCAACCTCCGAGTTGGCGCCAGAAGAGACTTGATCCTTGCTGAAAGTCTTGATGGCCCGTTCCATAGAGGTCCTTGCGGACTCGCTGGGTGCGGAGACAATCGAATTCGTCCTACTGAACATGCCTCGGGGTGTGCTTGACGGGAGATTTGCCACTTCGCTGGTGACGGTACCACGGGCTGGACTGTATATCGCATCTGGAGCCTTGGGCATATTTGGTACGGCATCACCCATAGCGGGCCCAGCAAAGGAGCCGCTTGTAGATCCAGAAGTCGGGAAAGTCCACTCCGCGAGAGGCACGGGGTTGCGGGCGCCAGACGGATTCTGCAACCTGGCGAAGCGACTGCTCAAATCTTCGGAAGGCGTAAACAAGCTCGGCTGCTTTAGGGCGTTTCCATGCAGAGATTGAGGTTTAGGGTGGACTTGTGGTTTGACCCTATTTGCCGCTGGCGCGGGCTCTGAGGATCTCAGGCCGCCTCCATAGCTTTGTACAGACTGGCTTCGGGAATGCGCCGACTGTTTTCCGTTGATTTGACCACCCTGGAATTCAGAGGACGGATTCGATGTTGGGACGCTTGGGAGATTGGCAAAAAGCGTGCTACTTCCTGTTGCGGCCTGTCGCCTTGCTGGTTGAATGCCGCTCTTCCTATTATCCTCTTTGATCATTTCCTTGATTTGCTCGAACGTGGTCGAGCTAGAATTAATCTTTGACTTGAGTGCCTGATACAGCCGACCGAGATCCCCCCGGTCGGCCTTCAAAGCAGGGTAGTCCTTGTGCCTGGGTATCGTGATTACTGCGATTGTGGTTGCGCGGATGTATTCCTGGAGCGCAAGGTCTGGCCGCTTGAAATCGTTGTACGTGATGGCCTGTCGCATGTGTGTGTCACCAGCCTGGAGGACCTTGCGAAGTGGCGAATGGGGATCAAGGCCAACGCCGACATCGACGTTGACCAGATCCTCAATGTGCCGAAACGGAGCTCGGCCGCCATTTGGGCCGCCGGTGCGAGGCTGTCCATTTGCGCTGGTAGCCATGTCAAAAGCGCCAATCCCTGATACTGCTGTAGGTCGGGAGAAGGCGATGGGACTCATGACCGGCGAAGCGTAGCGCCGTGGGACCTCATGCCTGACAACTTCCGGTATAGCTTCGAGACGCAGACGCTACGGTCGGGAAGCCTGGCTGGCAGGAAGGACGCCACTATGGGTGCGCCGGTAATATGTACGGCGAGGAAACAAGCTTTCGACAGCCCGGTTCGGCGACTACTCGTGGTTGCACAAGGACCGGTCTGGGACGAGGCAAGATGCTGGAGGGAGCTGTCGCAGGTTCGGGCGAGATCGTAGTGGCGCCTAACGTGGAAGCCAGGTGAAGCGAGCTTCAGTGGTGGATCGGGGGGTTGGCTGTGGTCGTTGTAGCTTCGCGGCCGGTGCTCGACTCTGCGGCAAGACGAGAGGCAGACGGAACCGCGCAGAGGTCGACACGTGATGATGTTTCGACCTGGCAGTGCCTTAGGCAGCGGGTTTCAACAAGTGGTCGAGGGGCGACGTCACAGCTGACGAGGTGGGAGATGCGCAGGCGCCCCAGAGCCACCGGGGCAGGCCAGGCTCCAGCCCAGCACTCTCTGGAGGGGCCCCTGCAGGCCGCCGTGCTCCCGCGTGGAGCTCTCGACGTAATGCAGCGCGAGCTCGAGATAACCTTCCAGGCTACTACCAGCCATCAACATTCAACCTTCGATCTCACCATTCTCCTCGCCCGCTTTCCGCTCCCAGGAGGCGACTCGAGTGACCAACGCGACCATCATCAATAAAGACGGCGGTGCCCCCGCGCAACGTTCACGCTCCCTCGGTGCGCCTTGCACCACCGCATTCGTTCGGTCCTCAGCAACCTTCCTCGTTTCGAGCCGCGTCGCATTCGAGCTCCCAGTGTCATTCCCACCGGCAACGTCGACAATCACCGCGAGCACCTCTCAACTTGCTCACTCACTCTAGACCCCGACGACATCGGCAACCATGGCGGGTTGGTGGGGCTCGTCTGCGAATACGGCCCTCGATCAGCAGATCGAGAAGGCAACCTCCAGCAGTCTTGAAGACATTGCACTCAATCTTGAGATCTCGGACGTCATTCGTTCCAAGACAGTACAACCCAAGGATGCTATGCGCTCGTTGAAGCGTCGTATTGGCGACAAGAATCCAAACACACAGCTGTCCGCGCTTGGGGTACGGACTCTGTTGTGCGCATTTAGGTCCAATATGGATGATAGGCTAACAGTGCAACTCCTGACGCTAGCTCACAGATACGTGCTTCAAGAACGGCGGGACACACTTCCTAGTTGAAATCGCATCGCGCGAATTCATGGACAACCTGGTCTCGCTACTTCACGCTGTAGGCCCTGCTGCCATCAACCAGGAGGTGCGCAGCAAGATGCTGGAGCTCATTCAGTCCTGGGCAGCTGCCGTGGAGGGTCGATACGACCTCAAGTACATCGAGGAGACATACAAGTCTTTGGAAAAGGAAGGATATCAGTTTCCCCCGAGGGTCACAGTTGCTACCAGTATGATTGATAGCAGTGCGGTAAGATATAGCCAGTCTTCAATGCTGAGGAGTTAAGATATTGTTCGCATACTGATTGCCTCCTTGCAGCCTCCGGAGTGGTCCGACTCCGACGTCTGTATGCGATGCAGAACAGCCTTCTCGTTCACAAATCGAAAGCATCATTGTCGCAATTGTGGCAACTGCTTCGACCAGCAGTGCTCTTCAAAGACCCTTCCACTACCGCACCTGGGCATTCTTGTGGCCGTGAGAGTCGACGATGGCTGTTATGCGAAGCTTACGGACAAATCTGGCAAAGGTGGTGGCTCCCACACAGACAGGTCTTCGGCAGTGTCCTCATTCCCGCACAAGAACCGCAGTAGCGCGTCGATGCAGCCACGTAATGCCCGCGTAGACGATGCGTTTGATGAGGATCTCAAGAAGGCGCTGGCAATGAGCTTGGAAGAGGTCCAGACACACTCGAAGGGCTATGTTGCGCCGTCGGACAATAAGCCATCTGCCTCGCAATACAAGACCAACGGGGTCTCTTCGCCTGCCGCTCAACAGGCAGATGAAGAGGATGCCGACCTGAAGGCCGCGATCGCTGCTTCCTTGGCAGATATGGAGGAGCAGAAACAACGGCACGCGGCTGCATTGAAACAGCAGACAGAGAGCGGCCCAAGCACCTCGGGACCCTCGCACTTCGTGCTTCCCAAGAACGACTACGAGCTCAGCCCGGTGGAAGCTGAGAACATTAACCTGTTCTCAACGTTGGTGGACAGGCTGCAAACACAGCCCCCCGGAACAATCTTGCGAGAGCCGCAGATTCAAGAGCTCTATGACTCGATTGGAACATTGAGGCCAAAGCTCGCTCGCACATATGGCGAAACCATGAGCAAACATGGTAAGCACCCACTTTTCTACCTGCTGCGATGTGATATGCTAACCACGTGTTACAGACACCCTGTTGGATCTACACGCGAAGCTGTCGACTGTCGTCAGGTACTACGATAAGATGCTGGAGGATAGACTCTCTCAGGCGTATGGCCAGCACAACATTGGCGGTTACAGCTTGCCTGCCCCCCGACAGCCATCTGCTCCGTACGCCTCGATGCGTTCTCCGGCCCACGCTCCTGGCCAGGCCGAGAACTTTTACACTGGTGAACAGCAATCCCACTATCACCAATCCCCTTCGTCGCACCCTTATCTTTCTCACGGACAACCTGTCGGACAACCGCAATATGCTCAACAGGCACCGGCTAGAACAGACAGTTGGCAACAACAAGGTTCTTCTGCGCCACAGCAGTACACTGCCCACGGCAGTTATGCGCCATCAGAGCCGTCCCCCTTAGTGAACAACCCGTCTCACGCACAGTCACAACCACATTCGAGTGGCCCGGGGCCTGCTGCTCCTCCCTCTGATCCCAACACTGCCTACTACTACCCCCCGAATCAGCCAAATCAGCCGTCCCAGCCACAGGCACCCAGTGCGCCCCCGGAGTCAGCGCCCTCGCCATACCCAGATCTCCAGCGGACAACGAGCTATGGCCAACAATCTCTCCCACAAACCCCAGCCGCGACGACAGCCCAGCCATCACAGCCGCCTCAGGCCCCTCAGCAATACCACCCACAGCAACCGCCTGCTCAGCCATATTGGCAGCAGCAACAGCAGGCCGCACACCAGGTGCCGCAGCACCCGCAAGCGCCTCCACCCCAAGCAGCACCACCTAGCCAAGCACAAGGCTATCCGGCAGCGAACCCTGGCTACTCTGGATACACACCGGACAGCTTCCCCTCTGCTCCGCAACACCAGCCGGCGGCGCCTGCACAGCCCGCCGTTGAGGAGAGCTTGATTGATTTCTAGAGGTTTGGGAAGGGCGGAGACGGATATGGAGGAGTCTGTTGGTATAAGTAATAGCTAGTATGATGCTAGATCAATGCCAAGTCAACATGCCAACACAGTCAACTGCTTCCTGAAACCAATTTTTGATCCTGGTGAATGGGGCAACGTGTAGCATCGGTCTTGCTGCTTGCAGGGCTCATAGTCGGAGATCATAGAGTGATCATGGAGTGATCATATCACATGACTTGGCTCGGTAAACACTCTATCACTTGCCGCAACTGTTTCGCTAGTATTCGCTCGCAACCATTATTATCTATGTTCATATGACTGTGCCATGATCGAAAACGTAAATGCCCCTGAAAGTTTGTTTCCCACCGCAAGAAAGGCTCTCTCTTTTGAGCCCCAATCAGTCTAGGAGCCCTGCGGCAACCGTGCTGCCGTTACTGCGCAGGATGACGCGTTGGCCGGCCTCGAGGGGAACCTTGGAGGCCAGCTTGACCACAACCCTCGCGACGCTGCCAGGCTTGACAATCTTGGGCCGGTTTTTGAGCACGGTGCCCTTGGCCTTGTCGAGCAGCGCGGAGATTTGCGCTATCTGGCCTGCTGCGTGCAGGCGGCCGCGGTGCACGTCGATCTGCATGGGCATGAGGATGTCGAAGGCGAGCACCTTGATGGTGAAGCTGTCCACGCAAGCGATCGGCTGCTTCGTGTCACACACAATGTCGCCCACCCGCACGTGGATGGGATCGACATGTGTGAGATGAAGAACCACATTCTGGCCCGCCACGGCCCAGTCCACAGGCTCGCCGTCGAGCTCGAGGGACTTGATGTAGGCCTTCTCGCCACTGGGTTGAATGAGGGCCGCATCGCCGGCTTGGACAGATCCGGCGTCGAGCCTGCCGGAGATGCTAACTGGGCTCTGTGTCGTGCGGAAAACTTCTGAAATCGTCATTCGTAGCGGCTTCTCGAGGGCCCGTGCCATGGGCTCGGAGTTCTCAAGTTCCTCGATCAGTGTGTCGCCTTTGTACCAGTCCGCTGCTGGGTCGGTTGATCGGCGGACCATGTTATCTCCTTGAAGTCCCGAGACTGGGACAAAGCTGACGTTTTTCAGCTGGAAACCGCTACCCGAGAGAAATCCAGACACCTGCTGCGAAATCTCGTCAAACCGCTCTTGTGACCACCCAACGGTATCAAGCTTGTTGACCGCGACAATGATTCGGCTGACTCCCATGCTGCGAAGAAGAAGAGCATGTTCCCTCGTCTGGCCTTTCAGGCCAGCTTCGAACGCTCCTGTAGACGCGTCCACGACCAGTATGGCAAAGTCGGCTTGACTGGCTCCGGCGATCATATTGGGGATGAAATCCCGATGTCCAGGGGCGTCAAGAATCGTGAAGGATGTCTTCTCGGTCTCGAACTTGTTGGTGGCAATGTCGATTGTGACACCTCGCGAGCGCTCTTCCGTACGCTGATCCAGGACCCACGCTAGGGCAAAGGATGACTTGCCCATGCTCTCCGCTTCTTTGCGATATTTGTCGATTGTTCGCTGGTCAACGACATTCAGATCTAGTAGTAGTCGTCCCATCAATGTGCTTTTGCCGGCATCGACGTGGCCTGTGAGCAAAGAAGGTGTCAGAGGATGCAACAGCAATCTTCGATAGGTAATCTTATTACTCACCTACAACCACGAAACTGGCACTCTTTTTCGCTTTGCTCTTCTCATATTCACCCAGCACATCGAGGTTCTTCGATTTCGGCAGTGGTGTATCATCTACCTTGAGTGTCTTGAGTCCATCCGCTGCGCCCTCCGCGTTTTCCTTCTTCTTCGCCGATGTGGCGGCTAGCTTTTTGTTGCTGGCTGTTCGGACAGGTTAGTATGTTCATCAGTTACCGCGCTTTCCCAGCAGCGAACCTTTGGACTGTGCCTTTAGCACGACATCATCTGGACTCGGCTCTGAGAATGCGTCAGCAACAGATGTCGTGTAACTCATGTAAGGCACCGGATAATGGTTCCGAGAGACCGAATGCGCTGGTGTAGACCCCAAAAGAGCTTGAGCAAATGCAGATGGTTCGGCCGGATCCAGTACTGGCGGAGCTTCTGGAAGCCCTGTCTTTGCCGTTGTCCCGAGCGCATCTTGTTGGCTCTCTGGTGTCGATGATTTGGCCAGAGTGTTGCCACGAGACTCTGGAACAGAATTTCCTCCTCCAGCAGGCATGTTCTGCTCAGGTTTCATGTTCTCATCGTTTTCAGCCCGTGATCCAATCAGGGACAATCCCTGCACCTTTTGCGGTATGTCTTTTATGTCCGGTACAACCTCCCGCGACTTGGCTTCTTCTGCTTTCTTTTTCCGCGCGAGGGCAAGAGCCTGCAGCTTCGACATTTTGGGAGGAGGAGCGCCTGATCCGCCCAGAAGACCCCATGACCCGCGGGGTCTTTCTGGTGTTATGAATTCGGTCGCCCGATCCGTGGGAATGGATAACCAAGGCATGTCGCTGAAGAAGGAGGAAAAGGAAGAACGGGTCGATATCGGAATGTCTGTCGGCGACGCGCACTCTGCCGTCAAGAATCAGCGCCAAGATTTCAAGAGCAGTCGTGGCGCCGCCAGACACACTTAACATGATTTGGCAGATAGTATGACTGGCCACGATGGACGGAATAGCTGCGTTTGGGGCAGGGGAAAACCATAGAGATATGCTCAAGCTCTTTCTGGGGTCCGAAAAAGGGTGACTCGTCTCCGTCCAGACCATTGTGCTGTGCAAGAAGAAATTGGGACTGGGAGAGACATACCCGTGGTTTTCTTCTTCTTTGGGGGATCGATGAACGTTTTCGTTAGGTAGGCGACCGACTTTTCGACATCGTAGTAGTAGTGCCACAGTGCTTCTTGAATCTGGGCTGTCGTTAAGAAAGCGGCCTGGGGGCCCATAATCTCCTTTACTTGGGTGGTCGAGGCAGCCATTTGATCTGAGCAGGCTGGAGTCAGTTTTGCGTCAGATTGTGGAAGGAAACATCACTCCATACCACGATCTTCTTGGGACAGCTCCTCCTCCTCCTCCTCGAGACCTCCTTCATATTCGTCGAGGTCATTCTCGTAGTCGTAATTGCGGAATGCTTGATGCCGTGACATGGTTGTTGCTGCGAAAGCCAAGGGCGTCTGGTCGTTCTAGTTGCTGTTGATGGTGGTGTTGCAGTTGCACGCGTGTCCCACCTGCTAACGGGAAACAAAGCAAACGAAGAAGAATGCGGCACGCTCAAAGCTGTGTCGAGATGTGCTGGTGGATCACCGAAATGAGGCGGACGCAGGTTGCAAGCACTTATTTTGTATCATGACGATTTTGGCGGGGTAGCAGTTTCTCCGATCGCTGAGCTTTTGAGTCCAACTGGGGCGGCGCCCAATCAGAAACCATGACGTCGATGCATCTCCGCCTTGTAATGGCTAGGCTGGGCAACCCTTTGCATGCAACTCTGGAACTCGGTAAGATACGAGGGTCCGTCCAAAACTTGTGTTGCAAACAGGTAGTATGCAAGATGTTGAACTGCAACAAGGATGGTATGGTCTGCAATAGTCGTTCTCGCAAGAGTCTTCCCCGCGCGAATTGTATGCAACAGTTGTGCGTCATTGGGCAACAAATGAACTCACACAAACGACATGCAGCAGATTCTATATTTTGTGTGCCTGCAATCACATAACTGACATGCCACTGTCGAAGATTACGTCACTTAAGACTGATCTCGAGACTACTTCAAGCTGTCCACAGTCGGCATGCAATGCATTCGCCTTGATGTTGATGTTGCGGGCTTGAACCGGCTTTTGCAACTAAGCAGCACCACTTACAGCGCGGCATACACAGCATCATTTGCACGGTAAGCTCAAAGAAGCGACGGTTACCGTTACGAAGAAAAGTCGAGCCTGGGACGATTCACCACGGTTCAAGGTTTGTATCCGAGCAGGGTTATGGTTGCTCGCCAAGGAAGACTTCACCTGTTTGCCTCTGGCAAGTTCCCCAGGCTGGGCGAGGTAGAATGTTCGTGAAGCACGTGGCCGGTACAAAAAACAAGCGTAAGTCATCGAGGTTCTGTACCTTTCTCGTGAGCCCCTGGCCGGCGGTCGAGTGGTGGCTTGGAAGATGCTACCGTCTCCGCAGCGCTCTTCGGCGCCCCGCATTGCAAGGGAGTGAAGGTTCTGGCAGGAGCGGAGCCCTGACCCCTGATACTCCTCGCGCGCATGACAACATGCTGTCCTTGGTGGCGCAACCAGTTCCATGTGCCGCCCACAGATGCCCGTAGAAGCTCTGCCCGTCTGGTTAAAGGACAGATAGTTTCCTCTGTTGGTGGAAAGGAGTCATCGCAGACCACTTGGGCCCACAGGCGGGCGTGCCATTGTTACTTGGAAGGATTGGCATGGGACTTTTGCTATAAACGGGAAGGGGGATGTTCCTCCGAGGCTCGCGAGTCGCAAAACGTGGCAAGTTCTGCCCAGGGCTGGGACCGTCAGTCAGCCAAATAGGGATCACAACCAGGGACCGCCTCGCCGCCGCCACCAATCGAAGCTCTAAGAATAATCGATAGCGGTGGAGCAGAGCCCCACAGAGGGGTGACGGCAGGTATCTTTCCGCGGTGCACACCAGCGATCAGTGACTTGTAGCCCGGCAATGCACATCCTGTGGACCCTGGCCAGGAGCACCCGCACGAACAGTCCAGCTGGCCTTTAGCAGGCACGAACGCGGGTCGTGCCAGCAAAAGGCCACCTTTCTCGTTCCTCCATATAAGAGAAATCGAGACACTCTCCCACTCACCACCGAGCCTTCCTCTCTCCAAACCACTCTTGGGGTTAGTGACCACTGGCTGTGCTCTTTCCCTCCACGCCTTTGTCTGCACATCTTTTCGCCTTCTTTTGACAGGAAACCACGTCCCTCTGGCACAGCAGCCCACCTTCACAATGGCTGGCCGCTCCCAGAGCTACTGGGCGATTGCCTTTGGCATGATCGCCTGGAGTCTTCTGCTCTTCAGCCCGCTCGCCTTCGTCGGCTCCGTCCAGGCGCAGGATTCCGAGTACGGTACTGTCATCGGTATTGTAAGTTGACCCGGAAATCCATGTTTGGCTCTCCAAGGTAGCCAGCGGCGGCGCTGGTGCAACTACTGACACTTGTCCTTTTAATCTACAGGACTTGGGCACCACCTACTCTTGCGTTGGTGTCATGCAGAAGGGCAAGGTCGAGATTCTCGTCAACGATCAAGGAAACCGTATCACCCCGTCTTACGTCGCCTACACCGATGAGGAGCGTCTTGTCGGTGACGCCGCCAAACAGCAGGCGGCTTCCAACCCCACCAACACCGTCTTCGATGTCAAGTAAGTTCAGCGTCCAGCGTCTGCGCACGAGCCCATAAACTCCTTCCTGAATGGACTCGTTTGACTGACCGCACCGCCCTGCAACAGGCGTTTCATTGGCCGCAAGTTCAACGAGAAGGAAGTCCAGAACGATCTCAAGCACTACCCTTACAAGGTTGTTCAGAAGGATGGCAAGCCTATCGTCCAGGTCGAGTACCAGGGCGAGACCAAGAAGTTCACCCCCGAGGAGATCTCCGCGGTCATTCTCGGCAAGATGAAGGAGGTCGCCGAGTCGTTCTTGGGCAAGAAGGTCACCCACGCCGTCGTTACTGTCCCTGCCTACTTCAACGACAACCAGCGCCAGGCCACCAAGGATGCCGGTATCATTGCTGGCCTCAACGTCCTGCGCATTGTCAACGAGCCCACCGCTGCCGCCATCGCCTACGGTCTGGACAAGGAAGGTGGTGAGCGTCACATCATTGTCTACGATCTTGGTGGTGGTACTTTCGATGTCTCTCTTCTGTCTATCGACGAGGGCGTCTTCGAGGTTCTGGCTACTGCTGGTGACACCCACCTTGGTGGTGAGGATTTCGATCAGAGAGTCATCAACTACTTCGCCAAGTCTTACAACAAGAAGCACGGCGTCGATATCACCAAGGACCTCAAGGCCATGGGCAAGCTCAAGCGCGAGGCCGAGAAGGCCAAGCGTACCCTCTCTTCCCAGAAGACCACCCGCATTGAGATCGAGGCTTTCTTCGAGGGCAACGACTTCTCTGAGACCCTGACCCGTGCCAAGTTCGAGGAGCTCAACATGGACCTCTTCAAGCGCACTCTCAAGCCTGTTAAGCAGGTTCTGGACGACGCCAAGATGAAGAAGGACGAGATTGACGACATTGTCCTCGTCGGTGGTTCTACCCGTATCCCCAAGGTTCAGGAGCTTCTCGAGGAGTTCTTCAATGGCAAGAAGGCTAGCAAGAACATCAACCCCGATGAGGCTGTCGCCTTCGGTGCTGCCGTCCAGGCCGGTATTCTTTCTGGCGAGGAGGGCACTGACTCCATTGTCCTGATGGACGTCAACCCCCTGACTCTTGGTATCGAGACCACCGGTGGTGTCATGACCAAGCTGATCCCCCGCAACACCGCTATTCCCACCAAGAAGAGCCAGATCTTCTCGACCGCCGCCGACAACCAGCCCGTCGTTCTGATCCAGGTCTACGAGGGCGAGCGTTCCATGACCAAGGACAACAACCTCCTCGGCAAGTTCGAGCTTACCAACATTCCCCCTGCGCCCCGCGGTGTTCCCCAGATCGAGGTCAGCTTCGAGCTCGATGCCAATGGAATTCTCCGTGTTTCGGCTCACGACAAGGGTACTGGCAAGTCTGAGAGCATCACCATCACCAACGACAAGGGTCGCCTCACCCAGGAGGAGATCGAGCGCATGGTTGCCGAGGCTGAGAAGTTTGCCGAGGAGGACAAGGCTACCCGCGAGCGCATTGAGGCTCGCAATGGTCTTGAGAACTACGCCTTCAACCTGAAGAACCAGGTCAACGACGAGGATGGCCTTGGTGGCAAGATCGACGAGGATGACAAGGAGACTGTAAGTTTAAACTCGCCCCCTCACCGCCCAAATATAACGTCGGAGACTAACGATCGCAACAGCTTCTCGACGCAGTCAAGGAGACCATCGACTGGCTTGAGGAGAACAGCGCCGAGGCCACCGCCGAGGACTTTGAGGAGCAGAAGGAGAAGCTGTCCAACGTCGCCTACCCGATCACCTCCAAGATGTATGGTGGTGCCGGTGGTGCTGGCGAGGAGGAGCCCCTCGACCACGACGAGTTGTAGATCAAGTTTTATAGATACAAACCTAGCATACCCAGGCGTCACACAAAAGAATGTGGTTTTGAACAACAAGAACAAGGCAGCTCTAGACCTCGAAAGTGCACAGTATACCCCTCTTGAATGAATCGTGTGTGATCTCTGACTTGATAAATCCGGACAAAACGGCCAACGAGGAAACCATAAGACATGGAAGACACTCCCTTGGCGACGAAATCACCGGGAGCATTAGGATACTTAACATATCGGCTACACCGTAACGGGCTTGTCATACAACACGGCAGACCAGATACTTGTCAAGGCTACCCAGCGGACACGTGTGATGCTCAAATGTGATGCATAATATCCAAGTCTGGGTTGTGCATTTATGAGATGAAGTGTTGGCTCGTCAACTCTGCAAATATCAGTCTCCCTTGTCAATCGTCCCGCCGAATTACGTAGGGACCGCGAGACAGTTTCTAGACTCCGCCCGAGACAACAGACGATGGTGTGCCATTTTGTCGGGGTTTGAACATGATATCTCCCAGCACGTTTCGCAGAACCGATGACTTTGCAACAGACGAGGGTGTGATGCAGGAAGGGATTACTGAGGAGCAGAGAAGGAGGGAAGCGGGGGAAAAGGATTGACGTCCTGTCGGACCCTTTTCTACTCACGCACTAGAGAGATCCCCCTCGAAGCCGAGGGCGTTCTGGTCTTTGAGTCGCTGGCGTAGGTATCCCTGCCCATGGAGAACGAGTTGTTGGCTCTGCATGCAACTTTTTCGCAGGGGCGGGTATATTGTATGCAAAATGCATGCAGAAGTTCGTGAAGAATTAAACCTTAAAAGCCATTGGTGTGCACACCGTCCTTCGGAGGGGCCAGGCAGCTTTTGTTGTCATGTGTGCTCGAATGTGGGTGTTGCTGAACCTGGACGGGTTATGATGCCTGGAACGCTTGACAACTACGTGTGGACTAACCTATTTCATTCACGGCCAAACGCTCTGTACTAGATCGTCAAGAAAAGGCCCCGAGTTTGAGGTGACTGAAACCCAGCCTAACTGGGACGAGGGGCAATGGAGAGTATGCAGTGCTTGTTTGACAGAAAATCCCTGCACTATGCTTGCCCGCTCATGAAGCAGCCGCATGGCCTTGCAGGGATGTGATGGGCATGCCGATTTCCGTGACTCTAGCACTGTCATTCTGTGGGAGACTTTGAAGACATCGCAGGGAAGCTGAAGCGATCATCATTCGATACATAGTTCAACTATGGTTGCTTTTCATGGACCTCAAATTGATATCCGGCAAAGAAGTGATGTTCTCAGCCAGCACGGTGGGGGTAAAGAAGATCCCTGAACACGCAGGATGTATTGCCGGCTGGACGTTCTCCGAGCGGCACCAAGATACGGCAAGAAAATATCCTGGTCGGGATACCAGCCCCCTAAGCGAGCCACGTTACGACAGGGGTTCTCGTTGGAGGTGTGCTGGCTGGATAACCCAACAATACCAACCGAATGGATCTGTCGACATGGGTCGGTTGGTCACGCAACCAGGTTCGGGTAGGTTTCACGATCTTCGCCGGCGGAGTGTCCCGAACAACAAAAAGGCGGCCCAGTATTGTGACCATGGTGCTCAGCAGGTATTCCTGATGTTGGCATTGTATGTATGGCCAGCCGCGCTTCGCCAGGTTGTCGAGACTCCGAGGCGGGTGCACTTACACCCATGCCCTCGGTAGCTCGGGATTTCAGCTCGCTCTGCCTAACTCATGCTGGTCAGGGTGGAGAAGATGACTGCTCGTCCCACTGGATAGGATACAGAAAGGGCAGGACAAGCAAGACCCTTGAATGAAGGCGTAGATCGCGCGCAATGTGGTATAGTGTTGTTGGAGGGTCTCTCCCAGGGCGGGGTGTGACCCGTCCAGACTCCTCGCGTATGCTTATATGTAGAAGTGTCGAAAGACCATTCTTCCCTCTCCAGATACTCCTGGCGTTGATCTCGCCTTCTGTCCTGAAAACGTTGTTCTTCATTTGGAGAAATATTCGAGTCCGAGATTTGCGAGGACATCAACAAACACACCTACCACTCGTCCATAACGAAGACATAATGGGATCAGTCAGCGTCCCCCAACACGGGCACCATGCCTTGGTCTTCGGTGCGTCTGGTATTCTGGGCTGGGCGGTGGTGGACCAGATCCTGAAGAATTATCCCGAAAAGGGCTCGTACAAGAAGGTCACGGCCCTTTCAAACAGACCTCTGACCCTTGAGGACTCCCTGTGGGCGCCACAGCCCAAAAATGGCGGCGCCGAGCTGAGTATTGTCGAGGGCGTGGACCTTACGCAGGGGACTGTGGAGGATCACACGAATATCTTGAGGAGGCTAGTGCCGGATATCGAAAGTGTCACTCACGTTTATTGGTTTGGTATGTTTGGTTTTTTCTTTTCCAATTTCCACATTCAAGCAGAACCAAGCTTGCAGTATATAGAACACAGCTCGTCACTTATTCGATTTCCCAAAATTGGTTCACACAAGCTTGACAATCGAATGTCCATGACTGACTTATAATGCGAACCAACCCAGCCTATAAATTTGACCCAGACTTCCCCACCGAGAACCAGATCAACGTTGATATGCTCAAGCGCGGTCTTGGTGCCGCCGTGGCCCTCGCACCTAGGCTTCAGTACGTCATCTTGCCCACGGGCACCAAGGTACGTTGGGGCTGTTTGGCCATTTTCACAAGACACGCGAGAAGCAGGATTTACCTGCATTTTCCCATCTCGAACGCCGTCCACGCAAATTGCCCATGTTGACATATTCTCTTGTCTCTTTCAGGGCTATGGCATATTCCTCCCCGAGATCCCTTTCGAGAGGCCGTTCAAGGAAGAAGTCTGCGACAAGCCGCAGCCCTGGCACGACATACTCTTCTACTACGGCCTCCACCGCGAGCTGGACCGAATGCAGAAGGGTAAGGCGTGGCGATTCGCAGAGGTCCGCTGTGCCGTGGTGGTAAGTACATCTCTCATTGCACGTGGGACTTGGTGTTGCAATTGAGTCTCTTGCAAAAGAACGAGGATATTTCACCAGGAAGAAAGAAAAAAGGAAATGAAGAGCAATCGACTGACAATCTCTCCACGCGAAGATCGGCTTCACGCCTCATAGCAACACATACAACATGTGGGCGCACTACATCCGATTCTGCTCCATCTACAAGTACCTCCACGACAACGGCCACCCGGCCGCCGAGTCCAAGGAGGTGCCGTTCCCCGAATTGCCCATGGCCTGCGAGGGCACGTACAACGACGGGGGCCAGGACACGTTCGCCAAGTTCAGCATCCACCTGTGCCTCAATCCGGACGTCGCGGGCAACAGCGAGCTGTACAACATCGCCAACGAGCGCGTCTGCCACAGCATGGCGTACCGCTGGCCCATCGTCGCCAGAAAGTTTGGGCTCGTCGGCGTGCCGCCTGTCGAGCCGGGCCATGCACACTACCGCCGCACGGATGTATTCTTGGCCGAGCACGCGGATGTGGCCGAGAGACTGGCCAAGCAGCATGGTGTGGACTTGCCTGGCATGGACTATGTGTTTGAAGGAGATACGATGAGCGGACTCATGTCGCTCAAGCACGGATTATGTCTTGACAAGGCTAGGTCGACCGGATTTACGGCCGAGGAGTCGTTTGAGGTTTCATTTAGCAATTGCTTGGAGCGGTATACGAAGGCCGGTCGGGTATATACGGGATTGAACCCAAAGGACAAGACGCTGAAGTCAGTGCCATAGGGAGGGACTAGACACCGCTCAAGAGACGTGTAGATCGCCTTCGGCCAAGAGCAGGCACGTCTCCCGCGGACTTCTCCTCGACAGCTTCCTTCTTCACTTTCTCCTTTTTGATTGGCTCTGAAGATCCCTTCGGAACCTTGGGAGTCTTCTTAGAGTCCTTTGCGCCCTCCTTCTCCGTCATTGCAATCCTTGCTCTTTTAGCTGGCTTCTCCGCAATGTCCTTCTTGTCCTCGAAATAGTGGCTTTCCTTCGCTTCCTCCTTGGCGACCGGAGTGCCACCGGCCGAGTCCAAGGTCGTCCTACCCTTTTTCTTCTGGACTCCGGGGACAACGCAGCTCGTCCTTCCTCCCACGGTGATGAATATCAGCTTCTCACCATTCGGCAAGGTTTTGGCGGAGTCCTTCTTGCCCTTGCCCCAGCGGTGATTGAAGAGCCAGTCCGGCGGGAACTGGTCCGAGTCTCCGAGCTTCTCCACTGCAGTATCGCAGACATATTTGACCGCATTGTAGAGTGTCGTGATGTCGGCATCGTCAAAGTCATCGCTATACTGCTCCGGATGTAGCTTGGCTTGATACATGATCTCGTCACCAACCCAGTTGCCGATGCCACTGATCATGGCCTGGTCGAGCAGGAGGGCCTTGATGGGCACATGTCTGCTCTTCATCTTGCTGCGCAGATACTCCTCGGTGAACCTGTCCTTGTCAACAACAGGATCTGGTCCATTCTCGACCAAGGGGGAGTGCTTGCGGATATCCGCACCAGGGCAGTTGACCAGGCGTATCCGGGAAAAGCGGCGAGCATCTGTGAAGGCGACCTCGACGCTGGGTGCCCCTGCGGTCTCGAGCTGGAATTTGGTGTACTTTGGAGGCCACACCTCTTCTCCGTCCTTGTGCCGCTCGGCGTAGCGCGTGTAGGCCGTCTGCTCGCCCCTAATATGGACCCAGCCGGTCATGCCCAGGTGCATAACGGGATGTGGTGGCTGGTCCATGACGAGCCAAAAGTACTTGCCCTGGCTGCCAGCGGTGACGACCTTGCGGCCCTTGAGAGCTCTCTCGAACTCGGCGCCGCTGGTGCCAACTTTTCCAAAGACGTTGGCGTCATCGGCGGCAATCACGTTGCCGATTGTCTTGCCCGTGAGGTGCTGCCGCAGGTAGTGGGTGACCCGAGCCACTGGCAGGAAACGTCAGCTGATGTCCGGCAATGACAAAGATGTCAAGATCTAATCAAATGAAGCTGGGTACTATACCTTCAGCGATCTCAGGCATTGCGGCTTGTTCGGCCCCGACGCGTTATGGTTGTGGTTCGTCGTGTAAGTGGCGTTGTGAACCCGGCTTGATTTTCCTGGTTGGGAGTTCGAGATGTTTGCAAAAAGGCCTGCCGGTCTTCAGAGCCAATGGCGGAGCACTGTTCCTACGAGGGCAAGTGTCGTTGACGACCGCTCCAAGTTGTGTTGCTCGTCTGCGTTGAAGGTTGGATGTGCGAGATTCACGTTGATTGAGAGGGCAGACGGATGACGCGCCACCGCTTCTAGCGTAGGTGCTCGGCAGGGGCCCTTGAAAAGCATGGGAAGGGAGGCTGGTTCAGCCATTGCTTATGCGGGAGCTGCCCTGGGCGAATTGCACTACTTTGTATAAGGACACGGCCACCAGGCAGGGGGATCTATCTTCAATTTTGCCATCAGAGTACACAAGCACTGGCGCGGTATGCGCCCATGTGTGTCATCTCACCTGGGCGATCACACCACGAAGACATCTCCTTGGTCCCTGACTCCACTCACCCACTCATAATATGGCAATGTGCTGCTGCTCAGCACAGTTGCGCTCGAACAGCAAAGGGTATGCCGACTCAAACTCTGCTGCCGTCCTGCCATGCCAGAGCGCCCTCGTGAGGTGAGATGGCTCGAGCTGGTCTCGCAAGTGACGTGCTGCAGGTCTCCCACGACCAGCAGCCGCATGGACCCTGCCCAGGTGTGCATGGCGGCGCGGCTGAGACAAGCAGGTGCAGCAGCCGCCTCTGCACGCCTGCAGGTGTCGAGGTACGGGATGACGATGGCAGGAGGCGGCACACTGCCGGTATGACGTGAAGACATCCACGCACATGCCGACTCCGGCTGCACCGTCGCCGACTGTACAAGCTGCGTGACTTGGACCAAGTGTTGTCCGAGTCCAGCTGCAGAGGCTGTTCTCTGCTCGCCAGCTTACCTTGAGGTACGTACTTGGCAAGGGCTTGTTTGGTTGGTCAGTCTGGTCCAGTCTGGCCAGCTGGGGCGGCGGTTGGACCCCAGGTCGCGCCTGCCCGGTTCCGACCGACTCAAGCCGACCCGCAATCGGAGCCTGGCCTCATGCTCGAGTCAAAAAATTCACCTCATCTGGCTCCGCGCTCCCCACGATCACCACTGCGCCCTCTCCCGTCTGCCACTGCCTCGCATCTCGCTGTTTCGTCTTGCCGCCCGCCTCTGGTTTCCTCACTGCGCAGACGTCCACGCCTTCGGCTGCCTTGCGTGCTGCTCGTCGCTGATAAAATACCTCTCTTTGCCAGGGCTTTAGCCCGCAGCCTCTCCCCCTCTCCGTCCCTCTCGGCTCAGCGCAAGCGCTTCAGAAGCTTCTTGCCCCGGCAGCGTGCCACACCCAACCTTCCACAGCGACCACTCAACCCGTCACAATGGTTCGCAACATTGTTGTCCTGTCGGGCAACTCACACCCGCAGCTCGCCGACAGCATATGTAATATGCTCAGTATCCCCCAAGGAAACCGCATTCTTGGCAAGTTCTCCGTCGGCGAGACGCGCTGCGAAATCAAGGATTCCGTCCGCGGCAAGGATGTCTTCATCATCCAGTCAGGCGGCGGTTCTGTCAACGACCACCTCATGGAACTCTGCATCAGTACGTGACGTCTCCATCGTCCTTGTTTGCTCTCCACCTTGCCACAAGCAAGTGTCTCATAAGGACCCTGCAGGCTGACTTTGCGCTGCAACAGTGATCTCTGCATGCAAGACAGGCTCCGCGAAGCGAGTCACCGCCGTGCTTCCGCTTTTCCCTTACTCCAGGCAACCCGATCTCCCATACAACAAGATCGGTGCCCCGCTCTCAAAGTCGCCCAACGATGCGCCCCGTGACCACTACACCTTCGAGAGCGTGCCTGCCACACCAGGCCCCGGCGTTGCCAAGAGTGCCGGCCTGAACAACGTAGACCTGGCAAAGGCTCTCAGCAGGGCTACCTCGACCAACGGCATTGCGTCGCCACGTGCAACCTCGAACCCATTCAATGCTCAGCCGGCCAACGGCGAATCGGCTCACGCTGTCAACGGCAACCAACACTCCGATAAGGGCAAATTCACGACTCACGACTACGAGAACCCCTCTGTACTGTCCGCGTTCCAGGCCAAGCCTGGCTACAAGCGTTGGGTTGCGCAAGCTGGCACGTTGGTTGCCGACTTGTTGACTTGCGCTGGTGCTGATCAGTATGTCTACCCATATACCGTTGCAAGCGCAAGACCCTGCCGTGTCACAGGCTTAGACGCCATGTTGTACTGCCTGGTCCCGTCTTCTAACTCCTGATATAGCGTGGTCGCCCTGGATCTTCACGATGCACAATACCAAGGGTTCTTTGACATTCCCATGGACAACCTGTACGGCCGGCCGCTGCTCAAGCGCTACATTCAGCAAAACATTCGCGACTATAAGGATGCCGTGATTGTGAGCCCTGACGCAGGTGGTGCCAAGCGGGCCACAGCCATTGCCGACAGCCTGGGCATGGAGTTTGCCCTGATTCACAAGGTAAGACCGTAGTGTTTCCCGATGCCGTGAACAACCTCTTAATGCCAATCTAGGAACGGCGCCCGACGAAAATCACCGACAGACAGAACGCGACGATGATGCTCGTCGGCAACGTTGCTGATCGTGTCTGTGTGCTGATTGACGATCTCGCCGATACCGCAAACACCATTACCCGCGCAGCCAAGCTTCTGCGGAAAGAGGGTGCCACGGCCGTCTTTGCCCTGTTGACCCACGGAGTCTTCAGCGGCGATGCCCTGGCGCGCATCAACGCCTCGGCCATCGACAGGATCATCGTGACCAACTCGGTTCCGCAAGAGGAGAACAAGAAGATCTGCCCGAAACTCGAGGTACTCGATGTTTCACCGATCTTTGCAGAGTCGATCAGGCGTATTCACCACGGTGAATCGATCAGCGTGCTATTCCAATACGACTGATTGGAGTTTTGTTGCTGGCACTGTCAGTGTGTTTGATGGTCAGGCGCGGACCCCGGACGAGGTTCTCCACAGAGTGCGTTGCGTCGTGGTGATATCTGAGCTACGGGTTTCAGGCTTGCGCTGTAGACACATTCTGGCGTACAGTTGGCCAAGGTAGGACAAGTTCGTTCATTCTCGGGGCCCGTGAGCTTTTGTTTCTGGATAACGAAAGTGCTTTTTTATCCTTTGCTTTCTTCATCGGCGCAACTTTGCATTTGGGGTAAGAGCGGCGGAGCGACTCTCTAGCTGAGATGCCGCCCGTTGATATAGACAGTGCTGCCACACCGGATAAGCACAAGAGAGAGGCATATGGTCCAAATCACCGTGCGAATGTCCTTGTGAGCAGAGCTGCTGCTGCAGTGCCCTTCGTGAGGTCTCGAGCCGGTTGACAGCGCTGCGTCGGACCTCTTCCGGCTGTCCTCTAAGAGCGCAAGAACAAACGACGGCCAATGCGAGGGTCCGAAAAGGTAAGATGGTTATCGTCGAGTAGTGGTGGTGGTGGAGCATGGAACCAGTTCGTGGGCCATGTGGATCATCAAAAAGCTGTAGTGGATCCACATGTACTCCAGAGTTGTGGTGTGCTCGTACATGCGCCAGTGGATGGGCCAGCCCAGTTTTGGACGACGATGCGAACCAGACTAGTGTTTGCGAGTTGCCAACGGTATGGCACTGCGGGCTGGTGCACTAATCTATCTCGAGTCATTTCAAGTGTCGGATGGCTGTCGTGCCAGGCACGTGATCTGAGGGAGGCGTCCGCGTCTGACGACATGGGCTTAGCGATCTCTAGGTTGACGTGAACGAAAGCATGTGATAGCGGCTGATGACTGCAGCCAGTACTCCGTAGTGTCGGCCTGTAATTCCACAGTAAAGTATACACCGTGCCCGAGGATCCATGCAGGAGTTAAAATACAGTTGTCCTTCTTCATGGAAGATGGCTTGCTGTGATGGATCGACCCGGCGGTGGTTCGAGCTCCGTCCCTCCTCCCGAGGGGCGCCGTGCTGCTTGAATGGCTGAAGTAGACACTCAGCCACGACCTGTGTAATCTTTATGCGCCTATGCCCGCCTCAGCTGGAAATTTTGGTCCGTTATCTTTTTTGTGCAAGTGTCACTCCGGACTGGCAGGCATGTAATGCGCATGTCAAGCCCGGCTCCTGAGTTGCTATATCCATCGAGGGCCTCTGGCTGGGGACAGGCTCCATCCAGAATTGCGCGGGATGAAAGTGCTGCCGGGCAGGAGAAGCAGCCGAGCAGGGAATTGACGGCGGACCTCGGCTGACTCGAGACGGGTGTGGGGAGCTCGCACCTGCGGACGGCAAGCACGCCCGAGTGACCGGGGCAAGCACGGCCGACCCCACAGACCCTCCGCTCGTGGCTTCCCCATACGTTGTGTCGTCCCGAGTGTACGTACTGCACACAGTAGTAATCAAGCAGGAGCCCACTCTTCCCTTCGCGCACGCGCTCCCTCTCCATCCCGCCCACCACCACCAATACATACCAGCGCTACCAAGCCGAGGTGATCTACCGCCTCCCTGACAGGCTCTTTAATCCCATCTTGCTCCATCTATCTGTCTGCTGCAAAGACGCCAGCTTTTCCTAACTTTATCTGCCCCTTGGCCTCTTCCCTCACATGCCCACACATCCGCTGTGCCACGCCGTCGACGTCTACTTCTGCACTGTCGGCCTCCCCATCCTCGTCTCCCTTGCCGTCCTCGCCCTCAACGAGCTCCGCGACGACCCTTGGCGCTCCGACGTCCCAAGCCCCAGCCCGCGCTACTCTTATACAGCCGCCCCTGCCTCTCCCCACTGCCACGCCCGTCTCTCTCCTCCATCTCCTACGCAACCGCTTCATCACCAGCATCACCCCGTTTCGCCCAAGCCAGTAGGCCCCGACAACTCCAGCCCAGACAGTCACCCTCCAGCCGACAAGATGGTCGCCGACGCCCTCGTCTACCATCCCACGATGGCCCACCTTCTCAAGTACACCTCGACCGTAACCGGCCGCGACAAGGTGCTCCGTACCCTCCAGTACTTTGCCCGCTTCTACGCCTGGTACCTCTTCCGCACCAACGGCACAAAGGACGAGATCGCCCCCTGGGAGACCATGAAGAAGCAGTTTGGCACCACCCGCAAGCTTCTCCGCGTCGGCAAGAATCTCGAGCATATCAAGGCTGCCGCTGTCGCCGCCGACTCCAAAACGCTCGACCCCGTCCTGCGCTATCTCGCCATCGGCCGTCAGCTCGGCTACGCCGGCTATCTGTCGCTCGACATGGCCACCGTTCTCCACGCCACCAGCATCCGCAAGTGGGAGGGCGCCAAGAGGGCCCAGCAAGAGGCCTATCGCTTCTGGGCCATCGGTCTGCTGTGCAGCGCCATCGCTCAGCTGTACACACAGTACAAGCTCCGCGAGCGTGAGGGCCGCATCAGCCTCAAGGACGGCGAGGGTGTCGTCGAGAAGAAGAAGATTGAGAAGTATGTCCCAGGCCGTCTCCTCCGACCGTCGCCAGTTGTCGCAATTCCGAACGTGTGCTAATCATGGAAACTTGTAGGGAGCGCTCCGTGAGCCAGCTCCAGCTGTTCACTGACTTGTGCGACATTACCGCACCCGCGTCTGCCCTCGGCTGGGCCAACTTTGACGACGGCTTCGTCGGTCTGGCTGGTACCATGAGCTCGCTCATCGGCGTCTGGAGCCAATGGCAGAAGACGGCATAAACGATGCCCATTTGCACCGACTGCAAGCGAACCACGAATCTCAAAGGCAGAGCGCTTGCGTGGTCAATGTCTCGTCTCTCAATCATACAAGATCATGGAGACTTGTGCTCGTTGATCTCGCTGTGCGCAACGCATAATTTCGTCCGCAAGCACCGAGGCCGTGGAAATGCGAAATCGCGTGAATCCCCATTTGTCGTGGGGTCGCGGAACAGGGCCAGCGAGGAATATGGAGAAAAGGAGTGTTGTATTTGATCTTTTTATTTTATACATGTCGTAGCACTGGACGTTTTTATCTTTGCGCATTGTAGGAAGAGATTTGAAGAGATGAGATATCCCGGGTCATCATATTCCTTTCCGAAGGTCCGTCGGTAATGATCTATCCTTTGTCTGTGGGGTCGCCCTTGGGATGGTCATTGTGCGAATGAAGATTGGGATTCCGCAATGCCTACGCGGGAGTTCGAACGATGCAGGTTTCACGTGTCTGACAGGGAGAGAATCTTTCCATACGGACACTATATTTATGTATGTGTGGCTGTCCCCATTTTGTATCTAGCTTGGACTACTAGTCCCCCAAACGCCAAGTAATGCACCGAACCACCGCTCCCCAGAATGAGTGAGTGAGTGAATGTCAAAGATACCCCAAAAGCGACAGGGAAAAATAGACCAAAAAGTCAAATGAATTGACGCTGCGCTGCTTATGAATAAATGAATGATGCCGTAGGAAGAAAGTGGGAACGAATTGAACAACAGCAACAATTTGTGCGGGTGTGTGAGAGCAAAAGTCGCAGTTGAATTGCAAGGATTCAGTGTCAGCAGCCAATTTCTTGGCAGGCTTTCAGAAAGCAAGGTGAATGTGACACGCTACTCGATGCTCATACGCATCAAGCTGTCGTGGGTATCCGTCATGCCTTGCAGGCCTACGCGGCCCTTGCCGGCACCGCTGACTGGCCGGGATCCCGACCCGGCTGTACCTGCGCCCGTGGCGAATGGGCCCGCTGTCGCAGTCGTGGATGAGGCGCCGCCGCCTCCGCCGCCGCTACCGCCGACGCCGTTGCTCGCAGGAGTGCTGGCACCATTCTCGCTGGGTGTGGCTGACGCTTTGTCCCCGCCAGCGGTGCTGCCTTGGCGAGAACCCCAGGATGCACCGTCGCGCTGCATTGGGCTCTGTCCCACCGGCGAGTTATGCGTGCTCATACCAGGGCTCACAGCTCGTCGCTTCATGCTCATCGGGTCGAAGTCGTCGTCTCGCCGGCGCTTGTTGTTGATCCGGCGTGTGATCTCGGCGGCCGTGGGAGGCATGCCTGCCTGCTGTTGCTGCTGCAGCAGTTGTGGATCTTGCTGAACAGATTGCGAGGGCGAGTCCATGTTGATATCCTCACTCATGCCCGACGATGATTCGCGCGGTAGGAACGGAATGTGAGGAGGCGTTGTCCGTATGCCGGCTGCACTGCTGGCATCAGATAGGGCTTCCGACGGCTTTCTGCCACGTGACATCCTGTATGGGTGGTGTCGCAGATTTCTAACCGGGCCTGGAATGCTTTCCATCTCCATCTCAGGCATATCGTCAAGGCCTCCGGAGGTGGCATTCAGGTCGGGCGAGGACTGGACAGTCGAGGGCAGGTTGGCCAGATCCAATGGTGGAGGATGACCAGCATGCATACGGGGCTCGAGATTGACATCGCTCTCCCGCACTTGGCGGATGACTTCGGCTTCCCTATGTAGCTCCGCATCGACCGGCGTGCTTTCCTCGGCAAGAGCAGCGCGAATGCGAGCGAATCCCTTGGTTTTCGGCTGCCCGTGTTTGGTTGGCAATTAGCAGAGAGTAGCACGAAGCTGGCAAGATTGGCATGATAGACACTTACGAGAAGATTGCCGCGGCGTGTGACGGCTCTCCTAATGACGCCCCTCTGACCATCTTTGCTTGGGGTCGGCATACCTTCGTCCATACCTCTATCGTCGTTATCGTTACTGGAGATGTGCAGCTGGTTTGCGGCCCAGCTGATGCTTTCTCTGCGAGAATGGCTAATGGGCATATCCCTCGTCTCCTTGGCGAGATTGCTCGGGGGTGATCGTGACAGGGCTGCAGGCGAAGCCGAATTGAATCCTAGCCCAAGCAAACCCCTGAGTTTCTTCTTAGGTTGCCTTCGGGGCCTGGTACGGAAGCTGGACAAGCTGGTAATGGCTGGAGAGGTCTCTGGCGCCCACGGGATAACATGGTTAGGTTGGGTTGGCGTCTGCACTCCAATATGCGAGCTATTCCTAGGAAGCTGCTGTGGCGTGCTCATGATCGCGTCTTCCATCTCATCGTCCATGAAGTCCCCTTCGTCAGAACTGGAGGAGCTCCCCGAGGCGAACATGCTCGTACTGCCTACAGAGCTCGAGATGTTCATTCTCTCTTGCGTGCCCATCATGGACCACAGTGAATTCGAGGATTGCTCGCCGCCATCGTAGCTGCCGCGGCCCGGTATATTCATGGCACGCCCGCTGATGGTGGGAGATGTGTCTGGCGACGTCTGTTCGGCGAGGGTGGAGTGGTGTAGGCTGGTCGCTGCCCGTGAAAAGTCGAGACCTCTTGAGCGTCGTGGCAGGATGTTTGTGGGCGACGCGTAGATCTGGGAGTGGTCGAGCTTGGGGGACAGCGGCGTCGGCGTCAGTGTCGGCTTCGCGTAGGGGCTGATCCCAGCCATGGCGGCAGATTGGCCATCCTGCGACGGCATGTGGAGGGCGAGGTTGAGGCCGCTGGCGATGGGAAAGCCCTGGCGGCGAGGCGTGACGGGGGCGGCCATGTCCCGGGGCTTGCTGGCGAGGGAAGTGTCGTCCTTTGAGGTTCGGCGATGGGCCTCGACGATGAAGGGCGAGGGCGAGAGCTGGGGGCCGGCGCCGTCCGACAGGCTGCGCGTCTTGGACGGTTGGGCAAGAGAGTCGCCGGCAGCGGTGTCGTCGGCGTGGAAAGTATCATGGGGGTGCATGTCGGGTCCGGGGCCCCTTTGCTCTCTCAGACCCTCCATGCCAGCCGCCTTATCATTACTTGCAGCCGGGGCGTCGACAGTGGGTGAGCTTTGGAGGGGTCCGTCTGGCAGGACACTGCTTGTCCGACAGAGGCTCGGCTCGTGCTGGCAGGCCCTGCGTTGTTACTTGCTGCCTGGCCGCGACTGGGAACTGTTTGCGCATCCGTGCAGGACGTGGATATGGCTCGAGAGCAGTCGCGTTGACGATGGATGCTAGTTACTGCTGCGTAGGGTCCTGGCGGCTACAAGCAGCAGCCACCAATGCGAGCTACCGGTGTAAGTGGAGAGCGGCCCGCTTGAGGACTCGGAGCTTGGAGCTCTCCCGTCCCTGCCGTCCCTGCCAGTAGCCCCACCACGTTCCAACCTTGGGCCTCAGACACGCCAAAGCTCGTGCAGGTCTGCACTCGTCACGAATCACGCAGTCCAGCCATTCATAAATTACTAGTCAACTGCAGAAACTTGGTCACGGACGACTTGCATGCTTGGTTGCAGCAGCTAACTGATTACTGTGTGTCTGGAGGAGGCACCTCCCAGCTGCGAACAGACCGGCTCCTCGTCTTCCGCTTCCCCAGGTGCTCACTCCCACCGACAAAGTCAATGGTCCACTCCCAAACCCTCCTTGCCTTGGCCAGTTGTGGGTGTGTGCTTCTTCTGGATGCCATCTCTCTTGGAGTGTACAGTCCACAAAGATCTGCACCGTCAACTTTGCGGCGGTGGAGTAGGTGGACTCTGGTCATGTTGGTGTGCAGGCTGTGGCCGTGCACCTTGTTGGAAAAGGTGCCCAGGGCAACGTTGCGCAGCAGGATCACGTCTTGTCGGCGAAGACCTCGCAAGGTTGTCTCGACCGAGTCCCTGTGGTCGCCTCCTCCGCCGCGCTTGTCATTCGACAGCCAGAACGTGACGCTGAAGCCAGACTTTGTCTCGTCGCCAAGCAACATCTCGACCAGAGACTTGGTCGAACCCCATCGAGTCCGGACTGTTCGTGGTTCTGCTATAGAGATGATGCCCACAATCAGGTTCACGGTCATGGTCTGTGGACGGATGGAGTCTAAGTAGGTGGCTTTGGGCAGGTCTTCCAGGTCGCTGAGATGACCCACGCCGCTCACGGCTGCAGATGGATGGGACGCTCCGGGAAGATGGTCTGAATCTTCCGTGCCCATGTCCTGGGATGCTGACAATGATGAGCCCGTCGCCTCAAAACTCTGTGTATGCAGCTGTGAGCCTCGTGAATCATCGTGTAGTACCAATGAGTTCTCGTAGAGCTGCTCTATGAATTCGCTCTGGCTCTGCTGCAAGTCTGATGTGTCGTAGGCCGAGTCTGCCAGCGAAACTGTCATGGTTGAGATGAAGTTTGCATCTGGCCGGTAAGTGTGGTGGAGGTTGTGATTCTGGGAGAATCCTGTGGGCAAGCGCGCCTGGCGGAGCGGAATCGACCGCCAGACCGCTTCATTATCTCGGGCGTCATCGGCAGCGCCCTGAGAGAATTCATGACAACCAAGTGGAAAGAATGAAGCAAGCCGGGTGAACGGTGGCTCAAAGTCTGTGAGCAGACTGTCGCGGTCCCACTTGAGGTCCTTGGCCTCTGGGGCACCGGTGATGATCACGAGACCGCTTGGCATAAGCTCATCTGGACAGACTTGAAAAGTAGCAAACTGGTGTGAGGGCGTCAAAGACGGTGTGCGGTGTCGTGAGCTGCCTATGAAGTGGTTTGCACGAAGTGCTGCTGGGCTTAGGCATTCACAGTCGACAAACCAAGGGCCCTGGCCTCCCCTGTCGGGTGCCTGCCATGCCAGCGTGGTGGGGCTGGCGCTTGTTGACACATGAAAGGCTCTGGCCAATCAACTGGGGCGTCGCATTTGTTTACATGCGCCTCCGTTGCTCTCGGGCACGAACCCCTGGGCGCTCCTCACAGCGGTTTGATTGATGCAAACTACCTTAGTAGCCAAACCGCCACCATCGCTATCGTCAACCGTCCCGCAGTCCAACTTCTCTGCACATCCAAATTCGCATTCCCGTGCACTCACCCATCCATGCGCGCCTGCCAATCGTGCCACAGCAACCACTGAGCATCCGTCATCACGAAGAGGAGTCCGCAGGCAGCCCCTCAACCCGTTTGCGCGCGTGCACACAGCCAATAACGAGCATGTCGCAGGAGGCCGGTCTGTGGAGTGTGCGACGACCGCGAGAGGTGAGCTCGACCCGACACTGCCTTCCACCGCCACGCGCGCAGGCATACCCAAAGAGAACGGGCAGGAACGCGCATACTGACCACCATTCTTCGTGTTGATTGAGCAGACCTTGGGTGGTCTCAACCCAAACTCGGCCATCCCTCAGCCGCCATCCGCCATGAAGCGCTCCAGCACCGCGGCTGGCCTCAGCCAGAATCATGGCCGGTCCATGTCAGGGTCTAGGCACTCCCTCGCCATGAGCCGGCCAAGCCAACCGGTCTTTTCCCGCGCCTCTGTCGGTCCGAACATGGCTGACGTCGGCATGTCTGCGATGAAGCGGCTCTCGACTCAGAATGCGCCCGGGTCCGCGTTCAAGTCTTACGCGTCGGGCGGCATACCAGGGCGCAGTTCCGAGGGTGATCGCCGAAGCAGTGTCTACCGTGCTCGCCCGTCCAGCGCTGGGCCCATGAGCCACCAGAGCTTTTTCCAACAAGGACCCCAGGCCGCCGGTGTTCCTCGAGATCCTCGGCCACTGAAGGACCGGTCGTGGCAAGCACGCATCGGTCAGGAATTGCTCGACTTCCTTGCGCAACACAATTTCGAGATGGAGATGAAGCACACCTTGTCCGCGAACATCATCAAGTCGCCAACGCAAAAAGACTTCAACTACATGTTCCAATGGCTATACCACCGGATCGATCCGAGCTATCGCTTTCTCAAGAACATCGACCAGGAAGTCCCACCAATCCTGAAGCAACTTCGATACCCATACGAAAGGAGCATCACCAAATCACAAATTGCGGCTGTTGGTGGGCAAAACTGGAGCACGTTTCTCGGCCTGTTGCACTGGATGATGCAGTTGGCGCAAATGCTCGAGGGATTCGCCTTGCACCAGTACGACGAGGCTTGCGTGGAGAGCGGCGTTGACGTCAGTGGCGACCACATCATCTTCGATTTTCTTAGTGCTGGCTATCGTGACTGGCTCGCTATGGACGAGGACGCAGGCGACGATGACGCCGAGCAGGTACTTGCCCCACATGTCGCATCTATGGCGAAGGCCTTCGAACGGTCAAATGCCAAGTATAACGACGAACTGGAGGCTTTAGAAGCCGAGAACGCCCGGCTTCTAAAAGAAATCGAGGATCTCGAAAAGTCTACGCCGGATCCTCGCATCCTTGACAACCATTTCAAGATCATGGAGGAAGATAAGGTCAAATTTGAGGAGTATAACGCCTTAGCTTTGGCCAGGTCCGAAAAGTACGAGAGCCGGATCCAGATGCTCCAAGAGGAAATCGACAAGACAGATGAGGAATTGAAAGAAGCCGAGGAGGAGCGTCGGGGGCTACAAAAGGAGGTCGACGACCAGGGTATCAGCATGCAGGATATCGACCGTATGACATCCGAACGCGAAAGGCTACAGAAAGGCATCGAGTCTGCTACGCAAAGACTGGAAGAGGTCAAGAAACGAGTCGCCGAGAAGGAATTAGAAGCAAGCCGCAAGCTCGAAGAGCTTGAACGACTTGTGGACAAGTACAACACCGTCGCATACCAAATCGGGCTAATTCCAGCATCCGCGGTTAATGCGAAAGGCTTCGCCTACGAGCTGGCAGTTACGGTGAACGAGTCCAACTTCTCCGGTTCCATAGTCAAGGGATCGTACTCGAACGTGGGGGAAAGCGAGCGATTGCTTGTGGACCCAGTGACCGGATACCAGCCAGCTCACGTCCTCAATCTGGACCTGAGAGGAAAGATTAAGAGCAACTTCCTCGCCCTTCGCAAGGAGATTTCGGACCGGCGTTCTGAAGCCATGGACATCATGATGAAGGACCACGATCTCCTCGACGGCATTAAGGAGACGATCGAGGACAAGAGGAATGAGGTCGAGGCGCTCGAGCACAAAGTCAGAGCTGCCGAGGACGAGTACGAGAAGACCAAGGAGGTCACGACCACACAGAAGCTGGCCTCGGATACCCAGATCGAGAAGACGGAAAAGGAACTCGCCAAGATGCGAGCACAGTTGACAGAGTCTGTCCAGCTGATGGAACAAAGAGAGATGAACACCAACATCGAGTGAGTTTTTGCCATGATTCCACAGCCACGCCGAGGACGTGCCACTAACCCTATGCCCTTCAGATACGAACAGCTTACGCTGCGGGCCAACAGCTTGCGCGAAGAGCTGCACACCGAGATTGAGAAGATGCTCAACGACATCATCAAGTTCAAGGTGCATATCCAGAAGAATCTCGAGGACTATGAAGGGTTCGTTGCCGACGAGTTGGAGAGGGAGCTCGGCAGCGACGAGATGCCCGAGGACACCCGAGGTCTCGATGTGTAGATGTCTGCCTGTCTGCACGACTGGCACCGCTTTCATTGTCTGGAACCAGAGCGCGATTGCCCTTGGACCTTCGGCGCACATTATTGCTTCTACATGGTTACATCTTTGTTACGACGTCATGAACCGGTCTGCGAGGAGTTTTGAGGAGATGGGAAGGACCTGGATACCCCTTGATACGGTTTTGGAGAACATGATTTAAGATTAGCTCGGAACAATGGATATTCATGGCCGAGTCGAATGATTACTATCTACTGGTCTGTCTGTCTGTCTGTCTGTCCTACAATATGTGTGATTTGATCACCAATGAAGACAAATGAGGTGCAGTCTGTGGAAGGGTGGCTGTGTAAAGGCCAGCCTTGGGGGGGGGGGGGGGCAAGATGACAGTGGTTCCCCAGTCGCGAATGAGCCTCCGCTGCGGAGTACCAGCTGTTGTGTGCCTGGAATTTACCCCTCCACGGCGGTGGTGCGAAGTGGCACATGCCAAAAGCTCCAGTTCCTGGACCTGCCTCACCTGCCTCACCAACCAGGACCCTAGAAAGACACACTTGTGAGACCTCAAAGAAACTGATACTCACACCTTACGGGCTCATCTTGCCAAGACTTTCACTTGATTTTGACGCCACTTGAAGTGCTCGCCATTTCGTCATAAAAAACACACAAAACACACAAAACACACAAAACACACATACAGCTGATGCAACCCTCCGCCCCTCCAAGAGTTGACTGAGGAACACACTTATATACACATTACACAGACAGCAAATGTCGTCATCGTCAACACCATTAACAGCTCCCGCAACTGCCATGGCAACAACAGCGACAAGCACTTTGGGGGTTAACACCGTGGAGGGGAGCAGCAGCAGCAGCAGCACGTTCAACTTCCCGCGCGAGTACAACTTCCCGCCCTTCTTCACGCGGCAGACCAACCTGGCGACCCTGCACTCCCAGCGCGAGACCTGGTCCTCGTTTGTCCTCGACTACTGCCGGCACCACCGCATATTCCGGCTCTCGCTGAGCAACGCCATCGGCGGCAGCGGGAGCGGTGGAGGTGGTGGAGGAGGTGACGCGGCAGCAGCGGCAGCAGCAGCAGCAGCAGTGGCCGCAAATCATGCTCCCAGCAGCAGTGGCCCGGACGTCCAAGAGCTCTTCCACAACAAGAGGCTCGATCGGCGCCTGTCTCTCGCCGACGCCCGGGACGTCCTCGAGCATATGCGCAAGGAGGGCCGTGCGGAACCCGCATCCTCCTCCTCCTCCTCGTCATCTTCGACTAACGCGTCTGCCACCGGCGGTGGTGACGCCGGCGACGTGTGGTGGATATACTGGCGCACGCCAGAGGAGTGGGCGGCCATGATTGAGAGCTACGTCGACGAGACGGCGCAGCGCGGGACAGTGCTCACGCTGTACGAGCTCGTCGAGGGCGAAGGCACCCGGGGCAGGGATTTTTACGGCCTGCACCCGGAACTGCTTCAGAAGGCGCTGCAGACGCTCGTCAAGCGCGGCAAGGCCCAGATCTTCGGCCACGAGGACTCCCAAGGTGTAAAGTTCTTCTGAGGGGCTTCGACCCGGGAGCCTGTTTTGTTGTCGCCTGGAAAAGTGTGCGCCATTTCTACTTCGCACGATCTCAATCTTGCCACGAGATGCCATCGCAGAGAGCACAAGGAGGTATGGCTGTGCTGGACACACACACACAAGTCCATGAGGGGTTAATTATTGTCCTTATTGATTACATCGGCATGCTACCTCATGTATCGACATCTCCAGGGCGCCTGTCCACCACCTGCTCCGGGATATTCTGGCAATTGCCAACGGAAACAGGTTTCTAATCATATACGCCGGCCCATTGTTTGTCCTGCCCTCATCATTACCATCCCTTGTCGTTAAAGAAGTTGGTCACGAGGTATTTCTCATCCCAAAAGAGTTCCTGCCTCATGGCCACATCCAGCAGCCAGTCCGACGCTACTACGCGCGGCTCCATGTTGCCCTTCCTCGCCATCTCTTCGAACCGCTTCCAAAGCTTCGTCTCCGCAGCTTGCGCAGTACTCAGGAGATATACGGGCTCTGGACCGTCCACGTCATCCTCAGGATTGGTAGGTCGGATAGTCGTACCACTGCGGGCAGCATAGGTCATGAAGATGGCGCCGTTTGCCTCTGCGATGGCCTTGTAGCTATCGGTGCCGTTCTTGATATTGGCAGTGCAGTATATCGGAATGCCTGCGAGCAGCTTGCCGGCATTCTTCCTGGCTCGTTCCGTCGAGGTCGTCAACTTGAGCTCAAACTTTTTCTCGCTCTCCACGTCCTTGAGGAGATAGTCTGCAGGGTCTACTGCTTTCTTGGAATCGAGACAATCCTCGATCCATTCAGAGGATACGACTGTAGCCCCTTTTGATAGATTGCGAAGAAACTTGACTGTTCGTACAATCTGTGGTGCTACTAGGTAGTCCACCGCTTGGCCGTCGGGTACGACAGCAATCCCCATGTCGCGAAGTTTTTTCTGCACAAAGTCATTAGTCAAATCACGTTCAAGCTCAACAGAGGACAATTGCATGCTGCCTACCCTATCGGCGTCCTCTTTGTGCTTGTCGTTGACCCATCGCTTGAATCCTGTGAGAACGACCCGCAATTCTACCTGAGGCAGTGTTGGTCTCGCCTTCTTGGCTGGCCGCTTCTCGGATGTGAGTTCGTCGTCTGGCTCTGCGGCTCTGCTTGGACTAGAAGCATTACGTTTGAGGTTACTCTCCTTCTCGACTTGATCCAAGGCCCGCTTGCCTCCCCAGTGCCCATTGCCATCCTTTGCTGAACGCTTCTTTTCCTTTTCGTACAGAGCGATGTCTGGCGCGATTTCCGATAGCCTACTAATGGCTTTATCCTTGGCACTTCGGACAGATGAAGACACAGTCGATGGGGTTTCGTTCTCCTTGCCGCTACGCACATGCCGTGTCCGTGATGGTGTGGAGATTTGTTGCGCGGAAGTCCGACGCTTTGCGGGAACGCCAAAGACTTCGGTGGACTTGACTGCGAAGTCCTCGTCGGTGTCTTTCATGACGTCAAAGTCCTTGTGGGCTTGCCGACCAATAGAAACACCCTCAGCTGGGCCGTCCGCGTAAGAATTGTCTTCCGCCAGCTCCACGATTCTGCGCTTCCTGATTGAGATTGGAGCCGAATTCGACGGACCGCCTGGGTAGAACAATGCTGCGACTCGTGCCTCGTTCAAGGGGGTTTGGCCGATTACTTCGCCTAGATTTGTCCGCGCAGGAAAGCAGGTATATCTGTCGTTGGTGACTGATTGCATCTCGCATCTGGCGTAGCTCTCTTCAATCCACAAGTGGTTGATCATGTTGATGTTCCAGTCCCGTGCAGCGTCGCATTTCTCGCTATTGTCCCGAGCCGTTACCAGATGAGTGTTGTCTGCCTTCATCGTCTTGGTGAAAATGGCACCCGCGGCCGTGATTAGATTCTCGAGGTATATGCGTGCTTCGCCTCCATAGTTGGACACCGTGATCCGCTTGTCCTTGAATCCTGGTATGCCGTCGCGAGGGACTGGATAATGCAACAGCCGAAGCAGCGGCGAAGTCCATTCGTTCATTGTGATGATATAGTAAAGCCATGACAGGCTTCCCACTGTCTTTCCCAGGTGCGATGCGCGGACATAATCAGGCCCATCCCGGTACTGGCAAACGAACCAGTCGCATGTTTCGATGTCGTCGGTGAGCTCACCACCACCTTCTTGTATGAGATCGTGAACGATTGATCTGAGGCGGTCCCTAATCGCGAGGTCTGAGGAAAGCATGACTTTAATGTCTTTGAAAACCGTAAGCACAGGGCGTGCTCCAGTTATCGAGTCGGCTGACGCTGGAAGGTAATCCGGGCGGGCTGATGTGGCACCTTGAAGATGCTGACTGGAAGGGACCTGGACATCTTTGTCGGGATGTGCTTGCAAAATCTCTGGGTCTGGGAGAAGATAAGGCGCCTCGTCAATCTTCTTTCCTAATCTGAAGCAGTCGTCGAACCTGCAACCCGGTGTCAGCGGTACCAAATCGGGGGAAACGGAAGAAGCCTTTGCCTACCAATGAGGGAGGACAATCTTGCACTTGAGCCCTTTAGACAACGCGAGCTGACACTTCTCATGGTCGAGGCTGAGAGCACAAATGTGGGTGGTCAGCTTGTTGACCGCGACCGAGTCCATGCCACCCATTGCGGTGACTGCGCCTATTATTGTTTCCTTGTCGGTCTCGGGGATGTCGGCTGCTGTCACGACAACGTCGGAAAAGATCATGCGCGGATCCGGAGTGTAAGGACGAAGTTGGGCCTGCTTGCCCTTCGCCAGTGATGCAGAGATCCATTTTGTGCGAACTACGGGGATGAGCAGCGCTTTGGTCTCTGTGTACTCCGGAAAGTCTATCGTGTTGGAGATGATGTGAGTGATCTGTGCGAGTGGCAGTGTGCCGTCACGCTTCCGGTCGAGAACTTCGCCGCCAGACTTCACGATCAGCTGAGACAGCTATGGCAATATTGCTACGTCAGCTGAAATTGCCCGTGCTGGAACTTGTAAATGATGGAGACCTTCGCGATTAGCATGCATACCTCAGACACTGCCGTCTCCGTGAGCTCCTTGCCAGGGACGAACGTGAAGGTACAGCCGCCAAAGACGGTGCTGGAATCCCCCATTTTGAGGGGCTGTCGAGGGAGATGGCCGTTGGAGGAGGGTCAGGGGTAATGTGAAAAGGGCAACCACAGTGCCTTTTGTCAAAACATCTGGAGGCGTATTGCTTGCCAGCCAGATGAAAATGGTGTTGGGCCGAGTCGAGCGTGGCCCCTAGGGTTTTGCAGGCTGTGAATGCTGGTAAATCGTGCCGAGAGACGCCTGCAGTGTCGTGAGCAGTGGTGACAAGCGTGCTTTGGTCGTAAGCAAAGCGTCTAGTTGGGAAGTCGCGAAGGAGGATTGTTGTCGTCTAGGTCGAGCCTGCAGCGATCGGTCGTGGGCATGGCCAGAGCAACCTTGGAACGCCGTGAAGTCTATGTACTTCACTTTGCTGCACTGCTTGCTGGGCCATTGTGTGGGACGTGCCTGCAGGCACGCGTCAAACTGCCACTCAACGCGTCTCCACTCAGCTATGCGCTCTCATTGGTGGCCCCCTCCCGGTTGTGGTTGATCCAGCAATGCACGTCATTCAAACACCGTTTGGTATTCCCTCTTCCCCGGCTCACCGTCTCCCCCATGATGCCGACTAGCACAGCATTCGAACCGGTTTTGGGAGTCAGCAGCTCACGCAGCTGCCAGTGTGAACGTATATGTGTTCAGGGTGTGAAGACGTGAACGACCAGCGATGGCGTCACGCACCTGGCCAGGCCTGGCTTCTGCAGCACATGGAGCTTGCAGGGGTCCACGGGTGTCCCCTACTTTTGCATCGTGTGCTAGCTATTCACAGGAGCCGTTATGGCGGTCTTGAGAACGTGAACGATAGATGCTGCCCTCTTTGCTTTTATCCTCCATCCTAGGAACAACATGAGTTACCAGGTGAAAGGTACCTTCCAGAGGGTGCCAATATGCCAGCGGAGTCATCGCAACACTTCTCGTGCGCGGACGAAGCCGGCAGCTCTCGCTTGTCTCACGGCTCCCAGGCCATTTTCTGTGCGTGAAGCGGCGTGTGGACCTTGTGCGAATGCCAGCGGACATACAGGTTGCTCGGCCACTGATCCCTCGTTCGATGCCTAATGACAGCGTAAACCCCGTGCCTGGCACATCTCATCTATTTGACTTGTCTGATAGTCTCAGTCTCGTGATCTAGCACTGGCCTGGTTCGGGGTCTGCCCCGTGTTGACACTATCAATAGACCCACTTGGTTCCGGTGTACGGTCCCGTGTCGGCCGGACCGCCGGTGCAGACGACCAGAATCACAACGAGCTCTCTGAAAGACCGCGTCTGGATCTGGTGTGTCCACGGTCCGCAGCGAGTGTCAGATGAGGGGAACCGGTCACGTGCTATTTGGCCTGCTCATATGCCAGGGCTTTGCAATATACAACACAAAGTGGCATATTCTAGTGCACCTGAGGTAAGAATGTCATATCGTCTGAGCTTGGAGTCGCGGCCCATGTCCTGCTCGTGGGTATGGTGCAACTCGCTTCGCTGGAACCGGGTTCAAGCGTGAATCGACTTGGTGGCCAATGCACACAGCTGCCCCTTAGAACACAATCTCTGTCTAGGCGATGTCTTGTCTCTAAGACCAAGGCGGTCCACAGCCAACAGGGTCAAGTGCCAAATGACCATCTACATTCTTGTCCTGAGAGCCGATGCAAGCACGCGCTCAAAGCCAGAGAGTGGCAGGCTCAGTTAACAGGGCTCAATGTATCCGAGTGTGCTGTTTCGAGGTACCTACCTCCCTTGAGGCACCTCACATCAAGGCGACGAGGTGAAAACGGTTGAGTGGTCCCTCCAGCCCCAGTGATCGGCAACTAGAGCAAGGAGCCTGCACTCATCTTTACAGAACCCTTGGCCGCGATATGCTTGAATAGATAGGTCCACTTTATCCCCAGCCAGATCGAGCCATTCAGGGCTGCTGCACAAAGCAGGGAAAACGCCAGAGTTGTGCATCACGTGCAAAGTTACCTTGAGGTAAGTAAGTGAGAGTGTGAATCCTGATGAAGTCGGGCTTCTTTCCGCCTCCCACTGGAGATGCAAATAGCAGGCTTTGTTCGTTTCGCGGACGCTGAGCATCAATCTCCTCTCCACAGTCTCATGTCGCCAAGTGCTCTAAGAGCGTGGTGCAAAGTCGTCTGGGATGAAAGCACCTTGATCAGCAGAGAACGCGAAGCGCTGACGTCCCCAATCACATCATTGTGCCAAGATTGCGACCCCGAAATAGACCACTTCTATTCTCCCCGAGACTGGGGCAAAGATCTTCTGAGGCGGGCGAGCTCTCATTTCCCGAGTCCGAGATCTCCCTTTGAGCGCTGAGGAGGATGGATCGTGTCGGTTGCACACGCATAAGCTGGGTATGCATCGCGATTTGCAGACTCTGGACCTCTTGACCCCTGAACCTCTTACCCTCTGAACCTCTGAACCTCTCGTGCATGAGACCGGCCGGACCATGTAGTTGGCGTTGCCTGTATTTGAACCGAGACCGTGGAAATGCGACTGCTGCACGTGGTAGGCCTCAGGGACTTTGGGGGCATGACGCCGGTACCAAACGAGTAGAAACAATTGGCAGAGGGGTTCGGGGCGCCAGGCAGCGCCAACGATTCCCTGCCGCCTCTCCCCACTCCCAGGAGTCACTTGGTGGCCGCCGCCTGACGCTCGTCCATCGCCGCCACTCCACTGGGCCAAGCATTTGATTGCAGCCTGAGGAGGCCCTACTGGATACGCGTAGGGATAAAGGAGGAGTAATGCTCAAGTGATGCATGCTCTTGTTGTGACATGGCAGACGGCAGCACATCATGCTTTTCCTGCCCGAATAAGTGTCTTGTGTCGGCCTTGACCGCAGCAACACCACTGGCATACTGGAACCAGCACCGACAACCAGCACCACCCTGCTCACCTCCCCACCACTTCCACCAACGCTCCAACCGCTTCTCACCCTCAGTGCAGTCCCCACGATCTCCTGCCCACGCGACGTCCCCGGCGCCGACCGCCTCTTGCGATCTCGAGTTGCCCCCCGTCCCCTCTTCCGCCGTGCCGATTCTGCTCGTCTAACTCACCGTCGAGACTCCGCTTCTGGCCATCCTGATCGCCCACAACTTGGCCGACGCCAGCGCTGCAGGTCCTCCCCTGGGTCTCACCCTCAAGATAGGACAGACAGCCACTGCACTCTCGACCGACAACATCTCGCCTCGCCGACAAGCCCCCGCTTGAGGCTTCGGTGCCACGGGCTCGCTGTAATTCTGCCACGGCAAACCCAAAGTCGCAGGACCATATGACGGTACAAGGAAATAGCTCTATCGCTCCGCCACTCCGATCGAAGGCATCTCTACGGTTCCTGACCTCTCGAGGTCCCTCATAAGCCGGCATCTCGTCGATGATGGTACGTGCTTTTATTTAAACTCTGGAGGCGGTTTGGTGTTGGGTTGCAGGCAATGAATCCTTGGCCAGGAGACGGCCTACACGCCAAGCATTCGGGAAACATACTGGAAGCATTGCCTGTGCTGCGCCTAGGGTCGACTTGGAAGCCTTCCGCTAGGCACTGCCCACTTTCAAAAGGACGACTATTAACATGCAGGTGCTTCTAGACCTCTCCTCGGTTCCGCGATGTCGGCGGTAGCTTCGCAGACCGGCGCGGGCACAACCATAACCTATCGTCGGACTCAAGTCATCACATCACCGAGACTATTGGCGGCCTCTACGGCGATGACGATGACGACGACGAATATGCAAGCATGAATAACCACCGGCCCATGAGCTTCATCGCATCCCCTCATGGCGGAGAACAGATACCGGGCCACGGTGGCGTGCCCGAAGATGCCAGTCTCCGGCTCGGCCGGTCCCAGTCAGATACGGCCGCCGACTACCACAGCCTGCGTGGGTCTCAGACGAATGGGCACAGTGATCTGACGTTGTCTTCCATATCTCCTTCTCGCATGCCTAGCCAGCGGAGCATCTCGTACGACTCGAGTCAAGTGACATCGCCAATCTCGCCGTTGTCGCCGACTCTGAAGGAGATGCAGGAAGCCGAGCAATTTCCGCTGACCAATATTGACAACCCGAGCGATATTGCCCAAGAGCTCAGCAACCTGCAGGCGTTGCGGCGCATGTCTATGGACGTGTCGAACCACAGTGACCCGGATCTCTTGCCTTTCCAGGGTGTATCACTAATGGCCATGCCGTCTGTCGCGCCAAAAGGTGACGACGATGCGGATCCTTCTCGCTTGCTCTGGGTTCCAGCCGGTGTCCACCCCGAGCTGGCTCCCTCAGAATTCAAGACCTTTGTCGAGACAAGAGTCAAACGCATGAATCGTCGATCAAGTGAAGCCTCGGGTTCGTCGCTTTCTCCGGATGGCCTCGGTCGCAGTGATTCAGGGGGTCTGCGTCGCAAAAAGTCCATGTTGTCTCGCCAGGTCGATAACAGTGCGGTTCAAGGGGGCGACAAATATGTCGATGGTGCGGACCGTCTACAGAGGAGCAATTCTCAAAGCTCTTCCGGCCCAGGCGGCCTCAGCTTGGACGAACTCGTCAACGACCCAACAAGAGCCGTTCAGCGACTCACGCTTGAGTCACAAGCTGCAGACAGCAATCTGTCGGATGACATGCCAATACTACCTTCTGTTCCCGGAATGGGGCTTCGTCGCTCGACACGCACGACCTATCGGAAAGGAGGTAGCCTGAAGAGCCGCGGTGGTTCGGTGCGGTCCGGCGAGAGGTTGTCATTCTCCACTCGAGTCGCCAGACAGTCTGAAGACCATAGCGACACCATGGGCACAGATGCACCACCAGAAGCACCACCAGGTCACGGTCTGTCTCGTGTCCAATCGGCGCCTATTGTGGCCGATGACCTTTCCCGCCAGCCTAAATCTGTCCGCAGACAACAGACATTCTCGCAAGATATTACTACGCCTACCACAGACCAGCATTCGGAACCGGGCTCGCACAGGTGGACAGGATCTGGAGAAGACCAGAGAACCGCTTCTCCCATTCCGCAGATCATTGAAACGCCAGCGACTGAGGACCCGTCCCACCCAGCCGATCACAGGGCGTTTCCTGAGAGGTCGTCTTCCCAGCATGCCGCATCGCCTGCTGTACCAGCCATTCCTGATGAACCTCCTGCGCGGTCCAGCCGACGACCAAATTATGGATCCCAAGCACAAACCCCGTCTCAACAAGTGCAGAGTCGCAACCGCCCGCCCAGTAGCGGGAATGGTACCCTTGATGACATGGCGCACAATGTGTCGCCTATCCCTGGCAACAGTTCTACGAGAACGGACAGTTTGACGTTCATCCCGACGTTTTCGTCCTCAGTGTCGGACGATCGGAAACCCGAGAAGAAAAGCAAGAAGGACAAGAGCGATTCGGAGAGCAGCTCCAAAACCTCACCGTGGAAGTGGCTCAAGAGCGACGACAAGGACAAGAAGAAGAAAGACGAGGATTCGAAAAAGTCGCGAGGAAGGAACTCTTCTGAGAAGCCACAAGACAACGCTCGGCTTGATGTCCTGCAGACGTCAATCGATGGGACTAGGCAGAAGGGCCGCGATAGCCTTGTCCTGGATCGTGATAACGTCGACTCGAAACTGGATGAGGAGCGGAAGAAGGAAAACAGCCGCAAGCCTGGAGACGGCAAGAAAGAGAAGGATGGCTTGTTCGCATCCATCTTCGGCGGCAAAAAGAAAGGCGACCGGGACTCGTCTCATCGGAAATCGCATGCTCAGCGCCCGCTGTCACCCGAGCCCGCACCGTACCGCCCCATGAAGCCCGATGTTGACTACCATTGGACGAGGTTCCCGATACTCGAGGAGCGTGCTATATACCGAATGGCACATATCAAGCTCGCCAATCCCCGCCGTGCTCTCTACAGCCAGGTGCTGCTCAGCAACTTTATGTATGCATATCTTGCCAAAGTCCAGGCCATGCATCCTCAGATGCAGGTTCCTATCTCGCCACAGCAAAAGCGCCTGCAAGAAGAAGAAAGGCGGCGTAAGGAGCAGGAGCAGCAGTACCTTGAGCAGCAGCAGGCACAGGAGAGCATGGATCGCTACAATTTTGAGTATCATCGGGTGAGTCCAAACAGCCCTGGCGCACTCGGCTCGTGCTTTGCGCGATTTGGCCCGATTTGACTAACACTTTGCCCATAGACGAACTCGGATCAGTATGCCGACCAGAGTCCTCAGACGGGTGATTACCCCGAAGATGCTGAGATATACGATTACGATCATGGTAGGGATCATCAAAATGATGCTGCTGCCTACGGAGATGACAACAATTACGGACAAGGTGACGGCAAAGACTATTACGACTACGCGTACCAGGAGCAGGGTCACGGAAATGGACACGGAAACGGGCACGGGGATGGCCGTCGCCATCAAGGAGAGGAAGAGATGTGGTAAGACGGCATTGACCTGTCATTCTACCCTTCCCTGAACAGACAAGCATAGCGTGCTTGTTTTGTTTCAAACATTGTGCATCGTGCCTGGCGTACGGGAAATACAGTATATACGGAGGCAGGCAGCAAGTCTACGCAAGAGCATTGGCACACAAGCTGAAGCTTGTCTTTGAGCAGGACAGATGTCATCCGTGGGACATCAACATTTGTATATAGCCAGTCTCAATGGAAAGACGTGAAGTCCCTAGCCGGATTGTGGAGCCGGTCTCTCCAATGTCATCTCGACACCCAAAGTGGGCTGACGGTTGCCGTGTTTTGAAAGTACTTGGGGTGTGCTAGCTGCGAACTTCACAGGACGCGTGTTGGCAATATTGCGCGAGCTCTACCTGACGACTGCGGTACCCCAGCGATGGCGCGCCAGCATAAGAGCTAGAAGGAAGTTGCAGCCCGAGCCAAGGAAGTAAACTTGGTGGTGTTGGCATGGTGATACTTGTCGTCTGATGACGGTCCGTGAGGATGAGTCAATCGCATGAGCAACGCACTCCATTGACTATTCGAGCACAGCTAAGCTAAGCTCAGCTTCGCCGCTATTGGTGGCGGTGGTGGTGGTGCTCTTGCCCATCCCCCTGAGTGCCTTGGTGCCTTGTGGACGGACGAACAAGCATGGGCCTGGTCTGGCTGGGCTGGCCGGGCTGGGCTGGCGGGCCCCCCAAAAAGCAAACACACTGTACGCCGCAACCTGTCGCTGCCTCCCGAGCGAGTGCCTCTTTAATTTTTTCAATCTGCCCAAGGGCCCCCCGTCCGAGCCTACCAGAGCCTCTCCACCAGCTCTCCAGCCCTAGCGCAACTACTGTACGTGGCAGCTCATCCCCAACTTCACGTCACCTCGAGCCCGCCTGCTCTCCCGCATCCTCCTCTACAACGACCGAGACGCCTCTTCCGCTTCCCCTGCCAGACCCTCTTTCCGCCCTCCCACCGCGACCTGACGCCTTCGCCGCTCGACAAACAACACTTCCCCCTCCTTTTCAGCGGAGCGCCAGAGACTAATACCACCCGCCTCGATTGCGACAGCGCCTCAGGAACGAACAACCCGCCGCGACAACAGTCTTGGTGCCTGAATCCGGTCGATCGTTCTCTCACATCGAGTGACAGCAGGCCAACGCATCTGCACGACCTTCGTCTCCATCGCAATACCTCACACACCTGTCTCATGGCTGTACGTTGTCCCTCTCTGTCCTCTTGCACCACTCCACGTCTGCCTCCCAATGAGCCTCAGGCACCTCGGGCGTTGCGGTATCAGCCCGCTCCGGAATCGCGACGCCTTTGCGCCGCTCATACACGATTCTTATTTGGTGGCTTTGCATTGGATTTCGAGCTGCGAGTGGCTGTCTTCCATCACTCATGCAGCCCTCCCCAATACCCTACAAGCCCCAGCTCCTCCCACGAACACGCGATCCTTGGTCCTGTCCTCTAGAAGCATGGCGGACTTTACACACTGCCATGCGCGCTACCCACGCCGAGATCGCGTGGCCTCCGCCATCACATTAGGCGACACTGTGCTAATGATCTCTCGTTCCGTACAGCAACCGCGCCAACCATACGGCAATGCTGGCTACATGCCAAACGGTGCCGGCCAGGGCGCACCTGGCGCGACACCTCTCCTTCCCAACCAGGGCCGTGTCATCCAGCAAGGCCCCTTCCGCGTGCTCTGCATAGCTGATGTCCGAGGTAGGTTCGATGAGTGCGATCTGAGCTCCATGTGGTATCAATCTGACGAGGCGGATTATAGGTCACCTTCAGTCCCTGAACGACCTTGCGAAGCAGGCTCGTGCCGACCACATCCTTCACACTGGTGACTTTGGTTTCTATGACGATTCGTCACTGGAACGGATTGCCGAGAAGTGAGTTCCGGGTCCATGAGATGAAGTTCTTAATATAATTTGCTCCACGTACTGACTGGGTACGCGCGCGGCAGGACTCTCAAGCACGTTGCTCAGTATTCGCCGCTGATTTCGGAACATGTCAAGAAGGCGATTGGCCAAGGCGGACCGGGATCTGTTAAGACGCGCTTCTCGCCGCAAGAGCTACCCCTCTCCGAGCTTCCCCAGCTCATCAACGGCCAACTAAAGCTCGACGTGCCCATCTACACCGTCTGGGGTGCTTGTGAAGATGTGCGTGTCCTTGAGAAGTTCCGTTCGGGCGAGTACAAGGTTCCCAACCTCCACATCATCGACGAGGCGCGGTCAATGCTGCTGGAGCTGGGCGGTGTGAAGCTCCGACTTCTGGGACTTGGTGGAGCCGTCGTGATGCACAAGCTTTTCGACAACGGCGAGGGACGGACAACGATTGCTGGTGGCCAGGGCACCATGTGGACGACCCTGTTGCAGATGGGCGAGCTGGTGGATACGGCCAACCGCGTGTACGACCCAACGGAGACCAGAGTATTCGTCACCCACGCCTCCCCTGCTCGTGAGGGTATCCTCAACCAGCTGTCAGTCAGTTTGAAGGCCGACTTCTCCATCTCGGCTGGTCTTCACTTTAGATACGGCAGTTCCTACAATGAGTTCAGTGTCAACCCGACTCTCGACCACTACCGCGGAAAGCTTGCTGCGTCCAAAGCGTCATTCAATGACGTCTGGGAGACTGTCAAGGGCGAAGTCGAACCTGCGATCCAGGCCAACGATGCGCAGCAGAACCTGCTCAAGAACGCCCTGGGCCTGGTCGAGAAGATGCCAACAACAGCTGCGGGAGGCAATCCGTTCGGCGGGCCGTCTCAGGGTTCAGCCGCGCTTGGCCAGGTGGATGAGAGCGCCTTCAAGAACATGTGGAACTTCAACTTGGCGGATGCTGCTTTCGGATGGCTTGTGCTCGAGATCCAGGATGGCCGCATCGGTACCGAGATGAGGGCCCAGGGTTTCAACTTTGCCCACCGAGGTGCCAAGCAGCAGCCCAATGCGCCGATCCAGGGACTGCCGTCCCCGGCACCAGCCACGAGCGGCATCTCTCCTGCGCCCGCGTCGATTGCGCAGGCACCTCCTCCGTACTCGCGAGGCAACAGTGCTGCTGCAAACAAGCCCGCGGCCGCTACGCCTCTGCAGTCTGGCAAGCCGGGCACTCCGAAGCCTGCTGCCCAGTCTCCCGCCCCAACAAAGGAGAATGAGAAGCCTGGCGCGAACGGATCCAACGCACCAGACTCTGCACAATCGCCTGCGCCCAAGGCTGCGCAGGAGCCCATCATTGGCCTGTTTGTCATGAACGTCCAGAGTGACGAGCAGACCCGGGATATTTTCCCCGCGGAACACAAGGCCAAGATCACAAAGGTCGAGAAGTGGGGCAGCAACGTGAACAACAAGGTCGCGCACTTCCCCACGGTAGAGGATCGTGATGCCGCGCTGAACAGCTTGCCCGAGGAATTCAAGACTCGCCAGTCCGAAGACCGCTCGAAGCCGCTAGTTAAGATCTTCCAGCCTCGTGAGACCAACAAGACGTTCCAGGCGAGAGGTGGCGCTGGCAACTGGGGCAGCAGCCGTGGCCGCGATTCGACCAGCGGCTACCGGAGCGCGGGTGATCGTGGTGCCATGAGCGGCGGCGAGAGCGGACCCGAGTCGGGCCGCCGTGGGGGTCGTGGCGGGGCTCGTGGCCGTGGCGAGCGTGGCCGCGGTGGTCGCGGTGGCCGTGGAGGTGCCAAGGGCGAGGCTGGTTCCGCATCGCCTGCCCCAGGTGCCGGTGCCGGCGACTCCTGAGCTACTCGGGCCTCCATCAAAGGCTACGATGATTACTAAAGTGTAGAAAACACCCTTCTAGACGGAGACTTGCCCAAGCCTGGTGGGTTGTCAGTTCCCCTGGGGCACCACGAATAGAGGCCCTGGATCAATAGGGACGACCACCCCAATATGAGCTGGACAGCTCGAGAGAGTCGCGGAAGCGAAGCTACACGAGAAAAGGAAAACCAAGGAAACCCCTCTTTGGACCAGGAAACGATGCGAGGAGAAAAGTCTACAGGACTTGGCTCAGGCCGGATTTGATTGAGCCGTGCGCCACCGAGTTGTTGATTCATCCTTGCACGACTATATGTTCAAGGGAGGAAAAAGTTCTGGTGGCGTATCACACTACTGCTGCGATTATTACCACAAAAAGATTATTTTTTTCACACATCTTGAGAATGTTGTAGTCTCGGCCGCGTGTCGTTGATGACCGACTGGATGCTTGTGAGAGGCGATGTGTACAGCATATTATCTGAGAATGGGCGCGCGGGTAGACTTTGCGGTGCTTATGCTTGCCTGGTCACCATACAGCTCGAGTGCTCTTCCAATGTCATGGTATCTTCTCTCAGAAAGAGATGATAAGGCGGCCAAGCTGAGGCATGGTCCGATCAGTATTATTCACCTCGATGGCATGCCATTTGTTTTTGATCCCCCCACTTGAGGTGGTTTCAGTAATGAAGCCGAGTCCGACGTGGCCTGCTTGCGTTGCGTTGCTTGATCACCCTGCCAGATCGGGTAATACTGTACAATTGTTTCTTCTTCCTCTTCTCTTTATCGCTATAAATACAATACGTTGTGCGGCTGTGTGTCTTGTTTCCTCTACTCCTTTTTGTGTGGGCACCTCCTGAATCTTTCTGCGCACCCTCCCCCCCTCCCAACCTCCCTCCCCGCCGCCCTCTTCGGCGTTCAGTGCGGGTTCCGCGACCCTCTATGGTTACTTTGATCATCGTTGGGTGGGGTTTTTTAATATTGGTACAAGTGAAATACAGGATGAGGCAAGAAGCACATCCTTCTGCGGAGGAGTTGAGCATGTTCGCGTTCAGAGAAAAAGGGTGGTGGTAGCTGATGTCGAGGGGGGGGTTGCCTGTCCCTCCGCCGCCACACGCATGCTCTCTCTTCCTTTCTCTCTCTAGCCTCTTTCTCTACTTGGCGTCCAACGGCTTCATGCCCTTGTGGATAGCAGCGATGCCACCCGTGAGATCCTCGTAGCCTTTGCCGCCGACCACGAAGCCGGCGTCCTTGATCATGTCGCGGAACTCGTCCTGGCTGGGGAACCGCTCGATGCTCTCGACGAGGTACTGGTAGCTGTCGCGGTCGCCGGTGACGAGCTGGCCAATCAGGGGGATGGCGCCGAAGCTCCAGCGCTTGTAGACGGCGTCGAAGATGGGGTTGCCGACCTTGCTGAACTCGAGGCAGGCAAAGATGCCGCCGGGCTTGAGGACGCGGTGGGCCTCGCGCAGGGCCTGGGGGATGTTGGCAAAGTTGCGGATGCCAAAGGCCACGGTGTAGAGGTCTATCGAGCTGTCCGGGATGGCGGAAGGGGGCAGGCTGGTGGCGTCGGCCTCGAGGAAGGAGAGGTTGGCCTGCTGGGAGGCCGGGAGGGACTTTGAGCGCGAGGCTCCCACGGCGAGCATGGAGGCGTTGATGTCGGAGATTGTGACATGGACGTCCGGGTTGTGGTTGACGACGTGGGCCTGGTGCAGCATGCGGAAGGCAATGTCGCCGGTGCCGCCGGCAATGTCGAGGATGCGCTGGGCGGAAGGGGGGTTTGAGGACGAGGCGCCCGGGTTGAGGGAGGAGACGAAGTGGTCTCTGTGAGGGAGCGCTTGTTAGCGAATTGAATGAATGAACGAATTGAATCTTGTGGCTTCTCTCAACTGTTCAGGCGAGGACATATGACATACTTCCATATCCGGTGCCAGCCAAAGGACATGAGATCGTTCATGCGGTCGTACGAGTCGGCGACGCTGTGGAAGACGCCCGCGACCCTCTCGGTCTTGTCTGCTTCTGTGACGCCATCCTCGAAGCCAAAGTGTGTTGTCCGCAGGGGCGTATCGTGTGTGTTGGTGGCAGCACCTCCTGGTGGTGGTGGTGTTGGTGCCGCGGGACGGAAGACGGCGGGCGAGGCCGACAAGGACCGCGAGAATGTGGTGGTGCCGAGGGGTGCCCGGCGGGCGGCGGAGCGCAGCAGCAACGGGCGGGCAGCGGCGGCGGCCATGGCGACAGGGACGGGGTTTGCGAACTGAGGCCGCAGCTGGGCGTGTCGTCGCAGGCGTCGGGCGTGGTGGTGGGTGGTTCTGGGATTTATTAGCACATTGAAGTTGTCCAGCAACTTTTGTTGCCGATCCGGCAAGTGCATCCAGTGAGCAGGGGACTCTGCCCGAGTGGGGCGTCGTTGCCAGGGCCCGAATGCCAGGGGACGAATGGGCTAACAACAGCTACTACAACACCACACACCACTTCTTGCCGTTCAACAACACCCAAACTTCCTGACCCCCATCGTCGTGATATGGCCGTGACATTGGACTGACTCACCCCTTCGCCTAGAGTGTCGATGCGTTCGAGGTCGACGCCGCCGTGGTACCTTGCTCCTCGTCCTCCTCACCCCGCCGCTCTGCCAGCTCCCGCTGTTCCCGGTCGTCGCGCTGGAACGGCACCATCGACTTGCGGAAGTTGTCAAACAAAATCAGCCCTGCCGCCAAGGTTGCAAAGATGAGAATAAAGACAAAGATGATGGTCAGCGCAACGCCAACTGCCGGTGCTACCTCCACCATGTCCAAAAGTAACGCCGTCCTCGTCCTCGTCCTCCGTGTTGCCCCAGCGAGATCGAGCGCTGGTTGTTGTCGTCGGGTCTGTATCAGGTGACACTGTGATATGCTGTATGCTGTATGCTGTATGCTGGAGAATGCAGGCAGGGCTCGTCTTTGATCTTGTCGAGGTCGCCTTGATTCCCCGTGTCACACGTGGGTAATGCAGAAAGTCTGCAGCTACGATTGAGGCAATGAGTAGGTAGGGAAAGGGAACAATGTGAGCGGCAGCGCTCGCTGTGTGATCGCCACAGCAACCAGCGCAGCATCGCACTCCCGGTATCCATTTGACCACGGCGTAACAATGATCCTGGTGTGTAGCTTGCAAAGTGCAAAGTACGACTTGCGTCTTCCCACGTCAACGCCTTTGCTGGCCTCAGTAGTGTCCAGCTGGTATATATCGACAGCGTCATACGGAAACAGACCCGGACACTGTCAGACAGCATCAAACCTGCCAGGCACAAAGCGATAGGATCCTAACGGGCTATATCAAAGAGGCGCAGGTACAATGCACATAGTACACCCATATTGAGCAGTTCACAGAGGTAAAAATAGACAGGGGTCGCGGCATGCGGCCGTTGAGCGTGCCTCTTACCTGGCGAATCAAGTAGACTCTCGTGATAGTCCTTTGTCGACTCACTATGAATATGCAGGCTGTAGCACTGAGTCATGAGTGCCTGTGTAACTCAGGCAAGTCCAGGTTGTTGAGGAGCTGTACGGACGGACAGGGCATGTTACACGACATCAACAGCCTTTGTAAGTCCTAGTCGTGATGTTTCACCCCAGACCGTTGTGCCAAGTTCAGGTGCAAGACCTGAAAAGTCTCCTCCGTGGAACTCACAACTTGAACATCTTGAAAAAGCGCGTAACAGTTCTAGTGACACTTGCTCCTCTCCCCAACTGGCTGTATTCTCCCTGGTGTGTCAGTTCTGGTAGTCAGGCCTGATTTTGAGAGTATAAGACGACCGTAGCAGGATGTGTCCCTGGAGCCGCGAAAATGGCATGTCTGGAGCGTCTCAGAGATCGTTACGTCGGCAGACATATCGTCCAAAGACTGTTGAAGACAGTCAGAATTACAGAACCATGTCTCGCCGCCCAGATCCTAAGGGCAAAGGAAAGGCAGTTGCCAACCTAGGTGAAAAGCACGAGTGAGTCCGCCCTTGGGAAGAGAAAATAGGCATCTTGTTCCTTTTGGGGCCGAATTGTAACAATTATAGCAGCACACGACACCAGAACTCTTCATCTCCAGCGTCAGGGTCTAGCAGAGCAACAGCCCAGGATGTGTCTAGTTTCTGGGAATGGGATGACGAGGCGCAGTTGGAACAACAATTAGCTTCAATTAGAATGGAGGGTGCATTTTTCGGCTCTACATCACCACGGCGAAGAAGCTTCCCGGCCTCTGCGAGGAGCAGCAGCGATCATCAAGACGCATCGCAAAACTCCTCCTCCTCCTCTGTGGGCACTTCGGCAACCCGAGAACATGGCCAGACCACCCCTCCCGGAGTTGAGGATGGGCGGCAACACAAGGACAATCTGGCATCTGAGAAGGACTCCCCGCCGATTCCCCGTGGTTCTTCGCAGCCGCAGGTAGCCAAGCAGCTGGGCATGACGCTGGGGAACATGCCGCGGGACGCGCCACCGCTGCCCAGATCGCAAGTTTACATCCCCACGGGCAGCAGGCCTCGCCAGCAGGTGCAGTCTCGGTCGTCGGCTCGCGATCAGGTAGAGCCTCTCGGGAAGGATAAGAAGAAGAAGAAGAAGAAGAGGCCTTCAGATACATCCGCTGCAGGGTCTGCATCCTCTTTGTCATCATCGTCGGCAGCAGCATCTCGATCTTACTTGGACTTGTCTTCCGCGGAGCAAGCTGCCATGTCTTACACGCAGAAACAGGACGCTTTGTGGGACATGTATGATCTTTCCGGCGTCGAGAACTATGCGGACATATTACGACCGAAGCCCCCAACTCCCGCCAGTCCTCCCAGTCCGCCGCCTCCTGCGCCGAAGGTGCCGCGGACACAGCCCCGGAACTCACAGACAGGGGCGGATCCCCAATCCTCTAAGCAGGGTAGGAGGAAGAGAGCTGAGGACAAGCTCATGGGGGAGGACAGAGCTTCGCTAGAAACCATAGCCGAAGCTTCCAAGGAGAGCAGTAGCCGGACCAGTCGCTCAAACGACCAGAGCAGCAGCAGCAGCGGCAGCGGTGGTCGAGATGGTTCTGGTGAGCACGGGGCACGAACACGTGGTCAGCAACATCAGCCCGAGTCGAGTTCACAGCAGGACACACAACAGCAAAGAAGGTCTCGACGCCGATCACTGAGGCACGAAGTGAAACAGAGCATCGGGGGAAAGTGTACTCCGTCTTGATCCCCCCCCCTTTTGCTCCTCATGGGCGACTGCAGCATAAAGGCGCCAAACCATGGGAATGTACCAGGATACATGAAGGTGCTTCAGCGTGGTCACATACACCCTGTGGGTGGTGTTGTACTTGGTCAGTCGAGTATCTGCCGCTTTTCTTCCGTTCTGTCTTGTCATCATCTGCAGTCGAAAGCATTTATATGTCCGTATCTAAACGGCAAAGGTGGTTGTTGTTTTCTTTTCTTTAATCTTCTATTCCTTCGATTCATTTTTTGATTTTTCGTCATGTTTCCTGACTTTGATAGTTCCAGAGATGATGGTAGGAAAACAGTTAGGGTTGGGCTATGAATCTCCCTGCCTCATTGGTGCTGCGTTTGCGCGCTTATTTTCTAGTAAGTGATGAATTGACTTTGATCAACGTCGGAGCTCCTAAGTTCTTTGAACTCAGCACGACTGTCTTTTTATGGTCCCGTGAAATGATACATTTTCAAGGTGGACTGCAGGATAGGCATCACTCGATGGAATAGGTCCAATGTCTACTTCAAGTCGTTGCGAGTAATTGGTGTTTGATGCGCCGCGGACTTGCTGGTAAGTGTCCGACAATTCTACGGCCGACGCCTTTCCTCGTCGACCGACATAATAGCAGCTTCTAGAAATCAAGTACACACACACACACACACACACACACACACGCACTTAACGTCGCACCCAATGTCACACCAAATACCCGAAAGTTCCTGATTGTCCTAGGTATCGACAATCAACCTCGATACTTCTACAACTGCCAACAAAATGACCCCCCCCCCGACCAGATCGATCTGCTGTAGACGGCAGGAGTTCGCTCCCTCCAGTATTACCAGGTCCTCGTCTTGCCTATGTCTACCCAGCGGCAGTGGAGTTAAACAGGCAGACCAACACAACAACAACGACAACCACCCCTAAAGCAAGTCCAGACCCCCCGGGTAGATCCCTGGAGGAACCCAATCCATTTCTGGGCGGGCGCCGATCACGACGCGCAGAACTCGTACGATTGTATCGGAAGAGAAACCAAACCACGTCATAGGCAGCCCAGCCGTTTTCCAGGGAAAGGGGACACCCCAATGAGCGCCGACGGCATCTTCCGTGAGCATGCCGGGGCTGAAACTGGCCCGGTGTGTGGTCCTAGATTACGCTCGGGCGGGATGAGCCGTTGAGAGCATGTATAATTACCTAGGTGGCAGGAATCCTTTTGGTAACTTTTCATGCCCAGCCAGCAAGCCACCCGGACAGCCAGCGGTGGTGGATGTCAGCTTATCGTGCACGGGGGAAAACCCAAGTCAATGCTCCTTGATCATGATTATGGTGGTGAACGGACGGACGGGCCAGCCAGTTTTGGCCGTGCTTGCACGCGATGTTACTCGGGCCTGACTCGCATGGCTGGTCCGCCTCATGCCTTGGCCGCAAAACCGGCTCAACGAGATGGAAATGGAACCAAGGAACATCATTGCCACTGTGGATACCATGTTTTGTACTCTGTTCCATGCCTCTTGATGCTGTTTAGCAACTTTGTGTGCACTCAGCAGCAGTCTGTGCAATACGAGAAACGATAATTGAACCAGCCACCGTGGTTCGGGTTGTGCCGGTGTCCACCGAAACCCCCCCCCCCCCCTCTCTCTCGCTCACAGCTTTATGAGCTTACATTTGGGGTTGGGATATGACACGATGAGAAAACGGCATCCAAGAAGTTGGGAATTTCGTTGATCTTTTGCGAGAAACTTCGCCATACATAGCCAAAAGAAAAAGTCCCAAGTCACGAATCAATGACCAATGTATTTCCAAGGGACAAGAGCGTCAGGGTTTTTGCTCCTTCTCTTGTTCGCGCGAGAGCAAAGTGTCGCGTGTCCAGACGCCAACGCAAGGGGAAGAAGCTTGACGCCCAGAGCCAGCAAGCAGCCAGACGCAGGGTCCAAAAACGTAGACATTCTGGAGAAAGCACATGCCCAACGATTTTACCCCGTCTTCCCAGGTCCTCGTCCTCCCCTCTAGTCTAGCGTTGTTGGGTAGCATAAGTCTGTCCATGCCACATGGTGAAACTCCGAGGCAGGTGGAACCGAGCTCGAGCAGAAGGACGAGGAGTAGGCCGAATGGGGAGGTCACCGAAAGTCAATGAAAGTCCCCATCATGTTTACGTGGGCTGCGTGAGCCGAATGGGTCTTGCTTTCATCTTTCTCGTGGCCATTCCGCTCCCACATGGGAACCCTTTTGCCCTCGTGTGCAAGCCCACATGGAGGAGCACGTGGACTCAGCATGACTCTTGTCGGTGAGAGACCTGAGTGTGAGGCTAGGCTAGGTAGGTATAGAGGGGCAACTGTGATTCATTTCAGGGAAGGAATGTTTCTCGCTTCCATGCTCCCGACATGGAAGAGGGGTCTTGTTTCCTGCCAGTGTAGCAGGACAAGAGCAGGACAAACCAGTGAAGCCTCTCCTTTTCCAGCCACCCTGCCAACTGGATAGTTTGTTCAGCCAGCTCCCATTCTCACCTTGGCAAGACAACGACAGACACACACACGGATGTTAGGTATTCATGATCCGAAAACCCGAGACAACGTGGGTTGCTCAGCCCGGTGACGGCGCTGGCTCCGCGGGCAGTCAGGTCACACCCTGAAGGGGAGTGGATCGCCAGGGGCTATCCATGGAGACAGACAGGCAAGGCACACATGAGAGGAGACGGCTTCCCCTTCTGGAATGCAGATGACATCATGAGTTTTTGCCAGTCTGGTTATTGGCCATCGTGCCGCGATGACCGTGCCCGCTCGTGGTGGGCACTCGAGCTGCTTTTGGGCTGGAGAGTCGTCGACAAGGACGTGCATACGTGGGGATTGGGGATCGAGGCCAATGCAGTTCACCTGGTTACAAGGCCTGGATCGGATTGGAAGGCCCACAGACACCAGGATCAGTGGTGGTAATTAGTGGTATCAGGGGAGACCTCTGGCTTGAGGGGCCCGCATATAAAGAATCAACTCCTGTACCTGTTGCCGGATGTGAGCTGGACTGGCGCTCTGGTTAGATCCCCCCCAACGAGGTCTAGACCGGCTCAGTGGCATGCTAAGGACTCCTCAAGTGATGGCAGGAGGATGGGAAGGATGGGAATCCTGCATTCCACCAAGGTTTGACGCGACCCTGAACCATGCAGGGCTTCCCACATTGAGCGACAAGGTCTGTCCAGCAGATGAAATTAGGCACTGGTTGTCTCATCTCGGTTTGGGTCGACCACGTAAGCATGTGCCTTGTCGCATTGGGGACGAACCGATGACGATGTGGCCGCCGCCCCTGCAAAGTATAATCTCGAGAACGTGCTCCCCAACGGCTGGTAAAAGCCCGGCTTGGCCGATGCTTTTGACGTTACCGGCAGTCAGGTCCTGCGCGATCTGAACTCTGTTTTTGGGTGCCAGGGGTTGGGGCCTGTGGGAGCATTCGATCCGCAAAGTCAAACTGTGGGGAGCTGAATGCGCTGATTTGAGACAAGCCGTGCGAGCTGGGAGTCCAGCTGGGTCACGTCCAGAGCAAGCTTGCTTGCTGCCCGCCCGGGACTAACTAATCAGAGATGCAGCACGCCCAAGCGGTGACAGAGCTAAGAGCCGGAAGATTGCGTGCGTCGATGGTACATACGCAGGGCGTGTCTGGACGGACGCTGCGCGGCTGAGAGGAGCAGCCACGCCCGCCATATCCGGGCCTGAGATGGTGCCCAGTGAGACAGGGAAATGCCAGTGGCGCGCTGTGTGTGGCCGCGGTGACAAACAAAGGCCGGGCAGGATCCCCCGCTGTAACGAAGAGCCGCAAAGGTGAACGCGCGAGGCGCAACGGACGGGGGCACAAGGCACGGCGAGCATGGGGTTCTGGAGAGGCTAGAAATCGCCGATCTGGGAATGCCGGCCCTGCGCGGAAGCCACATGGGGAACCACGAGAATGCCATGCCAGGGCTCGCGCGAGTTGTCCGAAATTGGGGATTGGTGGCTAATTGCAGTATTCCCAAGCTCCGCAGCCAGGTCTCAGCGGCAGGCCGCTCATTCGCCTGCCGGGCGTCGAGCGCGGCACCCAGACCGCCAAATGCTGCCCATGTCCCAGCCCAAGCAGGCACGGAGGCGTCCGCGAGGCGTCAGAGGGCGGCTTGTGGATGACCTGACCTGCTGTTCCCAGCTCAGACGGCACTGGAGCACGACTCGTGGCGTGGGCGGTGCACGGAGCACGGGGGCGCTCGAGCCAGCTGTTGTGGCCGAATCTCCATATGCTATTGCGGTGTAGGCAAGCATGCCAAAGCGGACACAAAGCCGGCATTTCCAGGCATGGGAAATCGGCCAACGCAAACACACGGGGTCGAGTTGTTGCACAGAGCGTTGCGTTGGGCGGCGTAGTGGGTGAGGCTGGAGGCGCGAACGAGTTGGCCGCCCGGCCAACCCCACAAAAAGCTGCAGCCATTTCCAAGGCGGCAGGCAAGGTTTCCTTGGAAGTCCCTGGCACATGGCACCCAGAGAATTACCCTCATGGCCACGAGGTGATCCGTGGGCGGAGGAGTACTTACCTTAGGTAGGAGTGGTGGATACGACGCTGGTTGCCCGCACAGAGAGAGCTTGTGGTGCCTGGAAGTGTGCAGTACATACCGCCATGCATGCGCAGAGCACGTGCTGTGCGGTGGTGGCCAGCAGCCGCAGCCGCAGCTGGAGACAGCCGGGCGGATTTGGCACCGACACTCGACTCGGGCAGGTTGTGTGCGCCAAGACCTGCAGGCAAAATTGGCCATCCTGGTGTCCTCGGGTGGTCTTGTGCTCACAATGACGTTGAAGAAGGCAAGACAGCGCGCCCCCACCCCACTCCAGCCCGGCACGCTTATCCACCCGCTCTCATCATCATCCACACTTGACCACCCACCATGCTCGTCCTAGCCGTCGGCTCCTTCTCTCTCCCTGCCTCCCGGGCTCTCGCACAGCACCACACCACACCGCGCGGGACAATATGGTTTCATTGGGGGCGTCGTTGGTCCCAGAGGCAATGGGCCCGGCAGTCAGTGGCAGCCGAGGAGCTCTGGTTGATCCATGGGCAAGGGAGACGGGAGAAGAAAATGAGACCCAGCTCTGGCAGACCAAGGGCGTGCTTATCCTGGCTGGCCTGGCGCATTCTGGCTGGCACTGTGTGAGGTCGTCGAGCGGACTAGCGCAGGGACCTTGCACCAGCCAGCCTGTGTCACCCTGCACGATCCGGGACAAGACAAGTCTCCTCCTAACAGACCACGCCCTCTCACAAGCGCCTCCAAGATAGCGCGGGACGTCAGGGTCGCTGGCGGGAAACAAAGGGTCCTTCGGTCCCGCCCACACCAGCCTTGCCGATGTCGTCATGGGTGCGCCCATTCCCCAGCATGGATCCAGCCTGCGCACCCTTTCCAAGGTCTCATCCCCACCACTCAGCGGCGGGCATCCTGTCCTGTACCAACGGACAGTCTCCTCCCTGTTGCCAGCCAGTCCATTGCTTGCTGGTGTGTGGCTTGCTGGCTGCAAAAGCTTGCTCGCGCTCTTGCGTCCACCATGCCTGCCTGGCCATTGTTGTCAATGGAGGAATCCGAGGTGCCCGGCAGCAGCCAGTCTCGTGACATGGCAGGTGGGTGGTCGCCAGTGTATTGTAGTTGCTCACGAGGCGGCCCCGTGCTGTAGATCGTTGCCTTGGGCAGGATCAGAGGCAACTGCAAAAGTCGCCATCCGTCGCTTCTGTTGGCGTCAAGCTGCTGCTGCTGCTGCTGAGGAGGAGCCAAGTCCAGGCCAGCTAGCTGGACAGCCCAGGACCGCACACGGCCAGCCGCAACCTCATCGTGTCTCTGTTGCCCGCCGTCCCCTTTTCCCAAGCGTGCGTCCATCGCGTGCGCTGCTGGCCTGGCCCCGTCCTCGAATCACGCCAGCCGCCCCGTCACCACCATCCGCACGCTCGAGGACCCTGAACGACGCAACGTGCCGCCTACCCTGAGAGGTACTGTCTGCACCGGCCCAAGCCCTCTTGCTCGCGCCTCCATCCCATAGGCCACGCCCGCCGATCGCAGAGTCCAGACCTCTGTTCGCCGGCCCGCGTGCCTCTGGCGAGCCAACGAGCGCCTCCTCGGCTGCCCTGCTGGGGTCGACCCGGCACCCTCGCCCGGCAGGGGTCATCTTGGCCCTGCCTGCCTCCCACGCCACGGCCGCCGTGACGGTGCTAGACCCGCTCCCGTCCCCCTCGTTCCCCGTTCGCACCTCGAGCGGCGGCGGCGAACAACTGGAACCGCTCGCGCTGTGCGTTTTGCTTGATCGACACCACTCCTCTCACAACTCCCCACTGGACGCCGGTGTTAGCTACCTTCTCTTAGCGAGAGCCCAGCTGTTACATTCCCACCCTTTCCTCCTCCTCCATCCCGTGGATCTTGCGACATCCCATCCCGCGCTTCCTGCTCCCACGCCTCTTCCACGCCGTCTCAAGAAACTCAAAGAGCTTTCACTTCTATCGTCTGTACTGTCGTGCAGGGGCGTGGTTTTCTCCAGTCGAATCTTGGGTAGCCGGCTACACTCTCCTCCCTGGGACAATACACGTTGTCGCTTTACCATCTTGCATCAAAATTGCCACTAGCACCTTCAACACTTTCCGGTCCTGCACATGCACACATGCACAGCTCCTCATCCAGTATTTCCTCCGCGAGTAGCATTGAGAGACACAAACTCGACGAGACTCCTCGACATTGTCCAATTTCTTAGCCTCGGCCTTGACAATGTGGTAGTCTGAGAGCCGACTCTTATTTGCACAGCTCCTGGCTAGGAGTTCAAGCGCAATTCTATCCCCTCCAAAACGGCTGTTCTTTTTCACGGTCTGCACACACCCGCATTTGACGTGCACAAACTGGACCTGAAGACGTCATTCTCGAACCGTCATGGCGCCAGACGCCTCGCGAAGCAGCGATCGCACTGCTACCCAACACTTCACCATGAAGACCGCAAAGAGGCCTGCGCTTCACTCGTCGCAGTCGTCCCACACCTCGCGGCATTCCCACACCAGCCCATCTCTCCGACTCAATAGGACAATGTCCAGCTCTGTCGTCTCGCCACGCGTGGCACACTCGGTCGGCCAGCCGTATCCTCCACCCAGCAAATTATCACCAGGCATTTCCTCGCCGGACAGACGAGTCACGAGCCCCAACTACTTCGCCCTCAACGTCGAGCGCGACAGCTCGCCGCGGGACTCGTCGACCATCCCAGAAAACAACTGGAGTCCTCCTACATCATCCGTGAGGTCATTCGCCGCAGCAATTCCTCAGCAGATACCGCTCGACGCAAACCCAGAGTTTGAAGCGTTTCGACGACAGGTGGATGCCAACCGTTCTAGGGGCTTCAACCTTGGTGAAGCCAGCTTCAGTCCTGCACCACGGCTATCCCTACCTACAGCGACCACGACAAGGCCTCAGCCGACGCACCGAGCCACGCACCACAGCGAAGTTTCTGCTGAACGGGTGACGCGGACCTCGACGCATGATGGGCCCAGCCTTAAAATGGATGTGGATGGGGACAGCCTCCACGATTCTGCCTACGTCTCATCCGATTCCAAACGGAATTCCGAGATCTCGCTCTCCGGTCCCTTTGCTGGAGGTGTCAGATATGATTCACCAGCTTCCATGGATTCCCCATTTGATGCTGGCAGGAGGTCAACCTTGACAACCATTGACGACCGCCACCCGCGATTGTCTCTGCCACAACATAAGCTTGAGCTTGCGGGCGATCTCGCCAAACAGCGTGCGCGAACCACTTCATCCGGTCCGGAAGGCGGCCCCGGCCTAATGCCTGTGGCAACACTTCACAATTTGATGAAAAACGCGGCAGATGGAGAATTGCTCATCCTGGATGTTCGAGTATCGACACATTATGCGCAAAGCCGGATACGGGACGCACTCAACCTCTGCATTCCCACGACCCTTCTCAAACGAGCAACTTTCAACATCCAGAAGCTCCTTCAGACGCTCCAATCAGAACAGGACCAGGAAAAGTTCCAGCAATGGCGTGCCACCAAATATCTGGTCGTGTACGACGCCACATCAAGCGAGCAGCGGGACGCTGCCGCCGCCATGAACATGCTCAAGAAATTCGCAAACGAGGGTTATGAAGGCACTCCATATCTGCTGCAAGGAGGATTTGCGGCATTCTCCAAAGCGTACCCCAATCTTGTTGACCACCGCAGTCCTGTCGAGAGAGCAGGCGGCAGCGCTAACTCTGCTGAAGGCAGCCGACCTTCCTTTGCACCAGTCATCGGTGGCGTCATGTTGCCAGCCAACTCTGATGGCGCCAATCCCTTTTTTAGTAACATTCGCCAGAACATGGATCTCGCGGATGGCGTTGGCCAGATGGATGTTAAGCTCCCTGCCAACATTGACCTTGATATTCTGCCAGAGTGGTTGAAAACCGCTGCGGACCCTGCGGATCATGGCAAGAAGGTGTCAGAGCGCTTCCTAAAGATCGAGAAGGGCGAACAATCGCGCATGAAAGACGCGTACGCAGCCTTCAACACAGCTTTGCCATCACAAGCAGGAGGCGTGCGTCTGTCAGGAGTGGAGAAAGGTGTCAAGAATCGGTATAAAGACATCCTTCCTTTTGAGCATGCGCGAGTCCACCTCGCCGGCCGACCCCAAGGCGCCTGTGACTACATAAACGCTAGTCACATCGAGACCGCCAAGAGCAACAAACGGTATATCGCTAGTCAGGGTCCGCTGCCAGCCACCTTTGATGTGAGTTTAGAAACGTGGCCCGTGGAATCGCAAGAAGTTTGCCGTGCTAACTTCTGCCCTGCAGGATTTCTGGTCGGTCGTATGGGACCAGGATGTTCGCGTGATCGTCATGTTGACTGCCGAGATGGAAGGCGGACAGCTCAAGTGTCACCCGTACTGGAAGGAGAGAGATTTTGGCCTCATCAAGTTGAAGCCATTGTCTGAGAAGAAGGTCTCTCTTGACATTGACCGCCACCGGTCAAGCTCGACAGCATATCGATCGTCTTTTATGTCGAGCGGTGAAGCAAGCCGCCGCCGCGCCAATACAACAACCCAGCTCGACTCTGCGCCTACGCCTGCTGCTGTCCAAAGCCAGACCGAAGCGCCATATGTCATCATTCGCAAGTTCGCCTTGATGCACTCGGCTCATCCCTTTGCGCCAGTGAGAGAGATTACGCACCTCCACTACCCATCGTGGCCGGATTTTGGGGCCCCAGCACAGCCATCGCACCTATTGGCTCTGGTTGAGCTCGCCAACGTGATGCAGCGAGCTGCACTGCCAGTTGACTCTCACGCAATCTCATCCAGCTTCGCCGCTGACCAGGCTCATCACATTGGCTGGTATGACGAGCCAGCCTCAGAGGACAACGTGCGACCTATGCTTGTGCACTGCTCTGCTGGATGTGGCCGCACTGGCGCATTCTGCACCGTCGACAGCGTGATCGACATGCTCAAAAGACAACACCTTGCGTCGCTGGATACAGCCAAGAGTACCGATGGCGACGGGGACGTCTCCATGTCAGACGAGCCCATTTCTCCACGCACTGTGCCGAGTCAGAGTCTCGATGAGCGCCTCAGGCTTTCGCAGGTTCTTTTGGAGGGTAGACAGGGCGACAGGAGCTGGGTGTACAACAAAAACATCGACCTCATTGAAGACACAGTCAACGACTTCAGACAGCAGCGGCTTAGTATGGTGCAGAGTCTGCGGCAGTACGTACTGTGCTATGAGACCATTGCCGAGTGGGTGGCGCGTCTAGAAGAGAAGAAATCAAGCAACATCACGCCTGGCGGTCGGCGGCGGAGTGGTAGCCTCAATGGCCATTGACGAGATTGATGACATCAGTCACTCGGCCCGTACACGACAAAATTTCAGATTTAGCGGGCGTTGTTCTTACACTACACATTGGACTAGGAAGCAGTTGGATCCAGCAGATGCCGCAGCTTGACAATGGCTGCATACCCACGCGGCATTGCCTTGGCTCGAAGCGGTGTGTCTACGACTGGTTCCTGATTTCGCATATGAGGAACTTGACGACACTCGGAGCTCGTCCAGGTTTGGATAAGCATCGTCCCTATACGGGTGTTTCGGGGTGAGGAGTCAATAGGGGGGGTTTGGGAAACTCGGGAGAGCAATAGGGACATGACCTTCTGAACAAACATCGAACCAGGCTCATCACATGCATATCATACCATAGCATTATTGGGTGCTTTTGTTTCTGGCGTCCGGGGGGCGAATACTACTACTACCACTACCATTACCACTACGACTGCTCACCATCTCGGCTATTTGACACATTTCGTTGCATCGTGCGCCTCTCTGCGTCTCTTTCTGCCCATAGCCTGATACTAAGTGCGCATGTGGGAGTGTGTGCGGTGGAGGGTCATGTTTTCTGCCCATCCTTGAAGGGGGCCTGTTCCCCGCGATCCCCGACTGCTGTGCTAGCAACCAAGGATATATTCTTCTCCTCCTTTGGGTTTCCCGCCGAAGAGAGTACAAAAGTGTCGACAATATGCTTGGTTTCCCGTCTTTCCCGTCTTTCCCTTCGTAAGCCGTCTTCAAAGGAGAGGTGTGCACACGTGATGGGCGTTTCGAGCGTCCCCGGCTGATTAGAGAGGAGTAAAACAAACATCGCCACGCGATACAAAGGCATCGCAGGGTCCTTAATATGCCGTCCATCGAGGACCACAATGATGTGATAAGCATTATCATAGGCATCGCAAAATTGTTTGATCGTCAAAGGCCAATTTTTGTCACAAGAGCTAATGAGTAGCCCATCTCACACGCTGGACTGAGTCCGTTGATTTGGACGGAGCTAACAAATCGAAGTCCATAGTTGTTTCATTTATTTCATATTCATAGCATATATGACTCGAAGCCCAGACGAGGCACGGCCGCCCAGCCAGACGACAGCGAGACACCGCGTGCACCTGGTACACCGAGTCCCATTCCATAGGCAAACATGCTGGCTCACTTCCAGAACTTCTGCAACGACACCTCCTTGTCGTCGTGCTTGTTGAGGATCTTGGCCGTGGCGAGCTCGAAATCCTCTTGTGTGACGTGGACTCTCCGCTCCCGGAGGGCGTACATGCCAGACTCTGTGCACACGCCCTTGAGCTCGGCTCCTGAACACCCATTCATCTTCTCTGCAATCTTGGTCAGGTTGATGCCTCTAGTCAGGTTCATCTTGCGGCTGTGGATGCGCAGAATATCGGCTCTGGCTTCTACCGACGGCGGAGGGAACTCAATCTTGCGGTCGATGCGACCCGGTCTCAGAAGCGCAGGGTCCAAAATGTCCAGTCGGTTTGTCGCCATGATGACCTTGATGTTTTTCGTGGGCTCGAAGCCGTCCAGCTGGTTGAGCAGCTCCAACATTGTCCGTTGCACTTCCGAGTCACCACCAGATGAGCCCTCCACTCTCGAAGAACCAATCGAGTCGATCTCGTCCATGAAGATGATTGATGGCGCGTGTTCACGAGCCATGACGAAGAGCTCACGCACCATCCGCGAACCTTCACCAATGTACTTCTGCACGAGCTCTGATCCTGACACACGGATGAACTTGCAGTCTGTGTGGTGGGCGACAGCTCGGGCCAACAGTGTCTTGCCGGTACCGGGAGGACCATAGAGCAGGACTCCCTTGGGTTGCGCAATACCAAGGGACTCGAAGAGCTCTGGGTGCTTGAGACCGAGCTCGATGACTTCCTTGATCTCCTTGATCTGCTGATCGAGACCGCCGATCATGTCGTATGTGCTGTCGGGCACCTTTTCTACCATCATGAGAGAGACAAGCGGGTCGACGGACGACGGGAGGATCTTCTCGAGCTTGTATGAGTCGGAGAGGAGGGTGACACGCTTGCCGGCGGTAAGTTTCGCAATGTCGACCGAGTCCGCCACGTCGACGACTAGATGAGCCGTTAGTAAGGACGCACAAGTCTCCGAATGGGGTTCTACTCTGCTTGGAAGCGCGTACCGTATTTGCCTTCGGGATGTACCTTGACCAGGACCTTCTTTGTACCCATGACCTTGACAACCTCGCCAACGTAGGAACCGGGCTGCTGCAAGAGGCCAAGCTCCTCGCGCAGTAACCGCACTCTCGAGTTGTAGTCATTCCGCTGGGCTTCGAGACGACGTAGGACAGCCTGGCCCTTGAGGATCTCGAGCTTCATCGCCTCGATCTTGTTGTGATAGTAGTTGTCGAGCGCCATGGTTGCAGTGTGCTCCGTCCGGGAGTCGGGAGCTGTGGGAAGAAGGAAGGCCCGCCAGGTGACGGTGAGGGAGGTCGAGACAGATCAAAGCACACGAGGATGGTGAACGGAGCTGCCAGCGGATGGTCGAGTCGGGGCGTTGAAGGTGACGATGTCGGCGACGTTGCTGTGTGTTTGGTGGGATGTGGAAGTGACTGGCCGCAATTGGCTGGTGACGAGGCTGAGCTCATAGCTCTCTGGGTGTCCACGGGTGGGTCCCAGGCATGGGAGGCAACACAGTCGAGCCCCAGCCCAGGCAGGTGAGTGTAGACGTGGACACTGCAACTGCCTGCCGGGTAGGTAGGCCTGCGATGGTGGCCCTGTATCTTGACCAGCCGGGCCTCTCGAAGAGGACGGCAACCCGACACAACCCAACCACGGTCCTTTCTATCTGTTGGAAAACAACAACTATGGCAGGCGGGGTTGAATCCCAAGTTCACTCCGTCCCAGAACAATGGTGGGAGAAGGCTGCATCCTGCTTTGTTCTCAAAAGTGGTCACTCATATTACTTGGGTTTGGGCAAAGCAGTTCATGGTGTACACATTCTCTCACTTTGCACAACAATACTCACCAACGGAATCTTCGGCAGCTTGTTACGGGTGTAGAGTATCAAACCCCCCTAACAGGGGATCTTGCTGTGGGCAGTCCAAGGCTATCCTCATCGCGGTGTTAGTGGTTTGCATCTGTTCACATTGCTTCGGATGACCTGATTTCAGTTTCTCCAAGCCACGTTGTCAGCACTTTTGTTGACCAGGGCTACGAGGATGCAACTCTTCACTCGTTTTTCGTATCAAAAGCTGCAGCTCACTCTGCCAAGCCACTTGATGCACTCGAAAGTCATCTCCCGGCAGCACTGTAGTGGGCCATGATGTATTTCTTGCAGCTGAACTGTGCCGCCCGAAGCGCTGGCGTTGCTGATTTTAGAAGATCTGTACGTACACAGGCAGCAAAATGCTGGCTGATCAGCACGAGGAATGTGCTGCTGGAGCAGATTCTCCATCAACACCACCTTGGGCCAGCCTGTCTCGCAGCAGTCACAAGCAGAAACTCGAGACCTGGGCAGGGATCGGCCGAAGCATGACCTCCCCACACTGGCAACCTCCAGTCGGCGCGGAGGCGCTCCAGGGCTGCGGCTACTTATCCGCCGCACGCCGTGCGGATCCTTGGAGCGCTTGCGTCTCCTTGCATGCGGGACTCGTGGGATCTCCCGCGTGACAGGATAGTGCAGGACAGATGACCTCGCGGCGGCGGACGAGGCCCGGAGCAGCTGATAAGACGTACCTGGCACAGGCGGCGGGTAATTAATTACGGGCAGGTCGGCTAGAGCAACAGATGTGGCCAGCGACCAGAAGAGGGCGATCACGATGCGGCAAGGTTTGATGCTGCTGACTAGGTGGCTCTTTGTCTCACACACCGCAACGTTGGGAGTCTGGGAGCTGGGCAGCCACTAACTAAGCAGCGCAATGACATGGCGTGCGTCACAAGTCGCATGCATGCCCACTCTGCCGACATGAGACGGCAAGGCGGCCTGCTTGTCCATTGCATGACTATACACGAGGAAGGCGTCCGAGCAGCCGGCTTGGGAGCGCAAGTCCTCTGCTCTCGTCCAAGCCGCGCTGCTGGATGCACAGCGCTTTGGGTGCCAATGAAGCTAGGTAGAGCTTGACTCGGGCAGCAGATTTCAGGAGAAGCTGGGAGGCGCGTCCCAATTTGAAGTTCGAGGGCGGGAAGCTTGGGCCCCGGGTGGTTGCGCAAGGCGCCATCTCACCCACCCCGGGCCCTGCTTGGCCTGCCTGGGCGTGCTGCACCTTGTTTATCAGCATCCTGGTCTCCCGAGCATCAACCCCCCCGTCGCGCTCCTGAAGTTACCTCATCGTCCTCTCGTCGTGCAATTATTTGCCGGCTGATTCCTTGAAGAGCTGTTCCTGTTGCCTCATCCCAGCTTCCGTTTTGCTGTCGTATCATACAGCTTCCCCTCGTTCTGTCGCTCGAGCACTCCCGACCCGCGCACATCACCAAGCTGTCGACCAGCCTCGCCTTGTGCTGCGCGGCATCTTACAAAGCTCTGCGATACTCCCCTCTCGGTGCGTGGCATCGTCGCACCAGCAGCCGGTCTGTCCAACAAGCTCAAAGCGGTGGTCATGCTGTGCTTCGCCAGAACTTGAAGCATCTTCCACGCCACCACTCCCATTATTACGTGGGCGTGCCACAGGCACAATGGACCCTTCCACGCAGGACAGCAGCTCCAGCGCCCCTTCTCCTACGGATACGCGGCGTGCCCAACCCAGCCAGACTGAAAGCCAGCAGTCAACTGACACGGTGCGAAGACGGCCCGATGCTAACTATGGTGAGTCCTCGAACAAGACGTTCTGCTCCAGGCGATAGATGGGACCCATATACCCCCGGCCATGATCAAATGCTTCTTTCAATGGATATAGACTAATGTTATCTCCACACTTCCCAGGATCCATACAAACTTCCACAGCTGCCAGTATCAGTGGCAGTCAGTACCTAGCTGATCCATACGAACGATCCGGGTCCAGAGCTAGTGTTCAGCCTGCTCGCTCGCCCCTGCTTGGCCCTGAGCGCGGCAGGCAGCGGCCCAAGAAGCCAGCTATGCTTCGAAGAACTTCGTCCCATGCCCCTCACAAGGGTGAGATCTTCTCGACCGAGGACGACCCTGATGAGCTGCAGAACGACGCAGCCGGAACCAGGCAGACATATGCTGCAGCGCCAGCCTACAACACTGATTCGGTCCGGCCAAATGCGAGTATACGCCGTCGTTCAGCGGCAGCTCCAACTCTTTCTCGCGTACAGTCGAGCCGCAGCGATGGGCCCGAAGACGATCGAATCGAAGAGCAGTCCGAAGACGACGATCCCATGACTGCCTCGCAACGACTAGGCGAGTCCATGGAAGACGAGCAAGCCTCTGATGTTGATCCGGCCGAGGACGAGGACGAAGACGGCGATATCAGCGACGCCGAGAGTTTTACTCTCAAGGACCGCCAACAGGCCATCAACGAGACCCATCCCTTCGGTATCAGGATTTGGAAGCCTGCGCTGTACAAGAAGGATCGTTCTGTTCAAAAGACAGCGGAGGGTGATATTCATTCATCGCCGGGCGGTCACGTCAGCAAATGGCTCTTGTTCTTCAACCTTATCTGGACCCTGGCATTTGGCTGGTGGATGGCTCTCTTCGCAGCGGTCGGTGCTCTGGCGTGCTTCCTCTGCGGCGCTGCTCCTAGTGGGAGAGCGTACGGCCGTGTGTTGTGGGGTCTGTCGACATATCTCTTCTATCCCTTTGGGAAATACGTCCGTCTCGAGACAGACGAGGCGTATCTCGACGAGGACCAAGGCGAAGGCCGCAGTATCAGCGAATATGAGCAGTGGCAGAGTGGAGACCTCGAGTACGGCAGGCTCTTTTTTGGTCCCGATGGGAACCGCTCCATCATCGGTCGTTCGCGCCGCAGCATCGATTCGGAGCCTAGCGAGACCGAGAGTCTGCTGGGACGGTCATATAGGAATGATTTCTCAGACAACGAGATGACATCTCGCAACAAGCGAAGGTTGTTTGGCAGAGGCCAGTGGAACATTGGACGTGTGATCTTCTTCGTCGTCTTTTATGGGCTCCTCACACCGTCCTTGTTCATCACCTCTGGCATATGCTGGTTGCTCGTCTTTTGGATACCCATGGGCAAGGTGACCTTACTGCTCTTCGATCATTTACGCAGGCATCCTCTTGCGCTTTCCTTCGAGTCTGACATCAGCCTCGCAAGAAATTCAGACGGTGCTCATTCTGCGATCCTGGTCTGCACCTACCGTGCCACGGGTTGGAAGTACTGGAAGTACACGGTCGACGGTACCAACATCTTTCTCATCAACCTGATGGCAGTGGTCATGTTCGTCATCTTTGACTGGCTCGTTCTCGATGGGGTACTGCATATCGAGTCGTTCATGACCTCTCCTGGTTTTCTCTTCATTGCGGGATTGCTCTCGATCATTCCACTTGCTTACTTCATCGGCCAGGCCGTGGCATCCATCTCTGCACAATCGTCGATGGGTGTGGGTGCTACAGTCAACGCGTTCTTCGGAACTGTCGTCGAGGTCTTCCTGTATTGTGTGGCCTTGAGACAAGGCAAGGGCCAGCTTGTCGAGGGCAGCATCATTGGAAGCATCTTTGCCGGTGTGCTTTTCATGCCAGGCCTCTCGATGTGCTTTGGAGCGATCAAGCGCAAGACCCAACGCTTCAATTCCCGCTCTGCCGGTATCACTTCGACCATGTTGCTTTTCGCCGTAATTGCAGCCTTTGGTCCAACCCTGTTCTACCAGATCTATGGCACACACGAGCTGCGCTGCGGCAGCTGCACCGACTACATCGATCCACCCTCAGGATCCGATGAACGAGAATGCCGACGATGCTACTATTCACAAGTCCCGGCTCTCGATGACCGCTTCTACAATGAGGCCGTGCGGCCTTTCTGTTATATTGCTGCCGTGCTGCTGTTCTCGTCCTATATGATTGGCTTGATGTTCACACTCCGTACCCACGCCGCCATCATTTGGAACGCCGACAGCGACGAGAAGAGACAGGAGGAACCCAGCCACCCTGTTACGCGCATTTCCGAAGCTCGCTCGGCTGCAGATGCTACAGGCTCAGACATTCGCGACACCAACCTTTTCAAGCGCATCTATGCCCAAACATCCAAACAAGTTGGCCTAGCTGGCTCAGAGGAGCGTCGTCACTCGCGTCGTGCGTCCTTGTCGACACCTGTTGCGCCTAATGGGCCATTGACGACACCACACATGGTTCCGCCGAAGGGTCATGAGACGGACACCGACACTGTTCGTTCTCATACACACTTTCCGGGCTTTACTGACGCAGATACTGCTGTGGTACGAGGCGTGACAGAGCTGGCTGCCACTGCTGCCGCCATTGCTGCACGTGATGTCCGCACACCTCGTCGGACGGCCGCCCATCACGGAGGTTCCGTTGTCAAGAAGCCTAGTCACCTCCATGATGGAGACGATGGACACGACGGCCAAGGTGAAGCTGGCCATGGGGGTCATGATGCACCAAATTGGAGCCGGACCAAGAGTAGTGTCATCTTGCTCGGTGCAACCATTCTCTATGCCGTTATTGCAGAACTGTTGGTAGACACTGTCGACGTGGTGCTTGACAACTACCCGATTGATCCCAAGTTTCTGGGAATCACTTTGTTTGCGCTTGTGCCGAACACGACGGAGTTTTTGGTGAGTTCCATTGGCTTTCGCTCTGCAGGATCCGGAATCTTGTAACTGACACCCTTTGCTTACAGAACGCCATTTCTTTTGCTATTCATGGCAATGTCGCCTTGTCGATGGAGATCGGCTCGGCCTACGCACTCCAAGTGTGCCTGCTGCAGATCCCCGCCCTGGTCTTGTTCTCGGCCGTCTTCCCCATCACGCCGACTGCGGAAGATCCTGACCCTGCCCACTGGACATTCAGCCTCTTGTTCCCCCAGTGGGATCTGGTCACTGTGATCCTTTGTGTATCTCTGCTCAGCTACACGTTGAACGAGGGCAAGAGCAACTATTTCAAGGGCAGCATCCTGCTGTTGGCGTATTTGGTGGTCATTGTTGGCTTTTACTTTTCGAGCTTCACAGACGGCTCAATGGACATGGGCATGTCTCGGTTTGACACGCTTGACGCATCTGGGCAATGGACAAGCTACAAGACGATTGGACGCGGCACTGGTGGGCAGGCTTATCAGGTCTAATGAGATCCTGTGAACTTGCAGCAGAAGATGATACACGTACAGAGAAAAGAGAGAGAGTGTGATGGACAGGAGGCTGTTTTGACGGATAATTTTTTGTTGCCTTTGCATGGACTATGGCGCATGGTGTGATTGTTTGGCGGCCTTCTCAGCATTGTTACAGCGATAGAGTTAAAGCGCTTTGATAGGGCATTGGTGCAGGAACGACATTGGTCTCAGCGAATGTTCCAATACCCATCCTAATACAATACATATGAGCATGACTGGAATATCGAGAACCACTAATGTCATGAAATTGATGTTTATGGGAACGACATGCTTGTATCCTCGAAAGGCTCCCGGCTGCAGACGAGCAACCATTGGCAGACTGCAGGCTTCCATTTCTTATCTTCACGAGTTTCCGCACACGTAACTAAGCTTCCTGACAAGCTGGACAAGGAGAATGCTTCCATTGACAAGCCGTCCACAATCCTCGGATGCCCGTGAGAGGACGGGAACTCAGGATTTGCTGGCAGCCTCAGCAACATCGATGGGGCTTGTGAAGGTGGAGCTCCTAGAAGTTTTTCCACGATGCACGCGCCATGGCAGAGCCGCAAGTGGAGTATCTTCACAAGGGCTGTCAGTGCCACGCGTCAGTGTAGTCAGCCCCGAAGCAAGTGCCTGAGTCGTGCTGCAGACCAAGGATCAGACTCAGAGATATTAGGCCGAGTGCGTGGCAGGGAACGGGTCTGAAAGATATCTCGAATGGAGCAACTTTTCAGCGAAAAGCCAGACGGGCCAGGGTCCGCAGCCCTGCAAGAGGCTGGTCGTGGTGGATATGACCCACTTCTGCAGCCTTGGCTGGTCCCGTCTCTGTGCCGGCGCGGCGCGCTTGATGCCTGAGAGTGCCTGAGCCAGCCAGGCAGAAAATTCTGCCGCGCGCGACGAGTGGGGGCCCGCCTGCGCACGGCGACCGCCCTGGGCGTGCCCTCCCAGCAGTATATAAACCTCGCGCCGCTCCCTCCGTTTGTCTGGCTTTTCTTTCTTTTCTTCTCATGCGATTTTACTTCAGAGAATCACTTCTAAAGGAAAAATCCCATCTCTGTGTTCCCTACAGGAGCCACAGATCCCACCCTGGTTGATGAGCGAAAATCCCCGCTGCCCTAGAGTGAAGTTTTCTCTACTTGGGAGCCAGTCTGCCTCCGCGCGCTGCGTCTCCCATACTCTCGCCCTGTCCGCAAGGATGGCGGTCTTGCCCACATTCACCACCTCGCGTGGTGTCTTTGCGGCGGCTGTATAGAGAGTGGTGATGATCTCAACCCCGATTACGCCGTGGTCTTGCCTTTGGGCGCGCGGCCGGGGTGGGCTTTGTGGGACGTCTGACAGGCTGTGTCTTTTTTCATCTTTTTCGTTGCTATCGCGTGCTTGTCGCGCGAGGTGAGGAAGAAGCTTGTTCGGTGTTGGGCTGGACGTATTTCGACGCGCTTCGGTGAGGGCTGTGTGAGGTGAACGTGATAATGTCGGACAATTTGCGGACGGCCTTCCGCGTGGTTTTTATTTTAAGGTTGAATGCACTCATTAAATCCTACCTTCCAAGGTTGTTCAAACGGTGCTGCTCTCCTGGTTGGTCTTTTCATTGATGAGGTTCATGATGGCTTCCTGCCTCGGGAGTCCCCAGGTTGTCAACGTGCCATGGCGGGAGATTCACTGGCAAGCTCGAATCAGTTTTGAAGTTTTCACGGCAGCCTCTCTCTCCTCCATGTGTGACCGTCCTGTCCCTGTCGTCGATGCAGGGGCAGTGTGACGACATTCTAACGCGGCTTCCGAGCTGAGGCTGGGCGTTTGTCCCCAGCTGCTCCTGCTGTCCCATGGCTCTTTGCGTCCACTCAACAGGTAATATCAACACCACAGCCATCACGGCGGGCCAAGCTGCGGCACGGCTCAATCACTGCGCCATCCATTAACAATATACACTTCCTCTGCAACACTGGCGGCGACAAGGCGTGTGCAGCAAGCGCAGCCAAAGTCACTCAGGCTGTGATTCCTTTGATCAGTCACATTTTGGTCACGAAGCAGCCCCCCCGGCGTGCTGGAGTTCGGAGCACAGTGACAGCACGGCAGCAAGCAGTCCCCTTTTCAAGCCAACAACGATCTGCACTGCGACCAACATTGGCAGGGTCACGAGACAACTCCGCAGAGTTTTTGTCGGCTACTTGCATGCAGGGGCAGCACCAGCGTTGCGTGTTGTGCCATGTTGGGTGCCCGTCACCATCAGTCTCGACTCGAGCCCTCCGATCGGACCACCCAGTTGACGCCCTAAGCCCATGCCTAAGAGGGTCTACCAGACAGTGGTTGGCGATGAAGGGCCCGGACTAATGGCCACCATGTTCTGATGTGATACAGATATAGTTGTTGGTTTGACAGTGCATGGGTCACTTGCAGGTCCAGGCCTCGACCTGCAGAGCCAACTGCATATGGCTTCCGTGTTCGGCTACCAGACAGCCCAAGAAGCGGCAAGAACCGAGACGCAAATCCTTGGATGAGGAGCAGGTGACGGTCAGGTCGGCAAGGCTATGCCACGCAGCCAGTCGCTCCGTCTTGTGATCACCATGTTGGTCTGAAGGAAGTTCCCGGGCCAAGCGGCGGAGCCCTGGCGATATGTCCCACCGGTGGACGGTTTTCGGGTTCTCATTGTCTCATAGGAAAGCCCCAAGTCTGACTGAGCCCGCCCTGTTCCATTCTCTCTCCTATCTGATGCTCACCCGCAACTGGGTTACATCCAGATTCGTCTTGATCGGCTCTACTTCACAACAACGATCTGTCACGAGAAGATGCTGCATCAACTCATCATGCCTATGCTTGCATTCCTGTCCATGCTGCTGGTGGTACCCCGGGCAGCATCGGCCGATTCCATTTCGGCCTGGTTTGCTAAAGGAATGCGGGCGCCCCAGGTCATGATGTACAATGAAGACAAGGGCGAAATATTCTACAGCTTGTGCAACAGTAATGGAACCCCGGTCTTCCCATATGATGACAATCACGTTCTCCGACTCGATCAGAAGCCCATGAAAAACACCAGCATCACTGGTTCCGCAGGAGATCGAAACACGGTCAGCCGCCTATGCCAAAATGTCTCCAAACCTGCTCAGAAATACAATACTCACGCGTCGACCCGCACAGGCGCTTTTATACTATCAGGAGGAAGGGGGCGGTATCGTCAACGCCATCTTCTATTGCAATGGCACTGGTCACCTCAACATGGGGGAAGGACAGTCATGGATTGTGACTAGCGGGAAACCAGGTATCCCGTCCAAGGACATCAAGCCCGGCACAGCTCTCGCTGCACTTACACTGGCCGGGAAAGAACGCCGAGTGTTTTACAAGAACCACGAGAATATACCGTCTGTGCTTGAGTACAGGGTCAATCCGGATATTGACGGTGATGGTGACTGGTATTATGGAGGCGCTATATCGCAAGACCACACAACTGGGCCTTCCTTTGGTGCCTCCTCCTTGGCGCACAACGGGGATATCACGGTAGTAATGGCTTCCTTCGGAGACACGAAGATCGAAGTCTCGACCACCGCGCCTTACATGAGCGACTGGCACATTAGTGAGTTGCGACCGACTGCGGCCGGCGAAGATCACGGAGTCCCGCTTTCTCGAAGCGTTGCTGACAAAAGTCAAACAGCCGGGTGGCCTTATTTCCTAAGCGCCATAAATGGATCCCATTACGTCTCCAATGAGACGGCGCTCACGGACTATTACTTTACCGGCTCGGACCCCATGTTAGAGAAGTTCGGCGAAAATTGTGATCTTGGTCTCGCATACACAAAGGCAAGCAACGGAGCACCTTATGTCGGGAATATCTTTTACATCGGAAGAGACTCCAAGCTTCACCATATAAAGGGCAGCCCAGACGCTTGGGAGAATGGCGCGCAACAGGTTCCTGAGCTTTGGCCTCTTGCCGACGAGCCCTTCGCGAGAATGGCTGTCACGAGCTACGTAGACATAGCAGACCTGTGGGTCTATTACCTGAGTGGTGATCAATGTGAGTAATGTTCAAGGCGCTCATCAATGGCAAACGACAATCTGACGGATGACGCACATAGTAATGCAGGTATACATGAAGGACGGAGAATGGCAGCCACATACTGCGTTGCCAAAACCCACCACGACTGCTCCTAACGCGACTGTTCCTGATGCTTCTGGCGATGATATTGGTGAAGAGCCGGCACCCTCCAGCCTCTCACAGAGTCAAAAGATTGGTATCGGTGTCGGTGTTGGGTTTGGTGTGCCCATCCTAGTCGGTCTCTCTGCTCTCTACATATTCCGATTTGCTAAGAAGTCTCGACAAGGCAAACACCAAGACCTTGCCGCTACTCGTGGTGGAAGTGTTGAGCCTGGGACTGAGAACAACAAGGCTGCTATTCCTCCAATGAATCCAGGCTCTCCAAATCCGGGGTCCTTTATGTCCCCAACATCGGCACCTGGCTATACTTCTGGCTACTGGGGCGAGGCGCCGGGTCAATGGATAAACGGCCAGTGGGTGTTGTCACCACCTCCCGGACTGGACTCCTCCCAGGTCAAGCTATGGGAACAGTGGCAACATCAGCAACAGCAGCAACAGCAGCAACAGCAGCAACAGCAACAGCAGGGCTATTATGCCCAGCAGTACAGCCATAATTCCTATGACCCAAATCGCCGCGCCAGCCACATGTCTTCGTTCCAGCCCTTTTATGAGCTGGAACATGAGGGCAGGCCGCAAGAGCTGGGCATTACACAGTCCCACCCAACGACAGCGCACAAATGGGAAATGGCAGCAGGCAATGTATCATTCCAGAGCAACGCTGTCAGTCCTCCTTATTCAGCCGTCAGCCCTCCGCCACAGGTTGTGAGTCCAGTGCCGGTCGGCCCGATCGCAGAAGGTCCCAAGGCGACGCTTGAAACAGATCATAAAACTTCAGCCCAATGAAAGCCGGGCCCCTCTCATCATGGCGAGTTGAATGTGAGCGTGGCGGGCCATTAGGTACGACGAGACTCAGAGCGATCCTGGAATTCCGGCTTGCGGCACGACTGTCTTGGCTGAATCGGGCGGTGCATGGTGCCTAGGATAATGTTGGAATCAAGAGAAGAGTTGGCTTTGAGAGAGCAGATTGTATGGATTTGTTGAGTTTTGATTACAGACCAAAAATCCCTACGCAGGCCAACACTCGAGATACTCTACAAAGTGCAGCAAGAAAACTGATAGATCCCCAAATCCTCTCAATTCTCGGGTCCCTTTTGCACACTATTTGTGAGCTGTCGTTGTTTTGAAGTCGTGTAAGTGCCACTACATTACGTAATGCAAGCCATTGAAACGCGCCTGTAGCTCCGCTTGTGAGCACGCGTGCACTCCTGCTGAGCACCCACCATCACAACCTCCCACCACAACCATTGATGTCAATCGCATCGCTGTGGCAACTGTAGTACGCGCAAAAGTACAATGTGAGCGATCCTTGAGAAATATTGCGCATCAAAACACGCCATCCTGCGCCTCGAAGAAAGTGTCGAATACAGCAACACATTGCGTGGACTCGCAAGGCGCGGCACGACGACCCAGATGGCGGCAGGACAGAAGCTGTACCCGCGGGCGACGGTCAAGAAAATCGTCAAGGCGCACTCGAAATGCAATGTTAGCAAGAACGTGGATGTCATGGTCGGTCAATTTTCCCCTGATCCTTCCAGCTCTTCACCATGTCGCGCGGGGACGAGCCACGTTTAGGCTAACTGGGCTTTTTGCCGGACAGATCTTCTTGGACTATGTTTTATTCATGCAGACGTAGGTCACGCTTTCCCTCTTCCGTTAATCTTACGGATAATGAGGCTGTTTTGTTGCTGACAAGACATGGTTCTGATGCTCAGGCTGGTCAAGGAGGCCGCGATTGACTCGAAGCAGGCTGGCGAGCGAGGCATCAGTGCCAAGAGCATCCAGAAGGTTGCGCCTGTGAGTAAACTCTTGTCTGTGCGTCAAGGTGTGGTCACTGTCGTGCTGATCATCGATGCCAGGATGCCTTGAGCAAGTTCAAGGGATGAAATAAAGCCGGCTGCACATATCAAATGCTCAGCACCTTGGCCATACAGCCCAGCACAACTCGCCCACAGTCACGTGAACAGATAGATGGTCTTGTCGACGCAATCAATATGCAGTCCAGATATCGGCTGGCCAATGCGTTTATTGTCAACAGTACATGTGGCCAACAAGCAGTATCACGGAGCAGGACGCATTGGATGCACAGTGGTCATGTCGGAGCGGGCGACGGACGGAAATGGGAAGGCACAAGAGGCCTCGCCTGCGGTTGCTATTAAAGCCTCGAGTGCAGAACGCGAGGGCAGAGATGTTGCCGTGCCGCTACGAGGACAGCCCTGAGAGCAGAAGCTGTGCGAGCTGATGGACTCGAAGAGCAGAAGGCGAGGCTGGTGGATAGTGTGGTTGGGCAAACGGCCACTCGGGTGACTGCAGGCCCGCGGCAACACAACAGTGATAGCGGTAACAAATCCTAGGACACCATTGACCATTTTCTGTATGTGGCTGAAGATGAGACAGTGATATTGGTGGAGAGAGGAGCCTAACGGACCCCATCTCCACCTGCCCGGCGCGACTTGGAATAACAAACGTGCAAAAGGCATAGCAATTGCCTCTGCGCCGAGTTCGCAGAGTGCCCACCTACGTTAGGCAGAGAGTCTCGAGAAAGCAAGCAGGGGCGGCGGGCCTAGAGCTGAAAGGGAGCTCCTCGGCGGACCAATCAGAGGACAAGCGGGTGGGCTCCACCCAGTGACTCTCCGCACACAGCTCGAGAGTCACAGCTGCCGACATTGATGTTCCGTCGCCTTCCACCTATTTTCGCTGCCACAAACCCTCGCCCTCCCACCTCTCTGTACACAACATCCTCTGCCACCACCGTCACGACCACCTCAATCCGCCTAAGCATCATTCCTACTTCGACACTGAATCCGATTGGGGTCCCAGCACTGTCCCGCACCATTCTCCAGTCTCCCCACGGCCGCACGGACCCGCATCCAACACCTGCGAGTCATCCTCGACCCGAAGCACACGACCTTCACTGCCTCGATTCCCACAGCGCCACGACTGCGTGCAGTACCGCCTAGACCAACCTTACAAGTCGGAATTGCCTTCAAAGCAGCCAAGATGCCCTCTGCTGCTGCCCAGAACCCGCCTGTCCAGGCTCCCAAGAAGAAGAAGGGTCCCGCCGCCCAGCTCCGCAACGAGTCGCCTGCCCCGTCAGCCACCTCTGCTACTGACCGGGCTGCCTCGAACGCTGGCGACGGTGAAGAGTCCAAGAACCCTCACGTTCTTGAGCTGCAAAAGTGAGTCCTGGACCGTTGCTATTCCTTTGTTGCGACCCACCGAACTGACAGGCTTCGCCCAGAAACATTCGCAACATCAACAAGAAGATTGTGAGTGCCATCTTAAGATCCTCTGCACCACTTCGAGGGCAAACTTGAGACGGAGCCCGACTAACCTCTCCACCCTTTCGACTAGGCCAATGCCTCGAAGACCGACGCCTTGATAGACCAGCACAAGGACAAGTCCCTTGACGAGCTTGTTGAGGCCAAGATCATCAACAACGACCAGAAGGCGCAACGTCTTAAGAAGCCACAGCTCGAGTCTCAGCTCGCCGGCTTGGAAGACCAGCTTGCCCAGTACCTCAAGCTCGACGAGGAATACCGGACACGCGGTTCTGCCGACCTCGCCAACCTCGAGAAGTCCTTGACTGCAAAGCACGACCAGGAGAAGGCGGATGCCATTGCTCAGCTCAAGGAGCAGCATGCGAGCGATGCCACAAAGACGCAGCGCACCGGTCTGCTCCTGCTCTCCCAGTTCCTTCGCCTTGCCGCCGCGCGGCGCTCGGAAGATGCCGACCCTACACAAGATGAGAACATGGCTTTGGAGGGTGTCCTGCTCAATGTGTATTCTGGTGACGATACCGCCGTCTCTACGATGCTCAAGCTCATTGAGGGATCCGGCGATAAGACCCAGAGCGTGAACGGTGATGAGCTCCAGACTACCTGTAAGTGTTGCCGCAGAGATGCGCTACGCAGAACAGCAGATGCTAACACCCTTGGCAGTTGCCCAAGTGAAGGAGGCTGCTCTCGCTCAGGCTAAGCTCTACGCCGCTGATGCCGCCCCGGAAGTGTCTGACGTACCTGTCGAATCTACCCAACACGTTGAGACCGACCCGACTGTTGCCCACGCTGGCTTGACCGAGATCGACGCAACCGGCGCCGTACAGTCCATCAGCACCCAGGCTGACAACAAGTCTGGCGTGCCTGCCAATGCTGGCGTAACGGATGACGCCGCCAACGCTGCCGCGGAGTCGCAGTGGGACGCCAACAACGACCTCAGCACCTCCCAGGATGAGTGGGTGCAGGTGCCTCGCGACCCTGCTGAGACGGAGACGGGCCTAACTGCCACACCCGCCGCTGCGAGCAACGTGCAGTCTTGGGCGGACGACCAGCCCGAAGCTGTCGCCGAGGTAGGTGACTCCTCGCTCGACTTTAGGGAAAATGTGCTAATTGTGTGTGTGCAGACTGCTACTCCAGCCGATTCGGGCGATGGCTTCCACCAGGTCCAGCGCAACCGTCCTCGGGGCAACGACCGTGACAACCGTGGCCGTGGCGGCGGTCGCGGACGTGGTGGCCGCGGTGGCCGCGGTGGCTTCGGCGAAGGTCGTGGCCGCGGCGGCCGTGGTCGTGGGGGACCTGGTGGACCCGGCGGTCCCCGTGGTGGTAGACGCAACGAGGAGTCCTAGGAGACTCGCCGAGTCCCAGTGTTAACCGGCTTCGACGACACGTTCGGTTCGGTAGCCGAGGCCATTGCAGACTTGACGGTTGAGCTCAACCGTGCAATCAGAAAGTCGAGATACTGAGAGAGGGGGAGCTGTACGTGTATGAGTTGGAGAGCATGCGTTGATGTCTCTTTGTCACTTGATTACGGGACGCGAAGCTCTGGGCGAACATGTCCGGCGTGACACAACAGGATGGGCAAGCGCATTTGACTGATTTTAACCTGGTTTTGGGGGGAAAGGGGACTCTGGGAGGGTTTTGGGGAGCATCTGCTGCATTCCTGGCGTATCCATTGCCCCGGTTTCTGAGGTGACGGGGTGTGCATCTTGTTTACCTGTACAACAACTACAACAAAATGGGTCTGGTAGCATGTGCTCTTGGGGTTCACGGCTGGCGCTCTTTAAAAACAGAATTTCAATGAGAATCATTGGGGAGGGGGGAAGTTGTGAGGATTATCTCACAAAACATTTGGGACAACTACCTTGGACTTGTGCTACGATATTGTTATGATGCCCGCGAACAATAGCCTGCCATACAGAACTTGTGTGGGCTTCCAGATGCTGACCGACCACGGCCGAGGAGCATACAGGATTTGCATTGGCAGCGCATTCCGAGGAAAACGAGATGGGTCAGACGGCGACTATTGTGATAGAGCGCCGGAAGCAGAGCGCCTGAAAGCGGCGTGCAAGCCTGGCTTACGCCAGATTTTAGTCCTGCGACTGAGAGTTAGGATGAGCAACTCGCATTGCAAACCAGGCCGAGGAGATAGGCTATTTATCACGCTTGGGGCCTGTACATCGGCCTCTGGAGACAAGACAAAAGTGACATTTACCCATTAGACATGGAGATTTATGGCCCGAAGCAGCCACTGGGAAACTCAGTATTGCCATCTACGCCAAGTAACTTCGTAGCTGATGTCAGACTGAAACCCCCCTGCAACAAGCACCTCTGGGCCTATCAGATGGTGCAGAGGGAACCCCAATTCCAAAGTCCCCGAAGTAGGCGATATAATGCACACTTGGAGGTGGGAGAGGTCGACTCTCTCACCGACGCGTCTGGTGCCGAGGCTTGTGTCTTGTACCATTCCACTGGTTACTAAGCGGAGGACGAGTGCATACTTGATGTTGTCGCCTCCGTCTGGTCGCAGCATATCAAGACTCGGAGCCTCCAGCAACCGCAAAGACTTGGACCAGTCTTTGGCCCAGTAGAGACACCGCCATCATTTCGAGGCAACAAAGTCGGCGCTCGTCGAGTAGACTATCGAAAACTCATAGACAACGTCATGGCGGCCTTTGTGTGGGACGAGAGGTTCGCGGGCGCCGCCCGGCCATTCCTCCAGGCTCTCGCCACGGCTCTGGCCGTTGTCGTTGTTCGCTCAATCTACCGAGGCGTCAGAGTGCGCCTGCGATACAAGCGCCTGGCACGCCAGGGAATTGTCAGTTGCAGCTCTCACCGGCCTCATATAATGGCAGAATGGCCCCCGCTGACCACACACGTTCATCCAGCCCATCATGCCACACTCGTGGCTCTTTGGTCACATTCCTCTCGTTGCTCGCTTCCGCAGAGAGTTCCCTTCCGACCTGCACATCTCCCATTTCCAGCTCGAGCTGAACAATAACCACCAAAAGTACTTCCCCGGCCTCAAGGCGCCTCCGCCGGTAACGTATCTCGACGTCTGGCCACTGGCGGACCCGATCTGCCTGACCCTTGACCCGGCCATCCCTCCACAATACACGCAGACAAAGTCACTCCCCAAGGCCGAGATGGTGAGGTACTTTATGCGGCCCCTCTGTGACGATCGCGACCTCGTCACCCTAGAGGGCAACGAGTGGAAGCTCTGGCGCTCCCGCTTCAACCCAGGCTTCAGCGCCCGCAACATCATGGCCCTCGTGCCAACAATCCTTGAAGAGGTGGACGTCTTTGTGCGCCAGCTCGAGCAGCTGTCTGGACCCGGTGGAAGCTGGGGCAATGTGTTCCAGCTGGAGAAGAAGGCCATGAATCTCACCTTTGACGTCATTGGTCGCGCGGCCCTGTAAGTGCTACGAGCAGTCCAACATCATCTCGGGGAGCAAACTTCAAAATTCCTCAGACTCGCAGCCGCTAATTTCTGGTGTATGTAGGGATATCAAGTTCAACGAGCAGTCGAGGGCAGAGCCTGGTCTCTTCAAGAACGCCTTCTTCAGCCAGCTTTCGCTGATGGTCGTGGGCGCATCCATCAATTCCATGGTCTCTCGCCGCCTTCCTTCTTATGCGCGCAAGAAGGCCAAGAATGCCGAGATCATGGACGCCTATCTGATTCCGTATGTCCAAGAGCGCGAGGCTGTCGTCAAGGATCAGACTGCAAACAACAGCGCGAGCAAGGCCTCGGAAAAGATCATCATCGACCTTGCCCTCCAGTCTATCGAGAAAGACGGAGAGTCGGACCAGCTGCGCAGCCAGCCGGGGGGTCCTCTGATGCAGACACTGCTGGCACAGCTCAAGGTGTTTCTCTTTGCCGGCCATGACACCACCGCGAGCACCATCGCCTTTGGCTTCCACCTGCTCAGCAAAAACCCCGAGTGCCTGGCCAAGCTCCGGGCGGAGCACGACAGCGTCTTCGGGGCCACCGCCGCCGACATCCAGAGCACGCGAGCACAGATTGAGGCCTCGCCGCAGCTGCTGAACCAGCTGCCCTATACCACGGCGGTCATCAAGGAGACTCTGCGCATCCACCCACCAGCTGCTTCCTGGCGGCAGGGGCAACCCGGATTCTTCCTCTCTGTGCCCGGCTCGGACATCCCTCACCCCACTGAGGGTTTTATGATTCTTGATGCCACCAGGTCTGTTCAACAACGGCCAGGGGCATGGGAAAGGGCAGGCGAGTTTGTCCCGGAGCGGTTCCTGGCCACGACAGAGGCGGGCAAGCAGCAGGACGTCGAGATCCAAGCCCCTCCCGCCAGCGGCTGGCGCCCATTCGAACACGGGCCGCGCAACTGCATCGGGCAAGAGCTGGCCATGACGCAGCTGAGGCTGGTACTTGCGCTCGTCGCCAGGAGGTTCGACATTGAATGCGCGTGGGACAAGTGGGATGCCCTGCAGGGGCGTACGGGAGGCGCGACCGCAAAGAACTCGTACAATGGCGAGAGGCTCTATGCGTACGGCGAGTCGACCGCACATTGCAAGGACAATATGCCTGCTCACGTTCGGTTGAGAGATCTTCCATAAAGCACGTCAGAACCCGGCGGGACGTGCTATGAGATGAATCGCGTGGCGGGATCTCACATGTCAACATGTCAGAGTTGTGTTACCTTTTTCATATCATGCAGTTGTGGCTAAGCGGCATCCTTGAGAATTCTTAATGTTATTCATTCTATCTTCGCATCGGATATCCCTGGATTGCGCGTAGGCGAGGGCTCATCTGTTGACATGTCTCTTGTCTCGTATTTCCCCTCTTCCTCTCATCCCAAGGGGTCTTTTAAGAGGATAGTAAACAGGAGGGTACACGAAAGACCTCCCCAGAGTTCCGGTGACACAAATCAAAGATAAAATCACCATCCACATCTACATCCGCGAAACACTACGTTCCATCCACATGGTTGGCACCGAGGAAATACGGTTGCTACGAGTGTAGATTGTGAGGATGATGCTGAAGAAGGTCGTGGTGGTGACCGCCGTGCGTGCCTTGCGACGAGCATGGCGACAACGACGACGGCGTGGTGACATCCCGATGGCTGTCGTCGTCATAGCGGACCTCGACGTCACTGTGGATCATGATGAACCCGTCTTCCGTCAGGCCCTTGACACTCTCGCTCTGGTCATCCTTGTTCTTGCTGATCGGGAGGCTCGTGTGGTTGCGGCTCTCGCGGTAGCCCGAATGCCGGTGTCTGGCGGCCCTAGCACTGGAGCCGGTATCGTTCTCCGAGAAGCACGCCGCCTCGTTCGGGAATGAGGTTGTCAGTTTCAGCGTGGCGGTCTTCGTCGTGTCTGTGAACTTGCTGTTCTTGCTGTTCTTGCTATTCTTGCTGGTCTTTGGGCGTGACCCAGAGGACTGTCCAGTCGCGGAGGGGTCTTTTGTCCGCCAGTCTGAGACTTCGAAGCCGTCTTTGCCCTCGACACGCTCGAGCTGGTATGGAGCGTCAATGTCGATGCCAAAGGTATTGCCCAGCCAGCTGTCAAATATGCCCTTGAGGCTCGGGATGCAGGCCGTGATGATTGATATGTGGGATGTGACGAGGAGCCATATCGTCGGTGCCATTGCTGTCCATGTGAAGTCGTTGTCGTCTCCGTTGTATAAATACTCATAGTCGAGAATTATCGGGACCGCGGTTAGAGGACAACTAGTGGTGGAACGTAGTTGAGTCGCGGATTAGATTGGTCTTCAACAGGAGAGCTTGCTGTAATTGTAGGGTCCGGACTGTGAGGTGACTTACAGCATGCGGATGGCAAACAAACTCGTCACCAGGACCTTGGCTCCAACTCCGGTCTGTACACGAAGGACCATGACGAGAGCAAGGATGACGATCGAGAAGTCGGTGACCATGTTGGACATATGGACGAACTGGTGGATCGAGATGGCTGCAGGACATGACCCCGGCGATACAGCCCACCATGGAGCAGGAAGAGGACAGCGGAAGGCGGCCGCGAAGACACTGGAGACGCAGAGCGTGCCGATGGCACCCATCAAGACGCGATTCGCGTATCGGACATGCGAGTAGCTGTTGATTGCCCGGATGAACAAGCACATGCACATCTTGGTGCATAGGCTGATCAAAATGGCAAGTATGGTAAGAGCGTATTGCGCCTGTAAAATACACGTCAATGGGACTAACACACCTGGAGAGTAGACTCTTCACTTCCCACGAACCTTGGATATAGCTACCAGAGAATCTTCATCGACAGTCGGCCGTTGCCTGCCGAGACCAAGATTGGCAGCGTACACTGCAACCGCAGACTGAACAAAGACCAAGAGCACGGCCAACAGCAGAGCGTAGTCCCATTCCCGCAGAACCTTGATGTTCCAGCGATACATCAGCTTCCCTATGATTGCTGAGGCCGTGATGAGCGCGGAGATGACTGCGACCGATGCGAGGACTGCGCCATGGCTGTCAGCGTCCAACGGTATGAAGGCTTCTGTCGTCTGCTGGGAGGTTGCGTTCTTTGCAGGATCCATATCGAAGTGAGCGGTGACGGGCGAAAAGGAGTGAGAGGTTTGAACCTCGAATCTCAAAGGGAGCCGAAGGAAAGCTCAATCACCACTACCTATTGGTAGGGGGAAGATGTGCTCATCTACACGTGAATGCAACCAAACGGAAAGTCGGCTGTTGTGCAACGAGATAGCCCTTTGCAACCACAGGATACTCGTTCACAACCGGATAGACGTCCGGGTCCAGGGCTGGGATATAGAACCGCATGGTCTGTTGAAGTGCCGAGCAAGACTGTGGCTCGTTGGTCCCTGAGGCTGTTCAAGGTGTTACTCGGGATCAGAGGGAGTGTTGGCGTGCCTAGTAGAAGGGCGCTATTACTTAATCTACACTCCCAGGCTGCTCAACGCTATGAATATCAGGGGAATGACAGAGGGCAGAAGACAGTTTGGCTTGGCTGTCATATCCAAGGAGAGCCGATCTGATTCGATACAGGACTCCTAGGAGACATTTTGGGGTAAGGAAACAGGCCTGCGCTCGTGCCATCGTAAAAACACCCGTCACAGGCCGGGAAGTTCTTGTTCTCAAGGCTGGCACTGATTCCGCAGCTCATCCGCTGCTAGGATTCGCATTGTTGGTTCAAGTCTGTAGCTTGGGATACAGTCACCCAGAAGTTGGTTCCGGGGTCAGCGACATTCACTGTAATGCTCATTACGGCACCCTGCTCGATTTGCAGGGTTTCGACGAAGATCCTATCCCATATAATGGGTTTACTCGGTTTCCGTCTTGCCAACGGCGACTTGCGCGGATGGCACACTGGGTTTTGTCATGGACCCTGGCAAGGTCCCGAGTTCGTTGGACGTAGGCCACGGACCGTACGTGAGAGCTATGAGTTGTACCTGGGGCCGAGGGCCAAGGTCTGCGACATCCCTTGTGCTGTGACGAGTATGTTTATGCAGATCCGTTCGGGTGTCGTGTCTTTGCGATTTGAAGGAGTCTGTGTGATATGGTTGGTCGACTTGTCGTGGTGAAAGGCCACTGGATTTTATGCATTGAATCTGCCACCCGAGTCTGACGCAAATACTACCAGCGGGCTACTAAAAGTTACATGCTCTCCGTACTTTGGCCACATGAAACGCGACGAGAACCCGCGAGGCGATGTAGAATGTCGCTCAGGAGAGCCAACAATGAGACATGACATTGTCCCTGTCGCCTGCGAGCCTGGCCGCATGGCTGCCTCGTCACATGACCGTGTCTGTTATGTCTTCCTCAGCCCTTTTCCACTCGCAGAAGCGATCCGATGCATCATGGACGGACACAAACATGATCGGCTCACACAACCCTGCCACGGAAGGGTGTCCGTGTGGTGCTGAGTAGCGAGTGGCTGGTCATACTTCTTGTTATGAACAATGGAAAAGAGATGCTGTTTCCAGGAAGCCGCCTTGTATCACCCTTCTCCCGTGGCTTGGGCAGCAGGGAGACACTAATCACACATACTATGAAGACCTAATTGGTACGTTCGACATTGTTGTCTGTCCAATGATTGAATAGGGCCAAGTGTTTCATGGGATTAGAAGGGCACGTCCGGGTCAAGGGTTGCTGGACCCTGACTTCCCAGTGCATGGAACGCCGGTGACCTTTCTGCCACAAGGCCGACTGGATGCTGTCGACTAGGACCATTCTTGAGAATCGTGTGTTGCATTCTCCAGATGTCGCAGATGACTTCCCAATGGAGGTTGTCGAGAGTCATGCACGCGAGTGGTGGCATGACTACCTCAAAGCAAATGATTCGATATCATTCTTGACATGACCTTGACAGCCCTTGATGCGTCGCATCATGGGGGAGCATCATCACACATAGTCCAGGGTAGGAGTACTTCACAGAGTCGTATTCCTCCGTGCATTACCTTGCAGGTCGAACTCTTGCAGGACCAAGTCGCATGTCAGTGCTATTCGGGGACGGCGGGCCGTGGCCGGGTTGCTCCATAGGCTCGCCAGGGGTTGATAATGGAGATTCTATGGAGCAGCTTCACGACTCCATGTGGAGCACATACTACATGACCAAACCATGCAGGATCTGCCAGTTGTTGGTTGGCAGTGTTGGTTGTGTTGGTAGCATTGCAAGCATCAACACTGCCTGATCTGGGGCACCGGTCCGCGAACCTTGCATCTTGGTGTCCCTGGCTCAAAAGTCCTTTCCAATCCGAACTGCTCGTGCGTTCTCACGGCTTAGACAAGTCGCATGTAACACAGTGCAACTTCTAAGCTTCTGGGAGCGAGCCCGACCCATGGCTGCTGCTTGATATCGCGAGCCTCGGCCCTAGGTCCTACAGGTTGTCAATCCGTTCTTCTGCGCCACTGACCAGGGGCAGCATACGCGTGGAGGCATGCAATGGGAGCTTGCTATATTTTTCTGTCCCACGGTGTCTTGACTTGCTATCTTTAACCTATGCTCAGGCTTGATACCACTGGCACCGGTCAGAGGATTTCCCATACTCCCATTATACCATCTTCGTGTTCTTCTCATAGCCTCCCAAACGTGCTAGAAGTGATCTCTTCTGCGTACGTTTCGTCAACGACATCATGCTCGACAACAAGGTCGAGTTGGTAGACATCAACGTCTCCCAAAGCAAAGAACGTTCAGGACCACCAGCACCTCGTGACGATGTCTCGTTCCTTGAAACACAGACAAGAACGCGGAGGCTATTCTCCAGCGCGCAGATTTTCTGTTTCGCCCTCGTGTATTTCGGGACATGGTCTGGCATAGGCATGTAAGTCGGGCATGCGTCGAGCTCTACGAGACTCTGTCTTTACCTAGCAAAGAAGCTGACCCGGTAATCTACCAACTGGTCACAGCAACATGTACTACGCCTTACTTAATGGAGGGCCAGCTGCATATCTCTTCAATTTGATCATCGCCTTCGCAGGCGCTCTCGCGCAGGCTCTGTCCCTAGGCGAGCTCGCGTCGATACTGCCACTTGCCGGCGCGCAGTACTACTGGACGTTTCACTTCGCTCCCTTGAAAAGTAGACGGTTTTTGAGTTGGATTGCTGGTTGGGCAACTTGGTTGGGCTACGTCTGCGGATTAGCAGGCGTCCTAAACGAGTCGGCTATTTTGTTCGAGGCCAGTATCCAGATCAACTTCCCTGACTACGAGAGTGGGGGGTGGCGTACGACCCTTATTGTACTATGCCTACTGCTTTTCCTCACTGTCGTAAACGTGTGGTTCTTCCGCATCGTTCCGTGGTTTGAACTCCTCGCCGGGATTGCTAACATCTGCTTCTTCTTTATTGTTCTGGTTACGCTCTGGATCATGTCGCCGCGGAACGATCCCGAGTTCATCCTTACCACAAACTTCTCGGGCTGGGAGAACAGCTTTGTGTCGTGGAACATTGGGATGCTTACCCAGGTCTGGCTCTTCATTGGTATGTAGCGACTACCCCCAGGATGTCACCTTTCGTGGCCTGACTGTTTCTATAGGTTTTGAAGCTTCGATCCATATGGGCGAAGAGACCAAGAACGCTAAGCGGAATGCTCCCATGGCCATGATCTACTCATTGATCACAAATGGGTGCCTCGGGCTCATTATGGTCGTGACATATATCGTAAGGATAACATACTACTACCACTCAACGTTGCCTAACATAGTGGCTAGATCTGCATGCCGCCGCTGGAGGACATCGTTATGGCCGACTATCCATTCCTCTATCTGTTAGAGACCTCGACCGGGTCCAAGTCAGTAACTACCGTGTTGACTGTTGGCATATGCGTCGTTTCGATGGGCACCAATATGTCCAGTTTCGCTTCCGCGACTCGTATGACTTGGGCCTGGGCTCGAGACGGGGGTTGTGAGTTTTTCTCCTTTGCTACAAGACCTTCTTGCCACGCCGGGCGTCTACTTTCCAGAGCTGACCAGTTGACTCCATCATACCTAGTGCCTGCGTTCTTTGGCCATGTATCCGGCACAAGGCGCGTCCCGGTCAGAGCAGTCCTGCTGACTTGTACCTGGGTCGCTCTGCTGGCCATGTTGAACCTCCACGCCGACACATTCATCGCGCTGGGGGCCATTACTTCCTTGTGCTCACTGGCCCTCTTCTTCAGCTATGCCATCATCCTCGGGGTCGTTATCCATCTGCGGTTCACTACTCCGGGCCTGCCGAAAGCCGCTTTTAGCATCGGCCGATGGGGCCTGCCGGTCAACATCTTCGCCATGGTGTGGACCTGCTACATGATGATCTGGTTGCCGTTTCCGACCGAGCTCCCAGTTACTGCGGAGTCAATGAACTACTGCATCGCCGTCTTTGGTACTGTGATGGTCGGCGCCACGACTGCCTGGTTCGCCTGGGCCAAGGACAGCTGGGCTGGGCCTAACCAGGCCATTGTCAACTACGTGTTGCAGCATGACGGAAAGGAGTAGAAGAGAAGCTTCTATTCAAAGTTTGCTGGTCTAGTGTAAGTGCAGGCCGGCCAAGAACGGGGAGTCTCTCCAGTCACTGCATAATCTCATGGCTGGCTGGGCTCGTATTATGTTCACATGCCGCAACCGTGTTGTCCACCACTCAGGGTAGAAGGATTGAGGCAATTGATAATGTGGTTGGTCATCAATTTAAGAGACCCTGTGAAAACTACGCACCCCGTACAGTGGGAGGCGAATTCTTCTTCGAGTGGAACGGCCGGGAGTTTCCTTGATGGTGAAGACGTTTGTGCTGGGCGTCCATTGTCCCTAGCCAACTTCCGTTCTATTGTTAGTTGTCGGGCCCTGCCTTGTGGCTTGTCCGGATCGGACAGATTCTATTGATCCATGTCTCAGCGGATTGACTTCCGAGCCAAATTTTCAATTTTCCAATGGAAGGTAGCACGGGTGAGTGACTTGCGGCAGGCCTGTTCTCGTCTGTAATCTGTAGTCGCTGGATCATTGTCCTCTCTTGTGACAAGGTAGGGGGATCCATGAACACCGTGCATTGCGATTGACGATCGTTCAGAGCGTCGATCGACGATCAACATCGTTGCCCCTTGGCCATCCTCCCATCCCGTCGAACCATGAATACATCTTCCAGGGTCTTGAATTCTCGTAAAACTCTCTTTGTTTCGATCCTAAAGGTACATATCCGCAACACCCACTGAAAAGCCTTGGGGAAAGTGAGCTGTCTCGGGACCTTCTAATGTTTGCTAATATCGGATGAACCCTGGAGCCTTCCTCCTCCTCGGCTTTGGTTTCATCCGCCTAAATCTCTTCGTATGCGTGCCGCATATTGCAGCCCGTCAAGCACTCCCGCATATAATCCTTGACTGGAACCTCCGGGCCGTGCCTTGGGGTGGGGTCACAGCCGATGCAGCTCTTGACCCAGGACTTTTGGACCAACTATCTGCACTCCACTGCTCAGATGCAAGCAGTGCAAGGCGTAGTTGCGTTGTTGGTTCGGCTCATCCGTTAGTGGCGGCATTTCTTTCAACTTGACTGCCTGATTCGTCACATCATCCGAGAGTGGTTGCAGCTTGGCATACCAGCTTAATCTCGCAGAATGGAGTACGGTCAAAAGTCATGGGATTTGCAGAAATGCCAAGCATGTATGCATTTACAACTCGAAGGAATTGCGTCGTCTTCAGGATGGATACTTCCTCGACACTCGCTCCACCTTGTCTAGAACCCTGGTCTCCTCGGTTGTGTACCACGGCAGGTGGCTCAAGATCTGGTCTGGTCCTGCATTCAACTCACCCGACCCGCGATCCGTTTTCAGTACGTCGTGTGACGCTGGTAATTCCTGCGTATTCGTGGTCGCCAAGTGACGAACCTGGGTTGATCTGGCCATCCTCTGCTTGAGCAAGGTTTATGCATAACACCCCTGCAGTCCGAGGGTTACAACCGCAACACTTGTCGAAGGTGTATCAGCTGTCATTGCCACCGATTGTTGGCTCTTGTTTGTGGAATGGTCCGGCGTTGCCAAATCTCCACGGTTTGCACAATCTTGCGGAAGATAACCGGGCTTAGGCATTGGTTGAAAGGCACCATGTGTCACTTGAGATCCCGCTTTGCACAAGTACTACAGACATGCTGATCGACCTTGGACTGGGGCGGCAATTGTGTGTTTCTTGAACTTCTCGAGTGTCGACCCGCTCAGTCCTCACACTTTTCCGCGCCTCGCTTCTATGGAGTCATCATTTCGATACTCAAGGTCGCGACAATCTACCATAATGCTCAATCCGCCGTCCGTTACCAAGGTTGAGCTGACCAAGGTTGAGCTGACCCAGGTCAACGTTTCGCCAAGCAAGGATCGTTCTGGGCATCCGACAGCCCGTGACGATGTTTCCTATCTGGAGAAACAAACCAGAACTCGGCGTCTCTTTTCGAGCGCGCAGATCTTTTGCTTCTCGCTGGTATACTTCGGCACCTGGTCTGGTATGGGAGGGTACGTTGTTAGGCATTTGTGCTCTTCTCCTCTTCACAATGGGGATCTGCAAACGAGCTCAAGATGCAGATACTAATTTCTCAATCGTCCCGCCAAAAAGAAACATGTATTATGCCCTGCTCAACGGCGGCCCGGCGGCATATTTGTTCAACCTCATCATTGCGCTCATCGGAGCCCTTGCACAGGCCATCTCACTCGGCGAACTGGCCTCGATACTGCCTCTTGCCGGAGCGCAATATTACTGGACATTCCACTTCGCCCCGCCAGGGAGCAAGCGATTCCTCAGCTGGATGTCAGGCTGGGCCACGTGGCTTGGTTATGCCTGCGGCTTAACTGGCGTTCTCAATGGTTGCGCAATCCTTCTCGAGGCAAGCATCCAGTTCAACTATCCGGAGTATGAAAACGGCGGCTGGCGTACAACGCTAATAGTGATGGGGTTGCTCCTGTTCTTGACGGTTATCAATATCTGGTTCTTTCGCATTGTCCCCTGGGTCGAACTGGTCGCCGGTATCGTCAATGTTTGTTTCTTCTTCATCACCTTAATAACTCTGTGGATTATGTCGCCTCGCAACAGTCCAAGCTTCATTTTGACTACAACTAAATTTTCGGGCTGGGAAAGCGACTTCGTCTCCTGGAATGTGGGAATGCTCACCCAGGTATGGATGTTTATTGGTAAAGATTTCCCGACGCCGGCGCAACGCTGCGCCATAAAATACTTGACTGTGCTAACCACCTGCCCAGGCTTTGAGGCTTCGATTCACATGGGCGAGGAAACCAAGAATGCCAAGCGCGCTGCTCCTTTGGCTATGATATACTCTCTCGCAACGAACGGCGTCCTGGGAATCATTATGACGGTTACATATATTGTTAGTTTGACCCCCCTATTTTGTCCGCACCAGTACGCTTAACATGGGGATAGATCTGTATGCCGCCATTGGAGGACGTCGTGAATGCGTCTTATCCATACCTGCACCTCCTCGAAACCTCCACGAACTCGAAGTCGGTTGCCACTGTGCTGGCCGTCGGGCTTTGCATTGTCTCCCTAGCATGCACCATGTCGACGTTTTCGTCAGGCACAAGAATGACTTGGGCATGGGCTAGAGATGGTGGCTGTAAGTTTAATTCCTCATCATTCCCTTCCAGACAACGAGATCTTGCAGGCTAACTTTTGCTGAAAACAGTGCCCGCCTTCTTTGGCCATGTGTCCGGCAAGCGAAGGGTTCCTGTCCGCGCTGTTGTGTTGACTTGTAGCTGGGTCATACTGCTGGCCATGCTGAACCTCAACGCAGACACGTTTGTCGCCCTAGGCGCAATCACCTCGCTCTGTTCGTTGGCGCTGTATTTCAGCTACACGATCATCCTCGGCGTTCTTATCCACCTACGCTTCACCACGGGGCTGCCAAAGTCCGAGTTCACCGTGGGCCGGCTCGGTCTTCCTCTCAACATCTTCGCCATGGTCTATACTTGCTACACCATGGTATGGCTACCATTCCCGACTGCCGTCCCCGTCACGGCACAGTCGATGAACTACTGCATTGTGGTCTTCGGGGCTGTAATGATTGGTGTTGTCACCGCGTGGTTTACATGGGCCAAGGACCATTGGGCTGGGCCAAACCAGGCCATTGTCGAGTATGTTCTGCGAAACGACGGCAAGGAATGATCGCGGGGTTCCAGATCGTCACCAGGAATTACGCGCGAGTAGCGGCCAAGACCAGCAGGAATGGCCACAACGGGCAGGCGCTGATGCCAATCGCAGCAACACCAAGACAAGATCCATCCCTTCCTTCAATAAACTGCAACGTACATAAAAGTTAGCCGTCGTCGAGATTGACACCCAACTTTTTTCCTTTGACCTCAAATAGACAGCATTACTCCACAAAACGAAAATACTGTCGCCTTCTATCTCGATACCACCAATTACTTAAATATATGAATTGAGATTCGCTTTCGCTTTCCTAAGTATAATTACATACGGCAGTGACCGAGCAGCCTCTGTCGCCGTAATGTATACCATGACAACCTTGAGTGGTGGACACACCACCTGGCCAGAAGGTAGGGACCCGTTTCATGATACTTTGGTAGCATCAAAACTAGCGGAACTGCCGAGCCTGACTTCTGCTCAATCGCAAGATTTCATACTTGTCTAAACATTCTGCATGTAACTTTGAAGCCGCCGCAGCAAAAAACCTCCACGGCCTCCATAAAGAAGCTGGAACTGCGTATTTATGGGCACGGAATCATATTTGCAACACAGTAACACACCAGCCAATATATGAGGGGACCGAGTTTATTGGTTTTCTTGCTCGCCTTGAAATCACTAGTATATGTTACACAAACAGCCCGGACGTCCTGATACATTTCAACAACGCTACTTCTGGGCCTCTCCGTCTTTGCCCGCCGCACCGCCCTCGACAATCTTATCCTTTGGCGAGAAATTGATGCTCACGCTGTTGACGCAGTGCCGCTCGTCTGTGGGCGTGGGGTATCCCTCGCCCTTGAACACGTGGCCGAGGTGGCCGCCGCAGTTGGAGCAGACAATCTCGGTGCGCTGCATGCCGAGCGTGCTGTCGGTGTGGCGGGTGATGGCTCCCGGGATGCTGTCAAAGTAGGCGGGCCAGCCGCAGCCCGACTTGAACTTGTGGTCGGCCTTGTACAGGGGTGCGTCGCAGCCGGCGCAGGTGTAGACGCCGGCGTCCGAGAAGAACTTGTCGTACTTGCCCGAGAACGGAGCTTCAGTGCCCTTATTACGGAGGATGCGGAATTGTTCTATGGGATTCTGAGTTAGTTGCTGTGCTTTTTCAATGGTGAGTCGGGCAAAGGGGGGGGGGGTTGCTAACCTGGGGTCAGAACGGCGCGCCACTCGTCATCGGTCCGCTGGTCAGGATACGACATTTTGGTAGAGGACGACGAGGACGAGGACCCAAAGAGACTGCCGAGGAAGGGGATGGTGGGCATCGACTTGAGCTGGTGCTGGCGGAGGAGGGTTTGTGCTTGCTGGGCTTGGGCGGAGGCGACGCGGATTCGGCCGAGGCTGGAGAGAGTGAAGAGGGTGCGGAGGAAGCTTGAGAATGGAGGCATTCGCATGGATCAAGAAACGGGTCACGGGCAGGCGTTGTGGTTCTTTATATACACGAGGCCGTGGTTGAGGAGGAATAATACAAAGTGGCTGTGAGGTTTGTGAGCTGCAGTCAAAGAGCAAGGTGGTCGTGTATTTGGAATTGAGCGAGGCGAGCATGTGGAAACCGCGTGCTGTGACGATAACGAGGCCAATGCTTCCAGAGCCCCAAAGCTTCGCCTTCGCCGCCGCTCCCGCCGCCGCAATGATTCCATCACGTCAGTGATTTGCAGCCAGCCCAGCCCATCCCCACCAGAGCTTCAGCTGGGGTCGCTGACAAAGGAACTCCGCCACCCAGCCAGCGCCTTGCCGCGACTGCACCAGCCATTAATAGGAAATTCTGTCAATGTAATCAGCTCGAGGCTGAGCGCACGACCATGCTCACTTCGCTGCCCTGTTTCCAAATCCTCGAGCAGAGCATACAAATAGGTTCTAGAGTCCTTTCTTGGCATATTGTCTATCAAATATGTACTTAAAGGCAATCAACCCTCGCTGATAAAGGCACCACAACTTGAACAGGTGGGAACTGCCTGCTCAAAACCTCATGCAACTGACCACATGCCGTGACGCCTGCATGGTGTAGCAAGTAAGTGCCTTTTATTGTCCCTAGTCTGAACAAGCATTGTGCAATATTCCCAAAACACTTGTTGAAGCCCAGATTTGCTGCAGACCACTCACTCCGTCTCCAGCCACCGTTGAGCAGACTCAAAGTTGCTGGCGAACTGGCGACCCCGCGGAGCCACTCAGGATGCCTGAAACCGAGCCCCCTTTAGGCTGGCGACCTGGCCCAGGTGCGGAACCCACCTTTGGGTCTCCACATACATCATTTCGTGGACGCCGCCCATCGGTGCGGCCAGCTCGCAACTTGATAACGTCCTCCTATCCCCATTCACTCGCTGTCGTCTCGAGCCTCACCTGACCAGAGTGCCTCACCTCCATTGCAACAGCCGTCACGATTCGCGCGACAGGCTTTTCTCTGGTATCGATCCAGACTTTTGACGCCCCTCGCCTGCAGCACAGCGTGTGATAACATCCGCCAGCACCCCGCCACTTCTCAGCCATGTCGCGGAGACCGCCCAATCCTGCCGCCGAGCGCGCGGCACAGAACCAGCAGACCCTCAAGAGCCTCCTCAAGCTCGAGACAAACAAGACGTGTGCTGATTGCAAGCGCAACAAGCGTGAGTCTCTCCACGCAGTAACTCCTGCGCCGCCGTACACAGACCAACCCCTGAACTGACATGTGCGCCGCACCCACCAGATCCACGATGGGCCAGCTGGAACCTCGGCGTCTTCATCTGCATCCGATGCTCCGGTGTGCATCGCGGAATGGGCACACACATCTCTCGAGTCAAGTCGGTTGACCTCGACGCCTGGACAGACGAGCAACTTCAGAGCATCCTGAAATGGGGCAACGCACGTGCGAACAAGTACTGGGAATCCAAGCTGGCGGCCGGCCACGCCCCTTCCGAGGCCAAGATCGAGAACTTCATCCGCACAAAGTATGAGCTCAAGCGTTGGGTCATGGACGGTCCGATGCCCGATCCCTCCACACTCGGAAGCGAGGGCGATGATGACGTGCCCCTGAGCGTGGTCAAGGAGAAGCAGAACCTCGAGAGGAAGGAGTCGCTCAAGCGCGGTCCCGTCGCACCTCCTCCTCGTGCCGCCCCTCAAGCCGACCTCATCGGCGGCGATGACCTCCCTCCGCGAGCCAGTACAGCTGGGCCTTCTTCTGCGCAAGCTCCGCCACCTCCCAAAGCCGCCCCTGCGCCTCCCAAAGTCGCCAATACCAAAGACTCCTTGCTCGGCCTCGACTTCCTTGGGGAGGTGCCCGCTGCTCCCCCTCGGCCGTCCAGCACTTCCAACACTGGCGGGCTCAGCAACCAGTCAAGACCGGATCTCAAGCAATCGATTCTGTCACTCTACGCTTCAGCACCCCGGCCTCAGCCGCAGACACAGCAGTCTGGTCACGCTTCGCAGGGCTCATTTGGTGGGTTTGGGGGCATGCAGTCTGCAGGTTCCCCCCAGCAAAGCCAACAAGCTTCGAATGCAAGCTTCAACGATGCTTTCGCCAGCTTGAGCTTTGGCAACATGACCTCGCCTACGCAAAGTCCGCCACCGCAGCGCGATGCCTTTGCTGGCCTTGGCAGCAGCATGTCGAGTCCGCGATCTCCGCCTCAACAAACGTCCTCGTTCTCGAGCCTCGGCGGTGGCAGCTTCTTTGACGCAAAGCCATCGGCGCCGAAGCACCAGGCTAAGCCCTCTGCCTCTTCCAACGATCCTTTTGCAGCATTTGGCGGTACTACCTCGCCGAAGCCAGCTCAGCAATCCGCGTCTTCCGGCCTCGGCGATATGCTCGACTGGTCATCCCCGGCCCCGCAGCCAGCAGCGGCTAAGCCCAAGGCCGTCTCTCCACCAGCAGCCGCATCTACAGATGTATTCAATCTGTCCTCTAAGCCCGTTGCCGCCCCGGCGCCCAAGCCGGTCGCCGCCGCAGTTCCCAGTGGACTAAGTGGGGCTGACGTCTGGGGCAGTAACGCCTGGGGAGCGCCAGAGCCAGCGCCTGCGGCGTCTCCAGCGCCTCCCGCCCAGGCAACTCCTTCTTTTGGTAGTGGCTGGGGCAGCAGCACCACAAGCAACTCTTTTGCCAGTCAGAGCATTGTACCGGGAGCGTCTGGGGGCTTTGCACCCGCGCCCAAGGTCGCGGCGGACGAGGAGTTTGGCGGCTGGACGACCAGCACGACGACAACAAGCGGTAATGCTGGTGCGGCCAAGACCGGCGGCAACGACGATCTATTCTCAAACGTATGGCAGTAGACTTTATCGAGTAGACTGGTAATGGGGCATATAAAAAAAGGTTTCAGGATTTTGCAAGCATTTGAGCCTGGAATTAGTTATGTTTTAGGTCCACCAGATTTGCCATCCTGCCGTGAATGCTAGACACAATGAACATCCTCATTTTGGTCTCTGAAATGCTCATTCAAACTCATCCCATCTGAAGTCGGCACGTTCTGCCTATTGCCAACGACCCGCCTAGACAACGGAGATTGCCCCAACACTCATGGCTCCGTAGTGGTCCGCCAGTTTTGTCTCTAAAATTCCATGACCTTTCTCCGGTGCATTGACACTAACTCCCATGCGAGAATACGTATATATGGACATTTGCGTCTCCTCAGTCTTCGGTGACTCTCGTATCCCTCCCCAAGAGTCACAGTACCACTGCTCATCACCCAGACGCATAAGTCATCTATTGCAAAAGGGTAGACAACGGTCCATACGGTCGACATCTGTTCCCCTCACAGTTCTAAGCCCATCACACAACTTTCGGTCAGTGAGGCCAAGCAGCACACGTCGTTGCATAGGCTCTTTGCACATCACACACCACACATCACGCGGACTGCAAACCAGTGTGTGCCCGTGGACGACAGCATCAGAAATCAGACAAACACACACGCATACACACACACAAACACACACGCATACACACACACACACACACACACACACGCATACACTCAGCCGCCATACAACCATTACCACACCAAGCCTGCCCAACTCCGAAAGAACAGAATAGAGCTTCACATCAGAAAACAGAACCATGGCCGCGAACATCGATTCCGCACCCGTGCTCACCTCAACGAGCACGTACCCCAGCACTACCACTACCACCACAAGCATGTGCGATCCGCAGACTGCTGCTGCTATCAACTACGCCACCACCACCACCACCGCCACTAGCAGCAGCACTACTACTAGCAGCAGCAGCGGCAGCAGCAACAGCACAAAGACATGGACGCAGCACCTCAACCACGCCATCGGTGCGCGGTTGTTCGGGATTTTTGTCCTCCTGCCCTGGGCAATGGTTATGTTCTGGCGCGGGGACTGGTCAGACTTTGATTTCGGCATAGACGGAGACGACTGTGGAGGACTGTCGTCGTCGTTGTCGTCGTCTGATGATTCGGATGGGAACGGGGACGGAAACGGAAACGGAGACACCGAGAAGGACGGCAACAATGATGGGTATCGTGGCGAGGACAAGGAATGGGAGGAGATGGAGATGGTGATGGATAGCGGCCCGACGACGGTCTCAGAGTTGGTTGGCGGGATGCTCCTCCTTGGGGCCATCATCGTAGTCCAGGGGCCCTTGCTCTGGACGATGTTGGATCCGGCGGCCGCGGCGAAGTGAACCGGGATGTAAGATATGTCGGCGCTCTTGGGAGCGCACAGGTTTTTTTTTTTGGATCGGCTTTATTGTTGTTGTATCTGGCGGTTATGGATGTTGTTTGGGTTGTTGGCTAGTGAAGAGCTATACGGCCAGCGTAGCTTGAGTGCTCGTGTCCTTAGACGGATGTACTTGATAGCTCTGCACCGACCACTTCTACCTATTCAAGTATCTTATGATATTACGCTAATTTCAACCTATTGAACGCCATTTGCTATGCTGAGGTGAAAGCCCACTTGCTTTGATCAAGGACCTGCCCTGTGGCCTCGATACTCCTGTAGTGTCCTCCCTTCGAATTTGTATATACCCGGGGCCATGTTTCCGGCGGGCGACCTTTTCCTACCAGGCAAGAACGCCACGGCCAGAGCCGTTATATCCAAGAGTGCTCTCGGTTAGTCCTGATGCCCGGGATTCGCGGTTCTCTCACGCTCGCCAGAATCCGCATGGCGAGGTGGTATATTCACCGTCAATGCCGCCAGAATGTGCCAATTTCGCAGTGCCCGCTATGCTCGCTCGGCTGCAACCACGTTAGGTCACCAATTGTGACGGCCCGGTGTGCCCCCTCGGCCAACTTGCGCCAACTTTGTCACTCGGGAGCCTCAAGAATCCCCGGGATTCATGTCGTCAGTCGCCAGTGCCAAAGCAGGTTCCCAGCATCCCCTCATTCGCTCCAGCTCTCTTTCGTAATGTGCCGCTGCCTGCTCAAAACTACCGTCGCCCCGGAAAATGATCCTTTTGCCACATGGATGCTGGAGTGCTTCAGAACATCCACTTGAGGAGGTAGTACAGGACGAGGAACACGCCGACGACAATGGCTGAGAGCTTGAAGATGGCGACCTTGTTCCCCGAGGCGGCCATACGGCCTAGCCGACCAGCGGAGCCCTTGAGCTGTGTCGTCATGGACGAGAAGGTTTCGGACTACAAGACGGCGAGCTGTCAGTACCCATCCAGATTGGCGATGCGCATCAGGCCCTTTCGAAAAGTAGGCGGCAGGATAAAACGTACGGTCGAGTCGATGACGCCCTGGTCCTGAGCGTTGTTGTAGATGTCGACGGTGACGCCGCGCAGGGCCGAGACCTTGCTGGCGAGGTCGCCGAGGCGCGCATTGTTCTGGCGCTCGCGCTCGTATGCGTCGGACATGGCGGATGATGGAACCTTGGGATGCTGCACTGATGAGATGCCGGCCGGTCGGTCGATGTTGTGGTCCAGGGCTTGTGTCGCAGAGCGGTGTTCGGGGGTGCTGGAAGTTGCGGATGGGGAGAGTGACGTGACGCAACTCGAGGAATAGGAGTGTCTGGGGAAATGTGCCCTAAGCTGGCTTGGAATCGCCGCACCTGCAGCCCGCTCGTGCAAGGGGAATCCAAGACCCGCTTTAAGTCCGGGTCTGTGATCTGTGGCTTCCGATCATATGGCCATGCAAGTTATTGCCTTTGCATCATATGAGACTTGTGAGAACATGCATTTGCTCCACGCACTTGGACTTGTGGATAGTTAGCAGCAATGTGGCCAAGCTGCTTGGGCTTTTGGCTCACGTAGCGACCAGACCCCAGACTGTACCTACACCAGGCACGTACATCACCACGAAATGCATGGGCGATCTCGGCCCCCATGGCTGGGCTGGGCAGGCTGCAGGCTCCCTCCCCAGTCCGTCGCCTCCTAGCGCAGGCGCAACCGAGACGGGCTGTGCAACAACTTGCTGACGACGCTCTTGCTTGGACAAGTTGCCTCTCGCCATGCCGGCCGCCTAGTTGCTCGAGGATAAATACAAGAGCTTCACGGACCTTGAGGCGCACATGCGCGCGTAGTTCCGACCGGAGTCGTGGCCTCATCAGCATTCTGCCACTTGCCTGCTGCCGACCTATCCGCATCGTGACATTCCTAGGCGCGCTTACCGGACCAGGCCCAAGCCCAAGCCCAAGCCCTGCCGACTCGCTCCTTCCGCCTGCGGGCACTCCGTCATAACCGTAACCCCGCAGTCGCCGCCGTGAGCGTGCCCATTTGACAGGACGCCCGTTTCTCCAACCTCTCGGCCAGTCATCCGATCCACTCTCGTAGCTCGACCGTCCTGCACCACCCTTCAACCTCTACACTTTGCTGCGATTCTCTCTCTTTGGGTCTTGCTTCCACACACCGCAACACCTCTACCACGTCCCATTTCCCAGCGATCGCGGTCGCAGCCCTTTCGCCATGGGCATCAACAACCCTCTCCCGTCGAACCTGTCGTGTAAGTCGCGCGCCCCCGCCAACAAGCTCCCAGCGTCGCATTGTCGCCCCAGGTCACTACAGCATGCCTCTTACAAATGCATACTGACCAGAATACTTGACTCCAGCGGAGTGCAAAAAGTGCGGCAAGATCTTGACTTCCTTCATCGATCCCAGGCAACCCCTCGGCCCCGACAAAGTCATTCCTGCCTCAATCCTCGCAAATGCAAAGGTACGCTGGCCCCGAGACTGCTGCCTGCCTGGGCTCATCTGCGCCTCCTGCCCAGACTCCTCACGATGCAATGCAAACTCGAACTGTGGCTGACATGAGCTGCGGCGTACACAGGGTCTCGCCATTCTCACAGTCTTCAAGGCCGGCTTTCTCGGCTCAGGTCGTTTCGGCTCCGGGCTGGTCGTTGCCCGCTTGCCCAATGGCGGATGGTCTGCTCCCTCGGCCATCATGACTGCTGGAGGAGGCTTCGGCGGTCAGATCGGTTTCGAGCTCACCGACTTTGTCTTCATCCTTAACGACTCGCATGCTGTCAAGACGTTCTCGCAACAAGGATCGATCACTCTCGGCGGAAACGTGTCGATCGCTGCTGGGCCTGTCGGGCGGAATGCTGAGGCCGCGGGTGCTGCATCACTCAAGGGCGTCTCGGGAATCTTCGCGTATAGCAAAACAAAGGGCCTGTTCGCCGGCGTCTCCCTGGAGGGCTCTGCGATTATTGAGAGGAGAGATGCAAACGAAAAGCTGTATGGTCAGCGTCTCACAGCCGCGCAGCTCCTGAATGGCGCAATCCCGTCGCCCCCTCAAGCCGCTCCTCTTATGACTATTCTGAACTCGCGCGCGTTTGCGGGCGTCCGCCAGGGCGAAGCTGTCGACAGCGCCATGTACAATGACTCGCCAGTTTATGACAACAACCACGATGACGTCGTCTGGGAAGGCCGGCGCGGCAGTGCATATGGCGAGGGAGAGAACAACCGCACCCGGGATGAGTTCGGAAGGCCCTCGAGAAGCAGCACATGGCAGGATGATGTCTATGATCGACCTTCTGGTACAGGCATCAACAGGTCCAACACAATTGGATCTGGTGCGGGAGGCAACGACCACGCTGTGTCAGCGGCCGGCAAGAAGCCGCCGCCGCCGAGACCGTTCGCGCCCAAGCCGCAGCTGAAGAAGGACCAGGCGATAGCACAGTTCACATTCGAAGCAGACCAGCCTGGCGATCTTGGTTTCAAGAAGGGCGAAGTGATAACAGTGTTGAAAAAGACGACGAGCGACAACGATTGGTGGTAAGTGAAGCTCCCATTTATGCGATTAGCATGGCTGCCTTGAGACATAAGCTAATAATGTGACTCAGGACGGGCCAAATTGGCAATCGGACAGGAATATTCCCAAGCAATTATGTCAAGCTGCAGGAGTAAGAGATTGCGCACCTGGTTTCGAGAGAGGCTGCCGGCGACTTTCTTTGCTTCAAGGGAACAATTGAAGGGTGTGGATGGAGCGCACGTGGTTGAAGTTGGAATACCCATGGGAGAGGAGCCAGTTGCCAGAAGGTTCATCGGATTGCGTTTTGTTTCTCCGGCAGCGCCTTCACTGATATATTTACACGCGCATTAGACATAACCCTTCCATTTCTCCTCTATTATTAAGACCTGACAACTAAGCGAAATCGGAAGCGAATGCAAGCCCACAGTGGTTGCTTTACTCGAGGTGCAGTGGCTAAGGATGTTGGTGAAGGTGGTTGTTGATGAGGGGGGCCGTCACCAAGAGCTGACACGGCTGTTCTCTACGTTCCAACTGGAATACCCTGTGTGAGGAAAGGCCTTGGCTATATTCCCGGGGAAGGTGCTGTCGATTGATCAAAATGAAATCGTCTTGTGGGGTGCACCGGATAGCAGACAGTGCAGTGATGGTGTGGTGACAGCGCGGAGGGTCCAAGACGGGATATTGAAAGCGCTCATTCTGGGGGCTCCGAGCTCGCTTGCCGCCCAGGACCAAGCCTGTGGTGCCTTGACCGCACTCTCCCACCTTATCACAATCCCCTCGCACGGCCGAGCCTGCTACCTTTTCTCAACGAGCACCCCGCGCCCTACGACTGCGAAACGCCTCTTTTTGCTGTTATCAAGCACATCCCATCCCACCGCAGCGCACGCCGAACCACGACAGCATCTTGACTAAATGGGTGCCGTCAGGGTCTCCACCCCACGGCGCGTGGGAGCTGTCGCCGCCTTGACCAGCCGCCAAATCCCACGCTCATCAGGGGTGCTCAACTCGATCAGCGGCAGCAGTCACGGGCACAGCAGCAGAGAGGGACAGCGGCGAGAGGTGGGCTCCGTGTCCTCAGGTAAGGCTCGGGTTTTTTTCTTTCTGTTTCTCTCTCGCTTTCGATTCTTCTCAATCCGGCGGATTGCCATTCACCACCTCGTCACCCTTTGCCGACGGCACCATTGTCCATCCAGTGAGCTTGACAAAGGGTCGCAAGCCAGCTTCCCCACTCGAGCTTCGTCCAGGGCTGAGAGGGGGCCAACCGCCGAGCTGGAAAGCGACTGACCTCCAGAGCTACGGCACGGTGTAGGCTTGCCCCCCACACGCACTGCTCCAAGGCTGGAAGAGATGGACCCTTCTTCGGGTCTGCGCTGTTTCACGCACGCCTTCGTCAGCATGGGTTGCTTCCGTTCCGTCCCCTGCCGTGGCCTTGGCTCCGACCCGACCCAAGCCCAAACAGGCCTTCATCGGCTCCCCGGTTTCGGCCTACGACGGGAATCGCATCAAACTGTCATACATCCCAGCCAGGTCGCCTTTTAAAGCCTGGTGCTACGTCGTTGGCCCGCCACGCGCACGCCGCATCATGGCTCTCGGCGAGTGCCGCGGTGCAATTCTCGTCGTCTTCTGCACCAATCCTGGGATGGTCTGCGGCAGCTAGTCATGGCTCGCCCGTCGACTCGAGCACGTCCCCCAGTGGCCCCTGCTGCACCTTTGGTTTCCTCTTCATGCCCTCACTAGCCTTAAGAACTGGTCTCGCTCGCCTGATTTGATCTCTGCATCGGCTGCTCTGGGCTGATATATCTCCTGTTGTGATCCACGTCGTCCGTTGGTGAAGCAAGCAAGCTACATACCACCAAGGCCCATTTTTCTGACAAGCACATTTTCTTCGGCACTATACCAGGTGCCGATCGCGCTTCTCACTCGGCGGCGACAACCTCGACGACCCCGCTATCGCGATCGTCTTTTTTGCTTTCAGGGTCTCCGGCTCTACTCACCCCACCAAGGTCCAGTCACGCAACTTCGTTCTGCTTTGCGAACGACGCTATCCGCACGCGGTCATCGTTCCATACCACCGCCAACATGGGTCGCCTCACACTACAGAACATCAACCAGCACGTTGTCAAGGCCGAGTACGCCGTTCGTGGCGAGCTGGCCGTCAAGTCCGAAGAGTATCGGGCCCGGATCCGGAAGGGCGGCGACACCGGCCTTCCCTTTGACACCGTCATCAGTGCCAACATTGGCAACCCCCAGCAGCTCGACCAGAAGCCCATCACCTTCTTCCGCCAGGTCCTCAGTCTGCTCGAGAACCCGACCCTGCTCGAGCACGAAGATGTCCTCATCAACTCTCTGGGCTACAAGAGCGATGTCGTTGCCCGGGCGAAGTGGCTGCTGAGCAACGTTGGCAACGTAGGAGCGTACAGTGCCAGCGCTGGTGTGCCTGCCATCAAGGAGAGCGTCGCCAAGTTCCTTGAGAGTAAGTTGTTCAACACACTGGAATCCTCCGATTCATCTCTCTGCGTACAATTTGCTGACCTTTGCAAAAAGGAAGAGACGGCTTCGCTGCCGACCCCGCCCACATCTACCTCTCTGGCGGTGCCTCGTCTGGTGTCAACACATTGCTCCATGTCCTCTGCGCCTCTCCCAACACTGGCATCCTCATCCCCATCCCTCAGTATCCCCTGTACACTGCCTCGCTAGCGGTCCTTGATGCGACATGCGTCCCTTACTACCTTGACGAGGCGGCGAACTGGGGCACCTCTCTCGAGACGATCAAGGAGTCGTATGAGAAGGCCACGAGCGACGGCACCGACGTCCGCGCCATTGTCATCATCAACCCAGGCAACCCTACTGGCGCCTCGCTGCCCGAGTCGGACATCCGCTCCGTGCTCGAGTTCGCCGCCGACAAGAACCTGGTCGTCATGGCCGACGAGGTCTACCAGACCAACGTCTTTGTCGGCAAGTTCACCAGCTTCCGCCAGGTCCTGCTGACCCTGCAGAAGGAGAACCCGGGCGGCAAGTACGACGGCGTCGAGCTCGCCTCCCTGCACTCCATCTCCAAGGGCATGGTTGGCGAGTGCGGCCACCGCGGCGGATACTTCGACCTGGTCGGCTTCGCCAAGGAGGTCGAGGAGCAGATCTACAAGTTCGTCTCCATCACGCTCTGCGCGCCCGTCATCGGCCAGTGCATCGTCGAGCTCATGGTCAACCCCCCTAAGGAGGGCGAGCCGTCGTTCGAGCTCTACAACAAGGAGTACAACGGCATCCTCGAGGGCCTCAAGGTCCGCGCTACCGCGCTCTACGAGGCGTTCAAGGAGATGGAGGGCGTCGAGTGCGGCGAGCCCCAGGGCTCCATGTACCTCTTCCCCACCATCACGCTCCCCGAAAAGGCCAAGCAGGCCGCCGAGAAGGAGGGCCGCAAGCCCGACGAGTTCTACTGCATGCGCATGCTCGAGTCCACGGGCGTGTGCGTCGTCCCCGGCGCTGGCTTCGGCCAGAAGGAGGGCACCCTGCACTTCCGCACCACGTTCCTGGCCCCCGGCACCGACTGGGTCGGCCGCATCACAAAGTTCCACAAGGACTTTATGAACGAGTTCCGGTGAGGGGAAAGCCCTGTTGCTGGAGAAGTGGTCCGGAAGGGCTCGCGGGGTTTAGTCGTTTGGTCAGATTCATGAAAAGGAAAAAAAAACCACCGCCTGCACATGATATAAGGGTATGTGTATTCAGCTGCACTGTGTCACTGGCTTGCTATTCTTGGTTTCTCACAAGATCGGACCCCAGGGCTTGCTTTCTTTTTTGCAAAGTACATACAATGTCTTGCCTGGATCTGGGGATTGGACTCCCCCGTTGGCTCTAGTGCCCCCCAAATGCAGATAGATAGAGTCACTTTTTAGACGAAATCATAGACGTGTGCATCAATGAGGCTCAGACTTGACTGGTCTTATGATTCTAGACTGTTTTTACAAGCAACTGGCGTCCTGTACTTGTGCCAGAAGTCTTTTATTCTCTATTCCGGGTGTTCTAGCACACATCTGTGTCATCATGTCTGCTCACATCTATGCACCACTGATCCATTGCCCGCCCCGTTTGTCGTTTGCAGCAGCAAGGTCAATTGAATGAGTTCAGCCCGGACCACGATACTTCGTCTACGCTCTTTCGCTTCCCCGCAGGCGGACAGCCTGCCCGTACTTCTGGAGCTTTGTGATGAGCTGATCGCCCTGCCGGACGACGTCCTGGTACTGCTTGTTCTTGTCATCGGGGCGATTCGTCTCGATGATGCCCTTGCCTGTGACGCGGTCTATCGTGCAGGGGATACGGCCAGCGGCGACAAACTTGGCCAGGTCGCTGAAACAGATGCGTCTATTAGTACAAACCCCGCCACGGTATCATGGAGGTGTCAATTTTAAGAACTTACCGGTCAAGGAAGTCCACGCTGACGCCAAAGTCGTTGGCCATGCTCTCAAGACCGACAACTCGGTAGCTCTGTAGAAGCTGCTGGTAGGCGCGTAACCGCATCTCGCGCACGAACCAACCCTTGTGCTCGTGCAGGTAGCGGTCTTGCGTCAGGAATTGCTCTTCAACCAAGGCAAGTGCCTGGAAGAAGTGCTTGTAACTGCCGTTATACAGGCTGTTGACGAGCTGGGCCAGTGGCGAAAAGTCGACGGCGACCTCTGCCTCTGGCTGGTCTGTGCTGGTTCCGAGTGTGGTCAGGTTGACAACTGCGGTGCCCTTCTTGGTCGCCGGTGTAGCTGTGCTTTTAGCATCCTGCATATCGGCATCCTCGGCACCTGGCCCTGCAGAGATCGCGCCTGACAATGCTAGGAGCTTGTCTTCGCCATCTGCACCCAGGATAGCCTTGATTTCAGGCGCGTCCACAACCTTGCTCTTGAAATCCACCCTCTTCAGAGATACTGAACCAGCCAGAACTGAGTACACAACGAGGTTGGAGTACGTGCACAACTCGTAACTGGTAAAAGTCGACAAAGAGTCCAGCAGCAGTGGAGCCGCGAGGTTGTATGATCGGACGGTCAGAAGGTGTAGGCCCTCGTAGGCCTTCAGGCGGTTCCGGCGGTCCCAATCTCCTCCCGTCTCCACCAGTGTCTTCGCCTCTGCGACGTTGCTCTTCACGAAGTTCTTGTCGCCGTAGAACAGGCCGATGCGAATCTTGGCCAGGACGAGGTCGATCTTGGTGCCGAGAATGCCAGTCTTCTCAAGCAGCTCATCAAAGGCGGCCAAGGCCTTTTCCTTGTCGCCGATCCTTGCATAAAACTCGGCGCGCTTGCCTCTGGCAGCGGAAACCTCGGTGTCACCGGCCTTCTCAATGGCCTCCTCCTCCTCCTTCTGGATTTCCTCGAGCTCCTTGTCGTTGTCTGCCTTGAGCTGCTGGTATACGGCCTCGTCCCATGGCAGTGAAGGTCCTGTCGTTGAGCGACCGCCGGTAATGCCGGCCGCACTGGGTTTCCGGCCTGTCGGTCTAGGCTGCGCGGCAGAGGAGGATGTCGACTCGCCCGAGGCGTTGAGGATGCCGTCGAGTGGGTGGGCGAGGTACCTATAGAGCGGGGCCATCTTATGCTCGTTGATGGCATCTTGCAAGCTCTTCACGGCGGCCTGCTGGGCGGGCCGGGCGGCGTAGGGGTTTGTGAGGGTGAAGACATGCTGAGCGAGGGGCAACAGCGGCCACTTTGCGTACTGAGGATCGGAGCCCATGGTGATGAAGGCGAAAGGCTTGAGTTGACAAGGGTGGGAGACCGCTGGTGCGAGGGGGGAGCCCAGCGCAGAGAACGGAGAGACCGAGGTTGGTCGGACTGAAGGGGCTCAAAGTCGTGTGAGCTTGACAGTGGAGGTTTCGTGGTAGGACTGGAGATGGCGGTGGTTGCACACGAGGCGAGGCGTCCGTGGGGTTGTGGGTTGAAGCTGGAGGAGCTCTCTCTCTGGAGCCAATGCCTGCGTGTGGTGCACCGAGAGCTGATGGCGGGCAGGCGTCACTGCTCGCTCCAGCAGGGCATGGTCCGAGCGTCAGGCTGCCAGGGCGGACGTACGCTGCGCAAAGATGCTGCAACTGGCCAGCCCCGGGCACTGGTTGACTGTCACTACCATTCTCACACAACCCAGAAAGTCCGATCCGTCTAACGGGAAGGAAACGGCCACATTGCTAAGTAGCCATTGAACACGACATACACTGCCCATCATGTCAACGCCTCACCCATATCCGCAGGTGACTTGTGGTGGTGGAGATAGTCTGATGCATAATGTGCTTAGCTAAGCATACTTGAGGCTCCTCTGAGGCGCGAGCTGCCATCCTCGAGACGAGGCAGGTGCGACCTGATATCCCTGCGGGCTCCACAATCCCCAACTTCAGTTGCATTCACGCTTCAGCTTGCTTTCGGCACTTCGTCGCGCCTCACAATTTCTTGCCCATGCTTCCCAAACTTACAACTTCAATCGATACAAAACCCCGCCCTGCGTGAACTCGTGCCCCGGCTCGCCCCTACTCTCATACCTATCTGACAGCAGAGACTTTAGACAACCGCCCAACCACGCACGCGACATCCTCAGCAACTCGGCACATTCGCCTCACTCTGGCCACGATGGCCGATGCTCACGAGGACTATCCCCAACCCTTCGATGCGAAGCGGCTTGAACCGGCCAAGCGACGGAAGCACTCCGACACGTACTCTCGCGATACTCCAGTCCGTCGAGACGATCGGTCAAACGCGGCCGGCGTTGACGAGCTTCCCCAGCCTTTCGATGCGAAGAAGCTTGAGCCCGTCAAGAAGCGTCAGCGCTCAACGTCCCCGTCGGACGCCCCTCGAAAACTCAAACGTCCGGGCCAGCGGGCGCGCATCACTGGCGCCCAAGCCGAAGAGCTGCAGAAGCGTCGTGAACAACGCGACCGCGAAGCTGCTGCGGACACCGCAACGACCCAGGCCGTCCTTGGTCAGCGCGGTACCCACGATGTAGTGCGTGAACACTACAACGCCGTGCCTGAGCGCGGCCGCGATTGGCGTCGGACCGATAGTCGCATCAAAGGGCTGCGCAGCTTCAACAATTGGGTCAAGAGCACAATTATTCAAAAATTCTCTCCTGACGAGGATCATACCCCAGGCGCCCACGAACGCGGCCGCGATATGGCCGGCCGTAACGACCATGAGCTCCTCGTCCTCGACATTGGCTGCGGTAAGGGAGGCGATCTGGGGAAGTGGCAACAAGCTCCGCAACATGTGGCACTGTATGTTGGCTTGGACCCAGCAGATGTGTCCATAGATCAAGCCAAAGAACGCTATCATCAGATGAGGAGTCGCGGTGGTGGTGGCCGTGGTGGTCGTGGTGGCTATCGTGGAGGGCATCGTTCGCGGCTCTTTGATGCACGCTTCCATGTCAAGGACTGCTATGGCGAGTCCATCGAAGACATTGAGGTCATTCGCCAAGTCGGTTTTGATACCTCGCCCATGGGCCGGAGTGGCTTCGACATTGTCAGCATGATGTTCTGCATGCACTATGCCTTCGAGTCAGAGGAGAAAGCGCGGCGAATGCTGCAGAACGTCTCTGCATCACTGAAGAAGGGTGGTAGATTCATCGGCACAATACCCAATTCCGATGTGATCGGCGAAAAGGTCACACAGTTCAACGAGCGCATGGCGGCCAAGAAGGTGACGAAGGACGGCGAGGCGAAGGAGCCAGCGGAGGGAGACAACAGCAAGCTCAAGGAGGACGCCGAAGAAGGCGAAGCCGAAGAGACTGCCGAGTGGGGCAACGACCTCTACCGCGTCAGGTTCCCTGGCAAAACGCCCGAAGATGGCATTTTCCGACCACCTTTCGGCTGGAAATACAACTTTTTCCTGGACGAGGCAGTCGAAGAGGTGCCCGAGTATGTCGTGCCGTGGCACGCGTTTAGAGCTTTGGCCGAGGACTACAACCTCGAGCTGCAGTACCATCAGAGTTTCCGAGAGATTTGGGAGCAGGAGAAGGACGATCCGGTGCTGGGTCCTCTGAGCGAGCGTATGGGGGTGCGCGGAAGAGGCCGTGGTGACTTATTGGTTTCGCCCGAGGAGATGGACTGCGCCAACTTCTATGTGGCCTTCTGCTTCTACAAGGTCTAGACGACAGCGGCGAATCTCCACATGGCCAGGGAAAGACCGAGTTGAAGAAAGCATCATCATCCCATAGCATCTGTCAAACTTGAAAACTGCACATCATTGGCACATCGACACATATGCTTCTCCATAAGTTCTCCTTCCATCATCGGTGTCCGACCTTCCAAGTCAAGGCTCTCGATACTGCGATGTTCCCACGTGGTGCTGAGCCTCTCTTGGCAACTGCATGCCCGAATCCCACGTCGCGTCCCAACTACCATCAGCGGTGCTTGGGCATCGGAGGGCGATGCAATTGCCCGAACACGGTCCCATTCCGCGCGAGAAGGGACCAGTATGCCGGTCTACCGTGATCCCGGACTCACTGTCCTAGAGAGATAACACCCGCAGCAACCAAGCCCAAAACAGATAACATCTTGAGGGTCGGATTATACTGCCCACCCGCGTCAGGCGAGCCAGCGCTTACTCACGATCCGTTCCGAAGCAGAGAGTGCCCAGGCTCCCCGGGCAAGCAGGCGGGCGGGCGGCCGACCGAACCAGGGGCGGGCCGCTAGAGGCGTGGGCGCTTTTTGATTTGGTTGCATAGCCTCTTTGCAACCAATGTACCTTAGGTACCTACCTTGCAAACCTAGCATGGAGGATTAGGCCTCTGCATGTTTAGAGCCTGGAGCCCCCCGAACAGCCCAGATTAATTTACATGAGCTTGACGGTTTTCTTTCTTCCGCGCGCCGTGGCCCCCCGGAGTCTTTGCAAGTTTAGCCTAGCATGACCCTTGTGGGGAACCCGGACCCCCTCGCCCCCTTGTCCAAGCATCATTCATGGTTCATGACTTCTTCTTTCTCCCGCAAGAAGCCGATCCTGGGTGGTTTGAATTGTGTCAGGCGAGATGGATGGGCCAATGACTGCTCTTTCGCTCCTAGCCTCTCTATGAGAGCGGGACGCGAGCTGGATCAGGAAGGACGGACGGTCTGCGGCGAAATAAGCGCCCGAGATACAAAGCGGGGACTTTGTTGGCGCTTGCAGTATGTATGTATGTATGTAATAGCTTGATAATGACACCCATCATGAATGAGATGATGAGATCCATCTGAGTGAATGGAGATTGCCCGCCCGCCCGCGTGCATGAGTGCGCACGTGAGAGAGCTCAGCCTCACTTACCGGCCCGCCGTCCGTAGTCCAAAACCGCCAGATGATGGGCTCAGCAGCAGCAGCAGCAGCAGCAGCAGCAGCACTTTGTGGAATCGGTGTATCGTACCGCCAAGAAGCGGCAGGTCTCTCTGACGCAGCACGCCGCCGGCCGCCGGCCGCGTCCCAAGTCGTGCCCTGCCCGGTCTTGGCTTCCCCACACAGCCCGTTCGGACTTGTCAATGACAATGATCATTTATCTTTGCCCCTTTTTGACAGGTCTCTCTTTTCCCTCTGGGAGGGTCTTCAAAGTGCCCCCCTCCCCGCTTCCTCTTGGGTCGGTGCGGTGCAAGTGTGGTGTAGTCATTACCTTAAGGTAGTTTAGGGAGGGGCCGAGGACGTTCGCCTCCGTTGGAGAGAGACATGGTTCGCGGTCCAATCGGCAGGCCGGCGTCTCAAAAAGTTCTACGGTCTGGGCATGTAGAAGACCGGGTAGGCACTTCGCTCGCGTGGTCTTGTGGCTGGCTGTCTTGCCTGTCTGCCTACCTAGGTGCACAGAAACCCACCTCCCTACCCGGGTACCCCAGGCGAGTGTATGTGCTCCTCAACCCTTGACACACGAACTGCACGCGGGGGGCCACTTGGCTTTGGGTAGGGCTGCAGTGCAGCATCCCATGCAGGGATGGCCTCTTTTCCTGCTTTGCCTCCACCCCGGACTGTTTCCCTCCCCCATTGGCCATGTTTGCGGCTGGCTAGCTAAGGTAGGAGTTGGTGATTTCTGTGTGTCTGTGTGCCTGGCATGCATGGTAGTTGCGGAAGTGGCTTGCAATGTGGTTGGCCGGGGGAGTTCAATGGGGTTCTCACAATCAGGAAGAGGTAGCCGGGATCACAGGACGGAGGCCTCCAGGTTTGACGTCCTATCATGATATAGGAGTTGTCAGGAACCGCAGGAGCGAGTAGTTGCCATTAGGCTGAATCGTATTCATGACAATTAGAAGGGATCTATACATGCAAGTCGTGATCTTGCTCGTGATGATAACAATGGTGGCACTGAGTGTGACAGATGGTGGTGATGATGATGTGACAGTCATGTTCGCAACTGGGTGGAGGATTGTGCCATGCGCGGAAGAATGGATCCTTACCCCTCCGCAGTGCTAGTCAGGGAAAAACGCAATGTAATGAAAAGCTGAACAAAGCAGCATGTCGCAGCGAGCTCAAAAGATGAGGGAAAGGAGATCCTAACGCTCTAATGTAGACATGCCCGGCTTCGTTACTATCATCCATTAGAATTAATCATTCATCGTTGAGTCGTGATTCGGAAAATGTCAAAGTATGACTCTTTGGAAAGATGTATCGACCATGATGCTTTTCATGGGATATGGGTATCGTTCTCTAAATTTGGGAAAGTGTGAGAGAGGAAGGGGGAGAAAGCGCGAGTAAAGAGGTTGTTGAGCCGAATCGCCACAGGTCTTGATCAGCCTCGACCGCGGTCTCGGTGCCCACGCCGTGAGCTTTCTGTAGGCTGTCCATGGTGCCTAGCACTGGCAGGATATGCTGCGTACTGTGGCTGGTGGCTCATGTTGCCTTCGCTTGGCTGCCGGTAGTGCTGTGGGCTGTAGTCGCTGCCGTGACCATCGTCTACGCTTCCAAAGCTGGGAAACGCCGTGGTGTCGTAGCCAGCTGGCCCGGCAGAGTGCGGCGAGGCGTAGAAACCGCTGTCGTAGGACGAGTAATCCGGCGAACCGTGGCTGCTGTAGTAAGGAGCCGAGTAGGACACCTGGCCTGGTGCCTGACTATGGTCGGGCGAAAACGGGCTGTCATCCGGGGCCGACCAGATACTGTAGCCTTCTGCTGGCGAGCTTCGCGAGACTTGTGGATATCTGTCCAGATTACTGTTAGCAGAGCTCTATACGGTACGTCGTGGCGGCCGTGGTCATAGCCTACGGCTTCAGGATTGAGAGTACTGACCCGCTGGTGTACAGATAAGGTGGTTGTATGTCATCATCATCATTGTAACCCGAGCTGTACAATGGGCTGTGGTTGCTGTAAAGGGTGCTGTTCTGGAAGCCATCCCTATCACGAGCATGGCTATCGCTCTGACTACGGTGGTGATACTGCTGCTGCTGCTGCTGCTGTTGTTGCTGCGTAGGGCTATGGAACCCATGCTCTCGCCCCCGATGCTGCCGTGCCGACAGAGGGGAGTCGGCATCCGACAAGCTCGAGGCCCCGTCGCCGTCCTCATCGCCACTCACGGAGCCGTCCGCCCGCCGCGTGTTGTACTTGCGGACGCCCCATCGGATCAGCCTGCCCCGATACGCCCGTGTGGAAGCATCAAAGCCATAGTCCCGCTGCATGATCTGCCTGACCTCGGCCAGCGTACGATCTGCATAGAGATCGACGATGATGCTCCTGTATGTGTCCCAGGACTTTGTCATCTTGGCTGAGTGGTGGTAAAGCCAGAACACCACTGACTCGGTGGTGACTCTGGGGAAAGCAGTGGCGACTCCTAATTAGAGAGAAAGGCCCCGTTAGGTTACTGCTGAACTGATAGTGCCGGAGACTTGTCTACGGCTTACAAAAGGAGGTGAGTGGGCAGCAATATATCTGTGAGCTCGCTTCACGATGGCAAGGGTATAGCCACACAGGAGCGTGTTGTGGAAAGGACTCATTAGGCACACAGCCTGGTCGACGAGGTTCGTACATGCAGGTGGTGATCATGGTAGAGCATGGGGACTCGGTCAGGCAAGAGTCGAAATGGCTCGAGTCACCCGGCTAGCTGGCCGACATTCCCTGATGCTGCCTGCGCGCTATGGGGCATTGCTGGCACCCATGATGCCGGTGGTTGAAGCTCGCGGACCCGTTGGACCAGACGCAGCACGAGATCCAAGCCGGGGTGTGCAAGCAAGCGTGATGGGGGGCCATGCACGGAACGGTCCACGACACAATGAAGAGTCCCTACTCTCCAGACAAACAGGGCGGACATGCTGGCTAGCCGGGACGTAGGAGCTCAGTAGGACCTTCAGCCTAGCTACGAGCCTTGCGCCTCGCCGGTGCTGCCCCTTTCCCCGGTGTCGGCCGAGGTCTGGGAGTTGCTGTGACTGGAAGGTGACCCTGGTGGAGCTGGGGACCAGACCAGGGAGCGCGCGCACACACACACACACATGCCCACAACCATTGACAAACATCGACAGCTGTGCCTGCCCCAGCGTGTCGATCGAGGGTCCCAGCAACCAGCGGGGTGGGACATTTTCTGCGCAGTATCTTCCTGCCAGCTTGACTTTTGCCGGATGCATGCAACTCCAGCAGGAGGGGCACGCATCTAAGATTCCTGCCGGGCGCTGCATCGCCACATTGGCGTAAAAACCCAATCACGAGAGTATACCGTGGAAGCTTCACCGTTCCCAAGTGATTACCGCTTGGCTTTGAGAGAAACTGGGGCAGTGACCCACCTCGCGGTCCGGTAGGGGCTTGTTTGTCAAAGTCCTCAAAAGACGCAGGATCGTAGGGGGGCGCGGTGGTGATGGTGGTGGTATTGGCGCCGCGAAGCAGAGGACCTGGCTGCGTGATTTCGCCCCATGGTAGCAAGCTGGAAGCTGGGGCAGGCAGGGCAGCGTCTGACAAGAACGCAAGTGACACCACGCGCCCAGGCAGCAATGCGCCCGCTTGTCAACAACCATGTTCCAGCTTGCGAGGTTTCTGGTGGTGCCGGTAGGGTGTGCTGGCAACCAGTGCCGTGGATGCCTGGCGCTTCAGGCAGGTCTCGGACTCTCTGTGACGTCGCTTCTTCACAGGCTGGTACACCGCGCCTCGGGACCGCACCACAAGTGCACTTTTACAACGGCACCGGGGCCTCAGCCACAACCACTACTGCAAGTCCGATCCGCTTGGGTCCACGGGCTCAAAAGTTCGAAAGCCTGATCCTCAGGAGCAGTCGGGGCCAAATTGCTCAGTCCCTGGTTTGCCTGCCCGCCCTCCACGTGCGGTTCTGCCTCGATCGGGGCTGCTCCCTGGTGCGGGCCTGTTGTCGTGATGGGGCCGGCAAGAAGCAGCTACTAAGCAAGGATTGCCCTGCCCGCCACGGAGAGGTCAGGCCATCCTTGAAAATCGCACTTCCGGGCCGTTCACATCTCACGTTTTTATCGTATCAACCGTTGGAGATGCAGTCATCGTCGTAGCGCCTACTGCGCGGCCGACAGAAAGGGCGAAGTCGTGTTCACTACACATCTCATAGACTTTCCGCCAGCGACCAACATGGGAATAATGTGGGATCCTCATTGTACCTCGGATCCACGACTTGACAACCGAGCTCGGACACACGCTATCCGTTGATCAGGGGTGCTTGAGGAGTCACAGCAAACCTGACCTCACTGGTGCTTTCAGAACATGATGATTGGTTGGCGCTGAGGCAGTGCAATGCCAGCATTCGGAACCATAGTCGCTTCACTGCAACGTATAAGTCACCAGACAGCAATGACCGGTTTCGTATGAATGTGGTCTCTTGGCTCACGAAATAAGTTGATTGTTTGCTAGCTGTGAGAGGATTCCGCGACATGGCGAGTTGTTTCATGCATCTAAGTGGTTATTGGTCGATGGCTGACAAAGGAAAGGCGATGGGTACCAGTTTCGAAACAGCGCATGCACGTTCGCCCACATGCGCCGTGGAGCGCATCTGGTCAGAGCCACAGAGTGGGTCGACTTCCAGCCCCCAATATTGCAGCCATCCGTCCACATTGAGGTTGCTCGGGTTGGAGACTGTGGGGAGCACTGCCTCTTCAAGTCTTCGTCCTAGGACGTTTGGCAGACCACCTACTTGGCCCATGATTGGTGAGAAGTTGTTGCGAGATGTATCCTTCATTAGGGGTTTCGGAGCGCATGCTCATGCGGCTGAGAGGATTTCTCTTACACATCCTGGTGTATCAACTTTTACGAGGTATCAGTCTGACCCTCGATCACGCCGTTGGCTTCTTCTCTGCCGTGGTGCCCGTTGTGGTGCCGGTCGTTGCGCCAGCAGTGGTGGCTTCGCCCTCCTTGAATGTGGCCTGCGGGCTAATCGCAGTTGGGCTGCTGACAACCTCATCTCCAATGACGCCAGCTTCTTGCTGTTTCTCAACGGCCGGGCTCGTGGCGCCCGGCGATTCCGGGCCACCAACCACGGGAGAGCTAGGTGTGCTCTCATATGGTACACCAGCGTTGCCAGAAGCAAGCTTGAGCACCTCGTACCACTTCTGCGCTTCGGCCGCAGAGTGCGCCTTGAATGACAACTCTGAAGATCCTGAGAGCTTGCTGCTGATGCTCTTGCTCTTGTCCTTGCCCTTGACGCTGAATTTATCGCCAGCAGGCGTACCAAGGACGGCATCGGGAAGGTAGATGGAGAGTTCGGGCTTCGGATCGGCGCGGAGGTTGTCATCATCCTTGAACTCGTGGAGATACTTCGATGGTGTAACCACATAATAGCCGGTCTGCGTACCCCAAGACAGCTTGTTGCGGGACTTTCGCTCCAGGCTGCCCTCGATCATGGCCTTGGTCGCGTTGTGATCTTGGTTGGGAAAGCTAATCGACTCGAGGCTGCGGGGCGGCTCATTCGGATCCACGAGGCGGGCTCCGTCTCTGGTTTTGAAGCCCTGCCATTCAAAGTCCGGAGGAATGCGCTGAGCAGCCCCGAGCATGTCACTGTACAGGGCGCGAGTCTTTTCCGCCTGTCCGCCTGCAACCTGATTGAAGGCTTCCATGGCCTGCTGCAAGACTCCAACGACATGCGCCTCGAATGCCTGGAACCCGTCCTGGACATGGATCAAGTCGTTGCGGTGGTTATTCTCCTCGATGATCTGCTTGTTGAGGCGGTGAAGCACGCCACGCTTGAGGACGTACGGATCCTCTGTAGGGTTCATCTTGCCGCCGGTCGACTCAAAAGACGCAGCATGCTGTCCGAGGAATTCGATGTGCTTCTGGGTGCTGTTTCGAGCTTTCTCGATTTCCTTGGCAGACTTGTCGGCGCCGTGCGAAACTTCCTTATGCTTGGCCTTGATCTCCTTGTGAAGTCTTTCCAGGATCGGCAGAACAGTGCCTTTTAGAGTCTTTTCAGTTTCTGTGTTTGAATTGACCATCGCCTGGAGGGTTCGCATTGCTTGTTAGCAGCCGTGCGCCACAGCCATGATAGACATTGGGTGGCCTGGCTTACCTGGGTGTTGACGCGCATGTTTTCAAAGAACCCAGCCACGCCTCCGAGCCCCTGGTCAAAGTGCGCCCCTTCCCTAAGAGGGCTGGAGATGGTCTTGAGGACTTTTTCGTACTCTTTCGCGTGCGCTTTGTGGACCTTCTCAGTGGCCGAAATGTACTCCTCGAGATACCCTACGGCATGCTTCCATGCCTGGAGTCGCTCGGTCAAGAGACCGGCAGTCTGTGTGTCGAAACCTGAATTTAGCGCATGCAATCCGCAGGGTCCAAATAGAGAGTGCATAACTCACGGTGGTCGGGTCAATGTTGGGCACGGCATCGTCGCCGCTGCCAAAGGTCGTACCCTGCCGCAGTGGCAGGTTGGTTGAGTCGCCGCTCATTGTGGTGGGTGCCTTTCGCGCTTGAGTGAGAACCTAAGGTTGTGAACTTTGCTCGTAATTGTCAGCGCCTGCCACGCATGTGTACAGCGATGAGCATTGACCAGCCAACGTGTTCTAGGCGGTATGTCGACTTTGGGCAGGGGAACTGCTGCCGAAAACCCAGGCGGTGATGCTTACAATTGCTTGGAGATGGGCCAGTTTCGTCGGACAAGGCACAGAGGTGTGAGGCAGGAGGTTGGAGCAGTGATCGTTCGGGCGATTGCTGCCAGAGGGGAGATTGGGGGGGCCAGGGAGGTTAAAATGCTACGAGGCAATCCCCTTTCATGAGGAAAGGGCGATCATGGCGATCTAGCTCAAGTGACCCTAAGACTTTTGGTCCCTTCCCGCCCACTGTCCCTCCGCACCCCGGTCGACCTTCATGCCAAATCCACCACCCCATCATCCACCCGGTTCGGCAGCCACGATCGTTTTGGGCTCCGTCCGCGAGCATCCAAAAACCTGCAAGGGAGCGTCAACGGTATGAATCTAGATCGCGCAGTAGCGTGCGGCAATGCCGGCCACGTCGCGCCTGTGTATGCCAATCTGTCCTGGTGTCGAGCACTTTTGCACTGGCTCCCGAAGGCGTGTCGCATCACTTGACACCCTGTGCAGCCCTCGATGATGTCAGAGGCTGTTAGGGAGGGGAACATCGATAAGTAGAAGCTCCTGTCTCTTGCTGCTGCTCCTGGGGCGGACAAGGCGGGCGGGCGCGGGGTCAATCAAGAATTGTGGTAGACGGGCAGGCAGTTGCGCGCTACTGCGCACACTAACGACTCTTGCTAGGCCGGCCTGGGTCAGGAGTGCGCTGTGCAGGCCACCAGGCTGGCGGCCACGGCCAAACACCAACAGGACAAGCCTTGACAATCAGTCACACCCCCTTGCCATGGCCACGATCTAACACCAGCCGGATGTTCCAGGCTCGCCTCGCTAATTGGTGCGGACAAAGTGCGGATCAAGGCGCAAAAGCTTGGCATGGTTGTCTTCATGTATCCCGTTCTTGTCTTGTGCTCCGCTGGCTCTGATTCCTGTGCCACCGAAATCTTGTCGCTATCGCACCATGATGTCGGCTTGTGCAAATGACGTCAAGCCGCGTTCCATCCGCCCGTCTTGCGCTACCCCGAACAGATCAGAGTCACACGTGGGCGTCCGACTGCTGTGTAAAGGGGGCCATTTAGCTCGCAGCACAGACCAGATCTTGGACATTTCTTGATTGTCGCATTGTCGCATTGTCGTAATGTCTACCATCATGAAGTGAACTCGCAAGATCTGCGAGTGGGGTTCATTCGCTCTATCTAGTGTAAGTAGGTGCGTAGGTATCCTTCAGGGGTTCCGCCCAACGTTGAGTAAAGAAGCTTCCGCTGCCGTCTAATTCTACTGTAAAATATGATTCCCAAAAGTGTGCGCCATGTCCAAAACTCCGTACCTTGCTCCCAGAAATATCAAAAAAGAAAAAAAAAATGGTTTACAGACGTCCCTCTGCCGCTAATGCATCGGGTGCGGAGACGCCCTGCGTCAAGAATGTTCGGCCTGCGATCATCTTGGTGGTTTTGCTCCAAATTCTCCCCTTAATGGGCTCTGTTCTGCAAAATCCGCACGCGTCGATCGCTGTGGGCATCGCCGGGGGATCCCGCCTGGGCAATGAAGTTGAACCCCATAGAGCTTGCTCGTGAATGCGCTGTCGGCGATCTCGACACTGGTGCGATGTCAATCGGAGATCCTGATACAGGTCCCGTTGTCTCAGCGATGGCTGCCATTGGATCACTGATGACCACTGGTGCTGGCGTTGATGGCGCGCTCATCGCTGTCATGTAGTCGGGCAGTCCTAGGGAGCCAACGTAGCTGGGCGTCCTTGGCAGAGGAGTGCGCGTAGCCGTAGAGTAACTCGGCACCTTGCTGAGCTCCGCCATGCTCAAAAACTCATTGTGCTCCGGTTCCAGTGGTGTGTTAATGCCAGAGGCTTGGGGGTGCTCCTCCTCGCTTGTCCTGCGCGAGAGCTCGGTCGAAGGAGACTGTGATGGCTCCCCATCAATAGGCATATCGTGAGGAGTGGTCGCACCAGATCGAGCTCGACTGCTGTTGAAGTGGCCGCTGCGCCGATTGTCATTTGACTCGTTGAGCGCGTGCTGTTGTAACCTAGACGACAGCGCCGCAGGTGCAACAGCTCCAATCTGACCCAACATTGCTAAATTCTCGTGGGAACCGGCACGAGACATGGCGTACATCGGACTACTGAAACCGCTTTGCAAGGCGGGCGGGGTGATGATGCCGTTAGGGTCGACATCTTCGTACAGCTGGTCGAGGACGTGCTGGCCATATCCCGGAGGAGCCAGGCGAGCGGGGTCGCTACTGTCGTTTGTGGCTTCGGCACTTGGTTCTTGAGAAAGGAGGTTTCCTTGCTCATCAAGGGGCATGTTGGGCGAGATGAAGACGGTCACGGGAAGTGTGGCGCGGAGCTAAAAGAATGTTAGCATCTGATCAAAAGTCGCTCGCGCCGTGGTTGCGAGAGAGCTTACCTCAGACACGTGGCCGTCAGGGTTCTTGAGCGCTACCGTCAGCTTGATCTTGTGTCGGATCTTGATGCCGTGAGCTGTGCAGTCCTGGAGGCACTGCGTGAGCTTTCTGGGAAGAGGCCATTCCTTCTTCACCGCCCAGCCCTCCTGGCCCGTCTCCTCGACATTGTCCTGCCAGTGCTCCTCGCGGGTGACTTCGATGGTCCATGTTCTGATGTCGCGCTCGTGCTTGTGCGTCTTTGAGGTGGCGCCCGACACGACGTTTGAGATGCTGAATTCTTGAACCTCGACAAGTTTCGCGGTGATGAGCCCCATCTCGAGGCCCTTCAGTAGTGGCGTAAAACGCATCTCGATGGGCACATTGCTGCCGAATACCACTGCCTTCTGGGGAATGTTGACCGAGTACTCAATCTTGTTGGGCCAAATGTTCTCTACACTCATGGCGTGGTTGAACTCCAGGGCAGCTGGCTCGAGCGTGCGAATGATTCGGAGAGGTTTGTAAGCGTGGACATTCTTGGCGAGCTTGCCACGGGAGATGGTCGCCTTGAGTGCATAGGAGATTCCAGTCTGTGTCAAGCCCTCGATGCTCTCGGAGGTGTCCCCGGGCAGGATGTACTCGAATGGCCATTCGTAGTTGCCGGGAGCCAGGGTCTGATGATGGTGATGGTTCGTGGGGTCCGAAACGAAGGGCGGCCAAGAATGACGCAAGATCGTGGTGGTCCGGTCCACCTTTTGAGTGTGAATACCAGTTGGTGTCTGCTTGCCATCGACCCAAGCCACCCTGCAGTTTCCGGTCAACCGCAGATGGATGTCTTCCACCTTGAGAGGTTCCCGAAGACAGAGGACGACCTGTCCCTTGAGGATCTGGCTGGTGGCCTCGTGCTCATTGCCGCGCAGGACAATAAAGTCGTTCTCAAGACTATGTGAAATCACGTGTTAGTGAGGATCCCTATCCCGTCAGTACAAGAGAGGAAGACTACCGTACCGAATTTCGAACAACGTGCAGGCATTGCGCCCAGCGACAGATGTGAAGGGGTTAAAGGACGGCATGCTGAATGCCAGCGGGCGACAGCTTGCCCAGGTCGACGCTGCTAGTGACGACAATCAAGGTCGTCGGGGTCAGTGTGAGTCGCTACCGACGCTTGCGGTAGTCTTGGAACAGCTGTGAGGCTGAGAAGGTGGTCTCAGGCGCCAAAACGGAGCGAGAACTGGACGGCAAGAGGGTGAGAAAGTGAAAAGAGGAGAGAGCAGGAGCGCCGTGTGGCTGCTGAGGATGGTGGTGATGAGGTGGGGTGGCAGGCAAGAAAAGAAGCCGGCGCCGATTATCACACCTATGTCGGCGGCGCAAGGCTCGCAGATAGGACCAAGGCCCGCGACTCAGGACTCAGGACCAGCCTCCGACATGACAGGTGCGTCGCCAGAAACGTGCGGCCAGGGCAGCCGGCGCCATGCCGTAGCACGATCTTGAAAACCGGGGCTGCGTCGCGGCGCGAATTGAAGGGCTCCGGACACAGGGCCGGCGGGGCTCAGAGGTTGCACCCACGCCACGACGTGTAGGCAAGACGGGACGCGCCCACACAGGCAGGAGAGAGGGCCGCAAAGATAACAAGCTGCTGGCCCCCGTGAGGATCGCATCCCTTGCGTGCTCACGGCGCAAAACGTTGCCTCGCATGCGCGGAACGTACCTCATGGACGATCCCCAAGGTGCCCCCCACAGAGGGTCAGCAGCACAGCCCGCCGCCCATCAGCCAGTCACCTCGGGTGGCTCAGCAGCAAGCCTGCCAAGGTCTGTCTGCTCTGCTGCGTTGACTGAGTGGTGCGCTTGCGGTCGGGCAAGCTGTAGGAAACAGTCGCTCCGACGACTGCATCTGGCTACGGGTGATGCTATCAGCGACAGGCATGGCGCAAGCCGACAGTGGGCCCTTGGCTGGCTGGGCAGACAGAGACAAGCCTGCCGCCGCCTGCCAGGGGCGCTGGGCCGAGAGAGGCCCGGCAGTGGATTCCAGGGCGGCGGGTGGGACCTTCAACAAACCACCATGCATGGAAAGGACGACCGACCACTGCACTTGCCCAGGTGAGTGTTGTGTTGACTGCGGCGCATGTTCGCCTCTATTTTTCTAGTGCCTCGCTGGCTCGCGCCGAAGATGCAGTCCAGCACGCGGCGGCGCCACACATGCATCGTCGTTTACATGCAATGCCATGACAAATGCTCGTTGTGCAACGCCCGCCATCTGGGCGCCTGCAGCCGCCAGCCTGGTGGAACACGTCAGGGCTTCTAGGACCCTTCTTCGATTCCACCACAAACGGGAGCATGCGCCCAAGTGGGACCAGGCCCTCCTTGCTCGCTGGCCCGCCGCCCGTCCCAGTTCGCTCTGGCCGAAGTCTGCGTCTTGGCTCGCCAAGTCCACATCGAGCGCCGCATCATCACGGGCTGGACTAGACGAGATCGACTACTAGTCGCACCTCCATCCAGCTGCTTCGTCCTTCACAGGCTTTTAGCTCAGGGTCTTCCAAGAAGGTGCGCCACACGCCACGACGCCCACGGGTACTACTCGAACTGCCATCTAGTGATATTTCCAGCAGGCCGGCCCACATAGTCCAGCCCTGCAGGCCAGGCTGTGATGTCGGCATGCATACCGTACTTAGCCGCCTGTGGAAGACTCATCATCGTTCAATCACCGCCAGCGACGCACGAGATAAGACCGTTGCCGCCATTTGCGTTTCTACGATGACTATGATGCTATCCGCCTGCGCTTCAGCTGCACGGGTATCGGGCGATTCCATGGTTGCCCGTCGCCTGATGGCAGCGCTCTTCCTTTCGTGACGCCAGCATGACCAAGCTCGTGGCCCATGGTCGCATACCGTATCAGCGATTCTCAACTCCTGTGGCAACCCCCACGCCATCCATCCTGCGCGAGGGCTGCCCACCCGGGCACGTGTTGCACGAGCTGCAGGGTTGGGCTCGATTGGTGGGTGGTAATGGTGGCAAGGATGTCCGTTCGACAATTCGCGCTAAAGTTCGATTCTTCACGCCATGTCTTCCTTCGATGTGGTCCAAAACCAGCCATGTCTCGAGTGGCTGTGATCAACTTTCCGACGGAAAACACAGATTATAACCAATCGCAGTTCGCCAAACCATCAGCCCAGCCTGTGAGAAGCAGCGACATGCCAAGCGACAGGAGAAGCATCACCACATGTCAGACTTACAATAAAACGTCAGCCACTATCACGACTTTCCACCGCGCATGGTTAGCTACATACAGGCAGCTCTAGCGCCAAGATACAGAACCCACAATGGCAAAAATGGTGGCGTTGATAACGACGATCTTCAAATCAGCCTCGACGCGCGCCCTGGTAGCATCCACTTGTGGATTCTGTCGAGCCCTTGCTGGCCAAGGACTGTTGCAAAAGTGACAGAAGCCAAGCCACAGGCACTTCAGGCTGTTCTGGTCACAACGATCAAGATGCTCTGAAGCATGGTTGCAACCGTTGCACGGATTAAACCAGCGACCTTGAACAAGCACAGTGAAGTCATTACGAGTGACCCTGCATATGGGTTGGGAGCTGTCCCAGTCCTTGACTTGTTTGATGTCGAATAGCGACACATGCAAACGGTTGCGTCGTCCACGGTCCAGCCAGCCACAATCTTGAGCTCGTGTTCTGGATGTTCGTTTCAAGCTGCCGAAGCCAAATCACACCGCAGTTGAGCCGCAACGATAAGCAGGTGTGAAACGATTCACTGACCAATTGAGACTGACAAGCATTACGCACTTGTTGGCCGCTTGGTGGGCCAGGGACTTTCACGGACCCACTACGATAGCTTGAGAGCTTTTGCTGAACCCGGCCCTCGCCGGCCGGCCGAGCGTTGAACTTCAGTCTGGTCACCAATGCATCCGATCCGTCCCGTGGTTCATGGGACAAAATACGTAGCCGTACCAGCTTGCATCATCGTCCTGGTATGTTTCTTCCCTCAGAAGCCGACACGTCATTTGAAAGAGACTTGTTCCAACAGAACCTCCGACGGCTCGCATTTCTGATGCGAAGCTGCACACGCATGATCCTGGTGATCATCTCCAGTCAGATCGTCTCTCGCGCTCCTCCAGGGCGAAGCAGGGTAGACGGCCAGGTTTTCCTCGGCGTCAAAAGCACGGATACATCTTGAAGCCATGCAACAGCTCATCACGGTCTAGGCCTTGAAGCTTGATAGTGGAGGCTGGACGGGGGTTGCTGCAGCGATCCGTAGGCGCAAGCTTGACAGCGGGTCTGGCGGTCCCATTGAGGATTTCTTGCGGGTCGGCAACTCTGATGGAAGCTGTCCGGCTCCGCTGCAGCAAGCAGAGCTCTCACGGCATGCAGGGTGGAATCGAGCTCCTGAACGAGGCTCGAGTCCACAACTGAGGCTCTTTAGGAGGCCTTGGTCCGGATTGGAGCCGCCCCATCGTCGGGCATACGGCAAAGCCCAAACTCACGATGTCTCACGCTGGGCTGCCCTGCAGCGATCTGGCCCGCACATGTCGCGAAGAAGGACCGAACTCTCCCAATGATCCATAGATTCCACAACTTGCAGAACACGTCTACGATTTCGCAAGCAATCTTTGATGACGAGTCCGTTCGATGATGATCGAGCCATATGACCTTACGTATCTGCAGTCAATGGTTCGATTTATTCAGTCTGACCCTGGTTCCTTTATCACACGCATACGCTCACGCCACACCCCTCCATTGAGGTTGAGCACTGGTTCCCTCATGCAGGGACCCGCCGCACCTTATGTGGGCAGCGTTCCGGCGGCACTCGAAAGCTACCGCAGCGTTACTTGCATAACTCCAACGAACTACCGCCCTGTCGATCCCTGTCTACCTAATGATGAAAAGTTGTGTCGCATTGCGTCCCTACTCTTAGTACGCTAGGAAGTCAGGAAATCACTTACAGCAGACATTGCTGAATATGTGAGCACGTCCTGGGATTCGGCCGTGCAAGAATTCCTTCCTCGCAAGCAAACGCGTATGTAATTGCCCTAAACAAAATGCTCGGCCTAGCCAGCTTGAATTCGGCCTCACATTACCAGTGCACAATCGTGAGGTGGCGTCTATGAGGCTTGAGCATTAGCCATCACACAAGCCTTGTCAAGTGCGGGCTCCAGACAAACCAACGGCTCTCGAAAATTGGACTGCGGGCAAACCTGCGATATCACGGACGTGCGTCCGAGAACGTCGGCCTGGTCCATCAGCCCTGTATAAGTTTGTCCCCCGACAGATGTCCATCCTCGTCCCGTCATGCCTCAGGTTACTGAGACCTCCCTCTCGCTGACCCACTTATACCCGGCCGAGCACGGCGGAGCACAACACTAATGGGTTCATGAGCAGGAGATTTTGCTAGTCGATGGGGCCTCATGAGCTCATGGTGACGAAGAGTAATTAGTTGCCAGGTGTCTTTGCCTGCTTTGGTTGCCTGACCGATGCTGCGAACTGTCTTTCAAAATCTGGACGAACTCGCTGTACACGATTCTGCAGTCAATGTCCATACAAGGACCACGCGACGGGATGTTGACCGCGGCTTGCGCAGTCATTCAACATGTTTGACACACAATGATGAGGACCATGTCTTGGTTTTGTGCAACTAAAACTTCGGAAACGATTGGACCACTGCGGTCCGAACACAACTAAAACATTCAGCAGTATTATGATGGATCCGCTCTGAATTATATTCCCCAAGCTAAAAGCACTGTTGGCAGATCGCTGTCTCTTCTCAAATCAAGCGTTGGCTAAGTTTTGATCTCACCTCCAGCAATGCACATCCAGCTCTAGCCTGAAACCCTCAGAACCGTTGAGTAATGTGTAGCAGATGATGTAGCTGTCACGTGGAGAATTCCGTGGATACGCAGTGCCTGGAAGCAAGCAGTTCTCCCGGGGTCTTCCAGGGTTTCCCAAACGCTTCAAGCCTGTGTCGGTGGCTCTGTAGGTCTGTTCCACGTTCGAATGTGACCTATACAGATGTTAGTGTACTTGTCATTTATGGTTTACTGTCGCTGACTTACCCTTGGCACAGCTTGTCATGATGGAGTCCTCTGTGAACGCCAACCAGCTCAGCGGATCCTTGTCGGCTGCCTTTGTCATGACTGGCGGCAATATCGCAATGCGCGCGCGAGGCTCGACAGGATGGTCGATTGAGTTGTCATCCTCGTCGTCTCCGTTCGCTGTTGCGATTGATCCGGAACGGTCTCGACTGCCATTAGTTCCTTGAGTCTCTGCGCGTTGCAGGGTTGTGAACTTGGACGAGATGGATTCCCGGTGCCGTGCGGTCTGAATGGGTCCTGGTCAGTATTCCCGCGTTTGATTCCGTAGAGCGCTCTCGTACTTACCGCCTTTGGCCGGTGCAACATGCCGACGTTGAAGTCCCAGAGGCAAAGTCGACAGTCCTCACCCACGCTGCCGAAGCGATAGTTCTTCTCGTCACATCGCCAAGGGTCAAATTCCACGGCGGTCACCCACGACTGATGTCCTTGGCATCGTGCTATGATTGTACCTTCTGATGGGCACCATATGGAAATGAGGTCGTCCTGGCCTCCAGTCAAGACATACTTGCCATCTGGCGACCAACACACGCATGTGAGGCCACCATAGTAGGCATTGTAGATGCCGAGGAGCCTTCTTCGGGTTAGCTTGGCACTTCGTAACGGGAGACGAGATATCTCACTCTTCTTTGAGATAATCAATTATACGCAGCGTTCCGTCCTCCTTAACTACTGCAAGGTGGCGATTGTCGGGTGAGAATGCAAACGCGTTGATGCGCTGGTTCGACAACTTCCAGACAGCAGAAGGGTTTGTTTTCTGGTTCTTGGAGTGGATAGATTTCTGAATCTGGATTGCCCGCTTGAACTGAGGCGCCTGAATGGATGCTTCCTCGCCATTGGCCTCTAGGAGTCTCTCCTCGTCAGGATTGAAGATGGCGTCTTCCTTCTCCTTGTCGTACACCACAAGCGAGCCGTCCATATGCGCTGCCATGAACAGGTTTTCGGCACCTGGAATCCAGCGGATTTGCGATACTGGAGTTTTATTGATGACGCCCTGCGCAACCAATTAGTTTGAGTCTCTGTGGCTCACGGCAGCTTAATCCCAAATCCTACATTCTTATTGAGACGCGTGTATCTCTGAGAGATGGGCTCCCACCAGATGATCTCACCCGTGGAGAAGCCCATGATGACATCTATATGAGTAGACGACTTTGTGACCATGTTCACATCGTGGCTGAGGCAGTGGGCTTTCGTGAAGAGAATCTTGGTGAGGTAGTCGGCTTTGGTGGCGGAAGTGATGTCAAGCCATTGGAAAGCACGATTCACATTTGTGAAAGCAAAGACACCATCAGATGGCCGTTCTGCAAGCTTCTTGGTAATGCTCTCGTTGATGATTACTCGCGAAATGAAGGACGAATTGCTCTTAGTCATGTTGTTCTTCGGCTTGCGGCGCTTGTTGAGGTCTTTGGTTTTCTCCGGAATGAGGAGTGCATTGCCGTCGCCAAATGCTGGTGTCGACATCCCGTGCAGCTGAGCTGGCCGTCCGGCGTCGCTCGTGGATCCCGCAGCTCGAAGAGAGCCATCGCTGCTGATCTTAGCCTCACCGGAGTATCTTCCTTCATTGGGGTGCTCAGCGATGGTCGATGAGATTGTAGAATCGGCCATGAACTTGTAAAATGCCGCTGGCGGTGATTTGTGCTCGAGGTTCACCAGGGACAGTTTAGTGCCAGTAGAAGCTGGTTGAGGGGTTGTCGCGAGCGGATTCGGGTTGATCACGGGCGCTTCTGACGGATGTGGCGGCGGGGTCGCGAGCAACATATCCTCCTTGAGAATATAGGTGCCTGGATCATGAAGAGATCTTGTTAGCAAGCGGTAAAATCACTCGCGGAGAGCTGATCTAGCCGGCGTCACACACCTTCTCCAGCAAGAAACTGGTCTTCAGGATTGGACAGGATATTGTTTGTCTCAATCATAGGGGCCGCATGGCCAGCAGCAACGGCGGCATTGTATGCCGCCTGCGTCGGGTATCGTGGAGGTGGCGGTAGCACACTGAGGACATCAAGCAACAGTGATCGGCGGTGTTAGCTCTCGCTTCTGGATGGCGACCAGAGTAGCTTCCAGGCTCAACTCACAACATGATGCTTGATATCCGCGAGCAATTGGCGAACACGGGATGAGCGGGAGCAATTCGCAGGCTGCTGCCAGTCTGTGCGACACAGTCGAGCAAGTTGACAAGCGCACACGCCTTCAAGGCGCGCCGCCCAGTACTGTCGGATGGTTGCGCGGGGGCTTAAACCAGGGCCGGTGGGCCGAAGGACTGGGGACGTTGGCGATGGGGACTATCTCGCACTGAGCACTATGCTGGGCCGTGAGGGGTATCCGCACGCGACGGAGGAGCAATGGGAAGCAAGGCGACAATCATGAACGGACGGTTCGCAAGGCCAGGAGGCAGAGAAGGCCGAGAGATGAGCGTGGCTACCTTCAGGTAGGATGCAAGGGTCCATGTCACGGCTGCCCGCGCAACTGGTGCTGTCGGATGATGTGGGGTTGGTTGGCAGCCGGATCCTGGGGCAGGTGCGCCCGAAGTGCGGGCTGGTGTGGCAGAGCTGCGCCGCGGTACAAGACTCGACAGGGAAGGAGCACCAGCAACCCACATGTCCATGGTGTGGAAGGCGTGGTTGGCCCCATGTAGCTTCCCCCTCTAGCGCTCTTTTTCGCGCAAGGCGTGAGATCAGGCTGTTGTCTCTGGGGGCGCCTCGGTTCACCACCATTGCGTCCCAGCAGTGTTCTCGAGTCTTTACATTCATGTCTGTGTTATGCTTCATCAACTGGCATGACAAGATCCTGTTGGTGCTGTCGCGCTGCCAGGCCGAGCCACCATTTACACCGCCCAGCCTCACTTGGACAGAGTGATCTGCTGGTGCCCCCACCCAGTGCTGTCATCTGCCTCGACATCCGCCCTACCCCTGCTGCCCTACCTGCATCCCCTTCACTCAAAAACACATTGGGCGCTCCTCTGCGACATCTCCATCTCTGTACCATATCGCATCGCATCGCCGCGCGCTACCGACCGAGCACGACCCAAGATTCCGACATGGCTTCGTAGTCTGTATTCTCCCACGAGTCGTACAGCTGTCAGAACTCCAGGCCTCGCCATCATGGCTACAGGTATGCTCATTCCCCTGGAACGCCTGGACATGTTGGACTGCCAGCCATCAAGCACCATTCCCAGTCCTCCCCGCTGACACGGCCTCTCCCGGATCTGTCAGTGGTCCGCATCTGCGTCTGCGGCGACGAAGGCACCGGCAAGTCGAGCCTGATCGCCTCGCTTGTCAAGGACGTCTTCGTTACCAACAAGATCCAGTCTGTTCTGCCACAGATCACAATCCCTCCTAGCATCGGCACGCCCGACAACGTCACAACCACAATCATCGACACATCGGCCCGGCCACAGGATCGAAATACTTTGCGCAAAGAGATTCGCAAGTCCAACGTCATCCTCCTTGTATACTCCGACCACTACAGCTATGAGCGCGTTGCCCTTTTCTGGATGCCCTACTTCCGCTCGCTCGGGGTTAACGTCCCTGTGGTTCTTTGCGCCAACAAGTGCGACTTGACCGGAGACAGCTCTACGCCGCAAGTCTTTGAGGAGGAGATGCTCCCCGTCATGAACGAGTTCCGCGAGATCGACTCATGCATTAGAGCAAGCGCCAGGGAGCACAATAACGTCAACGAGACCTTCTTCCTCTGCCAAAAGGCTGTTACACACCCTATCGCGCCCTTGTTCGACTACAAGGAGGGGCACCTCAAGCCAGCATGTGCTTCTGCCCTGAAGCGCGTGTTCTACCTGTGCGACAAGGATCAGGATGGCTACCTCAGTGATGAAGAGATGCACGACTTCCAGGCAAAGTGCTTCAATAAGCCTCTCACAACTGAGGATCTCAACAACATCAAGCTCTCCATCGCGAAGTCGATACCAGGATCGTATACCGAAAAGGGGATCGATTTGGAAGGTTTCCTACAGCTCAACAAGATGTATGCGGAAAAGGGTCGCCACGAAACCATCTGGATCATTTTGCGCAAGTTCCACTACACGGATAGCTTGAGCTTGGAGGCCAGCTTCATCAGCCCGAAGTTCGAGGTTCCCGAATACTCCTCGGCAGAGCTGAGCCCCGCGGGATACAGATTCTTTGTCGACCTGTTTCTGCTATTCGACCGGGATAACGATGGCGGGCTCAACGACTACGAGCTCGCAGCGTTGTTTGCCCCCGCACCAGGCCTTCCCCCATCGTGGGAAGAATCTGGTTTCCCTTCCTCGACTGTTCGCAACGAAGCCGGTCACGTCACTCTTCAAGGTTGGCTAGCACAATGGAGCATGACCACATTCTTGGAGCCCAAAACCACGCTCGAGTACCTTGCGTGGCTAGGTTTTGAACCGTCCAACCCAAGAGACCCTCTCACTTCTGCTCTCAAGATAACGAAGCCTAGGAAACGAAGGAGGCGGCCAGGTCGCGTCGAGCGCAACGTGGTCCTATGCTACGTCATTGGTGCCCCCGGCGCAGGCAAGTCATCGCTACTCGACTCGTTCCTCAACAGGCCATTTGACATCTTGTACCGGCCAACAATCAAGCCTCGCAGGGTAGTGAATAGTGTAGAACTGCATGGCGGAAAGCAGTGCTATTTGATTCTGGAAGAGCTAGGAGAGCTGGAGCCTGCGATATTGGAGAATCAGGCCAAGCTCGACACCTGCGACTTGATATGCTACACATACGACTCCTCAGACCCGGACTCGTTCTCGCACATTGTCAGTCTGCGCAAGCGCGTGCCTCAGCTCGACGACTTGCCGGCGATTTATACTGCGCTAAAGGCCGACAAGGACAAGACGACACAGAGGAGTGAGCTTCAACCCGACCAGTACACTTCTGGGCTGATGATGAGCACCCCGCTACATGTTAGTGTAACATGGAACAGCATTGGTGAGCTTTTTGTGGCGCTGGCAGAGGCTGCCACAAACCCGAGTACGGGCTTTCCCAAGAACGAAGAACCGCCACCAGACAGGTCAGGCTTGTATCTCGCTCTCGGTGCAACCACTTGTGCCGGCGTGGCCGCGTTCATGATCTGGAGGCGGTCTGCCAACTCAATATAGTCGCGGTTGCCGTGTTTCCGGCCAGTCCTCACCGACAGCCTCAGGCGGTGACTCTGCCCCAACATGGCCCATGGTGCTTCGTGATGTTGCGATCTCGTCTTTTCGACAAGCGAGTCCGGATCATGCTCTTACCTTGCGGCCTCGACCAGCACGCGCTGGAAGCGTGCCAGTCCCACTCCACTCAACCTAGCTTTCACGAACATAAGGCATCTTTACAGACAGACACACCCACAAGCACAAACATACCCACTCTTGTACATATAGCGGTCCTGGCCGGGCCACATACAGAGCCCTTCGTAGTCATAATACAATAATCTAGTCTCAGAGCCTGTGGGCCAGCTGATGGATCAAGACATCATTTGCGCGGAACCTCCTGGTCTCACACGAAATTGCCATGCAGCCGTGGGCGTGTGGGCGAAAATGGAAATGTGATGCAGACGACTTTTATGAAGCATGCTTCTAGAAGGATAGGAGAAGATCTCCTGAGCTGGCTACTATAGCTCGATCCTTAGGATACTTGGCCAACGATGCATTCTTGCGGGGTGGGTCGAGCTGTCACGGAATAATGGGTTTGGGGGATGCCAGTGAGGCGGCAGAGGGTCCAAGCGAGCAGACCAGCCGACCCGTCTTCCTAGCGCAAGACTCTGGGAAAATGAGGAGGGACCATGATGGACTGTAGCTGGCCGTTTCGGGTTGAGATGTTTGTCCATGGAGATCAAAATTTTGGATGATATGCGTTGGATGGAGATTGCAGTGTCGTGACACCGAGTCTCCCGTGCGTGTAAGCCGCGCTGGGCTTATGGACCCAAGCAACTATGCCAACTTTGGCCCTCGTTATGACACTTTTGACAGTAACTACCTGCCGGCGTAGATATCCAGACTTGAAAAGATCTTTTGGGCTCATACAGCTCATACAGCTCATACAGAGATACTAAGCTGCAGACTGGGCAGTGTAGTGAGAGGGCTTTGTGCCGGAGCCAGCCGGCCAACAGCGTAGGGATGGTGACACGGCACCGTCCAAAACCCCGTGTGGTGCTGGCGCAATGCTTTGTGGCGCGGCTTACCCTGCTGAATATAGCGTACGCTTGAGCCACGCTAGCGCCGCCCGCATCAACGGTGGCCCCCCCCAAACCTCGTGGGTGCCGCCTCTCGACGTCGAACACGGGACGCTGTGCAGCTGGGCTAGTCCCCAAAATGGGGGCGGCATCAGGTGGCTCGACTGTGCCAGCGGACAGCATTGCGCGTGGTGTCTTGGGTGTAGTGGGTGGGGTTTGAAAGAGGAGGTGAAAGGAGCGGTGTCTGTCTGTGTGCGACAGCATGAAGAGGTGAGGACTGTAGTTTTGCGTCACAGCCTGTTCAGACTGCTTCTTGAATCTCGTTGCTGTTGTTGCTGAGTTACGACCGGCATGAAAGAAGGTAACAATGATGTAAGGCGACCAGGGGGTTCTGGTCAGACCGTGCAAGGTGAATCAACGCGGAACAACCAAGGCCCAGCTCGGGCTGTCTCTCTCTGTCCCCACCCACCAGGCCTGGGTCCGAAAGCCAGGGGCATCCTTGACGACAGATGGTAGGCGACGCAAGTCTGCCGTTGTGCGTACGGCTGACGTGTCTGGGACGGTGGAAATCCTGTTTCTGGGTAGCTGTCAGTGTCAGTGTCGTGGACGTGCATGGTGCTCCAAGGTGACCGGGTGGCTGAGCTTGTGCATGGGCATCGGCTCCCCCAGCCAGCACCCTGGTCTGCACCTCGCCTGCCGGCCCAGGACCCTGCCCATGCCATGCAAATGCAAATGCGAGCAGCCGATCAGTCAATCTAGGCCGCCGATGCTGTAATGCTCATGGCATATGCCCGGGGCCCGGGAGCCTCATATATGGTGGTATCCGGCTAAGTGTGGTGCTCGGGTGTTTCGTTCCCAATGATAAGTGTACAAGAGCAGTACGGCAACCTTTTCTTTCCGTCATCATTCTTCGATATTTTCACGATATAGTTCATGTTGGCCCAATCCTGAACGTCTTGGTGGAGAGCCCACTCCCGCTGGTCAACACGTCAGGCTTGCACAACAAGTTCGCAACCACAAATCACACACAAGAGTAAACCTCACACGATGAACGCCAAGCCAGAGCGCAATAAGCTGCGGCGGAAGCTGCAAAAGGTCAACCACCACCATGCCTCGACACACTCGTCCCGCGCGACAACTCCAGACGTCAAGATGGTGCCTCCCAGTCTCAGCCAGCACACCTCTCCCATTCCTCTCCAGCCAACCAAGTTCGAGCCAGTCATAAGCACAACCTGCGAGGTCAACAATCCTTCGCGAGAACAACATGTCCACCGCAATCGTGCCGCCTCAGACCCCAGAGGCGGCATCAGCCGTCTGCATCGCCTGGGCCCGACCCGCAGGCCCGATCATCTCGCCAACATTGCCGAGGCCGGCAGCGAGAGGAGCAACAGCCCGTTGCCCATCATCCCCGAGTTCGCCCACCTCTCGTCCAACGGCTCCAAGAGGGCGGCTGTCATTGCCAAGCCAGGCGACGCAACTCGCCTGTCCGGCCACAAGCAAGCATATTCCACCTCTTCGATACCCGATTCGCCGATCCAGCCCGTCAGAGAGCGCCGCTATGCAAAGACCCCGATCCGCAGCATCGAGCAGCTCGAGAATGCGTCGGCCAGGGACGCCGTCACGGCCCAGAAGGTGTCGAGCGTCGACCTGATCGCAGAGTCGTACCGGGTCCTGATAGAAGCGGACCGGTCGCTTTTGCGGACGCCAAAACCAGCAAATGCGCTGCCCCTGAGACGAGCCTCGCAGAGCACGACTGAAGACGTGTGCGAGACTGTCGTCGTGGCAGCATCGGAATCGGAATCAGAGGACGACTGGTTCGACCCAGAAACACCAAGAGCAGAACACTTCGTGCCCATCACAAGCGGCGGCGGCGCAAGACGAAGCCCGCGGCCGGCAGACTCTCCGCTCTCCGACGCAGGCACACTGGTCGGCCCAGAAGAGATAGCCGCAGCAATCTACTTCAAGCCTTCCTTCTCCCCGGGGTCGACGCCAATCCTGCACGACTTTGTCCAGCAGACAGAGCCCACCTCGCCCTCGACGACGACATTTTCCATGGACCGCAACCCAGGGCTCTCGATATGCCTGGATCTCCTGAGCCGCGAGCTGCTTTCCGCGGCGGCGGGCTCCCCGATGCGGCCCGGGTCCGAGACCTCCGCGCTGCAGCTGCAGACCATGATCGAGGCGTACGAGAACCTGCGGGACCAGGCGACGCGGCTCGGGCTCGGGACCGAGCAGGCGCTCGCAACGAGGGACATGTTTGACACGTGGATCCAAGCGCTGCGCTTGGTGCAGGCGAAAATCAGCATCAGAAACTTGCCCGCGCGGGCTATCGAGCGGCGGAGACCGGCCATGGCTGAGCTGGAGTGATGTTGTGATTCACCCTCCGATCGGGCTTTATTGTGTAATTTACATTTTAAAATACAAATAATGATTAATGAACTCCCTCCTTTGTAGATTCCTGCGGGAATTGCGCAAGGCTGGGCCTCTGAAATTTTGGGGCTTTTTTATTTGAGGTTTTGGGACTGTGTGGCTCATTCGCCAGATGCCTAGCTGTTTGCTGCGCACAAGCACGCCGAGATTGTCCACGTACACCAACACCCGTCGGGCAATGCGATCATCACTGATCGCCCCTACAGGAACAGTACCGGTTCCTGAAAATCCCCAACAAGCCATGGAATAGCAATTTCACCCACGAGGGCCACCGTCATCCCCCATGCTCCCCGCGACTCGGAGCCGGTCCCGAAGTCAACAATTGGAGGGTCCAACGACGTCACCGCCAGGGGTCACCCAACCTGAATGACATAATGCGTGCTCCATGTGCACCGGCAAGAGCTGTCACAGTACACAATACAGGCTCTAGACGCAGCTCTTCACTGTATGTGCTAAAGACCCACTACTCACTGCAACGGCAGGGGACCCCACTTGTAACCCGTTTGGGGCTTAAGTGGTTATTGGAGCGCGTCGATGGGACGCGTTCCATCTCCCATCGATAACCTCAACTCTTGGAAGAGGAGGGGTTCTCGACAACAGCAGAAGAAGACAAGCGAGTATCGACGCTGGCGACTTGCAACCTGCCAGCAATGGTTCGTTAATCGCGAGAAGCAAGCAAAACAAGCCCCGAGGCGTTGAAGATTGTTTACTACCTCAAGAGTCACAACCCACACATCCGTACGACCACGAGCACCAAACCCAGTCTCTCTCTCCCCCAAACACCAAGTGCCACAAAGGCAGACAGCAACGAACTCCCGCCATGTCGAGCACCAATAACTCTTCGTCCTCTCGCCGCCGCGGCCTGCTCAGCGACACCCGCAGCAGCGGCAGTAAACCCGGCAAACGCCACCGGTCCACGGCAGCCACCAGCGAGCACCATGACGGCGGCCCCGCGGATTTGCCAGACTACGAGCCGCCCGCGTTCCCGCTCGACCAGCGCGCCCGCGCGGCGCTGACCGAGCTCGCGTCCGCGAACCGCGACTCGGCAAAGTACAAGGCGCAGCTGGCCGGGTCGCTCAAGGAGCTCAACGAGAGCGTGCGGGACATCAACGACGCGTACACGGAGCGGCGGACGAGGCTGAGGAATCATCAGGCCCGGAGGCGTGGCGGTGGTGCTGCTGCTGGAGGTGCAGGAAGTACACAGCAGCAGCAGCAGCAACAACAAGATGACGAGGTGGAAGAGGACAACGCTGCTGCAGGAGGAGGAGAAGGTGGTGGTGGTGCTTCTGCTACTTCTGGAGGGCAGGAGAAGCGGGGCCCCGAGCGCGCGGAGGAAAAGGCCGTCATGATGCTCAAGGACGAGGTGCCGCAGCTGTCGGAGCAGATCGAGGCCGCCGTGCGCGAGGTGATCGACATGCAGGTCCTGCTCGAAGACGGGCAGGCTGCGCTGCGCGACGCGGCGAGGCAGGCCGAGGCCGAGAGCGCGCAGGTCGCCGCGCGGCAGAGGGAGCGGGCGGCCGCACGACAGGCCCGGCTCGCGGCGCGGGAGGCGGCGAGGGCCCAGCGCGGTGATGGTGGGGTGGATGACGACGACGACGACGAAGAGGACATGGAAGAGGAGGAGGGAGCGGGGGACGGGGAGGAGGAGGATGTGGACATGCAGGACGAGATCACGGGCCCGCTGCTCATGCTTGAGGAGGCTAAGCACCGCCTCGCCAGCGAGTACGCGGCCAAGAGCATGTATGCGCGATACGGCGTGCACAACGAGTACATTGCCTTCAAGAAACTCTGGCACGACGCGGTGCACGGCGCCGAGGGCAAGCCGCTGCCTGATGCGTCGCGGTGGTTCGCCGAGGACGGGCGTGGACAAAACCGACAACAGGAGCATGATGGTCACGAACATGGAAACGACGACGCCGGCGATGACGACGACGACGACGACGACCTGGTTATCGACCAGGAGCACGTCAGCCTGCACTGCCCGCTGACCCTGCAGATCATGAAGGAGCCGTACACGAGCCACAAGTGCCGGCACACGTTCGACAAGACCTCCATTCAACAGTTCCTGGGTAAAACCAGCAAGCAATGTCCTCAGACGGGCTGTTCTGAGATGGTGGCTTTCAAGGACTTCTACTTTGACCAGATCATGCTCCGGCGCATCAAGCGCGCCGAGGCGGCGAGCAACAACGACACGATGATGGACGACGACGACGACGACGAGGCCGGCTATGACGAGGAGCCGACGATGGCGAGCGTCAAGATGACCCAGGAGAGAGCTGTCAAGACTGAGCGCGGTGCTGCTGGCTCATCGAGGCGGGGGAGAAGAGGTGAGGATGTTGAGGATGAGGACGAGTAATGTGGCCGTCACGGCATGCTTTGTATGTACAAGATTGCCATTGAAGACACCTGAGCGACGACACTTGCGTGAGAAAACAGAGCTCGAGAAAAACATGGCATTTGCGCCTCGTATGCATATTTGATGTAATGATGCTATGGCCCTCTCCTCTATGTCTCTACCGCCGAAGAAGTGATCCTCGTCGTGTCTACATCTATAATGTGTATAGCCGTCTATGGACCTCTTTCCTCTATCACTGCCCATTCTCCTCGGTCTTGGAAAGCTAAGCAGGCTGCACGCAACGCAATAACAAAAACAAATCAAGAGTGCTTGGCCGCTTTACAGCTTGGCACCCTCCTTCCTCCGCTGAGCCTTCTCGTTCTGCTCCTTGAGGGGCTTGGCCTCATGGCCGACCTGGCCCTTGCCCTGGTCCTTGCTGGGAGCCTGCGCAGTGTCGGCCTTCTTGGGCGCGCTGCGGTAGCCCTCCTTGAGGTTGTCGTCGTTGATGATCTTGCCCGTGGCCGGGTCGCGCTCGAGACCGAGCTCGAGGAGCTTGGCAAAGACGGCGGCAAAGTGCTCGAAGAAGAGGTCCTTGTCGTCGGCGTACTTGTCGACCCACGTCTTGAACTTGGGATCGGCCAGCAGGGCCATGTCGGTGGGCAACATCATGAGCTCGACCTCCTCCACAGGCTCGCCGGCGGCTACGGCCTCTTTGTCGATGTAGCTGAACTGCTCGATGCCGCTGGCAAGGGTCTTCTTCTTCCAGTCGTGCGCCTTGAGCAGCTTGAAGTACTGGTTGGAGAAGCGGGTCGGGTTGTTGACCCATTTGCCCTCAAAGCCGGAGCGGTCGCCGTGGCACCGGCCGAGGTTGTGGGCGCCGGACAGGGCGACGATTTCCTGGTCGTTGAAGCCCATGCGGTAGAAGATCCAACGAAGGTGGTCAGCGCCTTGAGCAGCGTCGGGCAAGCGGCCACGGGGTGGGAGCTTGGAGTCGTCGACAAAGTCGGTGCGGCCACCCTTCCAGGGGACGACGGGGCCGCCCATTTCTTGAATGGCGACGACAGAAGCGAGTGTCCAGAGGTCGGCATAAGTGATGAAGGGGAACTGGCGCTTGATGGGCTCGAGGAAGGCCCGGGCATGCTGGAGGCCGGCGTTGGCCGGGTCGCCGCCCTCGGCCTCCCAGCGCATACCGGCGCCGTTGGAACCGCCGGTCTTGGTCTCGACGTCGTAGGTGCCGGCGCTGTGCCAGGCGAGACGGACGAGAACGGGACCGGCCGAGCCGTCGTCGTAGTCGGGCTGATGAAGGAGTTTCTTGACGGCAGCGCGGACCTCGTCCAGCTGCGCGGCGGTCGGCTGCGACATGGCGAAGAGTCGAGGGTATGTGTTGTGTTGTAGGGCCTGGACTGGGTTGTGAATGGTGGTCGGGAAAGCGAGCAAGGGTGCGGGAAATGGTCTCGGCCCTCGCGATGTTGGTCTGAAAGATTGCTGATGGAACCTGGTTGTTGGTGTTGGGTGAAGAAAATCAAGAGTGTCGGGCCAGCCAGGAGCGGCACAAAATTCGGGAGTTTGGACCGTGGAGGGAAGCTAGCGCCGGGGAATGCTGCCCACAGTCACGAAGCCCGTGATGCCTCGGCACGCATGGCGACAGGGTCGGTTACATCCTGTGCCAGTCTTATCGCAGCAGCTTTGATACACTCGGGGGCGGCCTGTGGGGAGGCGAAGATATGGGCCCGGCAAGACCCTCTCTGACCCTCCCGGGGGTCTGCTCACGGGCGCGATCCATTTTTCCACATGACGGACAGGCGAATCGGAACGGGGGTATTACCTGGAGAAGCGAGGGCCCGATGGGCTGGAGTCGACCTGCCCGAGTCGCGCGAGAGTGGAAAGATGTTTTGCGGTGGCAATGACAAAGTCGACGAATCATGACGGCGACGGGCGGGCGGAAGACTTTCGAGCTAAGTCACCAACTACTCAAGTACTTAGTCAGGCTGCAGTCACATGCCTCTCCTGAATGCCAGTTCAGGACCACGACCACGCCAGCAAATCCGGAGCAGCCTCCGAGCCGACAAGGACGGCCTCGCAGCCATGACGTCCCTGGAACGAGACAGAGGGAGGATCTGCCCATATGTTCAAGAAATAAAGTTGCCATGTCGTTGGAGATGTGCAGCGCCTCCAACCTGGAGCCACGTGCAGTCTAAATTAAGACGAGTGCAGAATTGGAGAAGGCGGCCGGCACTTGGCCAGCCGTCGGGTTGCTCCTCCCTCATCTGTCCCAAATACTGGCGCATATGTAGCGTTACCCTAGTTACGCTCGTAACTTAACTTGTGACACACTGCAACAAGGGTCCCTCCCATCCACTTGACAGCAGCAGCCGTTGGTTCGCTGCCGTCCCTTGTTTCTGACTTTGGGTGCCTGAGGTACAACATTGTGCAGGACGCGGGCGGGTTGCTGGGTCTACGGGGAGAGTGACAGGGCGATCACCGGCCAGTGACCCGCTGTGCCAGGGGCTGGGCTGACATGCTAACGGCTTTGAGACGGCAGCGGCTGCGCCAAGCCCCAATCGCCTGAGCATTGCGCGGCCGTGTTCCGGCTCAGGCACGTCACTCTCATCGTTGGGGAAGCTGACCTCTCAGACAACAACAGCTCTGCGGCACGGAGACAGCGGCACTCTCACTCTTCTAACCTACATCATCTTGCTTGCCCCAATTGCTCTTTTCTGCCATTGTCAGTTCCAATCGCGCCTTGCTTGGTTCCGCCCACGCGCTTTTGCTCACTCTCTTCCCCACCCCTCACCACTCTTCCCTCACTTGTCCTGATCTCAACTACTTGCTGATACCACACTTCCTGTCTTCACACTATTTTCACCATGGCGACGGTCAAGGACTCGGCCAAGCTGCTCGAGGAGCACAAGGCTGCCGTCGAGCGCATCCAGAAGCAGGTCCGCCACTTCCACGACAACAAGAAGCACTTCCGCGTCTACCACGGCTCAACCAGCTCCACCCGCCCCATGAACTTCAAGCGCGACGCCATTGTCGACACCAGCGACATGGACCGCCTCTTCCCCGTCGACCTCGACTCCATGACCGTCCAGTGCGAGCCAAAGGTCCCCATGGACGAGCTCGCCGCCCACACCCTCAAGCACGGTGTCATCCCCAAGATCGTCATGGAGTTCAAGGGCATCACCGTCGGCGGCGGCTACTCCGGCTTCTCAGGCGAGAGCAGCATGTACCGCTACGGCCTCTTCAACAACACCGTTCGCGACATCGAGATCGTCCTTGGTGACGGCACCCTCGAGACCGCCAGCCGCACTCACAACGCCGACCTGCTCGAGCACGCCGCCGGCAGCCTCGGCACCTTTGGCATCGTGACGCTGCTCACGGTCGAGCTCATCCCCGCCAAGAAGTACGTCCGTGACGACATCTACTTGGTCAATGATGTGGACACTGCCCACAAGATGTTTGAGGAGGCCGTGCTCGACGAGGACATCCACTTCATCGACGGCGTCTACTTTGGCAAGGGCAAAATTGCCGTCATGTTTGGTCGCTTTGTGGATGCCCCACCGTCGCCCAAAGACGTCCTCAAGAAGATGGAGGTGCACTGGTTCGCGGACACGATCCAGGCCAAGCTCAAGTCGCACCCCACACGGGAGAAGCCCGGTATCGTCTACATGACGACCACTGACTACCTCTTCCGCTACGACCACGGTGCATTCTGGGGCGGCAAGCTGGCCTTCCAGCACTTCCACGTGCCCCAGAATGCTCTGACCAGGCGTCTTGCGGACCCATTCATGGACAGCCGTACTTGCTACCACGCGCTACACAAGTCTGGGTTGGCCAACGAGTATGTCGTACAGGACTTTGGCATCCCTGCGAGCACGGTCACGCAGTTCATCGCCTACGTCAACGAGACTCTGCCGGAGCTCCAGATCTTCCTGGCACCATGCAAGACGGCACGGGAGATTGGCCTCACGTCGCGCTTCAACCCTCGTGTGGCCGAAGTCGCCGACCAGCGCATCTTTGCAGTCGGGGTGTATGGTCGCGGCCCACGCGACCCCAAGGCGTTTTACGAGTTGAACCGCAAGCTCGAGTTGCGCAGCGCCGAGCTGCTGGGTGCCAAGCTCCTGTACGCGCGGACGTACTACACGGAGGAGGAGTTCTGGACCATCTACGACAAGCCGACGTACGAGGAGATGCGCAAGAAGTACAAGGCCGAGGGCCTGCCGTCGGTGTTTGACAAGCTCCAGGCGGACATGGGTCCAGGCGCGAGCAAGCGACGGCCGGTGCGTGGTGTCCTGGAGACGATCTGGGACAAGGCAATTGGCAACAAGAACTACCTCCTCAAGTAGGCCATCTTGTGGCATACAGGTGGAGATCGTGGCGACTGTCGAGGAGATGTCTCTGGCACCAGTGGCACTCGCGAATTTGGGTGGTCACACGAGCGACTTGTCGAACACGTGATTTCGTTTTTTCTTAGATACCCCGGTATAGAAAGCTAAAAGGTCGAAGCGGGAATAGTCATAGTTGTTGCCATTGGCTTGTGCATACTAGTCAGTCTTGGATATGTTTGCACTCGTGGTTTGCGTGCCTGAAGGAGCCTGAAGAGAAATATCCGTCGCGGCAATTCAGGGCATCGGTGCCGTGTACCCCGAGCTGGACGGGGCGGACTCCGCCGTGCGGAGATGAGTGTGGTTGATAGCCAATAGGCTCATTTCTTTGGGCATGGCCATTAATTATCCGTCAATCGGATAATTGGAACACGGGCAGGGGCAGGGGCAGATCGTGGTCCTCGGGTGCTCCACCGGCGACGGCATCGGCCAACCCCACGATGCCCCTCCGTGGGGTTGGGCTGGGCCCATGGCAGTTGAAGAAGCTTAGTGTCCGAGGTGGTCGGCTGGAAGCTTCGTCATCTGAGGGGAAATAAAGGGCAGCAGTGTCCCATTGTCCGAGATTTCTTCTGCTCTTCTTTGCTAGCAGTTGTCGTTGTCTCGTTGTCTTGTCGTCCCTGGCTCCCCCAATTGGCTCTTGTTCTTTTGTCCCTTTGTCCTGCTCAAAGCCTAGCTAGCTAGCCATCATTGGCTCCTGCTTCAACATCTACCACCTACATACTCCCAACCAACCATGGCCGAGATCACCATCACCGGGTGGAGGACGCGGGACGTGCGGTTCCCGACGTCGCTCGACAAGACGGGCTCGGACGCGATGAACGCGGCCGGCGACTACTCCGCGGCGTACTGCATCCTGGAGACGGACTCGTCGTACACGGGCCACGGCATGACGTTTACGATTGGGCGCGGCAACGACATAGTCTGCGCGGCCATCAACCACCTGGGCGACCGGCTCAAGGGCCGCACGCTGTCGTCGCTCGTGGCCAACTGGGGCCAGACCTGGCGGCACCTCGTCAACGACTCGCAGCTGCGCTGGATCGGCCCGGAAAAGGGCGTCATCCACCTGGCCCTGGGCGCCGTCGTCAACGCCCTCTGGGACCTCTGGGCAAAGACGCTCGGCAAGCCCGTCTGGCAGGTCGTCGCCGAGATGACCCCCGAGGAGTTTGTCCGCTGCATCGACTTCCGCTACATCACCGACGCCATCACGCCCGACGAGGCCGTCGCCATGCTCAAGGAGACGGAGCCCACAAAGGCCCAGCGCTTCCAGGAGGCCCTCGGCAACCGCGCGGTGCCCGCGTACACCACCTCGGCCGGGTGGCTCGGCTACGGCGAGGACAAGATGAAGTCGCTGCTCGAGGAGACCCTGGCCGCGGGGTACCGGCACTTCAAGCTCAAGGTGGGCGGGGACGTGGCGGCGGACCGCAAGCGGCTGGGCATCGCGCGCGAGGTCATCGGGTACGACCGGGGCAACGTGCTCATGGTGGACGCGAACCAGGTGTGGTCGGTGCCCGAGGCGGTCGAGTACATGAAGCAGCTCGCCGACTTCAAGCCGTGGTTCATCGAGGAGCCCACGAGCCCGGACGACATCCTGGGCCACAAGGCGGTGCGGGACGCGCTGAGGCCCTACGGCATCGGCGTCGCGACCGGCGAGATGTGCCAGAACCGCGTCGTCTTCAAGCAGCTCCTCATGAGCGGCGCCATCGACGTCTGCCAGATCGACGCCTGCCGCATGGGCGGCGTCAACGAGGTCCTCGCCGTCCTCCTCATGGCCCGCAAGTTTGGCGTCCCCATCGTGCCCCACTCGGGCGGCGTCGGCCTCCCCGAGTACACCCAGCACCTCAGCACCATCGACTACGTCGTCGTCAGCGGCAAGCTCTCCCTGCTCGAGTACGTCGACCACCTCCACGAGCACTTCCTCCACCCCTCCGTCATCAAGGACGGCTACTACACCACCCCGACCGAGCCCGGCTACAGCGTCGAGATGAAGGCCCAGAGCATGGACCAGTTCGAGTTCCCCGGCAAAGAGGGCGTCAGCTGGTGGCGTAGCGAAGAGGCCCGTCCTATCCTCGAGGGCGTCAAGCTTTAAAAAATTCGGAAAAAGTCTTCTTGAGCCAAGGGGAAAAGATTACTCTTGGTCGACGGCAGGTTTTCGTTGTTTGTGCTGTGCCGCCCGGAATTCTTTTCCGGGAAGCCGATAGACCACGTCGTCGTTTGGGGGTTATGTTGCTTGCTCTTCGACTCCGGGCCTACGACTTGCCATGACATGGGATAGGAAAGCGACGTGGTGAGACAGCTCATTTCTCGGCGGTGTTGTCACCGAGTCGCTCCACCCTTTTGTCAATGGAAGGTCCAAAGCCCTGGTGTGGGAAAGCAGCAGCTGTACTCCGTAGGTCAGAGCAGCGAGCAAGCGTGGGGTTTGGAACAAAGCCGAAGGGCATTGAAAAGACGTATCAAGTGGGAGAAAAGGGGGGGGTCTAGTACAACACAGATCAACTAGTCCGCGGGGCAACGATGGCATCCCGTACAAGCCTACAACACACTGCTGTGCGGAAGCGAGAGTCCTGATTCTCTCGTCTTCCCGCAGGGGTACAGATAGGGCTGTCCCAGAAGTTTATTGGCACAGACACACACATAGACACACACATATGTCGTATTAGTCTGGCCAAAAGAGGAAGAATGATGGTGGGTTGAGGAATAAGAGGAGGGCAAAGAGAGGAGAGTAGGAGGGGAGGGGGTCTCAGTCGCCGACAGCGGAAGAAAATGGGACTGAGTCCGCAGGGCAACGATGGCATCCTGTATAGCCTTACTTTGGTTGTTTTGTCTCCCACTGTGTCTTTCTGGTGTTGTGTCTGCCTCTACACGACACAGCATTTGGAAATAGCAAGGCAGAGGTGGGAGGCGACCGGTTGGCTATCCCATATGTTGAGGTTGTTAGCAAAGTCAAATAAAATGCTTCTCGTCAGAGTGAACCATGCTCTTGCTGTGTGCAGAGGATTCAAAGTGTGGCAATTGATGCTTTTGATTGACCAGGATTCAGTCTGTGAACCCGTGCCGTTCAAGGCATCGGAGTTCCTTGAGGAACTGGCCTCGTGATGGGCCTCGTTGGTTAGTTTGGAATACTCACCACGATTTATAAGGTCATGGTCACCAGTCGATTCGCATTTGCACACGGGGCAGAAGGTTACAATTCAAAAAATTCAATTTGTACTTGCTTGCTAAAATGTTCACTCTGGTGTCCAGATTCTGCGTGTCCCTGGCCCTCAGCTCCATACTTCTACAACAGCTTCGGCTTCATCCAATCACTCGTCGGCAAGCCCAGATTCAGCCCGTTGCGCGCCCACCACCTGCGGATTGGCTTCGGGTCGCCCACAGCATCTTCTAGCGCCTCCTCGATATCGCACGTCTTGTACTCGACACGATGCTTCTTGCCGTCTCCCGCCTGCTCGCCGCGCGCGTACTGCTTCCACCACTCGAGCACCGCGACGTGGCCCTGCTTCGTGGGCGCGACGAGCACCTGTGCGTCGAACGAGAGCTTGTCGCCCTTGAGCTCGCGCCAAGTGTCGAGCACTGCTGTCTGACCGTGGGCGCTGGCAATCTTGCACACACCCTCGGAGTGGGCGACAGGGATACCAGAAGTCTCCCACCACCGTAGCACAGCGGTCTGACCTTGCTGTGCCGCGCTAAGTAGACTCCGGCCGGGCTTGAGCTGAATGCTGTCGTCTTGCAGAGCAGCGTCGCGCCACCACTCCAGGACAAAGAGGTGACCCTTGCTGGACGCCTGCTCGAGGGCGACTTCGGTGTATTTCAGGGGTAGGCCGGACCTCAGCCACCAGTCAAGCACGTGGATGTAGCCCATCCGTGACGCGTTATCAAGGGCCTCAGCGTCGTACTCCTTCTTGAGAAACGAGGGCGACGTGTTCCACCAGTCGAGAATGTCTACCCTCCCATAGACTCCCGAAGCCTTGTTCGGTAAAAGCTTGGCGCTGAACGAAGCCCAGAAGACCTTGCTCAGGTGAGTCTCAAGGTAGGTGAGGACATCAATCAGGGAGAACTTGATGATGAGCTTGACCGCCAGCGACGACACGTAACGCAAGCCCTTGGGAGCTTCCGACAACATCTGGCAGATGACGTCCGATCCTGGGCACGACAGAATGAGCCACTCGAGGTCGTGCATGTATATGCTCACTGGATCGACCAGGTCGGCACGATTCGTGCGCCACTCGGTAGGCGTTCGCAGATTCGTGTAGATATTCAAGGCCTTGGCCAGCTCCCAGTCGCCCACGTGTTCAAATATGAGAGTCCAGATCTCTGGTGGCAAACCTGTCAATATCCGCTCATGATTTGTGGGCTGCATCGCCGCTTTTTGCGCCGCAACCTCCACATCATGGCCCAAGGACATGAGCTCCGCCTGGTTCTTGATAATCCCGATCAAATCGTTGAGCCCATCCCAAGACACAGCACGCTTATTGGGCGTCTGGCTGTCGTAGTTCCAGAGAATCGGGGACATGACTCGGACCCAGTTCCATTTCCGCTTAATCTTGCTGAGCTGCTTCTTGGTCATTGGGTTTTCCCACATCTGCACCGACATGCCCGGCACCAGGAGGATCTTTTTGGACACGTCCCACGCGCGCAGCAATTCGAGCAGGGTAGTGTCGGCGATTCCGCCCATCATCTTCGCGAGGTGGTCGGCATCGATGGGAGCCAGGACGAGGAGATCGGCCCACTCGACGAGCTCAGCGGCAGTTTGTCGCGCAGCCTCGATCGCCTCGCGGGTGCGTTCGCTCGCGTCGATGGCTAAGGTCGCGAGGCTGCGGTTCTCCATGACGAGAATATCGTGTGTGAGCCGCGGCGGGACGTCGTCGACAAGCGCCCTCGTCTCGATCTGGGCATCTTTGAGGAGGCGGACGGCAATGGTCTGGGCGAAAGCGACGTCGCGGGCGCCGTTTGCGGCTACGAGCAGGCGAAGCCGCCTCGTCCTAGGCATGTCATGCAGGGACGAGAAGGACGACGTGGCCGAGAGCGGGATTGGGCGGTTGCGCCGGAGGAAGGCGGCGGGCATGGATGTTGGGGGCGACTGCCCGGCCATGATTGTCGGGTTACAGCTGGCAGCGGGAGGACAGGTTGGTCATGACGATACCTTCGACGGGGACGGTTGTATTGTTGTCGTGGGCCTGGTCGGAAGCCCGAGAGGACGCTGGCTTGGGAAGTACGCGCAAGGCAAAGTGGTTATCAGGTCGTTGGGCCGACGGGTGCTTTTGGTGATCGGGTGACTGGCGTGCTTTGGCGGCGATAGCGCTGGCAAGTGGGCTGAGCGGGCGTATATAGCGTGGTGGAGGGCACGGGCCGTGATACTTAAGCACAATCGCCTCTCTGAAATGGGAATGCGAGACTTGAGAAAAGCAGGTGATTGCGTGAACAAAGTTGTTGAACGATGGCACAATTTTGAGAACTGAGACAAGATGGGAGGGAAGGCTCGCGCTAGAAGCGTATAAGTTTTGCCCCGCGGCAGGCGACGGCTTCCACTGTGACGCTCAAGCAGGGCCTACCTACAGGAGACTAGGCCTAGGGTAAGTTGCGGTGTGGGCCGTAATGGGCCCTAGGCCCGCCCATCATGTCACTATACTGTAATCATTATCAACCCCTAGTACGTACTGTCACACATTAGCCATCTTTGGCAACGCACGAGGGACAACTCTCACCCCAATTAGCACTCGCTGGCTGAGGTGAACGCACCTGTCATGTGCTTCTGCAACGCCCGGTGAAGATCGCTGTCAGGTGCTTTTACTTTTCAGATGCGTACAGTTAGCCTCGAGGGTCCCAGGATGTACCTGTCATACTATCTCTCAGTACCTACTTTAGTCCCCAAGTCGATCTCTTGCATGTGGGCGGAGTACCATCATTGGCCTACTCAGTGTCTCAACTGCGGCAGGTGGCTCTTCATCGATATCTAAGACTTCTATTCCTACTCAAAAGTCCCATGTTAAGACAACCAGTGAATCATCAACAGACAGCTCTTCCTACAGCGAGAAGGTTTGTGGGTCCATCAAACTAGCGCACACATGAGGTTTCGGCATGTGTTTCAACCAGTGACATGTCGACAATTGATAACCTTTCGGCAACTGATGTAGATAAGTCTCACTTGCAGTATGTGCGAATAGACCTCTTTGGTTATGCAGTGCTTCATTATCTGCCGTGCTCAATGGAAGCCTGTCCCCCATACATCAGCCACCAAGTGGTTCGGCAGACTCGGGCTCCCGTAGCCATGACCCCCAGTATTCTCAGTGAGGTACGTATTGAGATGCGTAAGATCACCTGTGCGCCTTTGCTGGAATACGAACCATAATACAGCTTTCTAGAGGCTGTTTCTGCCCTATCGCAGCGGTCTCAACCTCTTCAACCAAGGCCGGAGCCGGAGACTGCTGACCTCGTCATTCTTTCTCATCGGGCCTGGAATCATGGCAAGGTTTTGCACTTCTCGTTCGCGCATTGACGTGTTATTCAATGGCAATGGGGCCGCACTCCATCTATGAATAGCTGGGATTATGTTCTCAAGAGTGCATCCCAAGTAGGCATCCGTGCTACACAAAGTGTAGGCCGGTGTTGGCATCATTTATGTCAATGATAGCATTGCAGGATGTGGTTCGATATTTCCCAAGCCCGGGGTCGAGGCTGCATTGATGCTGAGCTTCGAGGCTTGTCCAAGCCCCCTACAGCCATTCTGCAAGGCATTTCGGATGATGATCAACAGCACAGCTGCTTATGCTCGACAACTGAGCCGCGATTCAGTCGTCCTCGACTGTTGGCTGCAGATTGGGTTCTCTGTTCGCTGTGGGCGATGTTGTCGCACTGGGCGCTTGATCGTCGGCTGCGCCAGCTTCAACAAACTCTGTCCCCCGCAGCACGATCTCCTCATTTCCAAGCCTCCGCATAAATGCAAAGAAGTCGGATTTCGCAAACTTGTCGTTCGTCTCGTTCGATACTGATTGCACGACCTGGCGAGCGGCGGCGGCAAGCTCACCATTGTCGTGACCCGGGGTCGCAGGTGCTTCTGCTTCTTCGGCTGGCACGACAGTCTCCTGTACAGGCTGCACAGGTTCTTGATGAAGCACATCGGAGGACGAGGCTACCGGCTCAGCGGGCAACTGCTGTTCTGCCTCTGCTTGATTCAGAGAGTCGGCCAACGAAGTCGCTGCTGCCGCCTCTTCTTCTGGCCCTGAATTAGCCGCCATCCACTGGCTCATCGCAGCATCGAAGTCGAAATCGTCGTCAGCCTGCGTGACTTGGGTAGGCGTGGCTTGGGCAGGACCTTGCAGAGCCATTGGCGCCACCGAATTGTTGAAGCCGTACATGGGACCTCCTAACATGGGCCTCTGAGGAGCGAACATCGGATTGTACTGAGGCGCAGCCTGTGGCGTCAGATTGGGTTGCGCGGGATGTTGCATGGCTCCGTTGACATTCATCTGCTGGAAGTCACTAATCCAAGACTGGCCGCCTTGTTGTGTCTGTGGTGCTTGGGAGATGGCAGCTGGCGCTGTGTTCATCTGCCAAGGTTGCCGTGCTTGGAAGCCCGCCAGGCCTGCTGGCGGAGGCGCGTGTAGTGTCGATCCGGCAAGCCCGCCATCAAGAACAGACGGGAGGCCACTATTGCCACTTTGAAAAGCTGCAAAGCTAGTGTTGGCGCTGCTGCCATTCGCAGGTGAAGATCGGAAGTTTTGAGCAGCCGAGTGCGGAGATGCAACGAAGCGGTCCTGTTGCCGGGAGCCATCGCGGTCGAGGTGGCCAGCCAAGCCCTTGAGAGCATTGGCTGGACCGCACATGGCATCGGCCATCGTGAGAAGTTGCCCGCGGCGGCAGTGGTCTCTAGTTGTTCGGAACCCGCAGGGGGGATGTGACGTATAGGTGGGAGACAGTAGGGTAGAGTGGCAGTTGTAGACAAGAGGGTCGAGAAGTTCTGTCTTCGTGCTAGCTGTGCGGGATATTGTAAAGAGAAAGTCGTGAAGCGGGAGAAAATGAAGGCGTTGTTAGAGATGGGGCTGAATTAGAAAGCAGTTCTGGGTCTGTTCGGTAAAATCGCCGCTGCGTGCTGGTCGAGTCACCAGACGTGGTAGTGGAGGGGCGCGGGTTTGCCGCGGCTCCCAGGAAGCTGCCCATGGGGAAAGGGATCAAGGGCAGGCGCGGCCGAGCAGGGGTCTAGCTCGCCGGTCATTGCAGGTGCTGCTGGACCGACATTCGCCATGTGAATGTGGCTGATGCTGAGACTTTGTGGCTGCTCGCCTCCCCTGGTTAGTCAGCAAAAGTGCAACCCGCACCTGGACTCTGCTTGAGGCAACCTTGGAAGGGGGGCAGCAAGGCCCAGGGCGATAGAGGGGTGGAGCACAGCTCGAAAGGGACAGGTACGTGTTATGGAGTTGCAGCAGCAGCACAGCAGCAAAGGAGCAACAACAAGGCGCGAGCGTCTCTGTCCTCAATTCAGTAACGACACGTTTGAGCCACCAGCAGCAACTACACTTTGGAGCTCATAGCTACTCGGTTTCCTTAGCATATCCTCCGCGATTTTTCCAGGCTTCAAGCCGTCAGATATTCACGATGGTGAGTACTACATTGCGGTCGTCGAGCTTTCACCGTCTCTCCTTGCAAAGCTAACACTCTTTGGCCAGGCGCAAGTCATCTCAAACTCCGGACACGATGACATGATTGTACGTACTCCTTGCACGCCATTTCTCAGATACTGCCCGACCTTGCGAGTCGTCAGGGTCGAGCCTTGTAGCATCTCGATAGCCCTCCACGACCACACCCCTCCACGATTGCGACCGCTATCGCAGGCACGAAGTCTCTTGACTAACGGCGACTCAGCACGATGCGGTTCTCGATTACTACGGGCGCAAACTTGCGACATGCTCTTCCGACAAGACAATCAAGATATTCGAGATTGAAGGCGAGTCACAACGGTTGACCGACACATTGAAAGGGTAATGCACCACGAGCAATCTCCGCCATGATTCGCTGATGCTAACAAGAGGGACACGGGCAGTCACGAGGGAGCCGTATGGTGTGTGGCGTGGGCTCATCCGAAGTACGGCAACATCCTGGCCTCGGCAGGCTACGACGGCAAAGTCTTCATCTGGAGGGAACAGTCTTCGCAGTGGCAACGGATCTTCGACTTTCAACTGCACAAAGCCTCCGTCAACACCGTCTCCTGGTCACCGCACGAGACCGGTTGCCTGCTCGCCTGTGCCTCGTCGGATGGCCACGTCTCGGTGCTGGAATTCAAGGACAACAGCTGGTCCCACGTGGCCTTCCCGGCTCACGGTCTTGGTGTCAACTCTGTGTCGTGGGCGCCTGCTACAGCGCCAGGCAGCATTGTTTCCTCGGCGCCTCCGGGGCCTTCAGCCCTCGGCCAGCGTCGATTCGTCACGGGTGGCTGCGACAACCTCCTCAAGATTTGGTCGTGGGACGCCGCAACGCAGAGCTACACACAAGAAGGCGAAGCGCTGAGTGGCCACTCGGACTGGGTGCGCGACGTCGCCTGGAGCCCAACGGTGCTGCAGAAGAGCTACATCGCCTCGGCGTCACAAGACAAGACGGTGCGAATCTGGACAAGCGACAACTCAAGCCAGGGCCAGTGGAACGTCAAGGTGCTCAATTTCGAGGCTGCGGTGTGGCGCGTAAGCTGGAGTCTCAGCGGCAACGTTCTTGCCGTTAGCGGCGGCGACAACAAGGTATCACTGTGGAAGGAGAATCTGCGCGGCGAGTGGGAGTGCGTCAAGACGATGGAGGAGTAGAGGGGACGACGGGAGTCGCGAAGCACTCTCTTGACGTCAGCTGGCAGATATGATAGCAATGGTGGAGGCGCACATCATCCACGCGCACGAAAGTTGGCATCTCAGCACAGAAGATGCATCGTAACCTGGGCGCGGCAAGGTGAGCGTCCCAGACGACAGCAAGCTCCAAGCTGGACGGCACCTGCGTGGCCAAGAATAAAACATCAACCGGAAAGCGACTAGCCCGCCTAAAAAGCATGCGCCCCGTGTTGTCGAGCATGGTCAGAAGTGAATGTGCTGCAATGAGTGGCAGCGCTCGTGGCTGAAATTTTACTCGACACCATCAGTTCTGTTGGAAACAACTTACACAGCACTTGCACCTCAGATGCTGCCGATTTTTATGCTAGTAACTTTTGACAACCCCGAGGTCGTCTCTGAAACTCTCTTTGCCGCCCAACAATGTCTCGCAGAATTGCTTGACAAGCATCCCATAAGCGAAGCGCAAGTGTTTGCCAAGCCACGGCATCCAGACGGTGACTCTGCCTACCTGGCAAATTGTTCAGAGCGAGCCCGCCTTCTTTGCTGAAAGCGGAGCTTGGGATACGACCCAAGACATCTGCACGTGGGGGCTGTAACCCTGGATCCCTACCCCTTCTACCTGAAGATATATGCGTGCAGGCGGGGATCATCTCTGAGACGAGAACAACAGGCAGCTGACCTGCATGCCGGTTCAGGCAGGTCGCGCTTGAGCTATGTTTTGCTTGTTTGGCCGATTGCGAGGTCGCAAGTTATGCTCCCTGGGGAAGTCTGATCTGTGGCCATCGGAGCCTGACCAACACAAAAGTGACGTCGCCGCTTCGGCACTGAGACAAGCATAGTGTTTAGAGTTTAGACGGGACGGCGCTGACCATGTATACCTGTAATGCCACCGCTCTGTCATTCTCCAGCCGAACACTGACTGGGTGGGTGCGGCTAGGAAGTTGTCTGGCGTCTGCCCTCTCGCTGCCCTGACTTTTTTTTTTGGCTCTGCACGAGCCGATCCCTCCCTCTTTCTCTTTCCCCGCCTCCTTCCGCACCTTGATGAGGAACTTGATGCTGGACGGGAGCTCGCTAGGGGTTGATACAACTCAAGACGGGGCACCCACTATGGGCAGACTGCTCTGGTTGGCCGCCGAGTCGGCTCGCGGCTTGGCCTTTGTAATCGACTTGCCTGTTTCTCTGCCCAAACAAGACGCCGGGTCTTGCTCATGCTGCATATGCGCAAGGGCTGCCATGCCTGGTGTGGCCTGGCTCGCTTGTCCTGCAAGGGCGGCAGTCTCGTCAACCAGTCCAGTCTGCAGCAGGTGGTGCCGCTATCCCAGTGATCCGCGGGTCGGTGCTTCCTTCCCGTTCGCCACCTCCACACTTTGTTTCCAAGCTTGGCTTACACGCTGGGCGCATCCGAGCGTGGATCACACTTGACGTGCCCGAGTATATGTACCTAGACATCACCACCCTCCATTTCCGATGACGCCCTTGTGTTGTGTCCACGGTCTGCTCTCTATGCCACTGCCTTAACGTTGCGCAACCACCATATCTCTCGCCCGTGTCTCGTTCCCTGGACTCGCAATAGATTGTTCTCAGCAGGCGAGGTCGCCATCTACCAACACGAGCCCATCATGAAGAGCACATCAGCTCTCGCGGCCGGCCTGGCCTGCTGTGCTGCCTCGGCCGTCCTGGCGCAGGAGTCATGTCCCATCACCCTCCAGCCCGCCTATCCGCAGCCGGTAGTGGCCGACGGCTTCACAGCTCGCCTCATTGCCTCGAACCTCAGCCGCCCACGCAGCCTGCTTTTTGATGCCTCGGGCAAGATGCTCGTTCTCCAGCAGCGCAGTGGCATCCGCCGCCTGGGCTTCACCGATCATGGGAGCACCTGTGTCGAGGTCACCGAGAACACCGTCGTCATCAACGACACCTCGCTCACACACGGCATTGCCCTCTCCAACGACGGCAAGACGCTCTTTGCGTCATCGGCCACGCAGGTCTTTGCCTGGGCCTACGATGCAGCGACGGGCACCATCAGCGGCGACAGAAAGGTCGTCATCAACGGCATGGGCAACAGCGGCCACACGACCCGCACCCTTCTCATGTCGGCAAAGTCGCCCGGCACCCTCATCGTGTCCTACGGTAGCAATGGCAACATCGACCCAGAAGCCCTCAACGCCGAGTCTGGGGTCTCCCAGATCCGTGCCTTTGATGTCAGCACTCTGCCCGCCCAGCCCATCGACTACGCCTCGGGCGGCAAGCGTCTGGGCTGGGGTCTGCGCAACTCGGTGGGCGTGGCCGAGGAGCCCGTCACCGGAGGCATCTACAGTGTCGAGAACAGCGCCGACGAGCTCACGCGCGACGGCACTGATATCCACCAGAACAATCCCGGCGAGGAGCTCAACTTTCACGGCACCCTCAACAGCACAGCCGAGGGCGGCAACCATGGCTACCCGACCTGCTTCGCCCTCTGGGACACCAACGTCCCTGCGGTCGGTGATCTCACCACTGGCAGCCAGTTTGTCACGAAGACGGATGGCAGCAACGGGGCTACCGACGCCCAGTGCAATAGCGACTATGTCTCTCCCCGCCTGACCTTTCAAGCCCATACGGCGCCTCTCGACATCATCTTTGCCCCTGATGGTAGCGCTGCATATGTCTCTTTCCACGGTAGCTGTAAGTAGACTGTTTCCGCCAGATGCCATAGTTGTTCAATATCCATTCTCAATTCTCAGGGCACCGCTGACCAAGCCACAAATTAGGGAATCGCGATGAGCCAGCTGGCTACAGGCTCAGCAGCATCGCCTTCGCCAACGGCGAGCCCGTAGCTGCCGCAGACAGCAAGACCGCGCTTGTCGACGTTCTCTCCAACCCAAGTCTCACGGCCTGTCCGGATAACTGCTTCCGGCCCGTCGGCCTCGCCATCGACAGCGCCAACAGACTCTTCATGACGTCCGACTCCACGGGGGACATCTGGGTCCTCGACTCTGCCGAGGCGGCCACCGCTCTCAGTGGTGGCGGGCAGACCAGCTCGGCTGCTTCCAACCCTGCCACAAAGTCATCGCCATCTCCCGTGCCTACAGGTGCTGCAGCCCCGTCTCGCGGCGGATTCGTTGGTGTTGGTGGCAGTGGGAGTGGTAATGTAGCCGTGGTCGGTGCTGTTGTCGCGGCGGCGTGCTTCGCATTCACGACGCTCATGATCTGATGATGATGCTCTTATGCCATAGTCCGTGTACATACATGATTGTTATGTTTTACAAATCATACATATCTGTGAATCATAAGAGGAAACAAATAACATTATGGTGTTTGCTCCCGCTTCCAGTATTTTCACAGGGTGACTCTCAAATGACTGTCAACAATAACTCAATTTCTCATCGGAAGCCCGGCCTGCCCCCGTGGACTACGTGACTTCAGGTCATACACTTAACCCCTGGGGGGTCATTTGTCGCTCTGGACGCAACAGCCAAGATGATTTCATTTTGACATGGTCGCCCCAAATAAACGACACCCGTTCACATTACTGCAACGCGATTATCCGAGGCAAAGCCTGAATCACAGACATCACATTCATTGATTGATTCAAGCAAGCAAAGCCACAACAACGATGCAAACGACACCCTAGGGAAGAAACTTTTTCTACTCGTAGCCAAAAAGAGAAAACATGTGCGTATCTAGGCTAGCCCCCAACCAAGACTGGGAGATTTAAAAAAAAAAAAAAAGTGAAGCTCATCGCATGCATGTTGCTGCTGTCCTTGGTGTGGATGAGAATGTACACACATGCATGTTGGTACCTAGGCGGGCACGGCCAACAAGGGAGAATACCGGCTCAAGTAAGTCAATTGGCGGATTTGGCAATGCCCGGACGTCGTCGCTTGCTCGTTACAACGCGGATGCTGACAGAGTTGTGTAGGTGTGTGTGTGTGTGTGTGTGTATGCTGGCGCGGGAAGGGAAAGGAGATTGGGGAGGGAAAAAGCAAGAAGAGGCAGGGTGAGAGAGTATAGAAATGGATGGGAGATGCGACAAGCCCTCGGAGGCTGTCCATCTGTTCATAGAGAAGCCGTGCTCTTTTGAGGAGAACTTCTCAACGCAGCCCGATGACGCTCATCTCTAACGTCCATACCCTGCGGATCCAGACCTTCAGTGTCCCGTCAACGCCCTCGACGTCTTGCAGGTCAACGCCTTCCCACCAGCAGCGCCGGGCCGGCTTGCGCCAGAAGAGCAGCAGCTTCTGCGCCATTCCCACGGCGTTGCTGCCCATCTCGTTGCCCCTGATGTCGCTGCGGAGGCGTGCAAGAGCAAGACTGCATACGACGGCCTTGTTGGGCTCGCCGGCACGGTGACCCCAGCGATCGTCGTGGTTGAAACCGCTAGCGAAGAAGTCAGCACCCTGCGCATTCGATAGCAGTTACAGTCCAGAGACACAACTCACCCAGCTGTTAGCATCTCGATAAGATGCGCCTCAGTAGTGCCTGGCTCATCGCTGCGCTTCAAGCCGGAGAATATGCCATTCTGCTTCAGAAGTGCCCGAGCCGCCGCACGCTTGACCTCAATCATCTCGGCCTGGCCAATGTCTGGGCGTGGAGGGATGGCGTAGAAATCCAGGTCTTCGCGAAGGACGATGATACCAGCGCGCTTACTGGCATCCTCTCCACGACCACCCAGAGAGTCAATAGGCACAACGCCACCATCTGGTGAGGCTGTGGGCGAAGTCTCGTTGGGGATAGATTGAGCAACATTGCGGAAGAAGTCCAGCATGTATTGGAGGGAAGCGGGGTCATACTGGGAAGTGAGGTCAGTGAAATGGATAATTATATTGGAGAGGAGCTCGCGGGTCGTCTTGGCTCTCGGGAGGAAGGTATTCATGGGATTTGGGTTCAGTGTGCCCGTGGAGCTGCGTGTATCTGAGGAGGGTATTTGGAAAATATGACTGGGAATACATACGTCCACCTGGATCGCGTCTCCTTCGGAGAAGCCACCCATGTGGCCCTCCGGGAATAGTCCATTGGGGAAAAGCGAGAGTAGCACGAACTCGGGCAGGGTGAGCAGCTCGTCTCTGGACAGGACGAAGCGCGTGCCCCTGTGTATGAGATTGTCAGTGACATGCCCAAAGTTCACATTTGTCAGGGGTGCTTCGTGGCGATTTCACAGATACCTACCGCAGGTCCATCGTGATTGTCTCATCGGCGCCGACATCTATGCATGTGTCAGTGCCTGGATCTTGAGGAGTACTCGCTCGAATTGGCGCAAGGCCCACAAACCTCCAATGGAATTGATAGGAGGGCCTCCTTGCTGGACTTGAGTAATGATACTCGAGGCACCACCGGCAGCAGCCATGATGTAGGTGAATGATAGTAACGGACTGAAGCTCTCTTCGTAGGCGGGCGGAGGCTCGGAGGCTTCCTCTGTCTTGCGGTCTGAGGATTCTCCCTTGGTGTCCTGAGGAAGGGCGCGTTTGGTGTCGGCAACAACTACCTGGTGTGTGGCAGTGGGCTTCGAGGATGAGGCCCCGGCGTCGTCAAGTGAAGAATAGGCTGGGGCGGCGCCTGACGTCGGGTTACAGGCTTGTGATGCTGCAGCTGCGTCGACAATCTCTGTGCTGGAGAAGTGTTCGTCGGCAAGGTCCTCGGCGGAGCCGAATTGGTAGAGTGGTGGCGGGGGCGGCGGACGGGGTGAAGCGAGCGAAAAGGAGGTGGACGCCGATGCCTCGGAGGGCGGACCGGAGTAAAGGTACTTGGGAGGCGGCGAACGCGCGCGCACGAGCGTCACAGGGACGACGTCGTCGTCGTCGTTGTTGTTGTCGGTGGCGACGGAGTCTGAGAACCTCAGCTTGTCGGCGGTGCACGTCGCGATAGTCGGTGAGGGCGCCGCGGAGGCAGGCAGGCCGTGGTCGGGCGGTGGTGGTTGGCACGACGTGGCGGCGGGAGAGGGGGGAGGAGCAGCGGGCGGACGGTCGGCGGATGCCAGAATGGACGACGGTATTCGCGGATGGCGTAGCAGAAAGGCAGGTCTCGACGTTGGATCAGAGCGTGATTAGACGGAGGTGAGAGCCAGGAGGACGGGGGCGGTAATTGACTGCGGGTCGATCAAGGTCCCAGCCCAGTACCCCAGGCGGGCGGGCAGGCCCTGCAGCGCGGCGGTTGGCTGGCTGGCCTCGAGATTGCGCCGCGAGATTGCAGCTTGTCCCGGTGTTGGCACGGCACAATACAGCTGCTCATCATCAGGTCCTCTTCAGGCGAGGAAATCCCAATCAAACAATGTCCTCTGCGCAGGAGTGACCGTGTCAGCAGCAGTTCGGTAGCTCTGACTGTTGACATCTCTCTTGCGGCTCAATGACGCGGCAACCTTATCACTCCAGTTCTATCAGAAACTTGGGTGTAAGACGCCAAAAGGCAGGACCGTCCCTCCCACAGGCATTTCGGTCTTGTTCCCATTGTCCTTTCCCACCAAGTCGACCTTGTCGCAACAGAAGTTGCTTGGTGGTGGCCTCTGTGTGCACTTCTGAGGATCCTGCTGCGCGCAGCGAATGCGGTCCATCACTTGAGTGAACATGAGGAGCAGTGGGACCTCCACACTAGGTATCACCCACCAATGGAGCCCTGCACCACATTCTCACTTCTCACTGGACCTGTAGCCGCCGTCCTCTCCCTCTCCCATCAGATAAACGCCTCCCCATCCACGAGTCTGGAGGTCGCCTGCAGGACCTACCCTGCTCGACCTAGTATTCTACATGTTTGCGCATCTGCATCTGAACGCTAGGCATTGAGCGCGCAAGCATGCTTATGGGTATATGCCGTCCAAAGTTGGGTTTGTTCAGCTGCAGTCATCCGAGAAGGCACCATGGTCCGGCTTTACAAGACAAGCGATACATGCGTTCGCAGAGTACGACGAGTCATCTGGACGAGACCACGCCTGACCACTCTTTTTGGGAGCAGATCGCCAACACGGTTATTCCGGAGGCGCTTTGCTTCTGACCTCACCCTTGGGGCCAGCCTGATAACCCCCGTTCGTGTCGTCCTTTTGCCCATGAGAACTGGCGAGATGTGCCTTGGCCCACTCAGCATCCAGTGGATTCAGAGCGATATGGCGGGCCTGCAGCTGGGGGCAATGATGGCAACGCCCGAATGATATTTGAATCCGGAGCGCTGTAGTGATCAGTGGTCTGGCTCTGTCACACAAGTAACCACCATGGTCCAACGTCATCTGCTCGACTTCTGGTATTGTATACATGTGAGCTCGGAACTGCTTGCAAGAATAATCAAGCGCGTTGTAGATGGACTGTCAGATTCTGACCTCCTCGTGGTCGCTGCATCGCAGCCAACCTTGGGTGGATGTCTGGTTCTGAGAACACGCATTGTATGGAAACCAGACAACACCACGCAACATCATTGACGGACTTCAGAGAATGAAGTCGGTTGTCTCAGACAACGGCCACAGGGATCAGTCTGCGACGGTTCTGAGAACGCCAAGCCCAGCACTTGCAAGCATGGGTGAGTCACAAAACTCAATTGCAAACCCCTGCCAGAGACATCGACAGGGTTCACGATCAATGAGAGCTGCCGACGCGAAAGACACCGGACGGCCATGGACAGGCTCGAGGGCTTTGTGTCCCACAGTTACATCAATTGGTCCTTCTGATTGATCGCAGTCGTCCAAGTCCCTTGACGTTACTGCATGCATCCATTGATGGAGCTCTCTGCGCGTTAATGGATCCTGCAGGCGGTGCGTGCTACGCACAAACGGGTACTCGAGGTATCCAGGTATCCGCTCCTCATCGTCTTATATGTGTGCATACTTGGACGACTTGATGAGCGACTGTATTTTTGGTGCGTGCGGACCATAGCACAAGCGCACAGCTACTCCCGGTTGCGGGCATAGCACAGAAAAAGATTGTTGTACCTTTGCGAGTGAGCATGCATGCTCATCGGCGGAGCAAAGGCTAGCTCCAGCTGGATGTAACGTCTGAGTCCCTGAGAGGGAGAAACAACCTTGTAACACGAGAAGGAAAGCAGATGTGCTGACAGGCAAGGCTGGTTGTTGGAAACACTGCGTGTCTGTGCCGTGGACAGAACATGAACCTGGGCCAGCCAAGCACAGTGTGTACCCCAACATGTCCTCAACCACGGCTGACAAATGTGACAGTGTCCCGGCAGCCACTAGGCCAGTCTTGGAGCTGTGCTAAAGTGGCGGACGTCAAGAATGGTTGTGTATTATCCCGTAGTCTGGCTGGTCGACCACTCGCTCACGAGGGCGCACCCTTGCGCCATGTAAGCCGGAGCTCGTGCCCATCGTCCAGTGGGAAGCGCCTGGTCCGAGGCCTTTCAAGATGGGAAAGGGTACGACAGCCGATCGGAGTAGATTAGGTGGTTAACTCCGTCCAGTGTCTCGAAACAGCCATCTTCGACATCTGCGGGCGGTGCTGGGCCGGAGCAACGTGCCGCTTTCCCAAAGCAGTTCGCCGAAGGTTCAGCCAATGAGGAGTGCTGGAGGCGCAGCGCGCCATGTGGAGATTGTGCTCTTGAACTGGTGGCAGAAGCCGGAGCTGGAATGTCAGTAACGGAGCCCGCCCACACGCTTGGACGCACATCTTGACTTGACAGGCGGACCAACGGACCCATCCATTTCAGCCCTCCATGGTGCGTGTCTTGTCGCGTCGCGATCTGCTTCCCATCATCGATTTATTGAGGTTGGTCTGGCGCGCCTGACTGGAACGGACTTCAAGCTACGAATTCTGGGTTCGAAGAGTGCGATGCGACGCGAATGCGATGCGACGAGCAACCCAGGCGAGAGCGCGATGGCTTGCTGCGCCAAAGTGCAAAAGTGGAGGATTGCGCCCTTCCGGCTGCAGGGGGGGCTCCGCCCTGCAAGCAAGTATGAGTCACACCTCGCGGCTGGGTCGCCGCCTAACAGCAGCCGCTGCGAGCCACCAGCCGGGCCAGTTATGCAGCGACCTCGCCCGAGCCGGGGCAATGCCGGCTGGCCCCACTGCCTCCCACGGAGCCGGCGCGCGTGCCCACTCGCGACAGGGGCCCCTGATTGGCCGCGCAATCCTGCGGCGGGCAGCGCGGGCTTGCTCGTGCTGCACCTGCGCGCAGGTGCTGACTGTGCGCGCTACCGGTGGCAGACTGTGCCAGACTGGCCGTGTCCACCACCGCCCGCCCGCCAGGAGGATTGCTGCCTGAGAAAATTACTTTATGTGCGCTCGCCCCCCCACCCTCCGCGACATCTCTCTCTCTTTCCTCCTCATTCCCCAGGCATCTACCACACATAGCACATTAACCACGACGACATCATCCAAGATGCGTTAAGCAGCCCCCGCCCCGCGCTTCCCCTCAGTCTCCGGCAACACCGCCAACATTCAGTCTCCAACCATAAACACCATAAACTCCACTCAACCCCCCTCCCCAGCTCTTCCTTCCCAGGTTGAACTGAACTTGCAATCTGCACTCTCGAGCGCTCGCAACCGTTCTCCCCACTCCGCAACCATTCCCCTCCAAGACTTTCCAGTCTTCACCACGGATTCCCAACAGTCACCATGGCTTCCCTCCAGTTCCTCGAGCCTGCCGGCACAACCCGCGCACAACAGCAACAACAACAGCGACTCGGACTTCCCTCAGCAGGACTTTGTCTTGTTCGACCAGCCCCAGCGGACCAGCGCTAATCGATCCTTCTCCTCGCCTGCCCACGCAGCAGTCTTTGGATCTATGAACAACACCAACAACATCAACCGACGTCATTCCTCAAACGCCCAGTCTCCCACTGAAGCCTCGTCTCCTGCCCTCCAGAACCAGCGAGTCGCTCAGATCATCCAGGCCACTGGTCACCAGACGTCCTCTCCGGCATTCACCAATCGGTATCACTCTCCGGCCCTGAACCACCAGCAGCAGAACAAGCCCCAGAGACCCCCTGTTCCCTTGTTCAATCAGAGCGCCCCTGCCAAAACCATGGATCTCAACGGTATGCTCTCCCCGCTTGCAGACGACGTCACTCGCCAGCCTTACTCACATGAACCTCTCCCAGACGCTCTCACGCTTGAAGACATGGCGGCCTTCACCGGTGGCGTCCCCACCGCGGCCTACCCGTCTCCTGCTGCTTCGGGCTACGACGTGGCTGGCAGCTCGACCTCGAGCTCGACCAACTTGGGCACAGTCTCCCCTCAGGATCTGTTTGTCCGCGAGCTTCCGTCTGCTCCCGGCTCTACGGCCTTTACCAACTTGACTTCGCCTTCTCTCTACAACGGGTCCCCTGATTTCGACGGCTTCGATGTGTCTCCCAACTTTGGCCACACCGACTTCGACCTGAGCGCCGGCTCGACCGACGCTTGGTTCCCTCTGTTCCCTCAGGACAGCGCAATGACCGAGGCTGCCCTGGCAGCCATCGATCAGTCCCCCATTGTTCAGAACCTTGATGTCGAGTCTGCCTCCCAGCCGCGCCGCAAGTCGGGCACCTCGCCCACTTCGGCCGGCCATGGTCGGCACTCGTCCGTGTCCGGCGTCAACTCCCGGCGTCGTGACAAGCCTCTTCCTCCAATTGTTGTTGACGATCCCTCGGACAACATTGCAATGAAGCGAGCCCGCAACACCCTTGCCGCTCGCAAGTCTCGCGAGCGTAAAGCTCAAAAGCTGGAGGATCTTGAGGACAAGATTGCGAAGCTCGAAGAAGAGCGTGACCACTGGAAGAGGATAGCTCTCTCGCGAGGAGCTTGATTGTTTCAATGTTGTTTCCTTCTCTCAGTGTCGCTTGCTTGCCAGAACTGGAGGGGGCTAGCCTCTCGCGCTTGCGAGCCTCAGCCTCCTCAACCTTTCCTTTGAAACGAACAAACAGGAGACAGTGGTACCAGTCCATTGCTATCGGCGCTCTAGACTATGACGCTACTCGTCGAGGATCTATTCTGTCACATTCGTCCCATGTTCTTAGTACGATCAGCGCCCCAAGTACTTGTCTGGCTTGGGAGTTGCATATGATTTTTCTTGTCTCTTTGGATCGGAAATGGGCTCCCTGGCGGCACAAAACTTGTGCGCGCAGTATGGTTGAGATTAAAAGTTTTAGGCTGTGGTTTTCCTTGTGCGAATATCAATTCTTCAACTTCCACACATCGCAATCTGCATGTCCAGTTTTTTCCCGTGATCAAACAATGCTTGCTGTCATGATATAATCTCTGCGTGATGACCCTGCGTTTGGCTGATATTGCCTTTTCTTTTGATCTGCTACGAACATGATGCCATAACGAAGCATGCCACAATACAATACTATACGCGGGACTGACTTTTCGTTTTCTTTGATGATCCCGTGCCCTGCTCACTCCCTCTCTCTCTCTCTCACTTCTCCCTTCAGGCCAAGTGACCGATCTCCTCAGAGGTCTAACCCGTGTCTCCCTCCATGCGCACAAATTGCCGCCGGCGTGTAGTCTTGTTCGTGCATCATCAGCATCACCCATCGTCTCACGCCGTGCTCACTGGATTCTAATTCATACCAAACGTCCCGCAAGATAAGGGACCCCCCCGTCCTCGGCTGGTCGATGATGTCCTCCTTGCTCGGCTTTCCAAGTCATCCGTGCGCCGATATACACACGAAGGCCTGGCGGCGGCTCCAGAGGGGGTCGCCACCACGTTGCCGTCGTGGAAACGAGTGGCTCTCTCTAGGTAGCTATGACTGATGATGGCGATGATTGAATTGTCACCGACGGACCTTGCATCACGCGAACTGGGACAGGTTGGTGGTGGGTTGGGACGAAATCAATTATTGCTCTTCTCGCCCTTTATGCGATGCAGCTCTACCAAAACAACCAACGCGCCAAGAACCAGAAACTGACTTCTTTTTACCCCCACTCGCCCGGAATGCAGAGATGATGACCAATGGTATACAGGTGTATCCAATACACCAAGATGATGACAGAGTGTTCTTTCAATGCCGCGAAGTGTACTTCGACGAATGCTGATGCTCGAACCTAGCCCAGCGGCTCTTTTATGGGGGCCTCTCTTGCCCATCTGCAAAGTATTACACTAAGACCACCCTGTTTCGTGCCCAGAAATGATTGAACAGGTTCGCAAAAAAACCATGACCGTTCGCTATGCAGTAAAACAAAATTCCAATATGCCGATATGGATCTAGGGACGTGACAAGTCCACTCGTCGGAAATTAGACGCGAAAAACACGATACCTAATCGGAGCCTCCATCGGAGCGCCCTAGCCGACGGTCATCATGTGGAGCCTCTGGCTCAGTCCACTCGTGGGCGATGTGCTGAGTGAGCTGCTATTGAAGGAGGAAGTCGTGCTGGCATGAGGTAGTGGGGGTCTACGTGAGGGACTTGGGTTCGGCTCGTCAAAGACCCGGGTAAAGGCCGGGCTGCCGTCAGGTCTGTCGCTACGTCTTGGTGTACGGGCTGGGCTTGGTGCGATGCAATCCGCCGCGCGAACCAGGTCAGACAGGGCATCGCGAAGTTCGCTTGCTCGCTTGACAAGGTCCTTCAAGCTATTTGTATCAAAATTGAGCCGCGAGCTGAGTTCACTGTCAGCCCCAACTTGGGCGTCGGGCACCCTCTGCTTCGTCCGTGCGCGCATGGCCTCGATCACTGCTTTTGTGGCAGTCGAAGGTTTGGGAATGGAGCTTCGGTTCTCTGGCGTCCTGGGTCGCGAGTCAGGCTCGGCCAAATGATCCCATGTCCCAAAAATGTCGTCCTCGGGAGAGAAGACCGATCTCCGTCGCGCCGTAGGATGCGCCCCTTCATGGCCAACTTGTCTGCCAGCGTGATTAGGCTGATTGTGAGTGGCGTCGAGAGAACTGCCATCAAAACCCTGGGCCGTGAAGCGCTCATCTGTGATAATACTCTGACGGTCGTGCCGGTTGTTCTCCTCATCCTTTGTGGGGCCGTCCGCCAATTCAGACTCTTCATCCTCGTCGGGTGAAGCCAAAGCAATGACATCTTCGGCCTCCAGCCACAGCAACTTGGAAGTACCGTTCATCATCTGCATTTCTCGTCCCAGCCGGCAGAGACGCTTCAGGTCATTGACCAAAAGTGAAAGTTCTCTGATCTGCCCTGAATGAGCTTTAAGCGTATGCTGTGTCGCCTGGATCGACGGAGGAACGACCATGGACAATCGGTTCGTTTGTGCCGTCTCCGCAGGATCTTCTGGGATGGCCTCATCGAACTCGAAGTCGGCATCCCAGTCCTCGCTAACGTTTTTGCTGCCGAGACCCCAAGTGCCGAATCTCGGTGTTGGCTTTGTCGCCTCCGGCTGATCTTGCACTACAGGTACGCTTTGGCTGCGAATGTGTGCTGCGGTTGGGGCTTTCCGGCTTGCAGAACGGCCACCTCGGATATCGCGGTCCTTCTTGCCATAAGCGGTCTTTGGCCGCAAGGTTTGGCTCTCCCCAAAATGCTGCTCGTGGGGCTGCTGCTCCACCCAGTCGAAAACTGTGCTGCGTGGTCGCTCACCCGAATTGCCGTGAGGTCCTTCGTGTGGCGAGTTTCCATCGATAGCCGCCAATGCCATCCGCAAGCTCGGGCTCGCACGTCTCGAGTTCGTCGAACTCGGGGGAGAAAGATTAGTGTACACATGCGTTTCGTCTTCTTGGGCCCATTCAAGGTCATCATCATCGTCAAAGGACACTCGGAAGTTTTTGTCCATGTCATCATTAGTGAGATCATCAAGTGCTCCGTGGACCCCATTCTGCTTCGCCGTGTGGTTTGCACGGATTGGCGTTGGGACACTCTCGTCCTCCTCAATAATCCTACCACCGTCCTCATAAGGGAAGCCAAGGATCTCTTGGATGGAGAGTCTCTTGGGTTTATTTGCGAGGCTAGCTGAGCCGGGGGGGATTCGTCAAACAGAGAGTCTAGAGTTGTGTCTCCTGTTTTTCTTCGACTTGAAGCCATGGTGCGGAAGGAGTCGAAAGGCGTATCTGTCTTTATGTCCGTATCGTCATCGTCGCCCGACGTGAAGCCTCGGTAATACTCAGAACTAGCAACTGTCGAGGCGCGATCATGTGAACGAGACTGGGACGTACGTGAATCGATGCGCATGACTGAGTTGTTTGCCGCAACCAAGCCGTCGACTTGCATGGGGCTTTCAGCCAATTCAGCTGGCCGATAATTACGCTGGCTGGAGCTCCGCGAAGGAGGCGGCAATGGGGACACAGAGCCCTGGCGGCTTCTTGGGGGTCTGAAGATGGCAGTCAGGTCCGCCTCCGCTCGACTTGTCTGCCTGTCCTTGGGTGATGAGTCCAGAGCAACGTTTTCCTCCTTCGGGAGTGCGGGCTCAGTCGTCTGATCCATTGGTCCAGACACAGCCCTCTTTCCACCAGGGGCGGGGTCTCCACGCTTCCGTCGCCGAATGCTGCCGGTCTTGGATATCCAGCTTGTCGGAGAAGAGAAATTCAACGACGTTGAGCGTCGAGGAGCCCTTGATGGCGTCGCTTCCGGTGACACACTTGACTTGTTGGAGGCTGATGGGCTGGCATCTGTGACCGGTTGGGGGAGCGTGTCCTCGAGCGGAACAGGCTGTTCAGTTGTCGTCATTACTGTCTTCGGTTTCACCAGGTAGACGTAAGAGGGCTTGTTTTCTTCGAGGCAGACGCGCTTGGTGCCGTGCACCCTGGCCCCTTCGTTCGACCGGAAGGGCGAGCCTTTTGGTGCTTGGCGTCCGATGCGTACGTGCCAGAAGGACTTCCAAGAGGGAACCTCGGTTGGGATGCCCTCAGCACAGTCCTGCTGGGAGATGGCCAACGTCTGTGCACGTGGTCTGGTCTGGCAGTCGAGCGAGGCCTGATTAAGCGATGCCGACAACGCTTCCACATCGATCTGCTGCTGTAAGGTAGCTGAGCGTTGGTGGCTTGTCGCCGGCCGCCGCAGTGTTAGCTGAGGCCGGGACCCTAACTGAACGACAGCGATGGGATCCGCGCTATTGGCAGCAGACGCTCTCTTCACAAGCTTATTTGGGGGAAGAACGACAGCTTGGTGCCTAGGGGTAGCCAATATCGGGGCACCTGAGGCGTACGAGAATGCTATCGAGCTCGAGTCTGGGCCGACGCTGGAACGCAAGCTGCCGTGCTGTGACAGAGGACGCAAGGGTATGCGGCGGAGCCAAGACCCGTTGGAAGAGAGTGAGTCTCGCGGTTCGGCTGAGCCTGCCTCTGCAGCCAGTCTTGAACCTGTTGTCGGGGGGCGACGACTGGAAGACCGTGGAGGGGTGACCCGAGTATCGGAGGACTGGCGCGGTAGTCGTGGAGGGGAGGGGTCAGTGGGTTGTGTTGATGAGTGCCGCTTCTCGACAGCGGCCTGTGCTGGCGACGACAGCAATGGCGATGGCAAGACCTCGGCGCCCGCAGTGTCTGCCGGGGCGGAGCGCTTTTCTCCGGTCTTTTGTGTTGACTCAGGCCTGAAGGTGGAGTCTGTGGCAAGGAACGACTTCCGCTTTGTAAATGACTCTGGATCCGCAAGGTGACCATCTGCCAATTGTCCAAAGACGAAGCCGGTAGTCGCTGCAGCGACCGCAGTGCCGCTTGCAATGAGCTGGGGCACGCAATCCAGATTAGCGGAGGACGAACAGGGCGGCAGAAGCCATGGGACTGGCTGCAGGGACACAACCGAGAGAGAAATGGGGAGGGCAGGGCCAGGAATGTCCAAGAGGAAGCAGGTAATTAACGGCCGCCGGGCTTAACCTTCGCAGAATTGGTGTGGTTTCAGCGCAGCCGGATCGTGGGGCCTGCCCGATCGAGCCCAGTGACGGCCGATTGTTCCCAGTGCCCACTCGCTCCATCCCGCGCAGCAGACCCGCGGCTCTCGAGTGCCACCACGACCAGAGGAGTCCCGGGCCAAGGAGGATGTCTGTCAAAAAAGGCGAAGAATAGCATATCGACGGGACTCACACTTGGTATAGCCTGCATCTCTGCAGACAGGATCCTAAGAAAATAGCCAGAGGCCGGCGGCCAGGGCAGGATGGGAGGAAGGGAAGACACCAGATGTCGCCGAAATCTGCCTGAGCATTGTTCGTTGTTGGGCTTGTTGTTCCGAGGACTGTTGCTGAGCGATGCGGCAATGAGCAACAACGACACACAAAGGGTTGTCTCTGAAGATGCTGACGGTACTGATGCCGCGGCGGTGGAATAACGCGCCCTCGCCGATGGTGGGCGAACTTTTGGACTGGACTGCCTTTGCGGTCGGGCGTCCGAGAGGGGCCAGGCGCAGACCTTGTTGAGCTCGGTCAGAGTATGGCGGCTGCCTCTTGCTGGACCAGGTGCCGGAGGAGGCCAAAAGAGAGAGCGCGGCCGTCGAGGAAAGAAAGAATGGAAGGCCCAGGTGGAAGTCACTCAGGCAAGGCCAGACACAGCAGGCAGCTCTCTCAAGAGGCGGCGAAAGGAAAAGGCGGATGCCGCAGCCCGAGTTTGTGCGTGCGAGATGAGACGAGTCGAGACGGCACGGGGCGGCGAGGAGCGTGGCAGCTCAGCTGCTTTTCGGACGATGCAACGGGCCGCCGCTGAGCATGGGCGTCAGACGCAAATGTCTGGTCAGACAACAGGGAAAAGAAAATCTACTGGGGCCTGGCAAGGAATGGGCGAGCAACACCTCGAGGCGATATGCAGTAATGGGCACAAGGCCGGGATGTTGGCCATGGGCTGGAGTGGGTTGTCCGATCCGCCATGCGTAATGTAATAATTAATGTCCAGCAGTGCTGCAGGCTGGCTCGGAGACCAGAATAAACAAACCCGTTAATATTTGCGGGCACGGCCTGGATGGGACGGTCTAGCTGGGAGGTCTGTCTGCACGCAGTAGATGGGCAGAGCGAGCCACTGTGCGCCAGTGACTGCACTGTGAAGGGATCTACCTGCCTTGGCCTTGTGCCCAAGCACCGCCCGCCTCAGAGCATGGCACGCTGTCCGTCACAGGCGAGACACGCGCATCCATAATGGGCGTGATGTTATTTATTATTTGGGGCGCCGCAGGAACAACAATAACAAGCGTGCATGACACACTACGACCATAACAGCAACCGGCCAGGCGGGCGAGACAAGGGTGCGTGCCGGGGCCGCCGCCGTGGGCCAGCCAGCCAGGACGCAATAAGACATGGCCGCCCGCCCCATGGAAGGGGCGGAGACGCTCTCTTGTCAGACCCCAGCGCCGCCCGCGCCAATCGCAGCCGGGCGTCGTGTCGTGTTATGCAGGTTGCGATGGGGCGCGTCCGCTCCCCGTCGCCTGCAACTGCAGCAACCAGACGGCATGCCTGCTAATTACCTTAGGGTTAAGTTATCTGGCTGGCCGGCAGCCCGGGCAGTAGTAGCCTACCTTGCCGTGGGGTGCGCTGCGCAGCTGCTCCCTGGACAGAAAGGTACGCTTCGCATCTTGGACTGCTTGGCCACAGAATCCTCGGCCATGACTAGCGAGAGAGCCGGGGCTGGAGGAGCTCTGGAGGTGGGGATCGTTCGCGGTCTTGCACGTCCCATGAGCACAGGCTCGAAAAGTCAATCGCACAGGGCATCCGGCCACCGCCGCCCAAGACAGCCAGGCATGCCTGCATGTAATATTGCGTGCTCAAAGTCCTATGCCATGTCTGCCCCAAGCAAGCCTTGTTCAGCAGGGCCAGGCTAACCTCGGCCTTGTGCCACGAATGCAGCTCGGTGGTTGTCCACTGCGCAGGCCAAGGTGGACGCTAACTAGATTGACCGCAGTAGGCACACATCGCAGCCCATCGTACCTGCCGCCACCACGAGCCCTTGAAACCTGGACGCGCCTACCCAGTCCCCTTTGGGACAACAGAGCGCCAGTCCTCCTGTCATGCAAGCATCATCTCGCATTCGACACCGTCACCAGCAATCAGTTCTCTGCACACGCACTCGCAGGCAAGACAGGATACAGCTCCCTGCTGTCCAATCACCCAGCGCAGTTCCTCGAGAAAGGTCCAGATAGTTCGTGGGGGTGGTGCCAGGGCAAGCCACCCATAGCCTTGGTTGGTCCCTGGAACGAGCCAGCCAATCTTCAGCTGAGCCAAAGTCAATTGGTGAAAGGCTGGCAGTGGTCCACGTCAGTTTCCTGGATCGTCTCACTGGCGCCGACTCGCTAGCTGCAGGGGTCCTTAGGCGTCAAAACCCCATCTCCGGCTGCCACTGTGAGGTCGAGCCAGGCACTTCGCAGCCGCTGCTGGGGACATGCGGGCGTGTCTTTGCTTGACTTGGTAAGCGCCGTATATATTGCGTCTCGACTTGATGCTCGATGCTCAACCGCCGCCGTGTCCCGTCGTGCCCAGGCAACGTGCGTTGACTCGCCTCTTGACACAACCGGGTGCCATGTTTAATACGTGCTCCGCCTGGCTGCATCGTGCTGGTTGGTCATGTTCCACTAACTTTAGCCGGCCTGCGGTGCACCAGCCTCGTGGGCTGGATATGCATACGATGACGCCAGGCTCCCCGAGCAAAGCAAGCGCCGCTTTTCAGATCCAGCTGAGATCTGCGCCACGGTGCCTCGCCGCCGTGTTTCGTTAATCAGTCATGAACCACAGCGCAAGCAGAGCCACAAACTTTCTTCTGCCGGGCTGTGGATCTTGATAGCCATACAGCTACGGGGCTAATAACAATTTGTCTCGGCGCAGATCAATCTCGTCTTGCTCCACGGCTCAAACGATCCAGCGGCCATGCTGTAATACTCAAGCTGCAGGTCCGGATGATTTGCCATATGCACTTGTGCGATTCACGCTGGCGGAATAAATGCCGACTTGTGCACCATGATCAGCCACTCGTCGGGGGAGAAAGAAATAAATGTACGATACGACCCCAGCTAGTACTAGTCGCTGTACCAATTGTGCAACTTCGAGCAGCCAGCCTATCCGCCTCTCAATACTCCTGCTGTGCCAGGTTACGCATACTCGTCACGAGATAACAACGAGAGGCGAGGGTTGTCGCAGCAGACAACGCAGCCAGGCGCGAGGAAATTACACGTCCCGCTAAGGTTACTTAGTGTAAGCTTTCGACTTGGAAGTGGTCTCATTATTCTCACAAGAACAACCCGTCTTGTTCCGAACAACAAGGCAAAGCTAGCTCTCACACAAGACGCCGTGTGTTATCCCTGGGATGCTTATACAACCCAGTTCCGATTGTCAAGCGCCATACTAATTCGGTATTTTGTCTTCTGGGCGCTTATGACTCTGCCACAAGATATTGGCATCGACGATCATGACAATGACCAGCGGCATCGGACGAGTGAAGTGATCACGAACGAGTCCAACTATGTGAAGACCATGTTCCTTGGACGCGAAATCATTCCTCCAAATGCTGTGGATAGCGCAGTTCGAGGTAATACCAAATGAGTATTCCTGCACGACTGCTCTACGCATGAGTTTATAAGTTAGACGACGATCGCCCCTCGACCCACGACCAAGTCTCACACGTCCGAGACATTCCGAGCCAACGTACCGGGACGTGAGGATTTTGACCACATTCGTGCTCAGACTTACTACCACTTGTAAGAGTTACAGGTCTCGGAGATTACGTAGCTATGGCGCCGTTCGCTAGAGTCAGTCTGCACCAGGAATCTGAAAGATTTCGGGGCTGTGCTTGAAGTGCTGCTCAAAGCACAGAGACCTGCGACCTCGCCTGCACCCGACAAACAATCCCGGGCTGCCTAAGCCGGCGGGCCATCGGCATGGCATGGGGCCAGACACGCTTCGCATGGCCCTAGCTGCTCGGGAGCTTCGCGTCAAGCCATGAAGCCAGCCTTACCACGTCTGGCCAAAGAACATTTGATCTGCGAGTGTTGCTGCGCATGTCTGGCGCGGTTGTGGATCATACAATATCATGCCAGCCATCGCAAGGGTGCCGAGCTGGCTAGCAAAAGTCTGCCGGGGTGCATTCCTTTGGCAGTGCTCTTGTGCCAGACTTGATAGGTTTAGCTTTAGCCTCATTTTCAAGCGGCAAGCTCCAAGTGGCCGCTCGACAAGACAGAGGAAGCCTTTTTCCAGGAAACATCAAAGAGAGACCCGAGAAGGACAACTATCTGTGGCGGATGTCGGCCTGGCCAAAGGGAGGAGCAAGACAGTAATACGGCACGTGGCAGCCAGGCTCGGGCGAAGAATGATGAGTAACTGATGTCTGCGAAACAGTTCAATTCCAGGGATCGGCTTGAACCGAAGGGGGAGACGTTTGGGATTGCTCAGAGTCAGGATTGACGAGGGTATTATTGCACTTGGGCATCTGCCAGAAGACACAACACCAAGGCTCATTCGGCTGCTGTGCTGGTCGAGACCGGATGTGGGTCGGAGACGGCATTCCCCACCACAAGCCGGAGGCGCCGTGGATTCCGGGATCAGGGTGTTGGGTCTGGAAAGAAACGAAGGCTTTGTATGAAGGTGCCTGGGCTGTGGTTGAACACTAAAAGGCTCCCATGCAAACTCTGATACCATGAGACGGTACTGCAGTGGCATTGTTTGGAAGCGGCGCGCAAAGGAGTGCCCGTGCACGGTTCTTGACCCCTCATCAGCTGAGGTGGAGGATTTGCCGGGGCTGCTGGGGTTTGCGCGGACCCATTGTGCCGGCGATGGATGATGATGATGATGAGGATGATGTAAGACTATCACGAATGCGGCCTGGTTTCTCCGGAGGAAGCACCGTAAGCTGCCTGAAGATCCCTGGTGGCGGTGGTTGTAGCTTTCTTGCATGGGTGGGAAAGCGATGCAGGCACGATGCTGTGCAGACTGTTGTGCATGGGAAGCAGGACATGTAATTGATTCAGACCTGCTCCGCAATGGGCGCGGCGGGGATGGCCTCAGGCCCGCGCGCTTTCGATGTTCAGCCTCGGTGGTTCTGGCCGTGCGAGATGTCCATGGAAGCCGTTTGTGATGGGACGACCTTGGTGTCTGAAACACAAGAAACGGAATGCCTGTTCCTGCTGCCCACCGAGGTCACATCGGCCGCAACCGTGTCGTCGCATCTACGTGGCTCAGTTCCTCTTCCAAGGCCCGAGCCATGCGCTGTCCAGGAATCTGCAGACAAATGATTAGCCCAGAGGGGGAAAAGGCCGCAACCTCTCCGCCCGCCGGGCCAGGGCAAGAACCAAGGAAAATGGGCATTACCGGCACGGTATCATCTGTGACGACTGGCGTGCCGAGCTTGGCGGAGGGTAAGGGGACACGAGGATGCCAACAGCCCAGCACGGCCAACACTTTTTTTTTCTTGTGGTCTTCGTGTCATGTATGGCGTCCAATAGTCCCCGGGTTTGTTGGCTGCCACCCACGCCAGCCGATGCAGCAAGCATCTCTTGGGGCAAAGTCTATGCTCCAGAAGTGACCCCATCGATGGGGTTCGTTTCGAGGCCGGCCTTGCGCGGGGAAGGCATTGATTGGCAACCAATACCTCGCCTCACTTGGGCAGCACGTCACGCATCCTCCGCCTCGCAGCCAATGGTCGACGCGCATCCTCGCGTCTCGCAACAAACTGGACGCGACAAGACGAACCGGATGTCTGTCTGCACTGATGGATTGCCCTCTGCCGACAGACTTGCCAAACAGAGCGAGCGAGCGAGCGAGAATGTGGCCAAGTGCTTACTTCTGTCTCTTGGCTTAGTAGCAGCAGCACCAGCACCAGCACCAGCAGTAATTAGCTTCGGTTCCAAGCAGACTGGCTCTGCTGAGCCGCAATGGATTATCATAATTATGGCGCCATTCTTTTTTTCTGGGCCCGGATCACCCACTGGCTTCCTAGGTCTGGGGGCCCTGAACTGGTGTGCGTGCGTCGATTCTCCGATTCGCGAGAGCATGGATCGCATGATGCATTTGCCCTGCTGGGAGCTAGCTTGCTTGCATTCCTCTGGGCGAGCCCCGCGTGGGCGATCTGATCCTGCTCTTGACTGGAGTGGCATGAAAACAACCTTGAGGGGGTGGGAGACGGTACCTTTGCCAGGCGCGCAGCCAGTTTCTTGTCAGCTTTTGTGTTCGCTGAGGAATGCCCGTTCATATCAAATGACTGATGGACGGTTTGAACAGACTCGGTTTTATTAAGCTTTGTCGAGGCACGGAACTATCGTAACTTTCAGGTGCAGGTTTCAAGTCGGCCGCACCAGCAGCCGTGTACCCCTCGTTCCGTGTGCTGCTGCCGCCCTGTGCGTGCTGAACAACCAGATCGCCTGCATGGGGCCCAGAAACGGCAATCTTCCAGAAGCTTGGAAGAGAAAACTTGGGTGCCCCCGGTCTACATAATGGGCAATGCTGATCTACCTGTCCATCATCGGTCTTGTGCTGTGCTCGGCACAATTTGACTCTGTGCGTGTCACGCCCGTCTGCTGCGCCCGGTTATCATTTCGGATGAACCGCAGCATTGGGATAAGAAGAGCAACGCGGAGAGATTGCGTCGCCGGAGTGAGGCTGGCCTGCATGGCCTAACGGACCCCGGCTCGCTTTGAGGCTGCTGCACATCTCTTGGGAGAGCAAGGGCAGACAGAGGCTGTAGCTAGTGAATTGTCGTCTTTCGTCCTGAAAGCACGAACTAGTCGACATTGGTTCTGTGCACCAATTGCAGATATGGCTTTCGCCCGCGCCGACCTGGAGCAGGGAGAGTGCATATGCTTGACGGCAAGAAAAGTGCGAGTATTTGCATTTGTGTTCAAAGTCAATATTTGAAGATGGATGAGCCAGTATAGCCAATAGGGCAGGCCATGCTCTCGCAATCAATGGTGATGCTAGGAGTGAACGACATGGCTGGCTAGTCCTCCTCCAGCTACCCGGTCATGGACGTACCGTGCGCAATACAGTGTATACCGTGACCCGTACACACCCCGCCTCAACTCAACGACAAGTCTATGATTTCCGACCAGGGCCGCCACTGTACGAGAGCCGCAGGCCAAGTGATATCGGAACGTCACACGGAACTACAATCGGCGCTTTGTCAGTGTGTATCGGTGGTCATACACCAAGTCTTGTGTGTCGCGCCTCTCTGTGCCGAGTGCAGGCATCACCAGAGTGCCAAACATTTGAGATTTCACCAAAACCTCCGCCCCCGCAAAATTCCAGCCGAGCAGGGTGTACGCCATGGAGGCCGAAATCAAGGCTGTCCTCCCGGACATCGACCCGGTCCTCTCAGATTACTCGGTAGGATACCTACGGCACGCATCTACGGCCTGGACGGGCGGTGATGAGGAAGCCTCGGATCTGTCTCCGCTTGCTGAAGCTGCTGCCGCCATCACAGAGCTTCTCATCTCAGCTGCTGGCAATGCCTCGGGTCAGGAAGAAGACAAGATCCGGAGCCTGGTGACCAGATGGGTCGAAAAGTACGAGGAGGCCAACGGTGGCCAGCGCCACGGCCCTGCTGCCGTACGCCGCCTCGACCAGGCCATCCAAGTCGGCTCGCAGCGCAACATGTCGTCGACGCTGGCTGTGGCAACGGGCAGCGTAGACCTGGAGTCTGCCAACGCGCGCAAGGTCGAGTCCAAGGTCGACCGCAAGAAGCTGGAGAAGGCGGAGCGCAAGATCGCTGCCAAGCAGAACAAGAAGCAGTTCAAGAATGTCGAGTACGAGGCATCGCGGCTGCTCAACGAGCCCGAGAACGGCCAGAGCTACGAGGAGTTCTACATGGCCGTCAACCCCCTCCAGCTCGGTGCCGGCAGCGGGCCCGGCAAGACAAAGGACATCAAGCTCGACAATGTCGACGTCAGCATCGGCGGCACCAGGATCCTTACGGGCACCGATCTCACGCTCGCCTACGGTCATCGGTACGGCCTGGTTGGTTTCAACGGTGTTGGTAAATCTACGTTGCTCAGGGCACTATCTCGCCGTGAACTGCCCATTCCGACGCATATCTCGATTCTTCACGTAGAGCAAGAGGTGAGCCACTCTCAAGGCAAGGCCAGTCATCATAAGATTGCTAATTTTGCATACAGCTTGCTGGCGACGACACTTCGGCTATCCAAGCCGTACTAGATGCCGACGTCTGGCGCAAGGTTCTCCTGAAGGAGCAGGCTGTGAGTTGGCCCCGCCCTGGGCAAGAAGAAATCGCTTCGTCGACCAAACTGACAGATTTGCTGCTAGGAACTCACTGGACGCCTCGCGGATATTGAGTCGTCACGGGCTTCAATGGCCGATACCTCTACGGATGCAGCCAGGCTTGACCGTGACCAAGAGGCTCTGGATACCAAGCTTGGTGAGGTGCAGGCCAAACTGGCGGAGATGGAGTCAGATAAGGCAGAGTCGAGAGCTGCCAGCATTCTCGCTGGTCTTGGTTTCTCCCCAGAACGGCAACAGTTTGCCACCAAGACATTCTCTGGTGGTTGGCGCATGCGTCTGGCCCTTGCCAGAGCGCTGTTCTGCGAGCCAGATCTTCTCTTGCTCGACGAGCCTTCCAACATGTTGGACGTGCCGTCCATTACCTTCCTTTCCAATTATCTCCAAACATATCCCAGCACCGTTCTCGTTGTATCCCACGACAGATCCTTCCTGAACGAAGTCGCAACAGACATCATCCACCAGCACTCGGAGCGTCTCGACTACTACCGCGGTGCCAACTTCGAGTCCTTCTATGCGACGAGGGAAGAGCGCAAGAAGGTTGCTCAGAGAGAGTACGAGAACAACGTGGCCCAGCGTGCGCATTTGCAACAGTTCATTGATAAATTCCGCTACAACGCCGCCAAGGCCGCCGAGGCGCAGTCACGTATCAAGAAGCTGGAGCGCATGCCCATCTTGGAGCCCCCAGAGAAGGAGTACAGCGTGCACTTCGCCTTCCCAGAGGTCGAGAAGCTGTCGCCACCGATTGTGCAAATGTCTGGTGTCAAGTTTGGCTACAGCGCCGACAAGCAGCTCCTCTCCAACGTGGACCTGGATGTGCAGCTCGACTCGCGTATTGGCATCGTCGGCCCCAACGGTGCCGGTAAGACAACCATCCTCAAACTCCTCATCGGCAAGCTGACCGCCACGGGCGGTCTCGTCTCCCAAAACTCGCGCCTGCGGATTGGCTTCTTCGCGCAGCACCACGTCGACGCGCTCGACCTGACCATGAGCGCCGTGAGCTTCATGGCCAAGACGTACCCGGGCCGCACAGACGAGGACTACCGCCGCCAGCTCGGCGCTTTCGGCATCACGGGCACGACGGGCCTGCAGAAGATGGCCGTGCTCTCCGGAGGTCAAAAGTCCCGCGTGGCGTTCGCCTGCCTGGCGCTGACGCAGCCGCACATCCTCGTGCTCGACGAGCCGTCCAACCACCTGGATATCGAGGCCATGGACGCCCTCGCGAGCGCCCTGCGCGAGTTCCAGGGCGGCGTCGTCATGGTCTCCCACGACGTCACCATGCTGCAGACCGTCTGCACCTCGCTGTGGGTCTGCGAGAACGGCACGGTCTGGAAGTTCCCCGGCGACGTCCAGGCGTACAAGAAGAGGATCACCGCCCAGGCCGATGCCGCCGGCGTCGTCAAGGCTCATTAAAATTCCTTACAGCTATTCAAATGGGACTTTTTGTACTTTGAAAAATCAACGCTTGGGATAAAGCATATGGGAGCAAATACAAAAATTGCGCTTGTCATTATCGTGAAACTCTGTGCCCTTCCGGGGGGGGGGTTGGTGGTCTCGAATTGATCAATTGTGCATGTAACTCGGGCCCAGATTTCAGATTTCCTATCGGGCATGTACATATATGTATGTGGCCAACGCAGAGCCACAGACTCCGCAGTCGGCGTTTGATCCCACGGCTGCTGTTGTTCCAATCGCGAGTCTCGGTGAAAATCAATCCCCACGTGAATCGCGGAGCATGGTGCCTTGGCCGATTTGTTCGTTTGTGCCGCGATGGCGTGTTCATGTGAATGGGCCGTTGTTCTTCTGGCAGGTCGTCTGTGCACGCAGGTCATCTGTTGGGATTTAAGCGGCACAAACGGGACCACCAGGGAGGGAAACTAATGCAACCATGAACAGATCCAAATTCCAGGTTCTAATTGTGAGCAAAGCTAAAATAGGAAGAGGTATATGATGATGATGTAACGCGGGAAGGCAAAACCAAATGTGCCACGCAAAAAGGCTCAGAGCAGCTGCCACAAAGCGCCACCCGCCCCCATGTTAAGAATACAAGTGTCCAGCCGTGAGATCCTGCCGAGGAAGAATCTTTGGATCAGAAACCGGATAAAGCAGCGTGCCGCGGAAAATTGCCTAGCGTGACTGGGGCAGTCACTCTCGCGCAGTATTCTCGCATACCAACTCCATAAACGCCTTGATGAATGCCAACTCCTGAATGCTCGTCGCCGTCCGTGGATGATCATAATGTTATACCTCAAGCTGCAGATATCTCAAATGGCTCGTGCTCACATCAATGAAGTGTGTGTCGTAAAGTCCCATAGGCGTAGATTTGTTAAACCAAGAGCCATCCCGTCAGTGTCGTCATCGAGTCTCGAAGGCGCATAGCGGAGCGCTTTGATCAAGTGTTGAGTTTGAAAAGGCTCTGCTGAACACCTTGAACTGATCGCATCATGATCTTTTTGCGACCTTAGTGAGGCACGTCGAGATCTGGCAAGCCTACTGGTTGAACTCCGGCTGTGCTGTCCCAGAGGAAAGCTGCGTCATGCTGCTGGTGCCAACTGTAGTCTGATCTCCAGAGGCAGTTGAGGACGCGCGCGCCCCTCCTCCTCGTGGTCATGCTATGTTTAGATAATAAACCGCTGATCTGGCTTATCCGATGACCTGGCGTGCGCCCTCCTTGCCCAAGACACCTCGCTCTCTGGGCTTCGGGCTGTGTCCGCGCCCCTTCTTGCGCCCGAATATGCCAAACACACCCCCACCGGAGGAGCCCCCTTTGTCGTCATTAGCAGCATTCGCGTCCGCAGGCAAAGTCGCGTCTTGACGGGCAAGCTGTGACCAGCTTCCGGTAGCATCAATCGTAACCGAAAGACCGCCAGTGCGGTGCTGCACGCGAGTGCCGGGAGTGGGCGGCTGGGGCTTCGTCGTCTCGTTGTAGCTCGGCGGATACGGTTTCGGTGCAGGGCGTGTAGGAGGCATCTGCTGCCTCTGTCCTCCACTGGCCGTCCGCTGCATCATGTCGGAATCATGACCTGACGACGCATGGTGCAGAACGTGTGAGGAGCCATTGGTAGTGGGAGCAGGCTGGACTTCGTTCGTGCTGATTGCTTGCGGCTCTCCAGCCGCCTGGAGGTCACCGTGTTCTTCGTTTTGCTGTTGTTGTTCATTCTGCATCGCAGTGATTCTGTATGGCATTAGCAAATCGAAGTATCAACCGAAAGGTCTCCGGAAGAGTCTTACTTCTCGTATGCGGCCACCGTGTAGTCAAATGGGCGGAACTCGCGCTCAATGGTCTTGTAGAGCTCCTCTTCACGAATCTCTTTTTGTGTGGCGTCGTCCTTCAGCTTCTCTCTCGGCTTCTGCCTCCGGGCTCGAGCCTCAAGAGGCGCCTCCTCCAGCAACAACTCTTCGAGATCGTACGTAGCGTCAAAGTTCGTCTTTTCTGATGATGGAACAAAGACTGGCTCAATCTCTTTCCTCAACAGCGCATCGAAATCTATGGACTTGAAAAATGGCTCGTTGATGAAGCTGTCCCACGTGTGGCCAAGTCTCTTGTCAGGATTGGGTTCCAGGGCAGAACCTATTGCGTACAGGCAAGGTAGTGAGACCGGAGGGGCTGTGATGGGAAACTTGGGGTTCGCAGCCATGATCACGCTGCTCAGACTTGACTCGGAATTGCCCTCAAACGGACGCTGGCATGGCAATGAATTAGTCACAGGCCTCACTATCAGGACCATACGAGAAGAAGAAACTCACCTTGTTGTAGATGCATTCGTAAAAGAGGACTCCCAGGGACCACCAGTCAGCACGGACATCGTACCCCTTGCCTCCATAGACTTCCGGAGCAAGGTATGCAAGCGTGCCAGATTTGCTCGTAAGCACCTTGCCCGGAATCACGTCTGATGCAACGTTCTGTGAAGCCAGCATTAGCGCAACGTCTACCAGTCTGACAGTACCATGTTCACGTACGAAATCTGTCAAATGCACGTGCCCGTCTGCGTCGAGGAGAACATTGTCAGGCTTGACATCACGGTGAATAATGCCCTGGCCATGGACATATCTCAGGGCACAACCGAGCTCGGCGATCCAAAAGCGAACCGCTTCTTCAGTGAAGGTCTTCCTCGAGATGTGGAATCGCAAATCGCCGCCAGTCATAAGGTCGACAACGAGATACCTTCATGGTCGATTAGTCTGTGTTGTCGAAGCGTTGTGGCAGGAGATGCGGCGATGGAGGAGCTGATGCCACTCACATGTACTCTATATCTTGAAAACTGTAACGCAAGTTGCAAATGAACGGGTGGTTCACATGTTCCAGCATGCGGCGCTCGCGAATGATGTTGCGTACACTTTCGGACCGAACCACTGCATAGGAGAGGAACGAGTAAGTATACAAGATGCGAAGCTGCTGGATTCTGCTACCATGGCAAACGCAAGGGTAAACATACCTTCATCTTTGCGGATGTATTTCAGAGCAAAGGACAGACCTGTATCCTTCCGCTCCACGATTCGAACTTTGCCAAAGGCACCTCGTCCGACGACTCGCAGTAGTCGGAAGTGGTTGAGATTGACTGACGATGAAATGACGTTAGCCAGCTGCGTAAACGGTGGAGGGGAGTGCTAGGCCCCGTAATCATTTGGAGTTCCCGCTGTGAGCACACTGTGTCTGACGCCTGCTTTGCATCGACCAAGGAGCAGGGACAACGACGTCGCGTACACCGCCGGCTCAAATGTGGTGTCACTCGAGTCGTGGGAGTGACTGGAGGACGGTCGTCGTGATACGGACTTTGGCGCAAGCGGGCGTGGCAAGTGATGCTTACCTTCACCGTTGAACTCAACGGGCTTGCCCTGACTGTTACCCATTGCTGGCAGCAAAGGTTTGATCTGGCGCAAAGACAACCCCTTAAGATCGAGGTGCACGAGGAGTTGGGGGTGGGCTGGGGGCGGTTCGGAGGCGGGGGCAGGTCGCTATGTGGCCGGCAAGCACAAATCCTCGCATCGATAAGGCCGTGATCGCAGAGCCGATTGAGGGTAGTCGCGGGTTCGAGGTCGGGAAAGGGGTCGTTCGACGCGGCCGTGTTCGAATCGGTCGTATGTAGATGCGACAGACGGACGAGCTATGGAGAATTCGCAAAGTTTGGTGATAGGCAAGAGGCAAGAACAGAGAAGTTTGCGCTAGGAGGAAGACGATGCTTTGGGAGGACGACGTCCAGGAGAAGGGGACGGGCCAGTGTCGAGCACTGTACGGTGCACGGTGTCTAAGGGGGGTTTCAACGACAGCACACAGAACAATGCCTAAGCCCTACGGACTGGATGATATGTATAGAAAACCCGGACAATGCCGCAGGCAGGATGCAGGAGTTGCGCCACGGGCATAAGACCGGGCTCTAGAACAGCTGGTGGGTGCGTTGGTGCGCTGCAGTATCACGATGGCCTTGCGTGGGCAAGCAGGTGAGAGGCCAGGCTTGGTCGGGACATGTACTGTGCAAGACGAGCGAGCGAAATGGGAGGGGGGAAGATGGGGAGAGCATCAGAGTGCAGCGGCACATGCACATGCATTGTGTGAGTGGGCTGGCGGCGGGCTTGGTTGCTTGCTTGCTTGGCCTGCCTGCCTGCTTGCTTGCCTGCCTGCTGCTGGACTCGCAGGATGGAGAGGAAATGGGGTTGGCGTAGGGGCCACAGGCTCTGGCTCGTCTGGCAGCGCGTGATCGGCAGTGACTTGTCAGGCCCCTTGCTTTGGCCGCCCAGGATGCAGCAGCCACGATAGGTACACACAAGCAGTCGGTCCCTGTGATAGCCAGGCCATGCAAATGGAGCCGCCTTGGAACGGGGCTTCAGGGGGGGGAAAGCGACGAGTGGGCCCCACGGAGCGGCCAAGGACGACTTGACGTCGGCGCCGGGCGACAGGCAGGCTGGCAGTCATGGAGGGAGGCAGACGAACGACTCCCGGGCCACGGTGCTGCGGGCAGTCTCCGTCTGTTTGATAACCTCGAGGACCAAGCAGCGATCGGCCCTGCCGAGCCTAGCTTGAGAGGCGGGCCAGAGGCAGACGGGGCTATCTCGAACGGTGCTGGTCCCTAGCTGCAGCTCCGGGCACGGGACCAGGCCAGGACGAGGAAGCAGAGCGCCGCTAAATGGCCGCTGGGGCGCTGGGCTGTCAATCTCATTTGGGCCCAGGAGCGCCACTCGATCGTCTGTGTTGCAGACGCCAGGGGCCCTTGCGAAGGCCCCCCGGCACGCGCTGCTCAGGTGCTCGCCCGAGAGTGGGCAGGGTCCGGTCCGCCTCTCTGAGTACGAGTCGTGCGCGACGACGGACGAGGGCTCGTCGCCAGCCTTGAGCAACTGGCGCTCCTCTTTCGTGGGGGACGCATGTCTAGTGCAATACGCAGCAGTGCTTCACCCCGGGTCTATCTGGTCACCTCGGGCGGCAGGCATCTTGCGCAGGCAATGCACCAGGCAGAGTTGAGTGGCACACTCTGGGAGCCGCAGCCTGCATGTCCTTCCCCAACGTCCGGGTAGGCCAGAGGATGCTTCGCATGTAGTAATTAGCGACGATCGTCAGGGAAATGCTCCGTGTCTCAGGCTCGGTGGACGTGCTCAGTTGCGTCCTCGTGCGGGAGGAGCGTCGGCTGCTGCTGTCCACAGGGCGACACCAGCAATCCTTGCACGACCGTTGGGAGAGGACCCGTGAGCCTGCGGATGTGACTTGTGATCGATAACTTACAGACTATCAGACCTGGCACGTTCTCTTAGCCTGTTTCGACACTATGTTGCCGCTGTGGGCACGGCGTGGCGGGCGGCCAGGCCCTGGGAACAATGTCTGAGGTCGGCCCTGTGGCGCATCAGGATGCATTGACGGACGGCGCCGCAACGGGGTCGGTCCTCCTTGCTGTGCCCCAGATGCTGCTGAGACTTCGCATCTGTGGATGCCGACGGACGGGTTCGCAGAAGAAGAAGACGCTGCGAAGGCCGCTAGAAGCATCCCATGAGAGCGCTCTAGAACACGAGCTGGTGCCACGACCAGCGCAAGCCACCGCGTCCTCCGGGCACGACGACGTCTGCAGAGCAGACTGCCTGATGGGTTCCAGCCACAGGCCACGGCTCCATGCCTGTGGTCGAGACCAGGTCGCCGTGGATGCCGTGAGCGGGAACCGCGGCCGGCTAGGGGGTGACCAAATGCCGCGCCTTCCAGAAGACACCAAGACGTCCAACTGCCGGCCGACATGAGGCCACGCGTCGACCTCTCGTCTTAGGGTTCTCGACGCGGCTTAAGGTTGGGAGCAGCGGCCACCGCCCCGCGGGTGTGTGTGCTTATGGCTTGACGACATGTTCACGACATGGACTGTCATGGCCCGTCCAATTCCCGGGCATCTACCATAGTAACGGAACAAATTCCCTAGCGTCCGTCACGGCCACGGCTCAAGACCATCACAAATGACACACACACACGGCAGCCACCTCCCGCCTGGGCAGCAAGCATGCAAGCCACCATGCACGAGACGGAACCATGGCACGCGTTGGGCCCTCGCTCAATGCATCGCCCTCCGTGCAAGTGTAAACGCTCTAGCCAGGCACGTCGTCGGCCTCGTCGAGACACAACACGCATGGATTCTGTCTGGCCTGTCCTGTCAGGTTCTAGGCGTGGACGTGCGGGCCATTTCCCCCATGTCTTGCTGTCGTGTCCAACCCCGGGCGCGCAGGGTGCTTGCTGGCCTTCAGACGTCATGACGGCGGGTTGCAGGCCACAGGCACAGGGGCGCTTGCTGCAGCTCACACACGACATCCTGCCTGCCCATGTTGAAGATTCGTCGCGGATGCGGTCTGATTCACAGTGTGCATGCAGCAACTCGTTCAGGACTCCGGACGCAGCTGCAACGACACCCAGGCAACAGAGGGCTGTCTTGGCCCCGAGTGTTCATTGCATGTCATGAAACCCCAACACATCTAGCCGTTTTCATACAGGAGCATGAGCATCATCATCGAGTCCAGGGGGTCGCGACTGCTCGACATGCGGGAGTTATCGCCACCTGTCTATTTGCGCCAAAATTAGCATGGTCGATCAAACGGAACCATTTCGAATTGGTCTGCTGTGTCCATCCTCAATGTCCAGCGAGAGCTGGCGGCAATATCGACGCGTTTCTACTCTCCGCAGCCAAGGGGTAATGTCAGCAGCGGCAATTATCATGCCATTGCTTGAGGCCGACCGACTTTAACAAGTGAAATGAGATACCCAGGACAATCAAGATTACCAGGCCCTGCGAACACGAATGACGATAACCTCGCCACTTGTTCTCGAAGCATGTCAAAACTGGTGTTTGGCCATGGGTGGGACCAATCATCCATCACGACGCACTCTCTATTTACAGCTCCTGATCCCTGGCGACTGCCTGCACATGAGATTGTCCTGGACTCGGCGCACAGATTCCATGCAGGGGCTGCACGCGAAATGAGCCTTCTCTGCCGTGTAACCCCCTTACGGGACTGCCCTACCGGAACCAACAGTCCTCCAATGTGTTTTGCCTTGCGCAGCCCTCATGCTGCTCCTGCTGGTGCTGGTGCTGGTGGTCTAGACAGATTACTACGCGTGGTGCACGAAATGGAGGGCGAGAGAGCACGCTAGCAGTTGCGCTCCGGGAGGGAGGCGTCAGCAACCATAAGCGACTTGCGAGGCGAGCATACGAGCGTAAAATGGAAGAGGAAAAAAAAAAACTTGAGACACTCGTGGCTCGGGGACAAGGATTGACGGTGTCCTCCGGAAGCGGTGCGAGACAGGCATTCTTGTTGGCGTGAATCTGCTGATCCCCAGGTTCTGCGCGCTCGGACGCTGTCTTGAGCTGTTTCGCATTCTTCTAGAAGAGTTCGGCCCCATGTCAGGCAAGGTAGAACCCCTTCACTATCAGTGATGGCAACGGCCAGCCGGGTGAAGTGCTTACGCGCCGGGCATTGTCAAATTGCAGCAGCTCCGCCCAAATTTCGGATATGTCCATGATCAGTACAGACGTCTAGCTCAGTCGAGGTCGTCGTTGAGTCTTTGGCTTGCCTGCTCTGCAGCGGTGCAGCGGTGCAGAGCAAGGTCACTTTCTGTCTAGCGACGAGGGCGCTGGCCAGACTCCAGACTGCGCAGAATCCCCTCGATTCTATAACAACAACAACAAAAACAAAAACAAAGACTCGAGGATCACAAGAAAGTAGAGACGGCAAAAGTTATGCAAGGCACAAGTTCGCGCTCATATATTGTAACAAAAGGAGAGGGAGATGCCGAGGCAGGCGAGCTTCTTCGCGGTGGTGGACCCCAATACCAACCGTAGCCGAGGGCCACTTTCACCATGCTAGGCATCCTTGTGATGCGACTTCTTCAAAGGTCGTATCGGCACAACTGTTGTGACGGTAGCACGCACCGCAACGTCAGCTCCCAATGACAGTTGTAAGGCAGTCAGAGGCACCCTCCTACGTGTGCGGAGGAGGATCCCCGTCACCAATGATGCAAACACGTTCACCATCGGACGATGTTTATTTACGGAAACAGTACCATGCTGCTTCCTTTACCCGCCTGAAACAACAACCTCGACATGCTCGAAGAGGACACGTTTTGTCCGTAAGCTCAAGATCCGAGTTTCTCGGCGCGTCAATTAGATGGAGGGAAGCTATATGCATTCTACAAACATTCTAAGCGCACATGTATGCTGTATCATGCTGTAGCTCTCGCTAACCCGCCCACGAGCGAGTCGATCTAACAACCCGCATCTTTCCGTGTGACAGAGCGCATGCAAATATCTACTGAGGAGGTTAGGGAGTAAAAGTAGAAGACAGAGGTTAAGATGGCACCTGGTACCACAACCCGATAGTGTTATAATTATTCGGGAAAGCCTCTACCTCGACAAACGCGAGGAGGCTTGAACCCTTTTAACATCCGTATTTTGGATTTACTTAGTAGAAGCAAGATCACTCGAAGCCCAGTGATGTATCATGGAGCACAGCTTGAAACCTGTCCGACATCCCTTTCTCACATTAAGATCCCCCGTGGAGCCAGGATGCAGATGGCACAGCCGGCTGAGGAAAGCTGTGACTCGAAACCTTAACTCGTCTATTACCCGGCGCAGTCCAGCCAGCCACCTGCCGACGAGCGCTTAAAATCCAGGTCTTTGCGGGAGAAGGGGGGCGAGATAACGAGAACCTCTGATGAGACAGCCCCGTACTCCAGCACGCGGGGAGGAAGGAATAGCCGCGCGAACCACAATGTCCAGTGGACAATAAAGCCCAAATCTCCATAGGCCATGATTCCTTCATGCCACACGCGATACGCCCGTTCTTCTTCTATAAAGCGGTCATCTTACTTGCAGTGGCGCTGAACATTGCACCTGCTTCTCCATCGCGTTGACCCATAAAAGTCTATTATTGCTGGAACCACGACACCAGTACGCTCGAGCACCAAAGTGTCCGGTCGACACTGGAGATAGGTTGCCATGCCCTGAGCCCGTCTTTTGTCCCGTTGTGTCGAAAGTGTAGGTAGGGGGTACATGGAGGCCACCTACGACCACGTGGCAAACCCGTACATGATTCACAAGCACGAGGACTAGGGAGACTTGCTGTCGCCGCTGCCATCCAATGGTCAGTGCTCCATTGCTATCCTACACGACGCCATCAGGATACATTTCAAGCCAACAAACAGGCGACGCGCAACCACGTGCCCCGTCTTTTGAATGCCAAGGAAGCTCGCAACGACCAGTCGTACTTGTCAAGTCTCAGCGAGCAGGCAAACTAATCCCATGCTCTTTAGGGACACTGCCGACGGTTATTTGGGCATCCAGACTACGCTCCGCGAAATTACCCGTGCGTCAAATCAGCCACGATGCAACGTGACATAGGGAGGAATCAGCTGTTGAAAGGCAAATCTTGTCTTCTCATATTACTAGTGGTAAACAATGTCTTCCCTTTTTCTCCAGGCAGACACCGAAAAGAGGTATATCTTAATAAACAACAAAGGCCCTCGCTACACTGGACTAGGAATCAATCGGTCGATTCCATCACTTGAATAGTTCCAAGAGTCTCGAGAGACTCGAGGATATCTTGCAGAATGGAACGATGGCGACAATTTCCGAGACACATCGGTTATTGTCTGGAAGGGACGCGCGCTCTGTTCAATGGTGGGGACGTGAATTAGGCACCCGGCCACATTTACTCCTCCTCCTCAAGAGGAGCCTCGCCCTCATCGTACTCCTCCTCCTCGTCAACGCCAGCATCCTGGTACTGCTGGTACTCGCTGACAAGGTCGTTCATGTTGGACTCGGCCTCAGTGAACTCCATCTCGTCCATACCCTCACCAGTGTACCAATGCAAGAAAGCCTTGCGACGGAACATGGCGGTGAACTGCTCGCCGATGCGCTTGAAGAGCTCCTGGATGGCAGTCGAGTTACCGACAAAGGTCGAGGACATCTTGAGGCCGCGGGGAGGGATCGAGCAGAGGGCGGTCTGCACGTTGTTGGGGATCCACTCGACGAAGTAGGTGGAGTTGCGGCTCTGGACGTTGCGGACCTGGTCCTCAACCTCCTTCATGGCAACCTTACCACGGCTGTGAAGTGGTGTTAGCGAATAATTGCACAGGAGAGTCTGATTGAGTGGCAACTGGAACTTACAAGATGGCAGAGCAGGTGAGGTAGCGACCGTTGCGGAAGTCGGAAGCAGCCATCATGTTCTTGGGGTCGAACATCTGCTGCGTCAACTCGGGAACGGTGACGGCACGGAAGGAGTGGGCGCCACGGCTGGTGAGGGGAGCGAAGCCGACCATGAAGAAGTGAAGACGTGGGAAAGGAACCATGTTGACGGCGAGCTTGCGCAGGTCAGAGTTGAGCTGACCGGGGAAACGCAGGCAGGTGGTGACACCGGACATGACGGCGGAGACAAGGTAGTTCAGGTCGCCGTACGAGGGGTTGGAGAGCTTGAGAGTGCGCATGCAGATGTCGTAGAGAGCCTCGTTGTCAATGCAGAAGGTCTCGTCCGAGTTCTCGACAAGCTGGTGGATGGACAGAGTCGCGTTGTAAGGCTCGACAACGGTGTCGGAGACCTTGGGCGAGGGAACGACCGAGAAGGTGGCCATCATGCGGTCGGGGAACTCCTCGCGGATCTTGGAGATCAGGAGCGTACCCATACCGGCACCAGTACCACCACCAAGGGAGTGGGTGATCTGGAAACCCTGAAGGCAGTCGCAGCCCTCGGCCTCGCGGCGGACGACCTCAAGAACCTGGTCGACGAGCTCGGCACCCTCAGTGTAGTGACCCTTGGCCCAGTTGTTGCCAGCACCGGACTGACCGAAGACGAAGTTGTCGGGGCGGAAGAGCTGGCCGAAGGGGCCAGCACGGACGGCATCCATGGTACCGGGCTCGAGATCGACGAGCACGGCACGAGGGACGTACTTGTTGCCGGCGGCCTGCAGGTACTTTGTGATTAGAGACTGCTTGGTGTACAGATGGACTGGGCGTTGCGAATTACCTCGTTGAAGTAGACGCTCATGCGCTCGAGCTGGAGCTCGGAGGTGCCGTTATAGCTGTTGGCAAAAATGTCAGTATGCTATGTCGTCTCCATTTGTCGCAAGCCGGCGGTGGCTGCAGCGTGTGCATGGTTGTGGTACTTACACGCCATTGCTGTCGAGACCGTGCTCGCTGGAGATGGTCTGCCTGTAGTTGGGATGAAAGGTTAGCCTTTTTGGCCCTCCGATTCCAAGGATTGCCAAATCTTCGAAGCTAGCAATCTGTCGCTTGCGATCGGGATCGTCTTCGTCGTGGATAGCATCGTTCGTGGTCAAGGTGTACGCACCAGAAAGCAGCACCGATTTGGTTACCCTGTGGGAAATTATGTTAGCCCCGCAATCTCCCAGCTCTGGCGATTTGGGGAGCATGATGACTTACGCATTGGCCGGTCTGGAGGTGAACCTATACGCGAGGAAAAAGGTATCGTTAGCTTGTATTCGAGAACAAGACTCCAAGAGCTGGCTGTCGAGCCGCCGCCGTTCAGTCGCGAGCGGGCGTCCTTTTGTTCGTGGCTGTGGCGCCGATAGCTTGAGGGGCATTGCTCCTCAGAGGCATTGGGCTTGGACGCGTTTTATCCAGGGACCTGGGGTTTTCGCTCTGCAGGGTTCGCGGCAGACCGGCGGCAGAGCTCTACCTAGCGAGGAAGACTTACAATCTCACGCATGATGACGGTTTATGGGATCTGTGAGGTAGAGACTCGAGGGACTGGGCGGCTGAGGGAGATGTGATGGAGGAATGGGTGGAGAGGGAAAAAGGTGTGTTTGGTGGCCGACGTTGTTGATTAAAGAGGAGACGGCAGACGGAGCGGTGTGTGCGACGCAGCACCGCAGAGACACGGCACAGGGCGGGTACCGGTACGTACCGGCGGGTGCTGGCAGTACTGTTGCCAGGTGGAGGCGGAGGTGCCAGGTACGTTCAAGTTGGTGCCTGCAGGTGCAGCTGGCTGGACCCCGGAAAGGGGACGGGCCCCGCCCCTCACCTCGCCGCGCGCCCCTCCCCCTGACCTGAGGCCCAGGGCAACCACAGGCGCGAACCGTGTCTGTGACCCTGTCTGCAAGGTGCGGTCGCCCATTGTTCACGGGTGCCAGTCCTGTCAAGCTCGCCCAAGTGGAGCGTTGATAGGGTGCCCAGATGGAGTGCCCCTCTACCGACTTTCCTCCAGCCAATGGCACGCGTGCTCCGCCAATGTTGATTTCCCACTGGCGGGGGTGACCAGGATTGGCTCAGCGCTCTAGTGCTGTTTACAGGTGCTAAACGTTGTCTTTGTACTGTACGGCAGTTCTCTGCAGCTTGGCGCGAGACCTGGCTCTGGAGCTTATCGGACTGGTGCAACTCGTGATCCGTATTCAGGGAAATGTCAGTGATGATAATTTGCATCGAAGTCGAATTCATGTGAGAACGGACGAAGAGACGGATGGTGGTCGCAAAAAGAAGACCCCGCGCGTTTGCCATACTCGGTAGACTAGGCTGGAAGTGTACACATTTTTTCACGCACAGAACTTCGAGGTGCCTCGCGCGTGTGAATTTGATACTATCCGCAGGACCATATTTCGTCTCGCGCTCCAGGTTGCAGTCCAGCAACAGGCAGCAGAATGCTCATCGTTGTGCACGCAGGGTTATTGCCGGCCCGACTGCCAACAGTCGGGTGAGGACATCCTGGATCACATGCAGCGAGCGCCGCCCCTGAAGGCATGCTTTAGTGTACGCTTATCTTATCGGGAGCTGTGCTGCCCAGGCCAAAAGTTGCAGCTCGTTTGCGACGTCACAGCTGTCGCAAGCCTATCGACTACGCCTCAGCGATTCCCGTCTTGCCTGCCCTGACCAGGCCTTCGCGCATGGCACCTTGATGTTTCACAACGGCTGATCGCGATCAAGCCTTCCCAGCTGCCTCGCTGGCGCCTCGCATAGGCCTGAGCACTTCCCATGTCTGCAAAGCGATCCCGTCAAGCCTTCGAAGCCGACGCCCGAGCCGAGCATTCGCCCTACGTCGCCTACGGCACACCTCTCCCACCTCTAGACCCCGAGGTCCGCGACGACGGGTCCTACGTGCCAGTATGGAAGCAGGAAGTGCGCGATGATCAGGGCCGTAAACGCCTCCATGGCGCCTTCACAGGCGGCTGGAGTGCTGGCTACTTCAACACAGTTGGATCTAAAGAAGGATGGACACCCTCGACTTTTGTGTCCTCTCGTTCGAACCGCCACAAGGATGGTGGCACTGAACAGGCTTCGGTCGCGCGTCAGCAGCGGCCCGAGGACTTCATGGACGACGAGGACCTGGCAGATGCTATCGAAGCTCAAAAGATTCAGACAAAAGACTCTTTCGCTGGGCTGGGCACTACGCGGGACGATGGGGTCCGTCGGAGCGCGATGCTGGACCTCTTCCGCGCACAAGGCGACACCATGGGAGCCAAGTTGCTTCGGCGCATGGGCTGGAAGGAGGGCCAGGGCATCGGACCGAAAGTGCGCCGCCGTGCTCGTCTCGACAATTTGACATCCATGGCCGATGACAACGTCGAGATGCACATGTTTGCTCCCGATGATGTTCCCATGGTCGCTTTCCTGAAGAAGCTCGACCATAAAGGCCTGGGGTATGAAGGTGCCGCACGGCTAACGCCTGCAACTTTTGGTTCGGCGAGCCACAAGTCGAATCCCGATGAAAGCTCAGACGATGACGACAGTCATGAGGGGCCTTCTCTTCGGCGGCCAGGAATAACAAGAGATAAAAAGGCGAAGCCTGTCAAGGGCGGATTTGGCCTTGGGGTTCTGAATGATACTGGATCTGATGATGAGGATCCATACGAGATTGGCCCGAAGATTTCATATAATCGCGTGATACGCGGGGAGAAGAAGAAGAGCAAGTTGAAGCCGAATCCTACAGCAAGTGCGGCCTTTGGATCGGCGCCTAAATTCAAGTCACGCAAGAACGCTTTGGCAAGGGCCGGACGGAATCTGCGGAAATGCCATGACGGACGCCTGCCACTCGAAGGATTCGTTTTTGGGCACGAGACAGACGCACTGGCTTCGACCACGGCGGATGTCCTTCGTTACCCTCCGCCCACGATTCCACCGGGCTGGGTGTCAAAGAAGTCCAAGAAGGCCATCAATGAAGCGGCAACCGATTCTTCTGGATTCATTTCCACCGCAGACGCGGCCAAAGCATCCTCGCTTGACCCCAAGTCGCGGGCCGCTCTGCTCGGTGAAGCCCAGCTGCCCGGCAAGTCTGTCTTTGACTTCTTGTCACCCGAGGCTCGCGAACGTCTTGCCGCAGCCTCGGGTAAAGCAAATCTGCCGCCAGCCCTAAGTGAGATCCCCGAGGGCTACGCGTTATCCGAAGAAGAGAAACAGGCACAGCTTCTGCGCCAGATACCACAAATCGACAAGCAGACTGCTGCTGCTGCGCTGGCCCGCGGTGCAGCTGGCTCTGGCCCATATGCGGATAATGAAGCGAAGCGTACTAGATACAGACAGTTTCTCGAGTACTTTGCCGGCTTCACTCCGCAGCTCCCCACACGACCACAGGCCTTCAAGGACCCCGACTGGCTACGCGAGCTCAACGAGTTTTACAGCTGCGCGCGCATTTTCAAGCCCATGACGGGAATGATGGCTTCGCGGTTCACAACAAGCAGCGCGAAACCGCCCATCAACGAGGCTGGCGCAAACGCCGATGGCGAAGCCGGAGAAGAGAAGCAACTGATACATCGCCCACCACCAAGACCTGCAGATCCTGCAGAGGAGGCGGCGAAGATGGGCATGTACGGCCATATGACGCGCTCCTCAGCCGACTTCTACCCAACCAGGCTCCTCTGCAAGCGCTTCAACGTCCGACCGCCAGCACACGTAGTCCCTGACACGGAGGCCGACAGCGGCGCCAACGGTGCGAAAGAGCGCAAAGAGCCGGACTGGGGCTCGCTGGGTGTGGCAAGCCTACCAAACTTTGCGAGCGCTGGAATGTACCAGCAGGGAAGCACTGCATCGCAGTCTGGCGGCGCACAGCTGACTTCCTCGACCGAAGGTCCTGAGGCGGCCGCAGCATCGGCGAGTGCTACAGGTAATGCTGGCAGCAGCAGTGGCATGCCCATGACACTGGACGAGCTGATGGCCGACGCACAGACGCAGGTCACCGGTCAGCACCAACAACCGCAGCCGCCGTCAAAGAAGGAAATAGAGGTCAACGCTGATGTCAACGAAGCTCTGGAGGGTAAACGCGCGGAAGACGACGTGCTGCGGGCGATCTTTGGCGATAGTAGTGATGACGAGGACGACTAGCGCAGATAGACAACTTCACCTAGATACAAGCAGATACCCTTTTCACTTCAATCCTGGTGCTGTTCTTGGCAGCCGTTCGGGAGAACGCAGACAAGCTTGAGTTCATCTGATGTGTGTATCGTTGTATGTCATCATATGTCATGACAGATAGTTGCTATATACATCTAGTGCAATTTCGATATTCAAAGCGGCATGCCAATATTCCACGCGCTATGCATGTCTATACAACACGGCGGCATCTGGCCCAGGGGGACAGCAGGCCACCACAGCCAGCGCACCATACCGGAAATCGACGAAAAGGCAGCGTGTGCTGCCGACTTAGTGCGTAGGCTTGGCCATGGGCGCGATGATACCCTGCTTGACCATGATCCGCGGCTTCGTGGCCTCCTGGAACGTCTCCTTCGTTACCCACTCTTGGCCGACGGGCAGACGCAAGGAGCGCTCGTACTGCGCCTTGTTCTCAAACATGTGCGGGAGCTGTGTGGCGAGATACTTTTCGGTCTGATGAGGTGCGCAGAGAATATGTTAGCGTTGCCGTGTGCATGTCCCTGACGTTTTGGAAAACGGGAAGAGAGGGTATGCGTTAAAATATGAGAGACTGGGTGGAGGGGCACAACTGACCTTCTTGACTCTCTTCTCGTTGATGATTGCGTCCTTGAGCTTCGCGTCCTTGCGCTGGTCCTTGCTCTTGACGCCTTCCTGCTTGACCAGGAACCGGCCCTGGTGGCGCTTCTTCTCACGCGCGCTGACGCCGTCGCCAACCCAGCTGCCCCAGCCGGGAAGCGTGTTATCGACAATCTTGTCATCATCCTCCTCCGCAATGGCCGCCTTCTCGGCCTCAAAGTCGGCCACAACGTCGAGCCCGCCAAAGGCGCGATCAATGAGATCCTGCTCGCGGAACTGCACGGGCATATGGGCCTCGTCATCGTCGTCGTCCGAGGAAACCTCTCCGCGGCCGCCTGTGAGGCCTTTCTTGGCTGTCTTCTTGGCTTCAATGGCTGACTTGTTGGGCTTCGGTGCTGGCACGGAAGGCGCTACTGCGACAGAGTCTGCATTGATCTCGAGGACGTCCGCGCTCGAGCCCACCTTTTTGCCCTTCTGTTTCTTGGCTGGGCCGGTTGTCGCCGCTTGACTCCATGCTCCCGCGGTGACATTGTTGGTTGGCGCACCCATCTTGGCTGAGAATACTGCTGAGCTGTTGGCTGTGGCGATTGTGTCTCGTGCCGCCTGCAGGGCCGAGCCGGCATCTTTGTTCTTGCTCTTGGCGGCCTTGATGAGATTGTCGCTGGGCTTCGCCTTCCCTGTCTGCTGCCCATACTTTTTCCTGCCTATCTCCTCAGGGCCATCGTCGGAATCCTCTCCCTCCTCTCCATCTGAGGCCAGCTCCCGTCGAATCTGGGCAATGGTCTCATCGTTGGCCTTTTTGCGCGCTGCCTCGGCTTTACGCATGAACTGCATGTTCATCAAGGCTGACCTCGGCTGATCGTCATCGTCCTGGTCGAGCGAGTTGAGCTTCTGCAGCAGACGTTTTCGGTCGTCTGCATCTTCCGAGTCTGCCGAGTAGTCTGAGTCATCGTCGTCATCGCTACCAGTCGCCTTGGCCGACTTGCCCTCGATGCGGCGTCTGAGCTCCTCGTCTCGTCGCGCCATGTCGGCGATGCCGACACGGACATCCTCGTCCCAGGCAGCACGGCCCGCCTTGTTGGACATCTTAGCCCACTTGCTCTCCTTGTGCCTCGCACCCATTCTCTCCATTGCTCTCTGGCGGTCGCGGACTTCCCTCTCCTCTTCTGAGTCTATCTCGCCGGCCTCGACCATGGCTTCGTGTGCCTTCATGTCATCACGCTCTCTTTGTTTCCGGTGTACCCGGTGGTAGGCCTTGCTCTTGATCTTGGCGATCCGCTTTGCTTTCTTCTCTTCGCGAGACTTGAGCTCCCTCAACCTCCGCTTTTCGTTGGCGATAGCCTGGCGTTCCTCCTTGGTCAACTTCTCGCCATCAGGCCCTTTCATCTCTTCCTCCTTCGCAGCACTAGGGCCGAGGCCGCTCTCCTCCATAATCGCCAGGATCGTGGACTCCAGCTCGTTTCCTGTGCTCTGAAGGTTGAGAGGCTGAAGCTCGGTATTGTCGTGCCTGGCAAGACCTGTCTCTGTTTGCGGCAAGGGAAAGACGAGGTGCTCGGCGCGACGATTCTGCTTCACGGTCTCTGTCCACCGGTCCAGTGTCTGATTTGTCTTGTCGCGCGCAACCTCACGATCTAGCCTGTCCTGTTGTCTCTTGGCGAGCGGGACTGCGAGCTTCTGCGGCTTGCTGGACTTTTGCTCCTTGCCCATGAGCTTCACCGATTTTTTGAGCTGAGGATCCTTGACTTGTAGGAGACCTAGCTCTTTCAGGCCGATCTTGGGCTTTGTCGTCGCAGCCGGCGCCTCCTCGTCGGTGGCTTTCACGCCTGAGAATTTGGAGACCCAGGCGTTCACGCCAGACTCCGATAGGTCGTCGTCCATATCTTCGTCCTCGGAAGAGACGTCACTGGCGTCACTGGCGTCGCTGTCGTCACTGCTTCCAGATTCGTCTGATGAGGCATCTTCGCCCTCCGGCTGGTCGTCATCGTCTGACATGGACATATCAAGAGCTTGAGCGAGGTCAATTGCGTCAGAGCCTAACGATGCGCCATCTGCGTCTTCGAGTTCTTCGTCGTTGTCATCCTAGTTATAGCAACAAAATCAGTACATGAGCGCTTGTCGATGTTGAGTAAATTGCAGAACCTACGCTTTCGGCCTGCTTTTTGCGGCTGCCCCGGAAGGTATAGTCCTCGAACCGCTCAGCGTCGCTCTCTCCAAAAGCCTCGTCACTGTCAATCTCGGAGTCGTCGTCGTCCGCACCAACACCGATGCGCCACTCGTTCCCGCTGCTGTCGCTGCCGTACTCTACATCCTGCTCCTTGTCCGCGCCGCGGCGCATCTTGCGGGGAGGGCCGTCGTTCGCATCGTCGTCGTCGTCGTCGTCGCCAAAGCCCTCGCCGTCCTCGTCATCATCCTCGTCGGCGTCGTCGCGACTGCGCTTCCCGCGGCTCGACTGGATCTGGGCATCGAGCTCTCTGTTTCGGGGTGTACGCTTCTGGCGGTCGGCGAACTGATCCTCGGCGATGGAGAAGGCGTTGAGCGCGGCCTTTTGCGCACGAGACTTGGATCTGTTCTTGCCCTGCTTGTTCTTGCCGGCGGCGCCGCCTCCGCCCATGAGCGACCTGCCGTGTGCTTGCCTTCCAGGCATCTTGTTGAATTGGGCCTTGCCCGGAGGTATGCGTGCGATTTGCTTCGGAAAAGTGGTCGACTGTTGTCAGGCTTGGTCTCGAGAGTCCGTCGGGTAGATGATCTTGTTGCAGTTGTGCTTGCTCGTGGCTGCGCCCGGGGAATGGGGGATGGTCAAGTCAAGCTGCCGAAGAGACCAGTCTATGCCGTTTGAACTTTACGTAGTGTGGCTCTCTCGGGGACCCAACAACGACGGTATGTCGAGAATGTCGCCAGTGTCTGCGCAGTAGACTTCCACCCACATGCACTTTCAAGAGTGTATGGGGTCTGTCCAGACTTTTTAGCGGGGCACTGTAAAAATGCAGGCCAGCATCCGCCAGCCGAGCAAAGCGGGAAAGAAGGGGACTGCGCGCTATCTTATCAGTCGCAACAGCCAATTGGCGCCGCCGTAGCGGCCTTCTTCCAGCGGCCATGTGCAGCCCAGCAGATCGCCTGGTGGTTTGTTTGTGGGGGAGGTGCCGTTTTGTCGATTCTCAATTGCGCCTCAAGACATCATCGCCGACACACCACGACCGACGCACCCGGCCCATTACACCCAGCCCACAGAAGTGACCAGTTCTCGACACATTTCGCGAAGATCACCAGGCAGCAAAATCGAGCTGCGGCACTTAGCCGGCAAACACAACGAGACCCGCAATCCTCGTCGGCGCGCACACAGAGCCGCCGACGACCACTGTGCCTCGCCCACCATGAGGGCCACCGCCTCGCTCTTCAAAAAGTTCCGCAAGCTGCCGCTCACGACAAAGGATGTCAACAAGGGCTACTACAAGGGAAACCGGACAGGCAGCATGGGTCGCCACACAAAGTACGGTGGATACGTTGTCGACTACTCCAAGGTCCGGACGTACGTCGTGCCTGACCTGACAGACTTCCAGGTACGAGCTTGTTCCTTCCTGTTCGATACTTGGTTTTGGTCTCTAGAGGCGGCTCATTGGAGTGTCCTTGCGCCCCTGCACTGGAGGAGCGCGGCTGTGAATGTGCTCTCAGCGCGGCAGGAATGATGCCTGACGAATTGACTGATATGTCCCCGTATAGTTGACGCCATTCGTAACGGCCAAGATCGAGAACTTACACGGCCGATATGAGGGCTACACAAAGGGCCCGGCGAGTCCAGAGCTGTACCTCGAGCGGTGGAAGTCGGAGAACGGGCTCGATTAAATGCGACATACTTTTCAGATCATGAATTTCCCATCTCGACATTGGCACCGCTAGATTGCGAACGGGTCAGGCATTGGAGATTATGAACCGGTTTCAACTAGAGAGGCCATTACATGTGGCCGGCCCGAAGCCTGGAGACTGGCTACGCTACCTGGTATGGCCGTCCTACGCTTGGAAATAGCCGTCGCAGTGGGTGTGAGTCGGTTCAGACAGGCACGTTACCGCCGTGTAGAGGACGACCTGGTGTTCTTGTAAATCTATGTATACCACGAAAAAAAGAAGATTTCGGACATCCTCCACTGCAGGAATTGTGGCTCGTGAACATCTGGGTTCTTCTATTTGCTCTTGCTGCATTATGTCAAGAAGTCAAACATGTGATTGCGAATTAGTTCATATTATGCTATAGGCTGTTATGTATTGCCTTTTCTTATACTCACTTCTCTCCGCTACGAGACTGCCACAACACGGGATATAAACTACAAGTCTAAGTCACAACTAAGCATACTGGCGTGGCAATCCACTCCCACGTCGAGTAACCAAAACAAAAGAAATATAATGCTGATGTGGTTCGTTCTCCATCGAGCGCAGAATCACTGTGCTCTAGGCAGATCCTCCTGGGCGGTGACAAACGTCTCCAGGGGAGGTCTCTCAGCTGTGCTCGGGACCACAACACCGGCTTGCATGACTGGCACGCCGAAGTACTCGCTGGCAGGTGTTGCGAGGGGCTCGGCGTTTGCCTTGGGAGTCACCCCATCGTCGTCAGCATCCTCGGCCTCATTAGTCAAATCGGTGGACTGTCCAGTGACCGCGGCCACGGGTGTAGTAGCTTCCTCTCTGGAGGCTTGCGCCAGATCAGCAACCTTGCTTTCGTTTGCGGCCGTGGGCGTCTCAGACTCTGTTGCCGCAACCTCGCGAGTTTCTCGCTTGATCGTCTCTGGGTCAGCAACCTCTTCCCTGGCGTCGGCATTGACAGCAGCGACGGCACCAGCACTAGTCTCGAAGTTACCCTGCTCAGCCAGAGGGTCGACCTCGGCATCCTTCAAGGCCTCTGGCGGAGGCAGAGGAGTCATGATGGATTGCCCATCGGCTTGACTCGTCAAGGTAATCATGCTTGCTGTGTCGGCTTCTTTCTTAAGTGTAAAGGGCACTGCGATTCCTCCGACCTTGGGGCGCTTGCCGGTCACTCCGAGTTCGGGCGGCTGGTAGTCTGGCGTCAAAAGACGCCCGTCTCCGTTGGGCTGCTTTGCCGCCTCCGAGTCGACACCATCCGACGCCGTGCCGTCCCTCTCGGCACGTCGCGCGAGCAACGCCGCAGCCGGGGTGTTCTCGTCAACGTCTTCAGCAGCTGCTGCGTGGGTGGCGCCAGTCTGGCTCTCATCTCTGACCATACGCCGTCTTGACTTGCTCCGCTCCATGCGCTTCGAAGACTCTGCTTGCCGTGCGATGTCGCTCGGGGAGCGAGCACCTTCGCCCTCGCGCTTGGTGGCGACCTTGACCTCGGGGTCCTTGTCTGCCTGCTCTTCCCTAATGACGGTCTGCTCGTCGTGTTTCGAGCCCCAAAGAGACCACAAGGCCAGGCCCATGCTCTTCTTCTTCCGCGGCGTCGAGACCTTTTCTCCGGCCCGGCGGCGGGCGGCCATCGAGCTCGGTGGAGGATGCTCTCCCTCGAAGACTTCGTAGCCGGCAACCATCTCCTTGAGCCTCCTCTTGTACACTTTGGCGCTGGCGCTGCCGAATCGGTTGTCCCACTGTCGGCGGGCTTCGAGCCACTTCCGCACGGGACCCTCCTTCACCACGCCAATCGACTCGGGGTCGAGGTTGCACGCTACAATCTCACTCTCAGGCTCCATCTGCATGATGCGGCCGTGCCTGTCCACACGCTGGCGGATCATGTGATCCTGGAATGGTGGTAGAGGGTCTCCGGCCTTCCCAACAGACACTGCAGGCACAAGCGGAGTGCCGTTTCCTGCGCTCAAGCCGGCACCTTGCCTGGCCTTCCTGGCCTCCCTGTCGTCCGTGTCAGACCCCGAGCTCGAAATGACGGAGATGTCGTCGTCGTCGAGGATCTCTATCTCGGTCTTCTGCGCCCTCGCGAGCGCCCAGGCGCCAAACTGTGCCACGGATCGATACATATACTTGGCCGGGCGCGTGAAACTCAGCGTCGGGCCGACGTGGCACATGTCTTCCCACAGCTGGAGCTGGACGTCCGTGGGCTTGAACCTTTGGAGCTGCTCACGCGCGGCGTCGCTCATCAGCGCCTCGGGGGGTGCATACTTTGCCGGGTTGGCGCACTTGTGCGCGAGGTACAGCTGCTCGTCGCGAAGGATCTCTCCGCCTCCAGTCATGATCAGCAGAGGAGGTAGGCCGCCGAGTGTCGTCTGCATGACGGGGCTGACGAGCGGGTGGTTCAGAAGCTCATTGGTCGTGTACATCTGCATCAGAGGGCCTATTAGTATGCAAGAAAAAGGCAGACACGATCGCGATATTGGCCGGACGTACCTGGATCTGGTCCTTGAGTTCAATCTCCTTCCCATCCAGGTTGATCTTGAGGAACGACGGCACCGCGTCATCGTCGACAATCTTTTCGGCGCCCGGATGATCGAGGTTCTGCGTGAGGCGTTTCAGCTCCACGGATGCAGGCTTCATCAGTCTTGTGCGTCCTAGCTCAACCTGCTTGTCGACTTGCTGTTTCAGGAGATTGTACTGGTCTGCGTTCAATGGCGGCCAAGCTGGCGACGGCTTGTGGTGGAACCCGTAGTCAGGGATGTAGTCCATCGGTGCATCTGCTGACAAGCTGGGGAACGAATGCGTGAGATCAACCCAGGGGCTGATGAGGATAGCTCCTGATGGCAATGGGATCCCCTGATCTCGCATAGTGACCAGCATGCTCACAACCATGCCACCACCCGCGGAGTCTCCCGCAAGGATGATGGAGTTGGGGTCCTGGAAAGTGAGGAGGAAGAGGTAGGCTGCGAGGCAGTCCTGCAAGCCACAAGGGAACGGGAACTGAGGAGCAAGGCGATACTCGGGCGCAAACACTCGTGCTTTAAGCTTGCGAGCATGTCTCTGCATTTGGTATCGGTGCTCGCCCACAGAACCAAAGAAGTAGGCGCCTCCGTGAACATAGAGCATGACCCTATTGCTCGGCGTGCCAGATCGCTTGCGCTCGTTGTAGTCGGCCCTCATCTCGATCCACTCGGCGGCGAGCGGCTTGCCCTCGCTCCGCCACTGCCACCAGTTTTTGCCGCCGACTTTGCGGGTGCCGTCCGGTCCCAGCTGCTTGATGAGCGCAGTGGCGGCTTCGTTGAGCTTGTCCTCCGGGATCTCGACGTCCTTGACCCTGACCCATTGGGGATGCGGCACCCATTGCGCGGTGAAGGCCTGGAGGTCCTCGACGGAGTGCTGCGAAGCAAATCGCAGGAATGAGTGGATGAGATGGAGGCCCTCGTCGTAGGAAAGGTGGGCGGTTGGCCGCTGGTGCAATGGCTTGCGGTTAAGGTACTACAAAGGTTCGCAGTCAGCATGTCCGTTCAGAGATATCGGTCTTCAATCCTTGTCGAGTCATAATACGGCTTGTGCGCAGGGATAGGTGCAGGAATCACGCCTCGGGGGTTTGTAAACGTACATGAGAGACAAAGGTGGAAAGGACGGTAGGCGTCACCGCCATCGAGACCGTGGCGGTGTTCATGATGGCCGCTCGATACGTGTTGTGTCAAGGACTGGACGTGCAACGAGACCAGGTCTAGGTATTTGGCTGCGCCTTGTCAGCGCAGCCAGTTGTCAGGCGCAAAAAGGAGGCGATCGCGAAGCCCGACGCGGCACCAGAGCTCCAGCAGGCACAAAGCACAACGCAGAAGCGACTGGCAAGCTCGAAAGACCAACAAGAAATGCTGCGGGAGTCGGACGATGCAAGGGGAGAACGAGATGGAATGTCGGATCGTCGTCGACGCCAAGTGACGCTATGGAAAGCCAATCCGCCAGACGTCGGCACTCGAGTGAAGAAAGCAGCCGTGCCCAACCTCGAACATCGCAAGCCCCCGTGATGTCATCACAGCTGCACTTCGTCGCACAGCTCGACTTAGTGCATGCAGCCCCCCCTGAACTGGACAGCCACTCTAATTACCCCCAGACAAATTGGCCGAGGCTCCGCTCCTCGACGTTATTAGGTGGATAGGGCCTCCTGCAACCAGCCAGGACCGCCCACAGGAGAGAGCATGGACCCGCAGGCCATTTTTAAGGTTTCCCATCTTGTCCCATTTATGCATGCGTTCTTGATGGCGGCAGGTGGTCTCAACTGGCAGAATCTTGGGCCAGCCAACAACCCACCACCCCAAGCAAGCACATGCATGCCCCGATCGGCGCGCCGCAGCTTGGCAAAAAAATGAACATGGTGGGGATGTCACGGCGACTTTTTTTGGATTGCCCCTCCAACACCTGGATTGTTTAAGCGTAGTATCGTGGAGTCAACAACGAACAAAAACCTACCTTTCCTGTATTCCCTGTCCAAGATTTCAGCTCTTGGAAGACAGGTGTACAATTCCTAAGCTACAATGGCGTCGACATCACAGACGGAGCCCTCGCCTGGTAAGCCAAAACGAATCTACGCAGTTCCGCTTCAGATTGCGATGCCATAACTAACAGCACAACCCACAGAGGTCCGGCAAAACAACTTCGAGCAAGGCGTAGCAATCACCCTGCACCTGTGGCCCGCCCTGTCCCTCGCCGTTCAGAACAACTGGGGTGACGGCGACGCCTCCGACAAGCGCGACTGGCTGGCCGGCGTCATCGTCGACATGTTCCCCTCGTTCATCGACCTCGCCAAGAAGCCCGCTTCGACCACAACAACGACAACAAACGCGACCGGCACATCATCCACAGCGGCGACAGGCCAACAGTCATCGTCATCCGCGGCGGCCCTGGAGGAGCCATATCTCGAGGACATCGAGACAACACTGCTGCAGGTCATGCTGGACGAGTTCGACGTCAACGTAGATGACGACACCGGGTTCGAGACGGCCGAGACCATCATGCGGGCTCGCGCGCAATGCGCCAAGGGCAACTTTGACGAGGTCAACAACCTGCGGCGGAGGTGGGAGGCCGGCAAGGGCAAGAAGGTTGTCATGCAACAGGCCGCCGACGCGGACCAGGACACGGACTGGGAGAGCGATGACGACGACGAGGACGGAGACAGTGACGTCGACATGGACGAAGCCCCCGCGCTGGCTAAGGCACCAAAGGAGAAGGAGGAGCCCGAGGTCGACGAGGATGGTTTCACAAAGGTCACTCGCAAGAAGAGGTAGACGGTAGACAGGGCCGGCGACAAGATAGATACCCAGGTGAGAAACAAAGATCACAGCGAGGTCCGCATTTACCAAAGCAGATCAAGCCAGTACAATTTGAAGCACCCGGGCACACATGTTTGAAGTGAGATCGGATGTATGCAATACTATCAATATACAGAATCATGAGAACCGCAAGGGAAGGCAGGACTCCGCTCTGCGAACGACCCAGACCAGGCACGGACGTCAAAAAACAAAACGCCGAGTAGAACGCCAAAGAGATTAACGACCAAGTCCATAAGGAGAGGCCTTGTGATGACTACCATGGACTATGCGGTCCTCACTCCCACTCATCATCGTCGCTGTCGTCACCCTTGCGGGAGTCCTTGGGGCTATTGGGGGCGCGGCTAGTCACGCCCGACTGGGCGCCGACCACGTCATAGCTGGTGTCGCTGTCTGGCTGCGACTTCTCGTCGTTCGATTTGCGAGGCTCGGGGCCCTTGGTTTGCTCCTTCTTAGCAGGGGCCGGTGTAGATGTGGCAGACGTGGGCTGAATGGTCGCGGATGAGGCGCTAGAAACCGGCCTGGCTGGCTTCTTCGCAGTGGCCGGAGTAGGAGTCGTCTTAGTGGCGGCTTTGGCAGCTGTCTTGGGTGTCGTTTTGGCTGCGGCATCGTCGTCAGAGTCGTCGTCAGAATCATCCGAGTCGGAATCATCATCATCCGAGTCAGAGTCGTCGTCCGAGTCTTCATCATCCCACTTGACTTCCTCTTCAGCCGAGGCAGCTGCACGCACGATTACAGTGGTTAGTCTCGAATTGCACGACGTTCTCTCGTTCTCATTGTCTCGATACGAACCTTTCAAAAGATCCCGTCTTCGCTCCTCGGCAGCCTCAACGCTGCGGCGGAGGAAGTAGTAACGCTTCCAGAAATCCGCATACGGAACAGTGTCGGGGACCACCTTCTCCATAGTCGCTCGCAGGTCTGGGTACTTGGTAAGATCGGCGCTGATGCTCTCGGTCTTCTTATCAATGTCAAACTCTTTGGCCCAAGTCTTGTAATCTGTGCTGGCAGGAGGGTCCTCGGTAAAGCCTTTCTCAGTCGTGTGGATGACATGCAGCTGTGCATCGAATCTGGAAGTGTGGATGACACGCTTGCCCGACTCGTCCTTGCTTTCAAACCTGGCACCACGAGACGAGTCGTCGGCGGACCCGGGCTGGATTTCAATGCTCTGCTTCACGACGTTGAAGATGTAGCCGCCGAGCTCCATGAGCTTCTCATCGGCGGCGTCCTCCGCCCGCTGGATGTCCTTCCACCTCTTGCTGGCCTCTGCCTGGACCTTGGACAGAAATGTGCTGTCGGATCCCGAAGTGCGGGCAGTGGCGGTCGTAGGGGTCGTCTCGCCGCCATCCCTCTCCGCCGCTGCAGATGTCGATGCTTCCGTCGGGGCTGGAGCAGTGTTTATGGAGAATGCACGGGATCGGAGCGTCGCGATCTGCCTGCTGGCATCTGCACTAAGAGAGACAACCTCTTGCTGAGCTTCTTGGAGCACCGATTGGCCCTGGAAGACGTCGGATGTGTTGTCAGCACGGGATTCAAAAGGGTCCATGTTGAAGTCATGTGTGAAGAAGCTTTCCGTACCTGTTTGACAACATTGCTAACCTGCCCTCCAAACCAGCTGCCCCATGAGCTGGTGGTGAAGGCCCGATATACGTCCTGGACCTCGTCGTTGAGGGTAGGCCGTCTCTCGGGGGACTTGGATGTCGACGCCTGTTGTCCGTCTTTCTGGTCCTCTGGGAGCGCCTCTTTGGCGATGTTGTCGTAGGCGAGATCCATGATGCCGTGGTGTCGATGGTTGGACGAACGAGGCCACGCGAGTGAGGGGGGCGTCTGTCGTAATGTATATGCGGGGATCTGCCGATAGGTGTACTCGGAGACTTGCAGATGCAGGGAGCTGCGCAGATAGGTCGTAGTATATGACGATAAACGAGGTAATGTGCTCGAGGCCAGCGGTACGGCTTCGCTGCCTCTTGGGGTCAATAGAGCTGGAGGTCGAGTGCCGTGCCCCTGGATGCTTGACGGTGTGTGCTTGTGCACGAGCACTCGTGCCCGGTGTGTGGCCGCCCCTCAGTTGGACCACTTGCGGGCGGCATGCCAGCACCGAGGGGACACGAAATGTGGGGATGCGCTGGCTTAGTCCGGCGGAAGGAGAGTGGGGCCGTCCATGGGCTGCGAACGGCCTAATGTGGAGGGCCTGCCTGCCTGCAAGTGTGCAACAGCAAAATAGTAGCTGTGCAAAAAGCTTCTACGAGACCTGTATCTCGTAGGTAGCTGGAGTCAGTCAGGGTTTTCTGGCGACAAGAGCGCTGGATCGAACCATCCCCCGCTCGTCAAGCCTAGATGTCCGTGGTTGCCCATTGGTGCTTGCAATATAGGGCGGCCGTAGAAACAGCAGTCTGTCGAGCCACGAGCCTCCTTCTGCGAATAGAGAAACATGCGGGACGAAAGTTAAATACAGAGTCCAATCCGGCCGCAGGCTCCAGTGTGGCATCCACCGATGCAATAAGAGAGCTTCTGAAAACCTCCCGGGTTCGGAATAAAATAAGGACGGTAGCGCAGGGCTGACGGAACTGCCTTGTAGGATGATATCCCTTACAGAGACGTGCTAGCCTCATATCTGATCCCGGAGAAAGTCTATGCTTGTAATTCACAGTAATAGGGCAACGAGGGCATCAGTCATGCGACTTCTGTTCCCCGTGAGTTTCCTACATTTCAATATCCACTAAGTGGCTACCGTTCTTTGTCGTCATAGCGAGACAATGTCGAGTTCTCAAAAAATGGACCAACCGCATAATTTGATTGGTGTGTGGGTGCGAAGACTGATGAGACATTTGACATCTCCTAGACCTCTGCACTTGAACCTCTTGAACCTTTGAGATGTACTTGGAGCTTCTCACTCGAGCGCTCAGTTTACATTGTTATGACCTGGCCTGAAGCTTTACTTCAAGGCCCAGAAGTATTGTCACGCAATAGACCTCTACCATTCACATTATTCCAACACTATCGTTGCACCATCACTGTAAAAATAGCTGAGCGGGGGCCTTCAGCAATCTCTCCGGCGGCGGCATGCGGGCACTAGGATCACCTAGCTCCGGTGCAATTACGCGTGACGCAACCCGTGGGAGTCACACCTTCGGCTGGACCCTGAAATCCGACCCGGACAAGGATTGGTATTTTTCATGGTCTCACATTTGGGCCCCGGGAAATCCGTGCCGGCCGGAGGAGGCACATTCGGAAGCATCTGCGCGGATGAATCTGAACTATGAGATCTTAAGCTTCCTTCCAGGGATGTGACCCGCATTGTGAGGATTTCCAAAGATAACGGCCGATTTTTAAAGTATGGAATGTGACAATTGTGACGACATTGCTCTGTCACTAAGCCAAGACTAACACCTGCAGGATTTAAGTGGACATTACTTTTGTCCTTAATACTGAAATGCGAACCATGCCTTTCGCACATGAGAGAATCACATCTGTCAGGATCGGGAATGCAGGACAGATCGCTTCCGGGTGATTCATACCGACCTGAAATTGATGAACGTGTTTTGCCATGTCTTCAGTTGCTGTTCACGATACCGTATGGTTGAGGGACGACTATCAGACAGAAGGAAAGTCGATGCCAGGATTGTGCCTCGAGTTGAGGTGGCATGCGCCTGCTCGCCAGGGGCGTAGGTCCAGACTCTTTATATTGCCACAATCTGCCCAGAGATCTACCGCTTCGTCTCTGATAATCTCCTAAAGCTCAACCCTCAATACCGTTTTGAGCGCCGCATCGCTCGGCTGCTACAAGAATATCAGGGATAGATGCTGCAGGGGACAACCAGGGTGAGCACCGTCCAGACTGATCTGTGTGGCGCGGCTGCTCTCGCAGCGCCTTTTGGGCGGCATGCAAGACCCAGGCTATGCCATGTATGCGGACAGTGCTGCACGCACGATGGACCTCGGGAGGCACGTAAGCACTAGAGACACACACGAGCTCGACGAGGGAAGGGTTTGGCCGCGTAAAGTGGCTGCCCACCAAGGATCTTCGGGGTGGCCTTGTGACGCAGACTAGACCAGCCACGGGGTGGGTGTAGCACGGTTTACTCCGCTATTTCCGCCTCTGCTCGCACTCAGGCCCAGGCACGTTGTCGGGGTCGGAGTTGTCGGTGGCGACGGCTGCTGCAACGCCCTGGCTCGCCTAGGTCTTATCTCGACACCGTGAAACGCCCGTGGTCGACAGCGATTGCAGCATCCCGCACCCAGGTCCGCGGTCCCTGGGCAATGCATTGCCATGCTGCCATCAGAGGGAAGCGGCGTTTGAAACGACCTGGGCAACAGCACCGCACTGTCAGTCGTAGGGCAAAATCAAGCCGACGATCGCGCCCACAGCCATACGGCACACGATGGACGGAGTAGCAGGGGAGGAGGCTCCACGGGGCTGGCGCAATCAGAACTCACCTGGGCTGGAAGGCAACCTGGAAGCATGTGTCTTGGAGGCGCCCCACTGTGAGTGACTGTTCGGCCTTGCCCGCTCATGCAACACAGTCAGGGCCATCTGCAGCTTTAAGCCGCGCAGCTAGCGAGGGATTGCCTGCGGACCGCTCCATTAAAGCGACCAGAGTGCGCAGTTTAAAGTGTGGTGAACACCGACCAGGGAGCTTACAAATCGACAGCAAACCCTCGAGTTCTTCGCCCCTCTCTGCCCTTCCCCCAGTCATCTGTCACTCGCCTCGACATCCTCCGCCTGATCAAAGAGCCTGATTCTCATCCCACGCCCTGGAGGATTCCCTTGCCCAGCCTGCCTGCCTGCCTGCGTATGCCGGCTTGCTGTCTCTCCAGTACCTTCCATTGTATCCTCGATTTGACCAGGTTGAAGCCGTGTGGCTTACAGTCTGCCGGCACTGGCCGACCATCCCCTCACGCCCGGGCCCTTCCCCTCCCTGGACTTTTTCCCAGTGCCTGGAAGAGTCGACCGACCAGCCGGCCAGCCACCCACCCTTGAGCCTCGACAGCACAGCACAACCTTGCGGCCACTCCGTACAAGTGGCAACTTTGTCTTTCGTCATCCGCCTCGAACTTACCGTCAACAACTTCAATCCAGCTTTCTTGTCGTAGTGCCAACCACTCGACCGAGGCAGCTTTGGTCAACCGCTACTCTCGCCAATCTGGCTCGCTCGTCTTGACTGTTGGCATTCCCAACACCCTCCACACCTTGACCAGCCGGGCCGGGTCCCTGTGGTCTCTTCGGCAAAGTGCCTCGCCGCATCTGATCGCTGCCTTCATTCACGCAGTCAGAGACCCTTTCCCATACCTTGTTACGCAAGTAGCACTCCACCAGGATGGCGTCCAGTCACGACAACGGCGCGATTCCCCCTCAATTCATTCTCACGCCACAACAGCAAAACCTGCTGTTCCGTGCCCTGACCTCAAACCAGCCGAGTGTCAATCCATCCTCGACAGTTGGCAACGATCCTCTGTCAATGTCGCCCACCTCATTGCAGAACAGCTCGCCTGCTGGGCAGAGCCTGGTTACACCCAACGCCTTCCAAGAGTCACCTTTCCTGGATTATGATTACGACATTGGCCACGACAACAACTTTGATTTCGATTTCATTGGCGATCAGGCCAAGATGATTGGTGACCTTCCAGGCACAAACACAGCGGCCACCTCCAAAGACAATGAGACCAAGTCTGGCTCATCGGAGCCGGAGACGTCGGATAAGAGGAGTCATCCTGATGATGACGAGGACGCCGACGCGGAGGAGGGTGGCGGTAAGAGGCGCGAGAGCGAGAGCAAGACACAGAAGAAGGCCGGTCGTAAGCCGTTGACCAATGAGCCGACTTCGGTAAGTGTTTTGTGGGATAAGTCGAATTCCGCCAGCACAGCACTGACAGATCCACAGAAGAGGAAGGCTCAGAACAGGGCCGCGCAGCGCGCCTTCCGCGAGCGCAAGGAGAAGCACCTTCAGGACTTAGAAACCAAAGTGGAAGAGCTGGAAAAGGCTTCCAACACCGCCAACAGCGAGAATGCTCAGCTCAAGGCACAGATTGACAAGCTGACCGTTGAGCTTGCCGAGTACAAGAAACGGCTTACACAGGCCAATACCAGCGGGCGATCTGTGTCCGCAGGCAATGCCCGCACTGGCTTTGGTACTCCAGCCGTCCAGAACTTGAGCGATGTGAATTTCCACTTTGAGTTTCCTAAGTTTGGCGGTGTTCAGTCCTCTCCGGACCTCACTGCTGCGAGCCAAAAGGCGCCTACTGGTCGTACTTACCCTTCGCCGTCAATCAGCACGGGCACCCAGAATAGCCCGGCGGCATCATCAAAGGACTATGCGAGCCCAAGCCATCCAAAGAGTCGGAGCTCGTCAGATGCCTTGGCAAAGGACGCGAGTTTCAGATCGTCTCCTGGATTCAACAACAGCCCGTTGTACGATAACCTCTTCGGCACCAATGCTTCCAGGACAAGCCTGGATTCAGCGTCGTTCAGTCTCAATGGTGGCAACACTGCTTCGCCCTCAGCTTCTTCCAACTCCAATGGTGGGCCCAGTTCATCGTGCGGCACGTCACCCGAGCCTTGCACTCAGTCGCCACTGGGCTTCAAACCTTTAGACACTCTGACCACAATTGGGGAGGAGCAGCCAACTCTGACGACGAGTAATCTGAACAGTAAGTGCCATTGGCGTAAATATGATTGACTCCAACATCGTTGAAGCTAACCTTCCATGTAGCCTTTGGCAACATTGACACTTCAGACTTTAATCTCGGCTGGCTATCTCAACAGAATGGTGGCCAGTTTGATCCCCAGCTGTTCAATGACTACCGAGAGCCGCAAGAGAACGTCCTTGCGAACACAGCTTTCGATGACAGCTTCTTCAATGATGCATTCGACATGGATTTCACCACGCCATACAACATCGCGCCAAGTCCCAACTTGCCCAAGAAGAAGAACCTTATCGCCGAGATTGACGCGAGGAAAGAATTCGAGGATACAATCACCGTCACCGGCAGCAATAACGAGAAGCTTCTCACCTGCAGCAACATCTGGTACGATCTCGACGCGGGCAGCAGCCTGGATCTGGGAGCCCAAACTGACAAGCTTGACAGGGAAAAATTGCAAACTTGTCCAAAGGTGCAAAATGGCGACCTGGACCTCGATGGGTTGTGCTCTGACCTTCAAAAGAAGGCAAAGTGCGGTGGCTCTGGCGCCGTTGTCGACGAGCACGATTTCAAGACCATCATGACCAAATACCTTGGACCTGAGGATGCCAAAGCATGCCAGTAGTAGTACAGAAGACGATTTTCCGAGGGAAACCGAGAATGAGTTAGCGAAGCGGGACATGCGTTTGATGGATTGTGGCGAACCTCTTTTGTTTCAGGTTTTCAGGGCAATGAGTGATGGGATTGGGAGATTGAACGAGACCTGCTCTTCAATTTGGCGTTTTCGGTGCCGAGGCTTGGGATTGCCTACGACGGTGTGTACAGTGCTCAAAGGCACGGGAAAAAGCTTGCAGCAATATTGCAGCCAGGAATTGGTGGCTGCGCATTTTCCGGAGCAAACTGATTATGGGCCCGGCGCATAAGATGGTCGATCTGCCCCCCCTCGAGGTTTTATTTATTTTACTCCTACGAAATTTGTGTCTTTTTTTTCATGCAGATCAATTTCACATCACAATCATTTGAGATAGTTCCCGAATCTACATGTTAATTATGGAAACGAACTCGAATCCGAGGATACATTCATTGGCCTGCTATATGCACAGGTATCCTTACTTTATATGGTAGATCTATCGAGGAGTCTGAACAATTGGCACTTTCTGGTGAGGCTTAAGACAGTATTGAGCCCTTGAGTTGCCCACGAGAATCGCAAGTATAGCGCGAGTAGATTCGACGATGATTTGGGAATATCAAACAGGCGACTACAATGAACTGACCCACCGACTTTGACAAGTACGGCCACGTTGGAAAGGATAGAATCCTGTGTATCATGAGGAGAATGCCCGAAGCCTCGATTCAAGTTCTCGCATGCTTTTGACCAATGGCTGGTAGTATTTATTGTAGAGCTTAATCGGTTGCGTATTTCGATTACATTTTGCTGGTCGTTAAGTTGTCCAGAGGGTGCTACCCAGAATGCATTGTTTCTCGAGTGTGAAAGTCAGCTCGTCAGTAGTAGGAGTAATTACTTATTTGACTTGCATAGCCATGGAACTGGCGTACCTGGCCAGCAGTCTCGGTTGTACTATGAATAGGACGATGGGCCGGCACCTGAGCCTGTGGAGAATAGGCAGGCTTTCCCTGGCTCATCTGAAGTACGGCTGCGCGCCGGCTGACGAAACAGCAGCCTGCGGCACGACCGTGTCGCAATGTTTGGAGCGAGGTCAACAGATGGTACGGTACTGGCTGTAGACCGACCATCACCGGCGGCTGCTGAATGGAGCAGGTGTTTGCAACGGCGCGGGGCCCTGCAGCAGAGCGCAGAGCGCAGAGTGCAGGGTCCCGCTGGTTTGGGAACAAAGCGACCCCTTCCTCTGGGCCTGACACCTGCACGATCCATGGCCTCCAACCTCGCGAGCTGAGTTGACCTGAGCAATGGAGCAAAACGCCGTTTCGACTGTGGCAAGAGAAGCGTGCAGGTCCAGACTGTCCCGCTGCGCTGGCGGCGGCCGCTACTCCGGACGCTCTCCATACAAAGCTGGTTTCATGGGCGACAAGGGTTCCTGTCTGGCCCTGCTGGATGCCACCTTGGCCCCATAGCGACCCTTGCAATCGCCCAGGGCCGTCAGGCGAGTTCCAGAGCCTCTGGAGAGATTCGCGAGGGGCCCCCCTGCTGAGCACCCACAGAGCCGCTCTTGAGACCGCCGCCGAGGTGGTGCTCGAGTTTCACATTTGAGACGACTCCTGGCCAGCGCGATGGGGATTCTATACTTGGCAGGCTTTTCTGCGTGACGGCCTCCCTTGCCTCTTATTGAATCTTCCCAGCAGCCGATCAGACCCTGGCCCGGCACGCGCTCTGTAGCCGGAACTGTCACGAGGGAGGCTCTGCTTTGTGGGCTGGCTTGGCTTGGCTACCACCTAGCGGGCCATAGGTGTATGCGTGGCTGTTAAGAGCACCTTGGGTGGTGTGGTGCGGTGCACAGGTCGTGTGTTGTAAGAGTGGACTACCTAGTATCATGGCCTCCCGGATCGTGGCCGGCATCCACCCTTGCCCGGCTCTGGTGCTCCCGCGTCCTGCTGTTCTCCCTCTCCTCCGTCCTACAGTCGAGTTTGGCTGTCTTTGCTCCTTCACCACGGCCTCGCGAACGAACCATTGAGAGGCACCTGTGGCATCGACTAATCGACGATGATGGCGTGCCCGGGACAGTGACCCTCACCATGCAAAGCGACCTTTGACACTACCCGCCTCGACTTCCTCGACGACTTCATTTCGCACCCGACCCCCATTGACTGGGCCTTTACTTAATGCTTTGGCGCTTCTGCGCTCACCCACACTCACTACTCAACTATGGCGGTGCCGGATACCGCCCAAGCCCTCGTCGGCACTTTTTCTCTGTGCGTCCACTCGTGGCTTCGCCACTGCCTTCTGGTGTCGGACAGAGCAGAGCTGATACTGACCATTCTCAATGTAGTGGTGTTCTCCTCGCTGCGTCGTCGGCCTCCCTCGTTCTTTTCGCCTGGAAGCATGCGGCCAAAGCACTCAGAGATGGTCTGAGGCTGGCCCTCATCTCGTTTCTCGCCCTCTCCTCTGCCTGGGCCCTCACAGGTTTCATTACAACCGCTGCCAACCCTCAAAGCCGTTCAGCATGCCAAGTCGCCGTCGTCTTCTCGACTTTGTTCGACCAGTTCGCTAGATTCTCGGTGGAACAGTTTCTGCTCTGGGCAGCCCCTGTGGAAGGCGCGCCCAAGGCTCTCCAAATCGGCTCGCAGGTTCTTCTGCTCGCCCGCTTGGTCCTCGGCGTCGCCTATGTCGGCCTTATCAGGCCCACCTTCGACCCGACCTGCGTCCCACGCGCCTCGATTCCCTATCTGGCCGTCGTTCTCATCATTACCGACGCCGTCATTGTCGTCCTGCTTGCTATCAAGGCCATCTCGAGCGGTGCTTCGTCTTCGAATCTATCCACACGAAGCGCGAAGCAGAGCAAGAGTGTTTTCCTTAGCATCGCTGGGCTTGCAATCTGGATGGGCGTAAGTTTTGTCGCATGCTGGTAGTGTTGCCGATTATGGAATACTGACAGATACCCTGGAACAGATGAGCGTGACATACCTCCTTGGATTTGAGCAGATCGACTTCGTCTTCCGGAGCGCGATCCCGGCTGCGGGTCAACTCATCCTGATCCGTATGTACACGAGTTGTTCTTACAATGTGGAACCTGCAAACTAACGGCACGTAATAGTGATTCTGACTTTGTTCTCCGGTCTGCTTTTCGCGGAGCACGACGCTTCTCGGCTTGGGAGCTCTTCTCGTAGCACTCCGTCATCTTCTCGATCCGTTGAAGCACCGCCAGTCAACTATGAGGACCTGAAGCGGGATAACCTGCAAAATGTGCCTCGTTTCATCTCAAGGAATGCAGATGGCACCTTTCCCCCCATCTCAAGACCGTTGGCCAACGAGGACTATGCTGCTTCTGCCATCCCCACGCAGCAGGCCTACACTGGACCGATCGCTGAACTTGATGGAACACGATCCAAATCGCCGTGGGGCAGATTCTTCTCGGGCAACGAGCGTAGCGAAGCCCCGAGGATGCCTCCGGGTCAATTCAAAATCTCGGGCCCAATCCTCCACGATGATCCCAACGATGAACACAACCCTCTGCGCCGCATTCAGACGATTGACCTAGCCACAGCAATGGAACAGGACCGGGAAAGACGCCTCCAGCGGGCTGCCACAAGCCCCGGTCTCATCGCCACACGCCCTGCGCCATCGCCACCTCGACCATCGACAGCCAGTGCAGCACTATCACGAGGCCAACCCGGCCTTGCGATCAAGAAGAAGCCACTAAGAGCCACAGCACCGCCAGGGGCTCTATCACCCGAGCCATCCGAGATGCCCGTTCTGAGGAGCCGCCTTGATGTCGAGTCTCAAGCCGCTTCGAGCTCGATGCAACTGTCACCCGGAGTGGAAGCGATGAGACGACGATCTCCTCGATATCCCGAGAGTAGGCCCGTGACACAAAACATGGCAACGACGCCAACAAGTGCCCGTCTGACGAATCTTCGAGAAGAGGTGCCTGAGGTTCCGCCGCTGCCGCCTTTCAAGTTCTCGAACACACCACACGCTCCTGGTAAGGGCCTGCCATCTAACCCAAGAGCCGGGCCCCGGGTCGCACCGGCTCCGCCTGTCCCAGCCGAGAACTCGACGGCGGTCATGCTCGTTACGGAAATCGTCTACAAGGATCCCGACATGGTCAGAAACGTCCTCCACAAGAAAGCGAAGTCCGCGCCCATCCTCGCCAAGCCAATGGGCTCTGTCGTACACCGACCTCGTCCCATCCCCAGGAATCAGGCAGACCGCCAGGTCTTCCCAGCGGAGGCTACTCTGAATCGTGGCCATCGACGATCTCTGTCGAGCGGTTCTCTTATCACGGGCAAGTCTATCCTCTATGTTGATCCGGGCAACCCCAAGATGCTACCACCGCTCCCGGAGCCCCCAAAGACGGCAGATAGCGTTCGCTTCCCCACAGGTTCGGCGGTCGACAGCCAACGCACTTCAGATCGCCCGCCGCAGTCGAGGCGTGCTTCCGCCGTGCAAGATCGCAAATCGGTGGTTGAGGATCTGCGCCGGGCTCAGGACCGCCTGAGGCTGAACCAGAAAGCCTCCACTGGCGATTCTGGGTTTGCGAACAAGCGTGTCTCCGCAGCCACTACTAAGGCCAGCATCCGCACAATGAGCATCTTCGGCCTCGAGGAGAACCATTCACACCAGTACCAGCAGCGGCAGGAACAAGTAGAGCAGCCGGAGCAGGCCAACGAGGATGATGCGAGCACTATCGGACCAGCTACAGCGAAAGAAGTCGATGGTGATAACGAGTCATGGCGCCGACAGACCCAGTCCGACGGTCGCAGCAGCACTTTTACTTCCCGATCTCAGCGCAAATCCTCTCCGGTTATCCCAGACTTCCAAAACCTCACCTTTAGCCCTACGGGCAGCATCCCGGCCACCGCGACCACCCCATGGGAAATGCCTGCTGCTATGCACATGCCTGTGTCGAAGCACCAAGCTCACAGCACGTATATTGGAAAGGACAAGCCCGGTTCCCCTGCGCACACCGTCTCCGATGGCAATGTTTGCGAGGCTGTGATTACTGTCATGTTGGATGATGGACCAGCTGCCAGTGTTGAAGAGACGATCCTCACAGCCAAAGCCCGTCCCCAATCCGTAGTAGAGGAAGCCACTCCTGTACAAACGCCCACCCCTGCTTTGGAGACGTTGATGCCAACCCGGTTCCATCGTAAAATCGGCGATGAATGTCTCTCCTTCTCCGCAAGGAAGTCAGCCGTCTTGAAGAAGCGCGTCCCGCCGCCGCCACCGTTACCTCTGAGCATGCGCACGAGGCCTATGATCATTCAGACAGCCGAGCCATCGCCTCTCGAGTCGCCAGAAGAGGCGTATCGCTTGATCCAGCAACAACTTGACAACCTTGACCGCCCAGATGCCCGGGCAGAGGACAACGAAGATCAAGAGATTGCGCTTCTGGCAGATCTTGAAGCAGAGATGGGTCTCCAGGAGAACAGATGGCAGGACCTCCACAACAACATGGACCGTGGCTCTATCTCCACGTTTGCTTCTACGCCTGATATCCAATCTCGCCCCGCTTCCTCTGTCGCCCGCAGTTCCATCAGATCGTCTCAAGGTGACCTGGCTGGAGTCTACGGTGCTTTCCTGCAGCCAGGGCGTGCCAATGCTCAGATGCCAGCGCGTGGCTCGAACTTGGCCAACAGCCTTGAGTATCTGCGTGGTAACAACAAGGAACGCCTCTCCCAGGCTGAGTGGTACCTGCAAAACTCTGCGCAGCTGAGCTCCAAGTCTGCTGGCACTACGATGACCAGGCTCACCATGGCGGAAATTGGTAGTCCCAGCCCGCCCGACACCAACGAGTCTGACTTTGAGGTCGACTTTGCCGAGGAGCTCGAGCTCGACTCTCCTGTCTCGATGCAAGACTTCCCGGTGGTTCCTGCTACTACAAAGCTCTGGAGACCACGACACAATGTACATCAAGTGTCCAATGAGCCGTTGTGGGCTGCGCCAGTTCAAATGCCACGCAGTCCCGACCTTTTCGCCAGCCTAGGTGACATCCCGATCTACGTGCGCACTCGTCGCACATTCGAGGAGCCTCTATTCGTCGACTCGTTCCGCCTCTGGGTCAAGCCCGTTGCCACGAGGAACATTCCTGCCGGCCTGTGGCAAAAGGCTCAACCCCTTGTTATCCGCTCGCAGATCCGCGCCAAGGCTCTTCCCCCTCGGCCATTGACTGTGCGCCCGCCTCGTCGGCAAAAGCGCATCTCCCAGCTGGCTGACATCTTGGAGAGCCCCAAGCCTCTGCCTAACAAGAGAGGCACTCTTGGCTTCTTCCAGTTCCCATGGGGTGAGCAGAGCGAGCACCCTGTCGTCTTCCAGCGCCCCGGCCGCCTCACGGCGATGCCAGGAACCATGTCCACCGGCACCTCGCCGCTGAGCGCGATTCTGGAAGCCCGCGCCCGCCAGCTCGCAGCCCAAGAGCAGGCCATGCAAGACCTCACCAGCCAGAGCCAAACTCAAAACCAGAACGTCACGACCCCTGGCGACGATGAGTTCGACGAAAACACCCTGTGGGAGATTGCAAATCTCCTGCGCGCTGACCATATCCCCTCCCGGGACAGTCTGTTCCCCAGCCTTGACGACTACGAGAACGAGGACGATGACTTCGACATGGATGCCTACGCGGCCGAGATGCTTTCTGACGATGGCGAAGACGATTCTGAGGAGATGGAGACGGACGAGTCGGAAGACGACGAGCTTCCGTACTCGTTCGAGATTGTCAGCGGCAGTCCTGTCTCTGTCGTGTCTTCGATCCACTCACTCTCTGGAACCGAGCCTGAGCCGTCTCTGCTCTGGGACAAGACCTCGGGCTTGTACCACAAGTCTGGCGGTTTCGGCCTTGAACAGCCCTCGGAAGACCAGTGGTCTTCTTACGCGCAGGATGCTTCCGAGCGCCCTATCTTCCGGCACCTCAACGAGCCTGCCATTGAGATTGAGAGCGCTTCTCTCTGGGCAACTGCTGTCACCCAGAGCCCGGCCACAAGCCAGTCTTCTTCCTTGTGGACGAAGCCGCTGCCGGCTTTGCCTGAAGCCACGAAGCCTCAGACAGCCGCGACATCTGTTCAGACTTCCGTGTTCGCATCGCTCTGGGCCGCCTCTGATGCCTCTGAATCCTCTCAGAAGTTCGGACTGGCTCAGCCGCAAGCAGCCAAGTGGGAGGCTTACACGGACAAGACTACGGAACGCCCTACCTTCAGACACTTGAACGAGCAGCTCACCACGGTCGAGAGTCGTTCCCTGTGGACAAGCACCCAGACCAAGGTCATGAGCTCGAGCAAGCAATCTCTGCTGTGGTCTAGCGCTGCCTCAAAGATTGTCAGCCCCGTGAAGGCGTCCTTGTGGAACTCAGCCGTGCGATCCGCGACTGAGCCCATCCGTGCTCATGGTCTGCCGCAGCCCGAAAAGATCGAGTGGCAAAGCTACGTCAACAACGACAAGGCGCGTCCGACTTTCCGCCAGCAGTCCGGCGAGATCGATCTCCTGCAGAGCAACTCCCTGTGGGGCCTGCCCGAGTCTCAGCCCTTGTGCGAGGAGCCTGCCTCCTTCCTCTGGGGCCAGACCGCCGTGACAGAGCCTGCCACCCAGTCTTCTCCTTCGGCCCCGACCGCTCTGTGGACCAAGGTGGCTGCTGTCAAGCCTGCAGAGACTTCTAAGTGGCTTTTCAACCTCGCCCATAACGGCAAAGATCGCAAGCGGACCTCTCGTGAGGTCATCTCTGTCTCCGGTGTTCGTGCTGTCCCTCAGCGGAACGAGCCACTTGCCCAGCTCCAGACAACTTCACTCTGGACCAAGGAGGTTGCGCAGCATGAACCGACCGGACCGTGGATGACTGTCAAGCCCAAGGTCGCCGTCGCTACTAGGGCTGTCGTTGCCACGAAGCCAGTAGTGCAGTCCGTCGCTGCTCCCGTTGCCGTTTCCAAGTCTGTCCCTGCTACTCTGTGGGTGAAGAACATCGTCGGAACACAGGCGACCACGGAAACTGGACTTTGGAGCTTCCGTCAAGTTGCTGCCGCCTCTAGCCAGACTGCCCATTTGGAAGTCATGCCCATCGACCTTGCTCGCAAGCCCCGCGTGCCACAAGAGCCCCTGCCCGCCATCTCCTCCAGCCAGCTCTGGACTTCTCCGTTGAAGAAGCCAGCTCGGAGATCGACTTGGCTCGGCTTCGCCGCGGTCCACCGTCCTGCCAGCGGCCACATCGCCTACACGCAGCTGTGGAGCATGCCCAACTCGCAGCAGTCGAGCAAGCCCAAGTCGGAGCTCAAGACTGTCTGGACCCGGTCGATCGTCCAGCCATCGCGCGTCCAGAGCTTTGCTGGTGATGACTTTTTCAATCATTTCAGCGCACCTTCGAGGCCGCAGACCATGGTCTTCGAGAACCAGCCGATCGCCGAGGAAGAGGAAGAGCTGCCGCCCAAGCCGAGCAACAGCAACTGGCTGTCCACCTGGGGCTGGAAGAAGAGCGACTAAATTAGAGCGCCATCTCACAGAGAAGATGCTCACGTCATGGATCCCCTTTTTTCTGCTTTTTTCCAGCTTTTGTATTACAAGCCTCGGGCGGGGTTGCGTGGATGCATTGCACACATACTGTGCATCGGGCGGGCTACAACTCTTCACTTCTTGATCTGACCCTCTTTGTCCTACCAAATTTCCCAATCTATTTTTCTGCGGACTCTCCTCGGTGCTTTCCGGGGAACCGTATACTTATGTAGTCTAAATACCCCTGAAAACAACGAACACGTCCATTATGGAAGCTCTGTGTCTTTGCGTGCATACACCCCTTCGTTTCTTGACGTGCTGTGAATTTGTTGGCTCTTTGAGAATCGCGCAACGTCGTGATGAGATGCTATCTATAATGAATGCGGCATTCCATGAAAAGAAACCCAGCCAGCTAGTCTACAGTCTCAACGCATCTACCGCCGACCTCGACCAAGCTCCCCGCAACACATCGGTGCCCTGCAGTTCGCCGTCTTCGCCCACGGTGATGGTTCCCAGCTTCTTGCCGGACTTGTCCACGACCGCCGCGGCACTAGAGGAGGACCAACCCCCGGGCTTGCCCTGGAACACACAGACCTCGACGTCGGCCTCGTAGTCGTACACGATGCCCTTTACACCTTTCTTGCCGAGCAGCAGGATGGTGCCCTCGCGCACATAGAGGGGCATGCTGTCAAAGCCGTGCGTCTCTGTGAACCAACCGGGGCCCTGGCGGACCTGGCCGGTGAAGAGGGACGTCCAGGAGCCTTGGGGAAGGTAGAACTGGACCTCGCCCGACTCTTCGAACACGGGGGCTGCGAGAAGGCTGTCGCCGACCATGAACTGGCGGTCGAGATACCACGAGGTCGGGTCGTCGGGGAACTCGATGCACATGGCGCGCAGGGACAAGGGCAGCCCCCCTTGCACGGCGACGGCGGCCTGGGCAAAGAGGTACGGCATGAGCCTGGTCTTGACTGCCGTCCAGCGGGCCAGGACCGCGGAGCACCCCTGGTCGGAAGGGTCGTCGGCGTCGATGGTCCAGGGGACGCGGTAGGAGGAGCTGCCGTGGAGGCGGCTGTGGGAGCAGAGCAGGCCAAAGGCGACCCAGCGCTTGTAGATCCAGGGCTGGGGGCTGCCCTCGAAGCCGCCAATGTCGTTGGACCAGAAGGAGAAGCCGCAGAGCCCGAGACCCAGGCCGCCGCGGACCGACTCGGCCATGGCCTCCGGGGTGGACTCGCAGTCGCCGCCCCAGACTAAAGGGAAGCGCTGGGTGCCGGCGCAGGCGGCGCGGGCAAAGAGGACGGCCTCGTTGTTGCCGTGGCGGGCCTGGAGGGCCTCGTAGACGACCTTGTTGTAGAGGAAGGCGTAGTAGTTGTGCATGCGCTCGGGGTCGACGCTCGTGTCGAACCAGGCGACGTCGCGGGTGGGGATGCGCTCGCCAAAGTCGGTCTTGAGGGCGTCGACGCCGACGTCGAGCAGCGTGGCGAGGCAGGCCTTGTACCAGGCGACGGCGGCCGGGTTTGTGAGGTCGACGAGGGCCATGCCGGCCTGCCACAGGTCCCACTGCCAGACGTCGCCGTTCTTGCGCCTCAGCAGGTACCCCTTGGCTGCGGCTTCCCTGAAGGCGGCCCCGTGCTGCGCGATGTACGGGTTGATCCAGACGCACACCTTGCTCACCAAGCCCGACGCCTTGAGCCGCGCAATCTGGGCCTTTGGGTCCGGGAACCGCTCCGCGTCAAACACAAAGTCGGTCCAGCGGAACCCCTTCATCCAGAAGCAGTCGTAGTGGAACACGTCGACCTGCGTGCCCCGCGCCCGCATGCCCTCGAGGAACCCGCGCACCGTCTCCTCGTCGTAGCTCGTCGTGAAGCTCGTGCTGAGCCACAGCCCAAAGCTCCACGCCGGCAGCGTCCCAGGCCTCCCCGTCAGCATCGCGTACCGCGCCAGCACGTCCCGCGGCGTCGGCCCGTCAATGAGGAACCACTTGAGCCGTTGGCCCTCGACGCTCGTCTGCACCCGCGTGCACCGCTCCGAGCCGACCTCGAGCTCGACCCTGCCCGGGTGGTCGATGAAGACGCCGTACCCGCGCGAGCTCAGCCAGAACGACACGTTCTTGTACGCCTGCTCGCTCGACGTGCCCCCGTCCGCGTTCCACAGCGTCACGCTCTGCCCGACCTTGTTGAACGCCCCGAACCGCTCCCCCAGCCCGTGCACCGTCTCCCCGACCGACAGCTGCGTCTGCGTAAACATGTAGTGCGAAAAGTCCCGCATGTCCCCCGTCTGCATCGCGTTGCTCCACGCCGGCGAGTACGCCAGCCCTACGCTCCGCCCCAGCAGCGCCGTCAGGTGCCGTGTGCCATCGCTCTCGCTCTCTCTCGCGCCCGAGGACGAGGACGACGCGGCACCGCGGAACCGGATGTCAAAGGCGTGTTGCTCCCCCGGGTTGGTCACGACAGCCGACAGCGAGCCCGCGCTCAGCGTCGTGGTTCCGGCCGCCTCGTCGCTGCTGATCTTGGCTTCCACTGCAGGCTTCCCGTCCGGGAAGAGCTCAAAGTGTGGGCCTCGGTTCTGTGCGCCGGCCCAGTGGGTGGTCTCGACCGAGATGATGCCCTCGGCGGCGGCTTCGATGTCCTTGGACAGTGGGTGGTGATGTTAGACAGACAGTTGACGTGGATCTAGTGGGTAATGAAAACAGACAAAGGAGCCGCGGGACAAGAGAGAGAGAGAGGGACGGAGCGGCGATACTAGGGGCCAACTCACAATGGTGACCGTGCTCGTGTTGAGCGTGTTTCCCCTGGTGAAGATCTTGCGCGTCGGGCAGAGAAGGCTGAGCCCTTTCTCTGTCTGCGTGATCTCGTACGTCTCCTCGGCATACTCGACGTTGAAGCCCTCGGCCGTCATCCACATGCCATCACGGAACTTCATTGTGAAAGAATGCTATTGGTAGGGGTTCTACGTTCTCGTTTCACCCATTCAATTCGCCGACAGTTTGCCAAACAGGTCAAGTCACAGGTCAAAACAGACTGCTTGGGGACCATCTGGTTCTGGATATCGTTCAGGGGTTGAATTGCAGCCTCCAAGTCGAGCATTCAAGAGGATGACGTCCGCTCGGCCCCGGCATGCTCACCGGCATTCGACCGCCCGAAAGCCCGAGGGACGGGCATCGCCGCCGGACATTGATCAGGCTTCTTGATGGACCCCGCGCCGGAGCAGGTGGACGGGGTCGGGTGGCCAGGGCTAAGTGCAGAACACAGTATCCGAAGCGGCCATTGACCAGTGGGATCGCTGCCCTGCACGGGGACTCCCCGCCACAGCTTGTCTTCCCAGGATGAAAACGATCTGCAAAAGCAGAAGCAGCAGCATGTACGACGAGGTGGTGTTGTCTTGACTGCCTCCTTTAGCCGGCGGGGATGTATATCTCCTGGCCGCTAGGCATGCATCAGTACGTCCCCGGGCTTATCCGGCCCAATCACCCTGACAGGCCTACCTCTGGATCCTGCGGCACAAGCCCGCCGTCCAAATGCGGTGCTGCACTGGCGATATGCACGCATCTGCAGAGTACCCAAAGGACACACACATACACAGTCTGAGATGCCCGAGGCGTGGTCCTTCACAGACAAAACGATCTCCAACTTTTTGCTCGAGCGTCCCCCGCGCTGGGGGCGGGCACTTGCCGGATTCCCCACCTTTCCCCAGATTGAAAGTCCACCAATCAGCTCCGACCTCGACTGCCCAATCGGGCCATGGAGCTCGCATCGAGGCACGCCAACTTTTCGCGAGCGACATCATCACATGTCCTTTTCTTCCGCGTCGAGGAAAGAGGAGTGGGACGCAGCTTCCCGCGATATTCGTAGCAGAAGAGCGCCGGAGAGCAAGAATGTTCATTGTTTATAATGCGCACGTGCATTGAAGCCAGGCCTTTTGTGGTGGGAAGCAATCTGCAGACCCGGAAAGGCCTCGACTGCAGGCGAGTGCTGGCATCTGGGCCGTGAAACAAACTGTCAACGTCAATCAACCTGCCCATCCGGATTTTCTGGGCATTTTAGTCTGCGGATGCACGTTCCCCTTGGCTGCGCCCTTTTGGGCCACGGACTGAGGGACAAACTGGGGTCCAATGGCACGCACAGCGGACGATCATCGCAACCAAAAACTTACGTACATGCGGACGCACCGTAGCAAGTGCTTTTCAATAAAGACTGGCGTGCTCCTCACGACAGGTTCATGGAACTCTCTTTTCCGGATCTTTCGTTCTGTTCGTTTATTGATCTGAACCCGGCCGGCAAAGTGTATCCGCCCAACTTCGAGATGTTTCCCAAGCATCTTGCCCTCCTGTCCGCCCTGCTAGCCAGTCTAGCGCTAGCAGCATCTCGAGACACGGCATCATCATCGCCCGAACACCATGCCCATGCCCGCGATCATCAGCAGGAGGAGGAAGACCTCTCCAGCGCCCTGTACAAAGACCCTTCCGCACCCATTGCCGACCGCGTGCAGGACCTCCTCGCCCGCATGACCATCGAAGAGAAGACCTCGCAGCTCGTCCAGGGCGACATCCGCAACTGGGTCAACGAGACCGACTACACGTTCAACCAGACCGGGCTCGAGTGGAGCTCCGCCGCCCGCGGCGGGCTTTACTACGTCGGCCTACCTTTTCCCTGGGACGTGCTGGCCGACAACGTCCAGCTCGGGCAGGGGTACCTGGCGAACCGCACGAGGCTGGGGATCCCGGCGTGGGTGCAGAGCGAGGGGATCCACGGGTTCCTGATCCCCAACGGGACCATCTTCAACTCGCCCATCGCGCACGCGTGCTCGTTCAACCCGGAGCTCGTGGGGCAGATGGCCAAAGTGATTGCGCGGGAGGCGCTCGCGCTGGGCGTGAACAACATCTTTGCGCCCGTCGTCGATCTCGCGCGGGAGCTGAGGTTCGGGAGGGTCGAGGAGACGTATGGCGAGGATCCGTACTTGTGAGTCTTTTTTGCCGCCGAGAAAAGGACAAACTCAATTTGACCCCCGGGAGAGGACATCCCGGAATTAAAGCTGTTCAAAGAAACAAGAACAAGAGCAACAAAGAGAACACGCCGGAACTAATCGACTCGTGCACATGAGCCAGGGCCGGCGAAATGGGATACGCCTACGTCAAGGGCGTCCAGGAGCCGCATGAGCTAGGGCAAGTGGCCGCCATGGTCAAGCACTATGTACGTGACGCGGCGCATACCGTAATTTCGATCCCCCCCCCCCTTTCAACCAAAGTTACATGCTGCCAAAAGAAAAACCCTTCCCGTCAGCTAACAATATGAGATGATTCGTCCCCAACCGTATAGGCCGCCTTCGCCACGCCCGAGGGAGGGCTCAACTGCGCGCCCGTCCACGGCGGCGAGCGCGAGCTCCGCACGACGTATCTGCCCCCGTTCCACCGCGCCATCATGGACGGCGGCGCCCTGTCAATCATGTCTGCATATCACAGCTACGATGGCGTCCCTGCCGTCGCCAACTACCACCACCTGACCGAGATCCTCCGGGAGGAATGGGGGTACGAGTACTTTGTAAGTTCTTGGACGTGTCATAAGACGGTTTCGACTCTCGAAACGAACGCACCACCCTCTTGAGTTCTCATGACTGTCCCTCGGAGACTCAGAACATGCTGACAAGATTACTTCTGTTTTCGGAAGGTCATGAGCGATGCCGGCGGGACAGACCGGCTGTGCAAGGACTTCAAGATGTGCACCGCCGACCCGATCGACGGCGAAGCCATCATCAAATATGTCAGCATCCGTCCCCCCCCCCCCCCCCAAAGTCCTTCTGTGTGCCCTCATCCCGCATTTGAATGATCTCCTGTCCTGAATCTGAAGCGAAAATACTGACCAGACGAGTTACTATCTCTGAGATCAGGCTCTCCCGGCAGGAAACGACATCGAGATGGGCGGCGGGTCTTACAGCTTCTCGCAGATCCCCGCGCTCGTCGAGGCGGGCACCTTACCCCTAGAGACCGTCGACACGGCCGTGGCGCGGGCCCTGCGCGCAAAATTCGCCGCGGGACTCTTTGAGAGACCTTACACGGGCGTGCCCGCGGACCAGAGGCACTCGTACATCCACACCGACGACGCGGTGCAGCTGGCCCGGCAGCTCGACGCCGAGTCGATCGTGCTGCTCGAGAACCGCGAGGGGTTGCTGCCGTTGAGGAAGGACGCGAATATTGCCGTCATCGGGCCGATGGCGCACGGATTCATCAACGTATGTGTTGGTTTTTTTTTTTTCTTTTTGACCTCCATGGCCGCTTGGGAAAGACTTGGACAGAGAGACTTGTGACTCGTAAAGCGTTCTGACAAAAAGATGAACACAACGCACAGTACGGCGACTACGTCCCCTATGGGTCCCAGTATCGCGGCGTCAGCCCCCTCGACGGCATCCGCGCCGCCACTGCTTCCACACCAGGCGGAGGCGGCGGCGGCGGCGGCAAGATCACCTACGCGCAAGGCTGCGAGCGCTGGTCCACGTCCCAGGCCCTGTTCCCCGAGGCCGTCGCGGCCGCCTCGGCCGCCGACGTGGCCGTCGTCGTGGTCGGCACCTGGTCGCGCGACCAGAACGAGCTGTGGCAAGGGCTCAACGCGACGACGGGGGAGCACGTCGACGTGCACTCGCTGGGGCTCGTGGGCGCCATGGGCCCGCTCGTCCGGGCCGTCATGGACACGGGGAGGCCCACCGTCGTGGTGTACAGCTCGGGCAAGCCCGTCACGGAGCCGTGGATCTCGGACCGGGCGGCCGCCCTGGTGCAGCAGTTCTACCCGTCCGAGCAAGGGGGCCACGCGCTGGCCGACGTGCTCTTTGGCGATGTGAACCCTTCGGGGAAACTGTCCGTCTCGTTCCCCCGGGACGTCGGGACCACGCCGATCTACTACGACTACTTGAACTCGGCCAGGGCGTCGGATGACCCAGGCATGGTGTATGAGAACGGGACGCTGGTCTTTGGGCACAACTATGTGTTGGACAGTCCGTTGCCGCTTTACGAGGTATGTCTCTCTCCCTTATTCTCTCTTTTTCCATTGGGAATTTGGGGGGAACACAGGGAAACAGAAGAATCCCTTCGCTGTGACGGAGCTGACATGTGGCCCTCTTTTGACGTCTCTAGTTCGGCTACGGCCTATCCTACAGCACCTTCGCCTACAGCAACCTGCGCCTCTCGCGTGCCACGATCTCCGCCGCGTCGTCGTCGTCGTCCGCCGAGCCGCCGCTCATCGTGTCCGTCGACGTGACCAACAACTCGACGCGCACAGGCAAGGAGGTCGTCCAGCTGTACGTCAAGGACCTCGTCGCCAGTGTCGTCGTGCCCAACCGCCAGCTCAAGGGCTTCGCCAAGGTCGAGATCCCCGCGGGTCAGACGGCGACGGTCGAGATCGAGCTCGACGTCGCCAAGGCGCTGGGCCTGTGGGACATGCGCATGAAGTACGTCGTCGAGCCTGGCGAGTTTGCCATCTACGTGGGCAGCTCGAGTCTTGATCTGAGGGCCAACACGACTTTGACCGTGACGTGAGGCGAGAGTTTAAATGTTGGCGTGGCTAATCAAAGATGAAGATGATTTGTGGATGTCTCCCATACAGATTTCATCACTAGACAGTCTCGATAGATACAGGAACAGTGACTGCAAGAATCATTCAATTATTGCCATACTACCCGTGAAATCATTACTCAATGGTCATCAACAGAATAAATGCGAACAACAGTGAAACCCAACGTCCTTCAAAGCTACCGGTTTCAAGAAAGGGTGAAGGTGGAGCTTGTGCCCTCGAACGCCGTGATGACTCCACCAAGGAATGCCTTCGCGTCACCGTAGTACTTTAGGCGGTACACGCCCGGCGCGGCATCGGCCTCGGTTTCCCAACTGACGGTAACTGTGCTTGTGCCAAGGAGGCCGTTCGTCCTCTTCCAATAGTAAACCAGGTGATAATCAGTGTCGTCGCGCACACGACTCCAGGTGCCATCGCTCTGCCGCTTCTCAACGGCAGTGAATGTTCCCTCAAGGCGGAAGTTGTTACGGGGGTTGGCACCAACAAATGTCGCGTTGACCACTGCACCACGAGTGTACGATACAGCCGGCTGACTAAGAACAGCACCATAAGATTGTCCGATACCAGGCGAGTCGTACACAACACCAGTGATGAAGCTAAGGCTGCTGTTGCGGTTGTCCTGAGGCTCAGGGCCGGGAGAGGGGGCACCAGTCGCGTCGGGAGCAAGGTACTGGATGTTGCTGACAGTCAGGTTGATGTAAGCGTTGAGCTCCCACTTGCCGTACAGAGTGCTTGCACCCTCGTAGCGCTGGATGTCAAACTCCTCGGGAGTGGTGACATAGTGGGCGTACGTGTTGGCGGGGCCACCGAGCACAACCTTGGGCTCGACACCGCCTCCGACAATGTCTGTGGCAGCGGCCTTGACGGCATTGCGCCATCTTCGGCCAGCCATGGTTGTAGCTTCACTGGGGCTGACAATGATGACGAACTGGCCAACACGCAGCATCTGGACATCGACGATGTTTGCGCTCCAGTCGTAGGGGACAGACTGCTCGCCAGCGTCAAGGAGAACAGGCTTCTTGCCTTGGCACTTCACTTGTGCCGCGGTCGGGACACGGAGGAGACTCTTGACAGCGAGCCAGATTGGGCTGGCATCGGGGTCACCCGAATCGCCCTGAGTGAAGTCGGCGAAGCCAGGACCGTCGGTGGTACCGGCGGCAAAAGAATAGCCGAGCGCAGCAGGGCAGGTCTGGACTTGGGTACCATTTTCGAGCTGGAAGTTCCAGAACCGCATGTCATGGAAGAAGTGGAACGACTTGACAGACGAGCCCACAACGGGCGTGCCAGCAGACGGAAGAGAGTCATAAACAGAGCGGGCACCATCGTACTGGCGCTTGCCGATCTCGTAACAACTTGCAACGCCTTTATCTTGCTTCTCATAGAACGGACCGCGGCCGTGGCAAGCCTGAGACATGCCGTTGGCACAGGTCGCGTTCTCGTAGCTGCACTGCAGTCCTGAGCCATCGTCACACCTAGCAAGAAAAGCAAGGTCAGCCACATTATGACACTGGAGGGGTGGTTCATCCTCCGAGATCAGCTTTGACTCACCAAGCACCAAGGACGTTTGGCGTAGTGTCTCCTACGTTGGCCTGGGAAAAGCCGGCGACGAAGCCTTCGGCGGCAGAGGAGTGGCCGGCCATGGCTTTCTCAAACATGAGCTCGGCCACACCCTTGTTGTCGCCAGTGACGTGGGTGTTGTTCTGGTAAATCGAAGTAGGGTGGACAGGGAACCAGGTCAGCACGCCAATGTTCTTGCTGTCCGAAGCTCGCTGGAAACGCAGGACGGTCATCTCCTTGTCGACGCTGTCGCTGTACTGCGCACGTTCTTCTGCCGGGTTCGCCATGTAGGCATAAAGACTTCTGCTGAGGTTGCTGTCCTCGATGTTCACCATGCCTGTATTGCGGGTCAGTCACTGCTGGATTCTTGAGAAATCGCTCAGTTATGCATACCAAAGTCGAGGTATCCCTAGAATCCCCAGACAAGCAGTGTCAGCATGTGCAAACAGTCGTTGGTATTCTGGCAAGTGGATCTCACCTCCTGCAAGGACTCGTGCGCTCTCTTGACAGACAAGACGGCACCATCGACAATGGCCCGGTAGCTCGCCTTGTCAAAGCCGAGGGTGGTAATCTGGGGAAGAAGGTAGTTGAACCACGCGCCCGGACCAGAGTGAGAGTGTGTGCCAGTGACGGCAACATTGCCGGCGCCATAGACGGCATATTCTCCGCCGAGGGCAGCGATGCCCTCGAGGATGCCCCTGCGGATTCCAGTGTCGCCAAAGGAAATGTCGAGGAGCAGGTAGATGAAACGATCCTGGGGCTTGTTGACATCGCCAACGATGAAGGCGCGCGAGTGGATTCTCTGGCGGAGACCTGTGCCCACCTGGTTCAGGTCGGCGTAGCCCGCGAAGCCAATCTCGACGACGGGGCCGGTGATGTCTGCCTTGCCGACGCCGAGCAGATACTTGTCTCCAGAAGACTGCTGTCTGGGCTCACGGTGCGGAGGCACTTGGAAGCGAGCGTGGTCGTCGTGGGTGCTCCACCCAGCCTTTGCAAGCGTTGCCTTGCCGGTCGAGGAGGAGGAGAAGAGCACGCCGAGCGAGAAGAGGGAGAAGATGGAGAAGAGGACGAGGACCGACCTCGGTGCCGTTGAGGCAGCCCTTGCAAATGTTTTCCCCATGCTGGAGAGCGTCGACGGTGAGGCTTGGCGCTGTGCAGGATCGACACAAGAGCTGTCGAAGACGCGGCCGTGCTGAAAAAGTCGGGAGCTTGGCCTCAACTTATGGGACGACCTGAAGGCGGCAAGATCAACTCGCTCTCACGAGAAGACCAGGCCAGAGCCAGGCCACCCGATCTGGAGCTCGCATCGTGGGGGATCCCGAGGTCGACAGCTTCGGGTCGCCCTTGCAGGATGTCACCCACACCGTCCAAGACAAGGGTGACATCCGGTATTCGAGTCATGCCGAGCAAAGAGCATCTGGCAATGGAGATTTGGGCCATGCGGCGGTCACAAGGGGTCGTCGAGGGCTCGGCGATGAGGGCGGGCTGTGGTGCAGCGGACAGTGCCGTCATCTGCGCCGCGACCCAGTCAGCAGGCAGCCAAGACATGGCGATGCCCAGCGGGAGATGATCGACGGCAGTGCGAGTGACCAGTGGGAGGGCGGCACTGCATCGCAGCGTTGCAGTGCTCCAACCTCGAGCGGCCAGCGGCTGCGAGGCCATCCAGCCCACCCGGTTTGCGATTGGTCTTGCTGGACAATTCGGCAGGCCAAGGGCCCCCAGCGTCGCGTCCAGGGTCTCCCGAGCACAACGCAGGGTTGCACACAGGCTCATTCGCTGGGCCGACTCCCTGTGTCAATCAGGTCCTGCATTCCCGCCAGGCACGCGCTGTTGGCGATTTCAGATTCGGGGCGCGTGTTTGTTCGAGGCGAGCGCAAGTTGTCCGCGAGACACGGCGGGAGTGAGACATGATTGGAGCCTCGCCTCGTCGTTGCCTTAGCATGACGACGGGCCAATGCTGTCTAACACTGACAGGACAAACCTTGATTGATGAGAGGCGGCCAGAGCAACCTCCCACGTGTTTGGCAGACGCCCACCCGGACTAGGCGCTCACCGTTGGCGGGCGTCCCATTTCAGGAAGCTGCACCAGCATTCAATGCTCAACCGACCAGACCCTGGTCGCTCTTGCCTCCTCTCCGCAACCTCAGCTCCAAATCGCTGTCACCTGCTCAACTGGTCACGACAGCCCTGCTGCGCCGGCGACTGGGAGCGTCCTCGGTTGCTTCTCCCCTCGTCCTCGGAACAAGCCAATACGTCTCGATATCAAGAAGCGATGTATGGCCAACCTCGAAAGCCAGAGCAGGCCAGCATCGCGCCGTCAAGAGACGCACAAGCAACCCACGGTCAACTACTATGGCATGTGCCCAAAGACACTTGCGGCTCGGTGCAACAAGAGCTGGCCAAGTACTGACATCATTCTATCAGCCTCAATTCCAATTTCCTGTCACATGTCATAGGCACAGTCGCAAGGATACACTCAATCTGCTATGCTGAACGGCGGTGCCTATAGCCTGATAACGCACCATGCAAAGGGCCCTGTCGCCGCGCAGGTGTGCTGTATGCTTGCTGCTCCGCCCACGCGTCCCACCGTCGCCGCCAGCCGGGGCCTAAAGGTTGTTGTCGAGCCAGGTTTCCCCGCGCGAAACTGACGAGCTGTACCGGCTTTCCTGCTTGTGCCCCTGTCCGCCGCCAGGCTAAGGCATGAAAGACGCCAATTTCACGCGCAGCTCTCGTCCCCTGCACTGCGCTGCATCACCAAATACTTCACATACGGCACATTATGTCCCTAATCGTGCAAGCAGTTGGCAGGGGCCCGTGGGTCTCGACTGGGATCTGGTAGTTTGTCTTGATCCCTGGACTTGGCTCATGACCTGCTCAAAGTCACTATCACCCGCGTCCGTGGCAATCATCGAAGCGGCTACGGCTCTATGAGCAGGGTCGGCATATTACGGACAAAGGACCGACGAGACGATGCACCCGTCGACTCTACATCTGAATCCTGAAGGTAGTCTAGCAAATGCTCCACCGGAACCCAGGGGCGTTGATCCTAGCTCTCAACAGAAGTGGAGGCACTCCATCTCAGGACCTCCGTACAAGTTATCACCCGAGGTTCCCCAGGAATACCCGATGGAGAGCATAGTCGAGATACGTCAAAGAAGACAAAAGTACAGTTCCTTCAAACTCAAAAACAGGCGATGCAACAATATCATGCAGCGTGCTCAACCTGCTGTGACCATGAGGGCTCCGATAGGAGCGTCGACTACTCGCAGCGGTGTATCCATTACCACACAGATAGCCTGCTTGATGGCTTTCAGCCCATAACGCCCAAAGTACCCGAGGTAGGCCATTTGAAAGTATTGTCGGGGCCATGGAGCCGTCAAGCGAAGGTGCTCAACGTCACCAGCACGCCTAACTGATCTGTCTGTCAAATTCTGCCTGAGCTAGATCACAGAGGCATTCACGCTGTCACATGGCCAGTCAGGGATGTCTTCTATACCAAAGATTGTTAAGGACATGGGGCCGCACGGTGTAGGAAGGCCCGGAACCCGACTGCATAGATACCTCGCCGAGCCGCCGAGTATCTATCTGACTAGGTTCGTATCGCCGGCCACCGGAAGCAATGTAAGAGCGGTATCTGTCACTGCAATCTAACGTATCCGTATCAGCAAGGTGACGTTTGCTTTCGGGTGATTGAATGCGGCTGATGGGGCATAGCCTCTCTAGGGGAGCACCAGCTGTAATGGGCGATGCATCAGACCGAGTTGAGCACTATACATAGTAGAAGCGCGTCACTCGTCAATGCGTGGACTTGGCGGTCGTTGCGGGCCGTGGGAAGCATCGATCAACAACAGATAAAGACTGCAGATCCGGAACGCAATGCCCGAGCTTGCAGGTTGCCAAACCCACACTCCCCTGCATACAGGCGAGTGCCAAGAAGGTACAGCGCCGGCCGACGATAGAACGTGACATCACCCCAGATGTCGCCCGGCCCTGGCTCATGGGATTGTTAGGATTTTGATTCCCGAGCCAATAGATTACATGCAGCTTTTTCGCATGATATAACAATCACCCAATAATCTATTGCGACTAGCTTATTCGTCATGGCACTGTGTACTCGGAAGCTGCAGATAACGACAATCAAACATGAATGCACCGAGACTGGGTTCTCTAGCCCTGGGGGAACATTTTGCTATCATACACAGGGTGTTTGACCATGAAGCTGATCTATCAAAGCACAGCCTTCACCATGGCCAGGTTACTTCTTCGCATACCGTCAAATCCGATCGTTGTCGAACCTTCCCACTCTAGACGCTCCTATCACCTGTCACCTGTCAAAGCCAATACCATCGTGTTATCTCTCCTTCTGCCGAGTCCTCCTCATTTCACATGTCCTTTGCGATAAGACCGCTGCCCTGTGTCCCACGGTACCACGTGTAAATCTCCCAGTCCAGCACTCCGAGCAGCACAAGCCCCAGGCCCAGATACACCCGGCCCTTTGGCGTCGAGACCAGACGCCTCCATTTGCCTGGTTGGGCAATGGTATTGGCGGCGGCGGCGGCAGATCGAGGTGCAGACTGGCTGTGCATTGTCGTCCCGCCTGTGGTCGTTGCCGACGAGTACCGTGCACGGAGCGGGAGGTTTCCGCCAACAGAGGACTGACCACGGGCAGCAATGTAGCCCAGGCCGAGGAGATTGGAAAGAGAGGTGGAGGAGGGGCTCATGATGGCAAGTATTTGAAGACTGTTTGAGAGAGACAAGAATGAGATGTCCTTCGCGGTGCTTTGCGCTGTCGTTGTAGTCTCTGTTCTAAGGCTGTTGCGTTTTTTTCTTTGTGGAGTGCGAAGGGGAGGTATTTTGGTTTTACCTGCTGGCTTGTTGCTTGCAGCTCACTGGGATCGACACCACATCGCTTGCGAGGTAAGGTTCCTTTATATAAGCCCGATCTCCCTCTTCTCTTCTCTTGGAACGGGAGGCTGGAAACATAGGGTGCCGAGAAAGTCAGTCGTTATGCCTTGTCCCATCCAAGCTTAGTCACTCTCTATGGTCTGAGTGTTTACTTGGGAAACACGCATGACGAGAGAGAGAGAGAGAGCGTTGGGCGTCTAGCATGTGTGCATGTCGGCATTAGACTAGGCAGACTAGCATGCTGGTGCCCATTCGCCAATTGGATAGTTGGAGGCACGTTTACCTAAAGTGTCATGCTAGCGCGCGCGTTATGGCGTTATGGCGTTATGGCGTTATGGCAATATCTTGGTGTTATGCTCCTGCGTTATGTTTCTGCGTCATGTCTAAATGAGGGAAATCGTTGGTTGAGTGAAATTCCGAGTGACGGGTAAAAGCTCAGAGGAACGACTGATGTCGTCCAGCCGCACCAATTCACATCCAAGTCCGCATGTTACAGGAAAATAAGCGAATTTGTTCGCTTGAGCATATCGAACGAGCCGTAGTCGCTCGTGCAGCCACCGACGATGAAAGTCTCAGAACACGTGGGAGAATTGAAGTGCGAAGCTAGTTTCATGATGATGCAGTAACGATTGGGTATTTTATAAAGACTATGTACACGTTTTCCCTATGATGCGCCGTCCTTGCATGCGAGCGTGACACCTTGACGACTGAGGAATGAGAAGAGGAACCCTTGGGGCTTAAGAACGAGGGTACGATCATGTAACGCGAGCGAGAATCCCAGGAGCAGTGCTGATGACGAGAGACAGTGGAGGATGTGAGGGTGTGAGTGGCTGCCAAGAGCAGCATGCGATGCATGACCATGTTCCTGGCCTAATGTCGACGAGGCCAGCTTTATAGCTTCCGCCGTGGGTAGAAAGTAGCCATCCAAACCTTGACGGAGCCGCCCTTGTTCAAGCGCCGACACTGGCGAAACGCTGTTGCTCAGGTTGCGGCGTCAACCGTCGCTGGATAGACGGCACCCCCACCACCCGGTCGGCCATGCGGTCTGGCACGAAATCCGGCGAAACCGAACGTACCGGATACTCGTTCGCTGGTGACGTCGGGCGCAGCAGTCGCGAGGTAACCGGCTGCGGAGCCAGGATCGTTGGAGAGGAGACGTGCTCGTACTTTTGAGGCGAGGTGGGTGGAGACTGGGGAATGCCGTTTATAGCAGTCGTCGGTACACTGGCGGCGGCAGTGGTGTCGATGGGGGTCACCTGCCGCTGGTACTGTTGCTGCGGCTGCTGAGAAGAGCCCTGGGCGCCGGTCCGGATCGCCGAGGGAAGGATTTGCTCGAAACCTTGCTGAAGCGCGACTTCTTCAATGCTCTTGAAGTACTGCACATATGACAAGGTGTTAGCTGTTGTTGCTTGACGAGTTGAGCAGTCGAGATTGCCCAATATAGCCAGTGATAGATGTCGAATGTGTCCTACCTTGACAGTCTTAACCTGCAGCTCCAAAGTCGCATCCTCATCACATACGATCATCGGATGAGGGTGAAGCTGCAGACTTGAGAGCGTCCACATGTGGTTGACGCCCTGCTCGATGCATTTCTGCAGCGCCAGGGCCTTGCGCGCGCCGATAATGATGACGACGACCTCGCGTGCCTCGAGCACCGTCTGCACGCCCACAGTCAGGGCCATCTTGGGCACCTTGGCAATGTCGTTGTCGAAGAAGCGTGAGTTGGCTAGGATGGTATCGTACGCCAGCGTCTTGACACGCGTGCGCGAGGCTAGACTTGAGCCCGGCTCGTTGAAGGCAATGTGTCCATCCTCGCCGATGCCACCAAGGAACAGGTCAATTCCTCCGGCCCGCTTGATTTTGGCCTCATATTCCACGCATTCTGCCTCGAGGTTGGGTGCGTTACCATTGAGAATGTTGACGTTTTCTGGCTTCACATTGACGTGCGCAAAGAAATTCTTCCACATGAAGGAGTGGTAGCTCTCTGGGTGATCCCGAGGGATACCAACATACTCATCCTATATTCCCGGTCAAAGCTGTTAATTGATGGTCTTGTATAGTCAACGTCCAATAAGACGCATGCGATGAGATGATGTCTGTACCATATTGAACGTGACGACATTCTCGAAAGAGACCTAAAAAGTCGCGGCAGAGACTAGTCAGTCACGATGATTTCCTATATTCAGCCACGGCCCAGCCGTGGCGGCTGACAAAAGGTCTCACAGCATGGCGAGCCATGGACGTACGTTGCCAGCCTTGTGCTGTTCGACTAGAATCTTATAGACACCCAACGGGCTGGAACCTGTGGGGAGGCCCAGAACGAAAGGGTGAGTGGGGGTTGGCTGAAAGTGGTTGATGCGATCGATGATGTACTTGGCAACATAGGCGCTCGCAGCCTCGGAGCGGTCCCGAATGATGAGCCTCATGTTGATAGGAAGGGTGGGTAGTGGACCGGAGTATGGGAGTGAGGACGCTTGTTGTTATTGGTGCTGGCAGTGGTGGTCACGAAGGCTTAAAACGGTGGCAGAGGTGTTGTTGACTACGCAGTATCAAGGGAAGAATGGAGGGAGCTCCGACATCCAGGTAGGAAGAAAGCTGACACGCTTCATATCAAGTCGTGACCCGCCGAAGGACAAGCAACGACTCGGGGTCCTTGCGATCAGCCGTCATGGTGAGTCCTGGTGGACGTTAGTGGCAACCTTGAGGCGACCACGAGAGCCAATCCACGGATGGCATGGCTGGTCTACTGGTGGGCGCCGCACGGCAAGACAGCACAGAGACAAAGCCACCGGCAGTCCATTCGGATGAAACCTTTGGACCCGGATATGATGAAACGTTGGTTTTCGGATCCACCATCGGAACCCCGACGGATTTTTTCGGTGACGCCCGCCATCAGCTACAGTCTGATTGATTCGTGTGCTGAGTGCATTTGGGCTGATAGTCATGCTTAGGGTGTGGGAGCTCTGGGGTGATGTAATCTGTTCCGGTGATAGGTGAAGCTGTGAACCATACCCTGGTACCGTGCCTGTGATTGGTCACAATATCATTCACCAGAAGCCAAGGTGCGCAATCGTGCTCCTACACTGACAACGCCGCGATAAGTATGTGGCAAAGATCTGCAGCGGAGGGATCGAGTCCTTTCCCCTCCTCGGGTGGTCGACCGAAAACCGCGCTACCGTCGGCCAAGGGCTGTCCGGCCATCTCCGGCCATTGCGGGCCAGTGCTTGTGCTTCTAGAAGACAATGGACCTTGGCGATGAACATCGTCTGGCCGAGGCAGAATGACCTAACTTGTTGACAGCGCTGCGGCTGCACACAAACAACTTCATGGAAGACAAAGATTATTCCGTGACGTGCCCATCATAGCTGCCCCGAGGAACAATTGAGTCTTCTTCGTGAGGAGCGAAGACTTTGGCAAAGCGTCCAGGGATGACAAAGCTTTCGCGCTCGTCAAGCTCATTGGAAGTCCATCAACCACGGCAAGAAACAAGCAAGGGTCGTGTCATGCCTGGACCGACCACTGTTGAAGGCTGATCGGCGGGGTCACTTGATGGCGTGGTGAGTTCATGCCAACATCGTGAAAATGGCCCAGGCGAACAGCAACGATGTAGAGGCCAATTAGAGCAATCGGCAGCAAATCCGACAGTCAATGGCGCGATTGTTGGGCGGTTCCGACGGACTGCTGGGATCTCAGCTTCTCACCGAACCCCACCTCGCTCATCTCGATCTGACAGCGACCGTCGTGAGGCTCAAAAGTCGAGGCTTCATTCAGAAAGATTGCCCTTACGGTTGCCAAGGTGCCCGAGGTGGGCCATCCCAGACAGGATTACTAGAATAAGCAGCTGCAAAGTTCTTCGTTCCGAGACTGTCAGCGTTCGGTGTAGCGGTTGACTGCTTGCCATCACGATAGCCAACTACGTCTTTATATATCAGAACAATGAAAATCCGAGTTCGACCAGGTCAGCACTTGGCTAGCAGGCACCCGCATGCCAGGACGTTGGAAAAAGTCTTGGCGAGCAGAGGTCAGAAGTGCAGGGCGGGCGGGAGGTAGTCGAGGTTGTCAGAGGAGCTCGCGTGGTGTGGCGCCTGCCAGCAAGCGCACCCTTGCGCAGGGGATGGGCCAGGGTCCATTATATGTGGACTGGAGTATCAACGAGGGATGCAGGCGTTGAAAGTGGTTGGGCGAGGATTGGTGAGGGTGAGCGTGAGCAGAGAAGCTGCAGAAGTCTGTGCCGCAGGCTGGGCAGGAGGCCCGGTTGAACCTTGTCTGCCTGCGGGTTTCATTCAGCCTACACACGAGAAGTAGACCGAAGCGATGCAAAGTGCTTTGCCCAACTCGGTCGGAAGGTGGCCTTGCCTCAAAGGTGTGCATGTCTTACACAGGAGGCTGCCGACGTCATCGTGGGGCCGGGCACGCTGGAGGTTTTGTGGCGAAGGATTGCGAGTACGGACTGCAATGATAGTAGGGGAGATGCTGGAGACTGACGGGACACGGGGGACCAGTACCAGGCCGCCTAGGAAGTAGGTGGCCCCCGACCAAGTAAGTGCCTGGCAAGGCAAGAGCGTGGCCTGGTGGGTTGCAGGGTAGCGGCCGCCTGTGGTTGGCTGCTGCCAAGTCCTCATCAGCTGTTGTCGACAATGTCGCCGCCCATCATTACAACGTTACATCCCCAGCAAGGGCCGCCGCTCCACGCGTACACACATTCGACTGTCACCAGGCCCGGCCTCTGCCCCTGAGGGCAATCGTTCAAGCCAGCCAGTCAAGCATCCAGTCTTGCAATGCCTTGCAGATCATCCAGTTCCAGAGCAGAGCACAGCAGGCGCCTATGTACAGAGGCACAGCACTGCATTGCGCTCGCTTACGCCCCCTGCGGCTGCGTCTCCCGATCTCTTACCGCTTTCAGACATGCGCCACGACTCGGCGTCCTCAATGATCAAGGTTACCAGTCAGTCTCGTCAATACTGATGATGCTGATGCTGGTGCTGATGTTGTAGCTGCTGCGGCAACGGCCCCACCAACCAGCAAGACAGCCTCATGGGCTTGTTGGACCCTTCCCTCGAGTGGCTGCGTAGATTGGGGTCTCCCCTCCATTATTCCGACAAGGCGCCGCTGCCATGTGGATCTTCGTCGATAGATGCTGTTCGTGTTATTTTTGTTCCGCCAAACGAAGAGATTTCACGGGCCCGGCCTATTGGCCATGGCTAAATGTTTTCTGCTGCTCCAGCTGGCTGGAAAAGACCACACGCGGCTCTGTTGGGCCACCATGCTGGCGTGCTCCCCAGCCGCTGCCCGCTAACTTAAACCGATACTCTAGTAACACCAAAGCCGCCGCCTCCAAGGGGCTTGGCCGCAGTCCCTGAGTCTAGCCCCATGCCGTTGTTGGTTTTCGAATGGTGCCGTCGACTGGAAGTCGTCCCGTTTCACCTCAAGGCCCTCCTCTTCCATGGTTACTTCGCGCTGCCGATCACATGTCCCAAGCGCCCATGACTACCAGACTGTCACGTTCTTGACTGCTTGCTCTTTGTTGGTGCCAGATGCTGGCATTGCTGTCGCTTTTGCGCGACCCGCCTGTCACCTCTTCGTCGACTGTCCTTGTGTCGTGTGTGCGGATCCAATCTGCCGGTCCGGCTCACGTCTTTGCGCCTGTTCGTCAATACTGACTAACACGTGCAGCCTGCAGCGTCCCTTCCCGGGGCCCCTGTCGAGTCTTCTTCGCCGGTCCGCCAGGCATCTCGATATCCGACAACAACAGATTGAGCCAAACATGTCAAGTCAGACCGGGCGCTGTGCTCTTCTTGGCTGACGCGCTCTTGACATCCAGCAGGCGGAATTCAGGGGCCTTCCTTTCCCCGGGAATCCCACGCACCCCTGGCATAGCCTGCGTCGATGACCGACGATTGCGTCTCGACTTGAAGGATATTATGCTCAGTCGGAGCGGCGTATCAAAGCCTCCTCCCGTTTGGCCGGCTATTTCCAGCGCCTATATTGGCCTCCCTTTGGCTGTCGACCCAATATCAGCAGCCGAGGCGGTAAAGAGACACCCTTACCAACCATCGGTGACATACACTGGTCCAGTCCTTCAGAGGCACTCACAAGACCTGTTATTTGCACCACGCTCCCCATTTCTTCGTCGACTCCCCGGTCTCGCCGAGGGCGAGATCCCAGGTTAACCGCTTAGCAAAAGCTTTCACTCCCATCGGGCAGTGCCTAAACACAACCCTGAAAGGTCACTTCTTACCCCTTCGCGACGCAATAACTCTTCTTCCCGGATTGGCTTCACAAGCTGTAACCATCGCGAAGCCTTTGGCACCCCGAGGCGGGTCTCTTTGGGTTTGGGGCCATCTTGTTCACTTTTCACAACCGCAGCAATTGGTTGGTCACAGCGGCACTGCGTGAGGTTTCATCGCTTGCATTCTACCTCTACTGGATACGAGAAGACCCTTTCCCTCCAGTGCAGGGCCTTTTCCAAGCACCCCCAAAGCACTGATCGGCTGCGTTTGTGGGTGGTAGCCCTCCAGGCACTTTGCGGGTCTCCAGTGTTGTCTGCCAACGGCAATGATAGTCGCCCCTCTGAAACGATCCATCCATACCCAACAACCTTCGTGGGCTGCACAAGGGCCGGCAAGCTTGTTACTTGTCGTCGCTAGCTTGTGAACGTAACCACAGAGGCCATTCCATCTTTGGAGAACTCGCAACATATCTATTCTAGCCCGGCCTGTTCTGTGTCGACCACTGGCTTCACCGTCCTTGACACCATGGCGCTGAACACCACAATGGCGACTTTCCGAAAGGCAATTTTGACCGCGCTTCAGCAGCTCCTTCGGGGCAAGTCATTCATTCAAGCCGTCCTCAGCCTCTGGGTCAGTCCTCGACAGAAAGACCGGCCTTCGTCACCAGACAACCTGTCGCCCAACTTTGTGCCCAAGTCTGCCGATCAGTTCCTGCAAGAACTCGAGGAGGCCTTCCTCGGCCGGGTACAGCATGATGGGCTAAAAGCATTATCCAACGGCCTCAAGTCACAGTACCGGGAGAGGTTACACATTGTCGGCGAGAACATGTTGCCTTCGTTTAACCACTTGCTCCCTACCGGTGGCGAGGTGGGCGAATTTCTCGCGCTCGATGTTGGTGGTTCAACACTACGTGTCGCCGTCGTCCAGCTCAGAGGTCGGTCTATGGCTGGTCGTGAGGCTGAAATTGCACGTTTGAGCTCGTTTAAGATCACGCCGGAAATCAAACAGCTCGAGGGTCTGGCATTCTTCGACTGGATGGCGGATCGGATACACGAAGTCCTTGGAGAAGACAGATCCAACGCCAAAGAAGAGATCCGGTTGGGCCTTGCGTGGAGCTTTGCCATCGAGTATGTTCTAACTCTCCTTTATCAGGAATCTCTACTAGAAGCATGGACTAACCACCTCATAGCCAAGTCTCTCCAGGCGGCGCACTACTCATGGGCATGGGCAAAGGCTTCCTAGCAACGCGAGGCCTCATGGGGCAAGACCTTGGAGAGCTCATCCGGTTCGCTTGCAAGCGAAGGGGCCTCAATGTCCGACTCGGTGCCATAGTAAACGATGGCTCGGCGACCCTGCTCTCTCAAGCATATGTGCACGATTCGACGCATTTTGGGCTCATTCTGGGCACGGGTAGCAACATGTCTGTCCACCTTCCGGTATCAGCACTCGGTCGAGCAAAATATGGCAATCGCCCCGACAGCTGGTTCGCGGCTGCGACCCACGTTATCGTCAACACGGAAATGTCCATGTTTGGCAAAGGCTTTTTACCCATGACTAGATGGGACCATCTCCTGAACGAGGAACATCCCCGGCCAGATTTCCAGCCTCTCGAACATCTTGTCTCAGGATATTACCTGGGGGAGATCTGCAGGCTTGTGCTGGTCGAGGCGATACAGAGTGTTGGAATCTTTGGCGGCGAGATCCCAACTTCCCTTGAGAAGCCATACTCGCTCGACACAGCGACGGTATCGACACTAGAGAGGTGAGTAATTGGACGGGATCACATCAGGAATTCACGGGGCATAGGCTGATATCTTGCTTGTAGTGACACCACGCCAACTCTGGAGACGGGGCTGCCATACTTCCTGTCACATCACGCTTTCCCGGCTGAGCCGACACTCGAAGACGTCCAGTTCTTAAGGACGATAGCAACAATGGTCTCCCGCAGAGCCGCTGCTGTCATTGCCACGTGTGTTTTCTCACTCTGGGAGCTACGACATGAGACAGAAGCCGAGGACCGCTTGAAACAGGAAAGTAAGAGCAAGACCATCGCTCGTGGAATCCGATCAATCTCTTCCTCCACCATACCAAAGAGTATGACACCATCTACGGATGAGCAACGTGCCGCAATCGAGACTCCACCAACGCCTCCAGAAGACAAAGATATGTTTCCCCTGCCGACTACACAAGCAGATGGGATCTCACCAGGCACGAACCCAATCTCCCCGTCATCCGCGACACAATCCTCCCCCTACCACGCCACCGTCGCCTACAATGGCTCCGTTATCGAGCACTATCCAGGCCTTCGGGCGAACTGCCAAGCTGTCCTCGACGACCTCGTCCGCTCCAGTAGCATCTACAACGGCAAGGGCTCCGTAGAGCTCGTGCCCACCAAAGAAAGCTCGCTTCTCGGTGCTGCCGTGGCACTAGCCTGCGTGACCGAGGAGGAGATCAAACTCGCCGCAAGTGCCGGTGCGGCTGATGTCACGGGCATTATCGCAGCATAATGATGGTGCTTCAAACGGAACGCCCGAGGTCACGTTGCATTTCAAGTAGATACAGACCTTTCCTGAAACGACATGATGAACGCTACAAGCCAATCTTTGACAATATTTGCACACAAATCAAGAATAAACGGCGGGGTCGAAGATAGTTCAAGGCGACTGTAAGTTGGTCTGGGTTCGGCGGCGAGGATGAAGCCAAAAAAAAGCGCAATCGGGACATATCTCGATGGCCTCGTTATGGAACGAGCCGGCAGCTAATCTTCCTCTGCATTATTTTCTTTTATCTACATCTTCTTTTGTCATCTCTGATTGCATCTTGGCGAGCGGACTAGTCGCCATTTACTTGTACATAATTACTATTCTTAATCCACGCAAGAAGGGCCATTCAGATATCTTGGTCTCGAGTCCTTGAGCACACTCGGTCCGTCCAAGCATCTGACATTACGCCCACCGGCGTTAACACACTACCACTAATTCGCGACAGGATCTTATTTTGCGCTGGCACGGGCAGGGTTCAGTGGGAAGCCGGCACACTTCTCCGTCCAGCAAGCATTGCGCCACAGCACCCGCCCAGCCTTCCCGTTGCGCTGCCCAGCGGCTGTAGACTGGCAGACAAACTTCATTCCGACTGCGAACATCGCTTTGATTCGCTGTTTCTTCTTCCTCTTCTTCTTCTCCGCTCATGCGTGGAGAGCAGGTGCACACGAAGTGGCCCCCCTGGCGAGAAGTAAGACGAAGAAGAACAAGAAGAGGAGACAAGAAACGTTACATGGGACGAGCTGATATCCGCCCGAACCACCGGGGCCGGCCCGCGTCGTCCAGCACATTCAATGCGGGAGACCCTTAGCGGCTGGCCAGCGCTGCAAGTGGATTGGCTACTTTTAGATAAAAGTCCCGGCTTCTGGAAGCGGGAAGTGCACCTTTTACGAGAGCGACGGGATTGGTGAAAGACAAAACAGCGCGCGGTCGCGCTGATGTCGCGTTATTCGGTATGCGTGTATCGATGTTGGCTCCCTCTGTCTCTCTCTCTCACACACACACGCTCTGATTCTCTGGTGTGGGTGTGGATATTACAACCTGAGCGAGCGCCCCCCTCTCTCCCTCTCTCCCGCCGTGTGCTACGTTGGTCCGCAAAACATGCGACGGTGCTGTAACCATTGCAAATTTCTGCTCCACATGATGATGGGGTCCTTCCTGGCTGGACCCCTTCGGCGATTATTCGACCCTTGGTAAACAATGTTCCGCATTTCCCAGGCCCCAGCCCGCACCTCGTCTCGTGGAAAATAGACTTTCTCGAAAAGTGTTTTCGGGCATTGTCGCGCTTTCACAAGTGGATCGCGATATCGGGACAGAGGAGCCAGTCAGCCGGGACGTGTCTGCCGAAGGGAGGTGATGCCCGTGCGTGCTTGTGCTTTGCCAGATGTCATGTTGCATTTCGTTTCGCTATATGGTGCACCCTTGTAGTGGTAGCATGCATGCAGGGTTCCCGGCAGTTGTGGCCCAAAACTCTTTCACTCCAGCAGCCGGCGGGGTCAGTGGATGATGGCTGGATTGTGCTGCTGGTATGTAGCCACGAAGAACAGAGGTCCCGGGGACTGACTGCTCTGGCAAGTCTGCCCAGCATCACTATCAGAGGGAAAATTTCCCCCAAGGTCCTACGGCGCAGCTGCGGCTCATTCGAGATGCCGATGGTACTGCGCCTCGCCCTGCTAGCTTTGGTTAAAGATGCCTCATGGTCAAAGCTCGAAGCTTCAAAAGACTCGAAGGCAGATCAAACCTACACTACATGCGGAGTATTTACCAACCAGATTCAAAAAGGCTCCCACTTCCAATGCTATTTCAACTTTCGAGGCACGCTCTCCCCGATTGCGAGTTATCCCAATTTGTACTGTTCAAGATGTCAATATCACGAAAATGACCAAGGCGATTTGCAGCAGTTGGCTCGACATTGGTACAGAACCTTTGGGCAAGGCCGGCCCATATAGCTATCTCTAGGAACCTGGACAGCGACGGCTTCTGCTTAGCCAGATCCCCAAAGTCCCCGAAAAATCAGCCCGACCATCTGGAAACAGCCCTAACCATTGACAAAGAATTGCCAGTTACCACTCTTGTCCACAAGCAAACAACAGAAGGTGAGCCCACCTCTTTATCAAGCGCCAGCGTTACACATGAGCAAAAAACGACAAGGTGAATGATGGCATAGGCCCCTCCAAAAAAAAAAAAACACCAATGTCGTCAAAATAAAGACTTGCAGCCCCAAACAACCACGCGGCCAGCCACCTCCACCAGATGTGGTTGGTCCACGCCCTGAAGCAAAGCAGCGGGATGGATTCACATCCCAGCAAGCAAAGCCCACTCTCTATACACGCAACCGCCAACCACAGACACATACCCCGAATCCTCCAATACACCTACGTACTAAGGGGCCGGGCCGGAGCCCCAGGAATCCCGCCATCATCAGGCGTGGCCCAATGGCAGCGCGGAGAACAAGGGTCGGGCGGCCGGAAAGGGTAAGAAGAAGAAAGAAGAGAAGAGACGAGAGGTACTCAATGATGGCCCGTGGATGGATTAGCACGGCGCGAACATTGAGCACATATATCGTCGGGTCTTTATCTGGGTGACCCTATCTCGCAGAGGCCTGAGCTGATTGACTACCCGCCCGCTGCTCGTCTTCCTGAAGCAGACGCAAGGAAACTGGTTGATGTGATCTTTCCCCCCTCTCGATTTTCAGAAATCTTCAACGCGAAGCCACAGCGAGCTGGAAGGACATGTCAGTTGCTTTTGACTCTCTTGCATCTATAGCGGAGTCAAGAATTGCCACCAGATCGATCTGAGGGACACCTGTTCATCCACAACTGCCAGTTTCACGAAAATAAGGATCGGCGCCTTATGATTTGCTTTTTTACCGGTACTACCCTGCGAATCCCTCTTTTGAAGGTGAGCTTCAACCGTAACGCGTAAACCTTCCTCAGACATAAGCTTTCCTCAGATCGCGAGACAGTCTGATGTACAAACACTGCATGTGACAACAGCGGGTGAATCGTACCAAGCTCCCAAAAATACATCAAGAACAGATCCCAGCCGGTCCTGGTGGGTATTCAGCCGTTCCAAAATAACCCATCGCTAGCGCCCTTTCAAACTCCTCGAAAAAGACTACCACAAACCCAGCCAAACTAAAAGAGAGCATAAAATCATACAATATCCAGCCCATACCAATATAGAACAAATCAGTCTGCTGAGAAGTAGCGTTTCGCCTTACTCCTAATGGCTTGTGCTTTGATTTCTTGGGGTATTGCGATGTGATGTACGATATGCGGGCGGTATACCGTATCCACAAGGGGTGTCCTGTATTTGTCTCTGTCAGTGGCCTGATTCCTGGAAACAAGACAGATGCAGATCCAACACTAACCAGTCATCCAGACTCAAGGGAAAATATTCGTATAGCAGGTCGTCCTCTTCCACGGGACTCCCCGCCCGCGGCTGCACCGAGTTTGTTCTATTCACTCCAGGACTGGTCAGGGCCTCCGAGCCGCTCTGGTTATGAGGACTTCGCTCATCTTCAGAGAGCGATAGATTGATCGGCATGGTGGGCGCTGGCGGAGTGGTCTTGTTGGGCGTCCTATGAACGCTGGGGTTCCAGGCTGGAATCGGCGGTCTGTTCATGTTGGGAGAGATGGCGGCTCTCTTGGCTGAATGCGGTTGTGATTGGTATCCTGCTTGAGCGGCGCCCCATTCATTTGACGACGGTGGAGGAATGACAATATTCCCTGGTGCTTGGTAACGATGCAAGCTAGAGCCCGAGTTTGCTCGCTCAGTCTTGAGGTTGTGCGGAGCAGTGCTGCTGCTCACATCGCTGGTAGAACGCTCACGCTCAGGATGCGCCGGCGGGTGTGGTTTCTTGTCGCCAGTCAGCGGCACGTCCTTCTTGCTGTCGAAATTGCGCGGACTTCGGCCGCGGACAATGACGGGGCCGCTTTGGATCTCGGCGATCTTGACGAACTCATTGGTGCCCTGTATTCTGCCGAGAAGACTGATCAGGACGACATAATGCTGTTGGAGACCCTTTCGCCGCCCGTTGTTCGCAGTGGCGCTCTTGAATTGCAGGCGCTTCCACGATACTGGAATGCTGACTCGGTGGCCGTCAATCTCTTGACCGCTACTGGGATCAAGCGCCATCTTGGGTGGTGCGCTCGCAACCTTGGTCTCCTGGCCGTCTCCAAGGGCGGGGTTGTTGCTCTTCCAGGGGATTGAGATTATCTCGGTGGTCTTGCCCTCAATACTCTCCACGGCAGAGACGGATGCCCAGAAGTCGTCGATTGGGACTTGCCTGCCCTGCTCGTTCAAAACTTGTGTGCAATGCCTCGGCATCGTGATCTGACCCGAGCACTGCCATAGATTTCGGCGGTAGCAAGTGAGCTCCAGCGGCCTTCCTGTCGTCTCCCCACCAAATACGTCCTCGGCGACGAAGAACATGCCATAGAGCTCCGCAGACATGAAAGGCTCCGAATAGGCGCCTGTGGTATCGTCGAGGGGCGAAGCCTTGACGGCCGTCACCGAGAAGCCCAGGAGCTTGTCATCTGGCTGCTGCGGCGGGGAGTCGTCGTGGTGGAAGTCCTCGGCGCGCGGCGCCACTTCGTACGGTCTAGGATATGCAAACGGATCTTCAAACGTGGTTGCGAAGTTGTCGAAATCATATGTCGGGGTGAACGGGACAGGACCCAGGTTGCCATTGACGCTGCCGGCCAGGTCAGTGAAGACAGCAGCAGGATGGGCGGGCCGCCCGGCGGTGGTGGAAGGGACTTACAGCAGTGCCTCGTCAAAGGTGATGTCCTGCTCAAACTGATCCATCCCCAGTGCTGGGTTGTGCATCCCGTTGAGCACCATCGTGTCCGCCATCATTGGCGCGGCCATGGGGTTGAAGGTCGCCATTGCACCACCCAGGCGAGGTACACCAAATCGTCTCGTATTCGCGGGCAGCCGTGGCCGAGGTGACGCGGTCGTGGTCTAGCAACGGGGCTCGAATATGCGGATGCGCGGCGAGGGTTGTTTGCGCAATGCGGGAGCTGCGCGGAGGGTGTGCGGGTGCGGGTTTGTGGCAAGCAGAGGTATCGTGCGATATGGGTGGTGGTGGTGGTTGTTGGCTTGGTGGTGGAGCGAGGCGCTCATGGGGAAGGTGACGGTGGTTGAGAAAGGGCGGCTACCAAGTTTGGGGAGAGAGCGTGTCGATCGCTGCTGCTGGCTGAGGGCACCTACAGCACGTTCACTAAGCTGGCGGGGTCAGGGACCGATTGGGCCGGGTGCGAGCGAACACGGCGAGTATAAAGCTGATGGCAGTTGATAGCAGCGGCCCAGCCAGAAGAGATAAGGGCCGGCAAGCAGGCACCGGCACAGCAGCTAGCACAGCTGAGGGACGAGGCGAGGCGAAGCCACGGCATGCCAGACGATGCAGATGCTCAGCAGCAGCGTGTCATGTCATGGCCGAGATGTCAAAAGAGGCCATGGTCACGTCCGCGATGGAGCCATTCCTTCGACGGTGCGTTGCTTGCGATGGAGACCTCACCTGGGTGTGGTGTGGTTCTCGCCGTCCCAAACAGGCCTGCCATCACCGATCAGGCGATGCCCGCACGCTTGATTTGTCTCGTGCTGCATCCTGGAGCCGCAGCATCCCGACTCATCTCTCCTCGCAGCCAGCGAGCAGTTGTTTGCTTGCAGGCGGTTCCGAGCTCTGGGGGCAGAGGCGCCGGCCGCTTCAGGTATGGAGCCCGCCCGCCCGGGGAGACTGGGCCAGGCTCGCGGCCGAGTGGGGATGCCAGAACCCACCTCCAGGGTCAACTGGTTGGGGTCCTGCCCGCTGTGGGCTGTGGTACCAGGCGGTACCTCGAGTACCTGCCTCGGGGCAACCACGCTAGTCCACACCTTAGTTGTCCGCCCGCATGCGCCTTCTCCATCCTCAACGACGACTCTATCCAGCACGTTTTCAACCGGGCACCCTCCACCATTCTTACGTGAGCTCCTTCGCAACAACCCTGCCGCCAACTCGTCGCGAAACAACTACCCTCGTCCATTGCTCTTCTTTCTCGGCCGCTGTCATAAGCCCCTGACTTCTGCGCTGCTACCCGACCCCCGGCCTACTCCACGCAGCATGGTTCGCACGGCGGTCTTGTCTTCTTCCAAATTGTCAAAGGACCCGTTTTGGTTCTGACAATCGAGATACTGTAGATTCTCGATGCTGTCCTGCATTCCTGTCACAGCGTCGAACCCTCTCGGCTCGCCATGATTAGTCTCCCACGTCGAACATGGGACCGTGTGTAGCCTTAACGCCACCTGACGGGGTTACAGTCAGTAGCACTGCCATGCCATCGTTGCTACAACACTCTGGTCAACTAATCCGTCCTCAATCCTGGCAAGCCCCTCTGAGGATCCGGCAGCTCTCGTAACGCCTCAAATCCTTCCTCGCCCAGGGCCATGGCCAATCAAGGACCGTGATGAGGATCATTTGTCATGGCTGGTTGCTGCGGACGCTTACCTCGTCGCTCTTGATATCTCACTTCAGGATCTTGATAGACTTATGATGGCCACGCCTAACAACTTCTCATGGTCAACAGCTTCTTCAAGCCCATCTCATCTGGTGGCACACTGCAGAATGCGGCTGTTCGGGTATGTTTGGGGGTCATCTCTAACAATCCGCTTGGCCCTGCTACATTCACTGCAGCAGGCCGGCCCTTGCGGGTCTACAGACACGCTCCTTCTCCTCGCTCCTTTTCAACATCTGGTCCATCTACCGAACTCCACGAGAGGCACATCTTGTAACGGCTCTAATCGACACCCCTCCCCCCTTCGTGATCTAAGCAAGCCAACTGCAGCCAAGTGGATTCGGTGACTGTAAAGTGGCACGCTGCCGTGGAGTGACGCCGGGCCCCAATCCCTCCGATCGTTTCCATTCTGTGTCACTAGCCCGAATATCTCCGGACTGAGTCTCTCACAGAGGTGTCATATGTTCTAATGGCACATCCGGATGTGTCTTAACAAGTTTGCCATTCTTTGAGAGTCCCTTTCATATGTATTGATGTAATACATGGGAACTGGGAAGCAGCAACGTCCAGTGGTCACTCCCTCGACCTCGTTGTTGATATTGGTGCGTCTCTGGACTTTTGATAAGAGTCGCCTTCTTCTTCCTTGCACTTGGCACGACATACTCGCTTAGTGGTCCCTAAATGGCAACTTTGCCAGTGTTTCTTGTATCGACCATTTGCTGACATTCGGCCAGCCCCAAATTTGGTAACAATCCCTTGACTACCATGAGCATTGGGCTATATCTCGCAACTACCTCTATCATGTCACAAACCGGGGGCATAACCACTTATGCACGGCGCTAAGTCAATTCTGACGAGGTCCATGTAGCGAGGCTGGTGTGGTTGTGTGTGAGGTTGTATCGAGTCAGTTACTGGTCAGTTACATTTCGCACCTCGAACCGTTGATGTGGTCCACCATCCAGGTAGCATTCACTCCTGCTATGGACACTCACTCGGCGTGATTCTACAGCGCCGCCGTGTTATCCGTCTGTGGTAAAATTCACGCATCCTTGCTGGCCACGTTGCAGGCTTTGTGCAGAGCCGTATTCGTTTCCACGACATTCTCCGTATAACCGGGAATTCAACTCCCTTGTCGCTTTCCTCCTTCCCGAGCAAGTGCCATGTCCAGACGCCCGGTACGAACGCCAGATCTCCCGAATCAGGATGTGGCATAGGTCTCAAAATTTCACTGGCTGCTTGTACTACGTGCATGACCTGAAAAGTTTTGGTTTACGCCGTCGCGTAATTCCTGTATGACTTGATTTTTGAAGCGAATCAACGGCCCCGATTCAGCTGATTGCCACGAGAAGCCGCCTGAGCCATCTGCTGACAAGAAACCAGCCTCCCTGCCTTGACGTCGACATGGTGATATGGCGGCTCCATATTTCGAATTGCCAGATATCAGACCAACTCTGAGTTTCTTTGGAGGTAACCATGCCACTAGACACGACAGCAAAATTGGAGCATGTAACGACTGGTGTCTCAAAGATCGCGATGCGATCCTGAGCGTGTCGGTGGAGGAAGAGGTGGCGCGCGGTGACTCCATAATAAGAAGTGCCCTGAAGTGATGCCTGGATTCGCCGTGAGCCACTACAAAGAAGCCTGTTGAGGCATCTTGTGCGTGTGAATGTTACGTCCCCCACAAAATTGAGTTCTGTGCCTGCAGACTCTTATGACGTCTCGGTATCACCCAAGTACGTGACCGTCACGCTGCTTTCCGCCTATGCCGCAGCTGAAAGACGTTACAGACGCTAAGGCTGAGCCAGATCCCTAGCAATAGCATCGGTGACCTAAGATCTGATAGCCAGCTGGTGATGGCAGGCGGGCGAGCTGAGAGGGGTATGCCATATGTCAGGGGCATAATGCCCGTTTTTGGAGTAGGTCTATAGAGCTTTCAGGGGAAGGATTCCTTATGTGACATGTAGAGGAAACAAACCCTCTTCCCCTCCCCCCTTCCCCCTCGGTCCCGGGTCAACGGAACACATTTTGGGTTACCATTTGCCTAGTTGAGCGACGTTTGACATTTCTTGGCATCCGCCAGCATACATCGTATGGCTACGAGCTCTTTGTAGCCAGCTCCAGCCCTGCCTAGCTGCTGCAGGACTCATAGGCGAGGATATAGCAGAAAATAGCGGCCATCATCCTGGTTCGGGCATGGCTGGAGTACAAGTCCTTCGCCTTGGACGCGTGACTTTGCAGATAAGGCCCGATCCTTCGTACTTCGATATCTGAAGGCCAATCACTTTAAGCAGCCACACTGTCAGTTGGGTTGGGCCAAAGGCAGGCAGGGTCCTGGTCTAGGCCCCGTCCCCATCCTCTGTATTTCCAAGCCTCCACTCTGATGGTGGCCGTAGCGCACGCCGGGGTGCATTGAGTGCCAGCGGGTAAGAATAACCTTGTCTTCAAGCTTACAACTGGCCCGGCCGCAGCCCGTAAAAACGCCGCCTTTTCTTGCCAGGGGAGGCAGCGGCTGCTGCTGCTGCTCCTGCACTAGCGCGCGGCGGAAGAAAACCATCGGCAGATGTGGTTCGTTCTTCAGGGCCAAATCCTCTTCTGACAGGGATCTTCTGCGTGTGGCGGGCAGGCAGGCGGCGGGATGGGATTCGCCCTCAGCCACCGCCATCGAAAGCAGCCCCAATCTCATCTCATCTCATCTCATCTCATCGCGCAGCCCGGATCATGCCGCCGTCCCCCCCCCTCTTCTCTGCAGGGGTCCCACGGATTGCAGTGTGTTGAGACCGGCAGCAGGAGCAGGAGCAGGAGCGGCACCAGCGGGAAAGTCTCCCATGTGTTCCTCTTTGGCTATTATGCAGCCCATCTGTCCTTTTGTGTCCTCGAACCGGCGATCTCGATCCCATACAAAAGCTCGCGGGTTTTCCCCCGAACACCCTTCCATAGAATCCTTTGCCAGCCGTCTTGCGGAGAGAGCGAGACTGAATGAAGCCGCCCCGGCCGGCCGGCCCAGTCGCAGGTCAGCCTTTCCGAAACCCACGTCATTCGGCGGCCGCTGCCGCCGCCGCCGCCGCCGCCAACGTCGTCAACATTCCTCCGGCGCGCCACCTCTCCTTACGCGGTGCCTACACACATCCGGGCGCGGAAGAACAGCCCTGACTAAAAGTCACGCCGGATACTTTGTCCTATTTCAAGGTTGTGTAAGCGAGCCGGGGGGGGGGGCATGGGCTGGGAGGAAGAAGGCAGAACCCGCGATGGGCACATCTTGCCCCCCCCCCCCCCCGTCGGGGCGGGGCGAGGCAGCACCGCTTCTTCATGGCCATTTCCCCGAGACTGGGCGACTTTCCCATCCTGCCCCATGACCGCACTTGGAGAAACTGCATGGGGGGACATGATGTGTGTGCCGCCACTCTGTGTGGTGGGAAAGTGGCATTTCGGCTCTTTTCAGCACCGCGGATCGGAATCCTTGAGGGTTAAAAACGGACAGGGCCCCTCTGGGAGTTAGGTCTGCCATGTTTTTGTCATCCAAGGTGCGTAGTAAGTAAACACTCTTGCGGCGTGTGTACATTTATGTACCACCCTTTCGTGAGGCTCCGTGAAAGGAAACGCACACAAGGCAACCTCATTCAGGCACGCCTGCGTGGCGTGACTGCTACGTTATCGGCTCCGAAGCATGACTCGCCTGGCAACAGCATATAATTAGGAGATATCCCCATACGAGCAAGAGAAGACGAGGCAAGAAAAGTACACTGGCGGACCGAGTCGGCCAGCATCCAAGAAAGTTACCGGTACTTCGAAAAGCTCATATTGGTACCTTGAACGACGAGAAGGATCGACAAGGGTGGCAGGGGCGGGTGCGCAAAGGTAGACATCCGAGAACGTTCGAGCTCATGCGAGACACACAGTGCCAAAAGAGGACATCTGCCGTATCTCATGTACCCTATTTTGGAATTCCAGGGGGCTCTCTTCCTTCCCCGGGCCATAAGCAAGACAGGCAGGTCTTGCTTAACCTGCCTGTCTTGCATGCCGGACGTCCCGGGGAGGAGGAGGAGGAGGAGGGAGCTGGCGGCACCAGCCAGGGCGGGCATTTGGTATCAACTGTGAACTGTGTGTCGACCCGGGTACTTCTAGAACGCTCGGAAACCCGGGGCAAAAGGCCATGCTCGGACGAAATCTGTGCTCATCATGCTGACAGATTTAGCCTTTATCGAATTTTCGAATCTCACATCCGAGGGGAGTAAACGCGGAGGTCCAACCACGTTCAAACGAATAATACCGCGTAGCTTGCGAGTAGCCCTTCTGGGGGAAGGGGGTGGGTGGGCTGAAGCCCTGTGTGTGTGTGTGTGTGTGTGCGTGTGTGTGTGTGTCCGTAGATAAATTAGTACATACACATGCATTTTACATGCATGTAATGCAATGTGAGCCCGCGTGCTCTCATATAGGCAGGTCGAGCTATATGAGCTCACTAGAACAGCTACCGAGCCCGCGCCGGGGCTGTCCTGCCAAGCATCCTCGCGGCTCTTCTTTGACAAAGAATACAGCCGAGGCGGGGCATGCCTGCCTGCCTGCCTGTCTGCCTGCCTAGTCTACCTGCCTCTTGTTTCTCTGCCTTACAGAAGAACCCTGAGCCACGGCACATGCGCGGCACAGGCGCGGGTTTGTTACCCGGGCTGCGTCGCTTTCGTAAGGGGAGAAAGACAGGCATACATGCACGTTGGCCGAATGCCGTGCCATGGTGACATTCCCAGGGCCAGGCCAGCGAGCTCCCCCCGCGCAATACCGCGAGGCGAGCTGGAAGCAAAGAAAATAGACAAAGAGGTGCCGAAAGCGGCCGAATAGCCGGGGAGAGACTAGAAACAGACAAGCAAAGTGGCAGGGTGGTTAACAAGACGGCTGGCCAAGCAAGATTCTCACACACCACCTCCTGGACCTAAATTTAAGCCTCTGTGTTAATCCTCCACTCATCCTGGCCGTGTTGTCCGAGCGAGTGGGTTCCGGAGACGGGGCTGGTCAGCGCCGCTCGCTCTCGTGTAAGCCCAAGTGCAACATATGAGCAATACCGTCGAGTTTATAAGTCGAAATAGCAATAGTGTGCCGTTCTGCCAGAGCCTTTAACTAGCAACGGGCTAGACTAGAGCTCGGAACAATGTACGACAAGAATGGTCCGTCCACCTCGAATTGCCAGATCAGCACGAGGTGAACAACCGTCAAAACCACTCCCTGGCGCGCCGCCGCCCCCGCAGTCCGCCGGTAACTAATCCCGCGAACAGGGGGGGTTTTGAACGTTGCCCCTGGCAGGGGTGTGCCTCTCGAAGGTCTCCAAGGAAGGCTTAAACTGGGTCCGTGCCTTTGTCAACTCGAGTCCTCATAGGACTAGGAGCAAGATAGACGCTTGGCGCTTCTTTTTATGTCCAGTCTCGGACTTTCTCCACCTCAACTCTCCTCACTAAACTTTCGGACTGTGCCGAGTGGGCGGTATCTCGTGCAGGGCAAGAAGAAGCTTCCAAGGCCGAGAGACCAGGAACAAGAAAAGCATTGCGAGAATAAACCTGGTCAAAGGCGGCAATACTGGATAAACAAGGAAGTATCTCCTTATGGAGGGGAGAGAGAGACAGCGTGCAGGTCTCCAGCAAAGGTCCACAAGCAAGGGTGACAGACAACAAAGGCGCGCCGCCATTGCCGACTTGAATTTGGCCGCCCGTGCGCCGAAACACATGAAGTAGCCGTACGGTCTGGGGCTAACAGTGCAGCAACAAAGAAGACGACCAGGTACAGAACGGTAGACAGCTAGGCAACCAGGCAGGCGATTGGGCAAGTCGGAGGCGGCCGCAAGAGCTACAGGGAACCCTCTCCTTCGAATCCTTTGCCAAGAATTCAGGATCGGGCACCGGCGCCCTATTTGTGCTGCTGCATACGTTGACTTTTGGGGGTCCAACGTGGGTCCTTGGTCTGTTGCTATTGGGTTTGTGCTTGGGGATAGTTGGAGTTTCTTCGGGTCCTAGTCACCTGAGCGAGATGCGATAAGTCTCAGGATGTCAAATCATGGTCCCTACATTTCCCGGGAGGACACTGCGGGGGAGAATGACTCTATGATTGCACGATCCATGCCTCCGTGTAGAAAACGTGGTAACGCCATCGGGTGCCCTAGCAGATGGGGTAAGGAATGGCGAGACCTCGCAATGGCAGGCACGCCTGACAGTCGTCGTGCGGCATGGCCTGATCCGGCCAGGTCAACTTTGAGACTCGGCGACGACGCCACCACCGCCCTGCTGAACGGCAAGGCGGATGACCTGACTGCGGCTTCGATGAGAGCCTGCAGCACCGAGAATCCTTCTCCTGCATGCTTGGGCCCCGATGCGGCAGTCGATAACCCTCTTGTGCGGAAATCGTGTCTGACAACACATTCACAAAGAGCCATGTTTGCCAAGCGGCGTGCAGAGATCTCGATCTTCTAGAATCTCGCTAAATCCTAAAAGCTAGAATTCGCCCAATGGAAGCCTAAAAATGGAAGAAACAGAGTTGCGCACATGCCTCGTAGGATCGTTCATCTCGGGGAAACTCCGAAACTCCACAACAAAAGAACGCTCCGACTGGCAAGTAGGATATCCCTCAAAAAAGAAGCAGCGTCGGATCAAAACTGTCGGGTGAGGCTCGTGCGCCTGACCCCTGGGAATTGCTCAGAAGCCAGGGAAGAAGAACCAGTGCAACCACCTAGGAGATTATAGGACAAGGAGGAAAAGGGTAAAGCTACAGTCATACATCGACCCACTGCCATTTCCTGCGGTCAGCCTTCTCTCTCAATCCGGGATGACGCAAGTGTGGGTGCTCATGTGTCAACTTACATTCTCGGCCGAGTTGGAAATCTCGTCAAATGTTTGCGTAATGTGGAAACCCATGCTGATGAGTGGTTCCACCGCGTCGTCAAGTGCCTGTCGTAAGCTGTCAGTTAACTGTGACGCGGATCGAACGACAAAGCCAGACTTACCCAGCTGAGCACACTCTTGGACATCTTCTGTGCCTTGTTCTGACGCACAGCCATCAGGATCAAACCTTGCAGTACTAATGTCGATTGAGATGACAAGGGTACGACTGGTGCGACGATGCCACCAACATCCCCACTCATGCCTGAGGACAGCATTGGTACGTAAGCCGAGAGATTGCTACCGGCCCTGCAGATGACGACGGTTCCCAACAGTCCGTCAGCCTGGTCTTTGGCCCGCACAACGCCACAAGTCTTCGTCTCCTGGAGGGCAAAACGGTAGAGCTCGAGGGTCTCTGGACCCGCATTGGCTGCAACATGTGCCAAGACTGACTCAGCGTTGTCCAAGCCATGGATCAGGTCGAAGCTGATGCTGGCCCGCTGGATGCTGGGGAGCAGCCCTTCAGGCGCAGACCAGCTACCAAGGTCCTCAATGGCTAGGTTGGTCAGGCGGCGAGTGAGCTGTGTCTCCCAGCCCACGTTGGAAAACCATTCCCTCAGTCCCGCGCCCTCGTCCGAGGGGACTCCAGGGAAGAGACCAGGGAACGAGAAGCCGAGTTGAATTCGTTGGATGCCAGGATATGATAGCAGGGCTCTCACAGCGCGACGATGCAGACTCCGGCCAATGGAAACATTGCGTTTCGAAGGGTCGACGAACAATGCGCCGAGGCAGCCAGTGCCATGAATGAAGTATGTTGCAGCAAAGCCGTAGAGCGCGCGAGTGCTGCTGTTGCGCACGACGAAATGCCGCTCCTCAATGTTGGCGTTGAAGACCTCAAAGGTGTGGGCGCTGGACTGCGCATATGCAATATGTGATGTGCTTGCCCTGGCCAGGCTTTTGAGGAGATCATCGAGACCTCGGCTATCCCTGTCACGCTGGAATTCCTCCACCAGCCACTGCTGTCCCTTTTTGGAGATCTTCTTGCTCTTGCGCAGAGTTCCAGGCATGGAACCCTGCGGGGAGTACTCGCCGTACAGCGCGCGCACTAGTGACTGCATAGCCGTTTCCGTAAAGTCAAAGGTGCAAATGTAGGTACCGATCGACTTGTCCATGGCAAAGTCGTATGGCGAGCTGACGGCCACGACGACCAGGGATTTCTTCTGGCCAGTCGCTTTGAGCATAGTGCACATCATGGCCACATGCTTGGTGAAGCCCGCCTGGTACAAATTTCGATTGGCATCTGCCGTGACAATGACTATAGCGGAAGCACGATTGATGAGGTTCTCGTGCACTGTGATGGGTCAGCAATGATACAACTGATAGCACAAGCGGGGAAGTCTTACCAGGGCGAAGCCCATTGGCTGTGTATGACGTGTGAAGAAGCTTCCCGTTGCGCGCACGGGCAAGCGATTTCCCGAGTTCTCGAAACACACCCTCTCCACTCATCACTGCGCCTCTATCTCCATGAACCCATTTGTCGTGGGCTGACATGGGTTTTGACGCCGCTTGCTCCTGCATCCTCTTTGTAGCCGCTGAGGCTGGCAGTGGCTTGACCAAGGGCGTCAACAGTAGTAACTCTTCTTCTTGAAGTAGACTCTTGCCCAAAGGTAGGAGGTGGTCTTTGTCCCTGACAACTGTGATGGACTTTTCGTAAGCTTGTCGAGACAACGCAAGGTGCGATGGGTGGATTTTGGATAGGAGCGAAAGCCCGGGAGGATTGAGAGCCTGCTGCCAAGACGTGCACATGCTCTTCATGCGCAGCACGCGGCGGAGCGACGTCTGCAGGCGCTCTTTCGATATGATGCCATTCTCGATACCAAGCTTCAGACCCGAGATTGCTTCGAGTTGTACGTCGTGAGCTCGGCACAGGAGGACGAGATCATTCCCGGCCTCCACAGCCATGACTGTACCACCTTTGACACCATATTCCTGTATCAACGACTCCATCTCTAGACATTCAGAGATTGAGACACCGTTGAAGCCTAGCTCGGCACGAAGCAAATCATCAACTACCTGGTCTGAGAGACATGCATGCATGACATTCATCCCAGCATTCTGAATTCCGCAGCCACCCACGAACATGGCATCTAGTCGTCCGGTGGAGATGGCGTTGCGGAAAGGGACAAGAGCGCTGAGGCTGAGCTCCTCCAAGGTCTGCGTGATGATCGGCATATCCAGGCTGGAACCCAGAAAGTCCAGATTGCCGTACGAGGGGAAGTGCTTGCCGCAGGTTGCCAAACCAGCGTCCTTGTAGCCGTTGAGCGTCGCGATGCCGTATAGTGATGCCTCCTGTGGATCGTCACCAACAGCGCGAACGCCCAGAGGCTGATGTCGAGCATTTGTCAAGACGTCAAGAACAGGCCCAAGAATCAGGTTGACACCGACAGCACCGATCTCTGTTGCCGTTGCTTTGGCTATATTGTACGCGAGTTCGGGGCTGCCGCACGCCGCAATTCCCATGGCGCTTGGAAATTGGCAGATGTAGTCCTCGTCGAAGAGACTGTTGACACCACCGTTCTCTTGGTCAAGAGCGATGAGAAGAGGTACTGGGTGGCCGGCTTGGTGCGCTATCGTCTGCAGCTCCTGAACTAGGCTCGCGGTCTGTTGGGCGGCTGCAAAGAAACACAGGCATTAGTGGGCGAGCTCGAGGTTGGGCGGCCACGGCGGGGGAGGGGAAACTTACACTTGAGGTTCTTGGCTGTCAATATTATAGATCCAAGGTGGTGATTCTCGATCAAGTTTCGAATCTGAGGTGTGACCTCTGTGCCGTCCCATCCCATCAGCAGTAACTGCCCAATAGCCCTGAGATGGAACCGTTAGTACGAACCATCGGCCGAGCCAGAAGTCCTTCTCTAGATCCACAGCATGACACACCTGTCCGTATCCTGCCACGCCGCATCGTTCTCAATGGGAGGGCTCGCCATTGCGCTAGGTGATCTACTCGGCAAGTTGAGCGGGAGGCTACAAATGAGCTGTGCCACCTAAAGCTGGGGTTTCGCGCCGAGGAATGCCCAGAAGCCAGGTGAGAGCTGAGAAGTCAAGACTGCGTCTGACACACTTGTAGAAACAGGAAGTGCCGGACGGCGATCTGCGCACGATGACCTAGGCGATGAACCCTTATAGGACAGCTTGGGAGAGGTCAGTGCTGGACGGCGATCGCGATGATGGCACAACTCTGCTGCAGCCTAAGCAGAACCGGGAATGTCGAAGACGCACATGTGAGCCTGCCCAGCGGTATCCAAGAGAATTGCTTAAACAGCCCAATAATGCAAGGCGGGCCTGGCACGACCACGGCGGGCACAGCTCTGCTGGATGGCCGTCGATGGCAGGACCGACAGTATCTCGACGAGAGCCCCACCTGGGATCGAGATCGGCGATGATGTCGTTGTCAGCGGCCGTGGAGGCTGGGGACGCGCGCGCGCAAGTACCGCAGTGCCGGCGCGAAGGATCAGGCGGCTTGGGGAATGGGCGTGTTGATTGACGATGTTGTCTGATGGAGCTGCCGTGGCTCGCATGGGAAAGTCGGATTGCGGACGTTTGTGGACCCCGCCTGAAGATGGCCGGCCCGCAGCGTCCCCTTGCAGGGCTGGGGGCTCCACCTACACCCGCTCGCAAGCTAGAGGGCCAGCCCCATGCCTGCCCAGGTAGAAGATACGTCCCCAAAGTACCTCGTGGTAGCGAGGTCACCTATCTGGGGCAGGCCCACAGGCACTGCCCACGGGTGCTACCTGGGTGGGCAACCTTGATGGAAGTGTCCACACCAGCTCTGGAGGTCCCGAGGTCTGCCCAGGTATCTTTGAGCTGCCCAGGAGGCAGCTCCTTCGATGGTCCTCCACCCTGGACAGATTGGCGCTTGCCCACCCCCCACCGTCCACGAGTCCGTCAAGCTTTTGATGGCATCGCAGGCCCGTTTCTGTCCAGCTTCACCTGGCCACCTCTGGAACGTGACACGCCTTGCCAGTGCATCACGTCACGCACGCTGCCACGAGGCCGAGCATGCTTGGGCCATGATGAGACCCGTCTCCATGCATCGTGACGATGCTACTCCCTCCACAAGATGCCGCGATGACGCAGGGTATAGCCCGGCCCCAAAGTTATACTTAGCCCACCACCATCCCCACGCGACGCCAGCATCGTAGCGTCCCTCCCCCAGTATCAAAGACGCTCGGCTGCCAAAGCAAGGTGGGCATGGCTCGTCTCCGGTCTCTTTCGGGTTGTTCTCGCAATGGCGCCTATATGCCACTACAGTTTCGAGATCTTGCGTAGTTGTGTCAAGATGCATCCACAGCATTGGGCAGACATTCTCATCCTACGGTCCCCCGACAAAGTTTCGACCCGGCTCCGTAAGTGGGAGACTCAACGACGGGCGCGAGTCACGTCGATCGCTACCCTCGGTGGCCTCCAGGAGGCCATCGCCAATTCTTCTCCTTATCAGCGCGTCCAGCCTTATCACGGTATCTGGAGTTTCTGGGAGCGATTTCGGGCCCCTCAACGGTGCTAGCCCTTGACACTGTAAGACCCAGCCAGAGCCCCAAGCGTTCCACCTTTTGGTAACGTTACAAGAGGGACACCAGAAGTACTAAATTACCAGCAGGCACCACCACGGCCAGAATCAGAAGTGGTGCCCACACGTTGCAGGCGATCTGCTTGGTGTCGTCTGGCACTTCGGTCAATTACGTTGTCAATTGTCGACAGCAACATGCCATTGGGGTACGTCCAGCAGCTCGTGGGCCGGCACGCGCGAGTTGCTCAGGCAGGATTTTGCAGACCGAGCCAGCCAGTTCGTTTCAAGCGGGACTGCGCTGCTGCCGCGGGCACTGCTTTCTTTCTCTTCGGTCGCACGCAAAAGCCATGACAGGTTGAGGTGTAAAAGCTTGCCGTGCTGTGTATGACTCGGCTGGAGCCAGTCGTCACATGGCACTACCAGATGCAACCATGGAAAATGTCGTGGTGGTGGGCTGGCAGCGTGGGTTTCTCGCCGTGGACCCTCTCCACACAACTGGCGTCACCCACCTCATATCTCTGCGCTGCCGATCAGTCACTGCACGCTGTTGCCACCACGGGCATGACCGGCCCGGTCTCGTTAGTCAACCCACGCCTGCGTCTCAGGCACTCCCAGCCAAGCAGAAAAAGATCTTTGGGCACGATGTCAAAAGTGCAATGCCCGATTGGAACCGCACTGAGACCCATGGCGCTTCCGTCTCAAGCTGACACCGTGACACCGTGACATCCGGGGATTTCCTCTGACTTCGCCTGCTTACACGGTTCTTGGGATCTCGTCTTCTTCCACACTCTCTAAGACCAAGGCCGATATACAGATTCCCACTGCACGACTTGGAGAGCACCACTTTCTCTCACTTCGCGCGCTCTCTGGGAAACTTATCCCGGACTGTGGGCTGCACCCTTCCTACGCAATGCCGCACTCACTTCCTTCATCGCCAAAGTCCTCTCTCCGCGACGGCGGGAATGGCATCACAAAGTTCACAAACTGCCGTGTCCTCAAGGGGGACCGGCTAGTCACGGAGGACTTGTGGGTCAGCGGCCTCCACGGCACAATCATCAAGAGCCAAGCCGCGTTCTATGATGATTTCGTCATGCCAGACGAGGTGATAGATCTCGGTGGCCGGATTGTGGCGCCGGGCTTCATTGACTGTCAGCTCAACGGAGCCTTTGGCTTCAACTTTTCGACCTTGCTGGACCCTGCCGAGTACGCCAAGAAGGTCAGGGAAGTCAACCGCAAGCTGGTCCAGACCGGCGTCACCTCGTATCTGCCAACCATTACCAGCCAGCTCCCCGAGATCTATCACACGGCGCTTCCCCATCTCGGTCCATCTGGTGACCTCCAGATGGCCGAGGACGGTGCAGAGTCCCTCGGAGCCCATTGTGAAGGACCATTTCTCAGTAAGACAAAGAATGGCATTCACAATGCCGAAGTTCTTATCGAGGCTACATCCTTTGCGGATCTGGAGGCCTGCTATGGCGCATCAAATCTCACCTCGCCTGACCCGAGCAGACCGCCAGCTGTCAGGAAGATCACTGCAGCTCCAGAGATCGCCAGCATGACTGACCTGATCCCCGAGATCACCCAGCGCGGCATCGTCTTCTCCATCGGGCACACAGAGGCGACATACGAAGACGCCTCTGCCGCCGTCGGCGTGGGCGCCACCATGATCACACATCTTTTCAACGCCATGCGGCCCTTGCACCACCGCAACCCAGGCGTTTTTGGCGTTCTGGGCATTGCCGAGAGCCTGCCCAGGCCCTACTTTGGCATCATTGCCGATGGCGAGCACCTGCACCCCACGACCATCAAGATCGCCTTCAACGCACACCCGGAGGGCTTCATCCTCGTGACAGACGCCATGCACATGGTTGGTCTGCCCGATGGTGCCTACCAGTGGACCAACGGCGACTGTACGAACCGGATTGTCAAAAAGGGCCCGAAACTCATCCTCGAAGGCTCAGATCGAATCGCGGGAAGGTAAGCTGTTAAATGATTTCCCAAGCCTTACCCTTGAACCGCCCAAGATAAGCACTCTGACGCTAACGCGCACATCTTTCACGACTTCAAGTTCAATCACGCTGGTCGAATGCGTAAACAACTTCCTTGCCTGGTCCGGTGCCAGCATCCCCCAGGCTCTCAACGCCGTGACGTCCACGCCGGCCAGGATGCTCGGGCTGCAGGGCAAAAAGGGATGCCTGGACGAGGGCGCAGATGCGGATCTGGTCATCTTGTCAGAGACCACAAGCAGCAGCAATGCCGCCGACAGCACGGCGGCGGTCGGCCGGAGCGCCCGGCAGCAGCAGCAGCTTGTCGTCGACGAGGTGTGGAAATTCGGCGCCAAGGTGTTTTCGCGCAAGGATGTTGCCGCTTAAGTGTTGTAGGGGCGTACAAGAAGCACGGGGCGAGAGGGAATATTCCACGTTCTTCCCTGATGGAGCCATGACGAATATCCCCCCACACAAGGGATTCACGTCAAGGTTTTGAAAACGAGTCAACCTTTTTTGTATTGATGCTGTCAGTTGATGTTTGAAGGTGGGCGCACATGCCGCATACCAAGAGGTACACGTAGATCTGCTTGATTTGATTCGGAACATACCCAACGGAAAATAACGGCGTTATAGCGTGCACAAGGAACATTAAGCATATCGTAGGCGTCGTTTGTACATTTCGTCTATAAATATATACATGATTTCTTCTGGCCATTCATGAAACTCGTTAATACCGTGCTTCGTATTATTCTTGTCAAGGTCTCTTGATGGTGAGTTTGAAGGGCCTCTTGAGCCTGTCCATGGGCGTGATGCCGCTCCGGCCAAGTGGGGCGGGGCGCTTAATCCCTTGCCGAACACCACCGCCCATGCCCATCGTCGGCACAGATACCGTGGTGGCATGGAAGCTTACAGCCGGTCGTGTGAGGTCTTCCTCCGTGATAGGCTCGTTCTCCTTGCCATCGACCACGACGGCTGACTTTTCTGGACGCGGCGGGGAGCTCGAGAAACAGGCGTAGCTGTCCGGAGCTTTGTCCCTCTTCTCCCCTACCAACGGCTTCGTGTTCAGTCTAGCGGTGCCGACCTTATGTGAGGCTAGACCGTCTTCAATCTGCGGTGCTGGTGGCAAACCTGGCTTCGGCATTGCTTGAGGCCGTTGCTGCCTACGTTGCCATGGCGGGCGCACTTGAGACTGATGGGCAGCGACTTGGCTGTGAACGCTCGTGGACAGTGACTCTGCCGTCACCTTGGACATGTCGTGGCTGGTGACGCCATAGCCGTAGCCCAGCAGGCTTTTTTGCGAAGGTGCACGGTTGCTTGCTGGTCTTCTCTGAACACCTTGCGGTTTTGGCTTCTCGGCAGCTCGTGCCGATTGAGCCACCGCCTCGGCGGCGTAGTGAGCTCCTGCTGTTGTAAAGCCCGCTGAGCCTGTTGACGGGATTGTGAAGGATGTCGCCCTGTCCATCGTTGTAGCTCGCGGAGCTGCCCATTCGTCGCCTGTGTCAGGTTTCGCATGTTCAGCACTACTGGCCTGCTGCAGCCTCGGTCGCTTTTGACCTTGGTGGCTGCTGTGAGCCCACCGAGTATTGTCCGCCTTGGGCTCATTCGGATCGATCGGGAAGCGGTCGTCCTCCAAGCCGGTCAGAAGCGGAATGCCTTTGTATATATCCTGGTCGGGAGGAAGGTCTCTCCGCAGCAACTTTGCGACTTTCAACATGACTTCACGGTCCAGAGATGGACCTTTATGCAAGAAGTTCTGAGCAGGAATATCTGCAACGAATGGCGAAAGTTGCAGGGCGTCACTGCCACCACCGGAGGTGAACATAGGGCGGCTCAGATATAGTAGAGCCTCAGCTCTGGTCATGGCGACATAAAGGAGTCGCCGCTCTTCCGCATCGTCGTCAGAACGCACGTGAGGAATGGAGCCTTTGTATACCGCGGGGACAAAGACAACTGGCCACTCCAGACCTTTTGCGGAATGTATCGTCGAAACTGTAATCATCGGCTTGCCATCGCCGTCCTTGTCGTCCTTCTGCTTGTCGGAGGCAAGTGAGACGTTGGCAAGAAATCTTCCCAAGATATGCTTGTCCGTGTTCTGCTCGATGCCCTCGATCTCGGGGAGTTGCTCGTCTTCAACGGCTTGTGAGTCAGCACTACCAGCAAACTCGACAGCCATAGCTTTAAACTCCTGGACATTTGCCCATCGTGTTTCATGCTCAGGATACGAGTCTTTGAGGTAGTCCTCAAACTTGAGATCTTTGAGCAATTTGTCGATGATCGTGGCTAAATCACTCTGCGCAGCATCGTCGGACGCAATGCGGTTACGTGCTCCTTCCACGAGTCTTATGAGCTCGCCACTGATTTTCTGCTCCGTCTGCTTCCGAATCGTGGTCTTTGCCCACCGCTCGCCACGACAATGCTTGACTAGCAGTTTCCACAAGCTCATCGAGTTCCTCTCGGCCTCTTCGAGGAGTGACTTGATGGTTGCGTCGCCAACACCACGCTTTGGCACGTTGATGATTCGAGCTAAGGCATCATTATTGTCCGGATGATGTATGATCCGTAGATAATCGAGAATTGTCTTGACCTCTGCTCGTTCATAGAACTTGAAGCCGCCTGTGGAGCAAGTCAGTTTATCGAGAACGTGGCTGGCGACACTTGAAGAGTTCCTACGTACCAACCATTCGATAAGCCATGCCCTGCCGACCAAGGGCTGACTCTATGTGTCGAGATAGCGATGCGGATCGTAGCAAAATCGCGATATCACTCAGCTCTACCATTCCACCAGACATCAACTGCAGACGTTTGACTTCGGACACAATCCAGTCTGCTTCGTCTGTGGAGGTCCGTAAGTGGCGAAGCACGGGCCTTGTGCCCCTGTCGTGGACTGGAAGTAAAGCTTTCTTGTATCGGTCCGTGTCTTGCTGAATGACCTTGAGCGATACATCAAGAATCGAGCTTGATGACCTGTAGTTTTCCTCCAGCGAGACCTCGTCCGTCCCCGGATAGTCGCGTAAGAGGCGGTGCAGGTTTCTTATCTCTGCAGACCTCCAGCCGTAAATGCTTTGATCCGGGTCGCCTACAATCGTGATTCGGCGTTTCTCTTGCGCAAAGAGCGTTGTGAGATCGTATTGAATGCCGTTTGTGTCCTGATACTCGTCGATGAGGACGGCTTGGATATTGGAAACACAAGAAGGGAACTTGCGGAGCAGCTCGACACAACGGACAAGCAAGTCGTCGTAGTCCAGCAAGTTGGACCGGTCTAGTTGAGCTTGATATTCCTGGTAGCATTCCTCGAGAGCCTTGGACTCGACGTTCCTTCCCCCTCGACCGGGCTTGGTGGTGTCATCCGATGTGCCACGTGCCTTGCGCTTGCTGATCCATCCACGCACCATTGCCGGCTCGAGGGCGGCAGGTTGTCTCTTGCAAATGCGCGTGATAATGCCACGCGAGTCCGAGTCGTCTGCAATGCCAAAATTCTGGCGGAGGCCGATTCGCTGCCCATAGGCTGCCAAGTACCGCCGCGCAATGCTGTGGAACGTCCCTAGTACGATTTTCTTCTCCAGTCCACCTCCGAGGGCTTTGCCAATACGCAGTCTCATCTCATTGGCCGCCTTGACCGTGAAGGTTGCCACAAGGACGTCAGATGGAGGAATGCCAACATGATTGATGAGCCAGACGGCCCGAGACGTAAGCGTGTGCGTCTTGCCACTGCCAGGGCCGGCAAGGATGGCGACGGTTGAAGCCTCGGACGTTACGGCACGGCGTTGGGCCTTGTTTAGGGAGGCGAAGATGCCTCCCCCAGCAGAGTTGGCATCCATCTGGATCTCTGTGAACAGCTCATGAGACGACGTGGCAAGAGTATCGAGCAGAAAACATTGCTCCCATGGTCTAATGCCAGCCTGTGCGCACGATACCAAGCCAGCAGCAGGCACGAAGCTTATCGCAAGTCGGGAGTTGACAGGCTCGAAGGCTCGAAGACGCGACAGCTGTTTGTCTTTGGCACCGGCGCGATCGCGTAGAGTGGGAAGTAGTGCTCATGTGGGGCTTTTCGCTCGCGCAGTCACGTGGAGCGAGATGCCTTATCCGCCGGGTGTGCTGGGGGCTCTTTGCCCACCGGGGCACAATCCAAACGCGCAACGACATCGCTTTCAGTCCATGAACGAACCCGTGATCCATAATGGCCAGCTACAAGGAGCCTTCATGGCCCGCAAATCTGAAGCAGGACAAGAACCGTTCTCCATGACGGGCCAGACCCCTTGCAACGGCCGGTTTGGTAGGTCTTTTGTCCTTCTACGATGAATCGAGATTGCTCACCTCCATTAAACGCTACGACAGGCTCTCCTGGTCAATCGTGCGCAGGCGACTGGATGCCACGCGATCCTACCTTGCGATTCATCTGCATCGTAGATGACACCAAGAGAAATGCAGACCGCACGATGTTCAGCAGGGCATGAGTGCTTTACGAGGGGCACAGCACTTTACGATGGGCCCACAGCTGTTGTGATGCGCATGGTTCCTGCTGGCTGGGATTGGGCCAAGACGCCACAGATCGCCATCAACTCCTCGACGGTCCATGCCAGCCGAAAGCACACATCGAGCGTCCCCAAGCCTCGGGCACGATATCATCCCCATCACAGTCACCGCCTAATTTCACAATGTGACTGGGCATGGCATGAATCCGTCTCCACAGACGAGTCACAGAGATTGCGCCTCCCCCTCAAGACCTCGATGCTTCATTGGCGACATTCACTAGCTCATCACAATAGCACGAGGCTCGTTCGGGGCCAAGCTCGTCCATCCTCGGGTCAGGCCAGGGCAGGCCGTGATGGAGACGATGTGACTTGTGTGTGCCTGCCGGCAGGCAAAGAGCCAGGCACGGCCACGGACGAATCAGAGGCGCTGAGCAACAACAGGCCCGCTCTTGTGCATCCCGCAGCACGCGAGTGTGCTTGACAGGCCAGCGACCAATCATCGGGGCCCCGCATCACCACGGCGCTTAGCAGCCCTGGCCCGGCTGGGAGGACGGCCAATGAGCGGCGGCGGCGGCGGTGGTGGGCCGGGCTGCATCGCTAGGCCCTGCCCATGCCGGCCTCTCAGTGGGCGCCCAGGAGGGGACCCTGATGCATGGTGGGCATGGGCGTGACGGGACTTGAGCAAGTCAGCGGCCAGTGAGGGTTGCCGGCGCCAACCTCGACGTGCTCGACACACTTCCGAACATCAGCAGCCGCTATATACCCTTTTCCCCCCGTGCAGTCGCCCGCCTCCTGGCGAGCCTTCCGTGGCATTGTGTTTCGAACGCTCGTCAGGAGGCAGCACCCCGTACCAGGCTCCGTTTCTATGCAGCGGATCGGCATTCCCAGCACACAATGGTACACAAGTCTTATACTGCTGCCGCCTCTCCTGCTTCCTTGGCCGCAGTCCTCACCCTCGCGACATCTTCTTCTCTCTTCATCGCCGGCGCCCACGCTTCAGTCCTCACTGACATTCAGAGCAACTACTTTGACCCAGAACCTGCTGCTGCTGCCGCACAACGTGAAAGACAATACCTCCCAGCGCAAATAGGCGGCATCGTCGGCTCGTACGCCTTCTCTCTTATCGTCGTTGCTGCCTGTCTGCTCCTCCTCGCGAAGAGACGACGACAACATCTTACGGCAGGAGACGCCGACCCAGAGGACCTCCCTTATCCATTTCCCAACCCCTACGGGATACAACAAGGTGTTGTGCCCGAACAATATCAACATTTTCCATACCCCGTGGAAGCCCCCCAGTCGCCAACAAACTTCTCATACCCGACATCACCAAGAGGCAAAGGCCCTGGTCCTTATATCTTCCCACCTCCACTATCCACCAGCACCCTCGGAGTCAACCAAGCCGTCGATCAGAGAGTTGTTGCTCTGGACCGAGCCATGGCGCAGAATCAACTCGAGGAAATGTACAAGTACGTGATGGAGCAGGATGCCGCAAAGCAAGCTGGCATTACACTCGACGCCCCGCCATCGCCTTTGTCGCCGGCCCCGGCAGCGACCGCCAAGCACGACTCGGTCGCCTCGCAGCCCAAGAGCATCTTGAAGAAGACCCGGAACAAGCCAGCCAACCTGGATCTCGACCGCGGCTCGGAGAAGTCGCAATCCCGTGCCTCCTCGCTCTTGTCGGCCCTCAAATCTCCACGCAAGTCCAAGAGCATGAAGGCCATCAGCATCTCGTCCCCCATCATGACGCCAATGTCGGGCACCTTTCCTCGCCAGGAGTCGCAGGAGATGAGTGCAATCCCGCCTCGGCATTATCAACCCTCCGCTCCTCCACCGATACCTGCTGGCCAGCTGCCATACCATATCGACAGCCGGCGCCCCTCTCACGCTGCTCCAGTCACTCCGCCTGATGATCGCTCACCGGAGAGCACCATGAGCATTGATGAGAGACTCGAGAAGATGAGCAGGGGCCACTCCCGCAGTGCTTCTCTCGCCCGCTCAGAGGCTGAGCCCGAGTCAGCCGTCACTGATCGCTCCACCATGCCTCTGGTCGGACTACCATCGTCACCGAAGCCAGGTGTGAACCGCTTCCCAACTTTACCAGCGTCACCTCGGCCAGGTGCCAGCTTCGCCTCCACGACTCCCAGGACTAGCACCTTCCCGGCTTCGCCTGCACCGGGCTCATCGTTCAACCTCCCGACACCGAAGCCAGGTTCTTCGTTCGCAAGGTCAAACGCGCCTACCGCTATCCGCACCGGGGGTGCCTTGCCACTGCGAGCCTACGAGCCGGCACTGGTTTCTCCGTCTTCCCAGAACACAAAGCAGACCACGTTCGAGCGAGCACCTTTGTCTCCCGGCGTGCACACTCCATGGACAGGTGCTCCCCAACCTTATACGCCATATCAGCCCTTTTCGCCCGTCATCCCGATGACGCCCTCCCTTGTTACCAAGGCGGACCGCAAGAGGATGAAGCAGTTGATGCCAAAGACGCCTACTGTAGAAATGGTCAAGAGCTCGGACGAGATCTGGTAATGCGGTTGCCAACAATAAATACCGCATGGGTTTGAGAGAGAACTCGGTGATTTGAACGACTTGACATTATTCTTTCATGACTAGACAAAGACGGGGATACTCACGATCATGGACGCGATCTCTTTCCCTTGAAGAAGGTCACGCACCTATCCCTTTCCCCAGCCCGGGATTTCTCCATACATACAAGTACATATATAGCTCGACCTTCTGATGATTCCCCCAATATGAATACTTTTACACTTCCTCGGCGCCCAAATGTCTGATTTGATTGATCATGCTCCGGTATTCGACGAAAGCTGCCACGATAAGCCATTGCGATGATGTCCCTCGCCCCTATCTGTCGCTCTCTACGGTAGAAGCATCAATCAATATCTATCAAACTTGCCAATCTAGCTCAAGGTCGCCATCGATTCAACTTCCCCCAACTCCATGTATCTGTCCTTACCATGGAAAACACCTTGAAGATAGGCTCCTAGGGTAGCGCCGTGGACTACAGAAGGTTGCTCTTTTGTTCTTATCTGTGTCATTCCGTATCTGCACATTGGATTGATAACAGACATCCTCCGAACTTGCCGTCCGATCTAGTATTCTTAGAGACTAGAACCCATTAGCTCCAGCGACACATGGGGGCCGGGAAGGGGTCACATGACGAGTCTCCCAACGCCACAGGGTGAGAATCGTGCGAGATGGTCGAAATCCCTCCTGGACCCTTTTTCGGGGCATCTGGCACTAACTCAGACGCAGGGATTCTTTTCTGGTTCATCCGGCACGGTACAACACGAAAAAGCTTGCTGCGGGCGCTGACTCAGCGGGGGGTTGTAGATCACCCTGAAGCGACCGCGCCGACCGCCGCCGCCGTGACATTCAAAGGCCCAGTGAAGCACGATCTCTCTTTCTTTTTTTTTTTTTTTCCTCGCGGTTTGAACGAACGATGACTCCCGAGCCGCGCCTGCATGCGATCAATCAGGCAGCGGAAAAGAGAGTAGGTAGGTAGTAGTTAGCACGGCGCCAACTCAGGAGAGGAGGCCCGGGTAGGCTCCCCGCGTCCCGGAACTGGAAAATGCACGATGTGGCTTTTGCCTGACAGGAAGCAGTGTAATCAGTTAGGATTGCAGGATCTCCGCAGCCGAAGGATGGTGCGATTTAGGCACGGAGAGTGCATTTGATTGTCATCTTTTCCCCACCCAACGATCCACACACATCACATCATGGACAAAGACTGTTGGGCGGTCCGATTAACGATCGTCCGTACGACGGCCATGGAAACCCAACTGACCTCCAGACCACTTGCCTGCAGGGACGAGTGTGTCACCGTTCTCATGTCCAGAGCGCTGGGACTAGGCTAGGCACAGAATTGAAAGCCTCTCCTGGGTCCTGGTTGTGGTCAGCCCGCTCAGTATAAGCATTCTTTTATGCACGTACCACGAGCCAGTGAGATCGTCCGAGACCATGCCTCGACTACTGTTGTGGCTCGTGAGCGGGGCCATGTGTGTGTGTCTGTATCTGCCACGCCCGTAACTTGCAATAGATCGGTCGAGTCAGGTTTAGCCGAGCCAGATCGATAGCATCGGACACTGAAGCACGCATTGGCTCTCCGCGCCACCAAGGCTTGTTCTAAAACGCTTTTGGGGTGTGGTCCGAAAAGCCCCGGGCTGATGGACATGACGGTTCTCCAGCTTGTCCGATCCGGCACTCTCAGCTATCTTCCCACTAGTGAGAACCCAGGTTCTCAGTATCTTCAATCGCTGGGTTTCCGATTTCTTTTCTTCTTCTGCTTCTTCTTCTTCTTCTTCTCACGGCATCTTTGTACCGTATCTGGCGCCTCTGTTCAGACCCGGCCGAATATCTCCCAGAAAAAATTCTCGTTCGATCGACATATCGCCAACAATCACCGGGGAGCCGTGCCGAAGCCAAAAATAAATAAAATAAAAATCGTTGCTGGTCGCGGCGAGGGCTGACACAATATTTCGGACGGTATCCCGAAGACTGATTCGTGCCTAGACGAGTCATCGGGGCGGGCGCGGCTCGGTTATCCCCCCTGTCCCGACTTTGTGTAATGATGGACCTTTTTTTTTTTTTTTTTTTCGCGTACTGCGTACTGCGCGAGCCATGCGCGTTGCTTTTTGCCGCGTGAGCGCCCGCGCCTGGCGGAGGGGGCCACACTCCCCAGTTGAGGGTCTCCCTTTTTATCTTTAAATGGATTTTATTTTTCTTTGTCGGTTATTCCTCTCGGGTACTTGCTAGCCACTTGCGTGCGAGTTGGCGAATTATGACGTTGGAAACCGTGCCCGAGTCCGGCCAATAATCTCATGTGCGTGCGCGGCGCAGAAACCGACAAGGGCTCTCTTCCCGTACGTTGTATTGGGGAGAATTTCCCCTCAGGGGTAAGCCAACAATATTTAGACTTTGCTGGAGAGCTTCAGGGGAGTCACTCGAAAAGCTTCGCTGCAGCCAGTTCGTGGTGGTGGTGTTGGTGTTGGTGTTGGTGTTGGTGTTGGTGTTGGTGTTGGTGTTGGTGTTGGTGTTGGTGTTGGTGTTGGTGTTTGGTGTTTGGTGTTTGGTGTTTGGTGTTTGGTGTTTGGTGATGATCGGCAGAGATAACTTGCAGCCACGGGCCGAGGACGGCATTTACACGTCTCTCAGCCCACTCAAGGGTCCGTCCATGCCTCGATGAGCGCCGCCCAGGATTGACGCCGGGACTTTTGAACAACGGAGCCATCTCGGCCCGAGACACATACCCCGGACATAGGAATCGAGGGCTTGCCGATCATTCTGGCGACAGGGTAAGGGGACTGACTCCGCCTGGACCGTGGTGGGATCGTCAGCTAGGCAGGCAAGGGTTCAACGTTGGGGAAAAAGAGTGTGCTCTTGGCATGCTTTCCATTCGATGCGGTTCTTTTTTCTTTTTTTTTTCTTTTCCGTGTAACGTCTGACTTGCTATCTCCGAGGAGAAGCTGAAAGCAGCGAACAGTCAAGCAAAGCCACATGGGAGTTATTGCCGTCCGCCCGTCTCCCACCGGTTGTCCACAACCACACAATCAGCCGCAGGGCAGGCTCGTGGTACCTGGAACGAGGACTGTCATCTATCAGCCACGTGCAGCTGATAATCAGACGCGATATTGCTAGGGTGGCGGCGCCTCGGTGCCTCGACCCCGTCCTATGATTTGGCAAAGGCACGGGTTCCTGCTTCCAATGGCCGCTTTCGGCGCGTTACAGGCCAACGAGGCCAAGACTTTGCGCATGGTCTACCGTCTTTTTTCGGGGTCCAAGGATTGCCCAAAAGAAGTTTCTGGGATTTCTCTTCTACGCGAGGGCCGAGCAGATTAACTGCACATATGGTTGTACTGAGGCTTCCGCTTTGGGGTAGAGAGGAGCCAGAGAAAGGCACTCGAGCCTCTCACTAAATAATGTTTTGCTTCTTCAGCTACAGAGAGCACTACAGCCAAGCACAACTAACTGATGCAGTGCATGCAGGGTCGTGAATACTGGGAACCTTTGGCCCAGTGTGCCGTGCAGATTGGCCCGCCTGTTCTCAACAGACACAGAAGCGGAAACTCCTAGTTGAGAGCACGATTGATAAGAACATGACCACAAACGGTATGTTGACGCCACGTGGAAGCCAGGAAAAGACGTGGGCGCGTCTTGGCTCCTCCGGAAGAAGAATGAACACAACAGGCAGAGGCGGCCTGTCGCATTTCTCTCGCATTCCTCTCGCATCCCGTGTTCCAATTCCATGGTAGCGGGACATTTTCCGCACACTCAGGCGTTCCAAGCCACCTCATGCAAAGTTCCTGCCAGGCTCGCCACGCCAAATCGTTGTGACTGCCCAACGTCCGACGAAGGCCCTGGGAGGCTGTGGAGTCAGGTACAAGTAAGCAACGATCACCCACGAATGCACACGCTGGAGATGACTGTCATGTTCGATCGGGCTTTAAATCAGTTGAGCACGGCACGGAATGTCCCGACTTTGCCAGCAATGACCGACCCCTCTCAAGCTCCGTCACCGTATGCTAGTCATCAGCCATCGGTTGGCTGGTTGCACAGCCTCATGCGAAGCATACGTACGGAAATGAGACCTGTCAAGCACGTTCTGTGTGCGACTTGCTTCTGCTAGTAAACCTTAGTGACCTTTGCTGTGATCTGTCTGGCATGTGCCGATCACACTAAGTAGATCTTCGCCCCACTTTCAATGTGCACACGAGCTCTAAATTCAGAGACCAGGGTCTAGTCCCCCCGCCCACCTCGGAGCCAGGCAGGATACGGGCCGAACTTGTTCGTGGAACAACAAGTCAAACTCGCCAACTGGCGCTCCCGCTATTTGCGGCTGACCAAGCTGCGGCAATCAATCGGCGCAGGCAAAGTTCTCGCGACCAGACGGTCCGTCATATGGTTGTCATCACACAGGACCCGGCCGAGCTCTCTGGCATTTGTACAAGGTGCTGGGTGCTCAAAACTGCACTGCGTTTCCACTTTATGCGGGAGACACGATAGCGTGAGAGTCTCCGGAGCTGCATCCGAACAAACGAGACGCTTGAATGCGACAGAACCATTTCAACCGTGTGTGCACAGGTGGCAGATCCCCAAGACGTCGAAGAGCATTGCAGAGAGTGGGGTCAATGGCCCGGGAAGAGATCCGTGTGGCTAGCTCGAAAGGGGGAAAGCTGGCGATGGAGCAGGCGCGCGGCGGGCGCCGGCAGGACACAGCATCGTACGATGTTTCCCAAGTGGCGCCGGCGCCGGCGGGTGTCTAGGCTGCACAAGCCCTGCCCGCCAAAAGCTGCCTGCGCGCCGCCCGGGGTTTTGAGGCTCGAGGACCCATTCCGAATGCCAGATGCGTGCTCTTGCACAACCGGCTGCGTACACGGGGGGCCTGCCGTTGCAGGCCTTTGCTGCTGGCGATGAAACTCTGACGGTCGACGACGGGCCTTGTCCGCCGTTTGGATGATGTCAGTCTTGACGGGCAGGTGAAGTCACCAGAAGGTCTTAAAGTCGCCCGCCACGCTGGATGAAGGAGAGAATGGTCTGGCCATGCGGCCAGAAAAAGGTTGTTGTGGCTTGGCGGCCGGATGCTTCCGAGATGGAAGGAATGGGACATTGGATGAGCTGATTGACGGGAATTTTGGAAGTTGCAGATGTCGAGGCGAGGGACAACCTTTTGGAAAAGAATGTGTCGAGATCGATAAACCACCCGTCTCGCCGACGAGTGTTTTGGCAGCTATCTCCTCCTCGCAGGGCTGGCTGGCTGGCTGTGGGCGGACAACGTGGTTGGTGCTGCTGGGTGGGCATGGGTCCCTCCCCACGGATCGCCCTGTCGCAGGAGGGACGAGATTAAAGGTTGTTGTGAATAGAGTCATGTACGGAGTACTCGCTGGGCTCGACTCGGGTCGGTCCAACCCCAACATGGCCGCTGTGTTGGTCTGGTAAGTCGTGATGGCTGGCAGGCAGCGCTGAGGGCTGGCCAAGTCCAAGACGGTTCGTGTTGCCAGTTTGACCCTCGAGGGGCTGCCCAGATGTCTCGGGTCGGCCTCGTGGCAAATCACGGGCGAGCAACGGCGTCGTGCTGGTGGGTCCAGACTGTTCCTTCCCTGCCGCCGCGCCCTGCTCAGTCGTCTCGCACCCAGGCAGACGAGACCACCTGGGCAGGCCAGTGTCGACGCGCATCGCCGCAACTCGACCCCCCGCGGCCACTTGCCGGTGCGTGCTGCTCGTGTGGGGGAGATGATGGTTAGGAGAGGGAGCGAGGAGGGAGCCGGACAGGAAAAAGAAAAAGGGCACCTGGCTGGGCCGGAGACGGGATTTGCAGCTGTCACTGCGAACCGCGACGACGCATCGACGCAGCCCGGGCGTGTAGGCTGCGCTAGCGGCTTGGGGTGTTGGCCCTAGTGGTGCCAAAGATACATTGGCTGCCCGCCCGAAACAGCCCGTTGCCCGCCCTTGCGCCAACCTAACTCCAAAGTCACCTTGGCTGCTGCTGCTGGCCTGGGCTGGCCTGGGCTGGCTGGCTGGGGTTTGTTTCCCTGCCCGTCCCGTCCTGTGCGGTGCTGCTGCTCGCTCTCTGCTGTGCTTCTGCTCTGCTGCATGCACGCACGCACGCACGCACGCACGCACGACCGACCCGCGACCGCCCTCCGCCGGCTCTTCTGCCTCTTCTCCTCGCCTCGCCCACTCTGCTGAAACCCCCAGTTCCCGTCGCCCTCTTTGTCGACCACAGCACCATCCGTCACTCCCTGCACAAAACCACATCGTCAACCTCGCCGTCGCCTCTCATCGCTGTCTGTGTCGACGCCTGGAGCGTCCGTCACCCTCAAGAGGCTTCGGTCCGCTCGAAACACTCCCGGCCGGAAGCCGCCCGACTGCCGCTCATCCGCATCACGCCAATGTCGAACCACTCCTGCATCTAAACATCGAACCACCCTCCAAGATGACAGCCCAGCAGGATCCCGCTGCTCTCTTCGGCCTCGGAGACCGCGACGGCGTTTACTACGATGGCCTCACCTCCGCCGACGAGACCCCCGTCTCCCTCGCACAGGACCAGCACCTTTTCACCAACCACCACTCGTGGACCTTTCCCGACACCTTTAGTGCCCCTGACCTCTACCAGAACCAGTGGGATCTCGCCCAGTCCCAGAACCGGCAACAGCATCAGCAACCACAACAACAACAACAACCACAGCAACGGCCACAGCAGCAGCAAACATACGACGCGCGAGTGTCTATGCAGCCGCCGCAGTTGCAGCAGCAGCAGGCAGGCAATAGCACTCCGCCGTATGCAATCAGCGCCGTCGCCAACCACTCTGTCCCGACCACGGTTGCGCCTGCATCCACCCATCTGCCGTCAGCGACTGTCGCTCCCTCCAATATCAGCCTCGTGACCAGCGTAGCGGCCCAAGGCACCAGCAGCAATAACGCCAACACCATGCTTACCCATGCTCAACGTCAGAAGCTGCAGAATATTGCCATGCCATCACATGCCCCTTACAACTCGCCGCCAAAGAGCGAGCCCAGTCCTGATTCCGCCGGTGGTATGGCCAAGTCACTTTCGGCTTCGCTTTCCCCAGACGGCCACAGCGGCAAAGGTGCGAATCGCAAGCGCAAGTCTTCTACCGACGACGAGGACGAAGACGAAGAGGACGAGTTTGGCAACCACCAGCCGGTCAAGAAGACGGCGCACAACATGATTGAGAAACGGTACCGGACAAACCTGAACGACAAGATTGCAGCTCTGCGAGACAGCGTCCCCAGTCTGCGAATCATGTCGAAGAGTGCCAGAGGCGAGGACACCACGGAAGACCGGGAGGAATTGCAAGGCTTGACACCAGCGCACAAGCTCAACAAGGCAACTGTAAGTGAAGTCAAGGCCAGAGGCGCCGCATTCTTCTCACTGACGATGCCTGGCTATAGGTTTTGAGCAAGGCAACCGAGTACATTCGCCACCTGGAGAAGCGCAATGCCAGGCTTCTGGAAGAAAACATGGCCATGCAGCAACGCATATCTGCATTCGAAAAGCTCTTCATGGCAGGCGCCATGAACGGCAATATCAGCCCGATGCAACACCAGCAGCCACCATTGACTCCAGTGCAGTATCCACAGGAAACCAATGGCTTTGTCGTGTCCCCGTCCAGGACGCCCGCCCCCAGCCACCAAGACACACAAGGCATGATACCCGTGCCTGATGATATGAAGCGGATCATTGCAGCTCAGATTGCGGCTGGGCACCCATACCCGGTGCCCCAACAGCAATATCGGCCCAACCCCACCGTCATGCGCCAACAGCAGATTCAGCAGCAGCAACATCAGCAAATGCAGATGGGTGGCTGGCAGAACGCTGGCCCTTACTTTGGAAAGCTCATGGTCGGCTCCTTGGCTGGCCTCATGCTGATGGAAGCGGTACGGGAGAACGAGCAAAGCAACGAGACACCGGAAGGTCGTGGCTTGTTCGCCTTGCCCATTCATCTCTTGCGCTTCTTGACATCTTCACTCAATATCGATTTCATGGGCTACCACGTGGCGGGATCCTCGATTCTACATGCCATCAAGGTTGCTCTTCTTCTCTGCTGCGTATGGTGGGCAGTCATGCCCTCTATTCTTGCACCCAAATCGGCCAAAGCGTCCTCCGGCAAGCAGCGGCAAACGTCGCTGGAGGCCGTCAAACTTGCTTCCCCGATCCATGTCCGCCGACAAGCCTGGCTCACAGCTATACAGACCGTCTGGGTGCCCCGACACAACTTCTTCTTGGAAGCCACTGCTCTCGGACTCAAGACTGTCAAATTGAGTCTTCGGAATCTTGTTGGTATCCACGGCTACAAAATGTTGACTGGTCTAACACAAGACCAAGAAGTTGCCCGAGTTCAGGCTTGGTCTATTGCTCTGGACGCTCAACTCGCCGGCGGTGACGACGAGATCAGCAAAGGCCGGCTGACACTGACTTTACTCGCATCAGGCACGCTTCCCTCTACGCCCTTACGTCTCATGTTGAAGGCCCTGCATATCAGAGTCTTGCTTTGGGAGATTGGTCTGTCTGGTGTTCACATCGGGTTCGTTGACACAATCGCAATCAAGCTGGCCCGGGCGCAGTGGAACAAGGCGAAGCAACTCCACCGCATGATCGTCCAAATGCGTCGCAATGGGCAAGAGTCCCCCGAGGAAGAGCTGCCCGACCATCTTGCCGCACTTCTCGAGCAGGATTGCGACGATGTACTGAACCCAACCATTATCCAGCGTGCACACAACTTGGCCTGGAACCGGCCGACTGAGCACGAGGCCATCGGAGTGACGGACGGCATGGACACAATTGTCGAGGACATTGCTGTGCGATCGCCCATGGAGGCCATTGCTGCTTGGTGGTCCACAGTGACGCTCCACGGCGCTCTGGCGGACGTCCTCCTTGAGACTGGAGAAGGTGCCTCGGAGAAGACGATTGTGGTGGAGGACGCCATTTCGCTGGCCATCCGCACTGCGCCGATTGGATCTGTCGCCGCCAACCGTGCACTTGTCGCCCGTGCCCTCCTTTTCAAAGAGAAGCGGAGTGCCAACATCGTGGCCGCACTCCAGGCCATCGGCCCCGTCACTCCATCGCTGCTCAACTCTGGTGTTATCGAGCCTACCAAAGACTCCGATGCTCTTGATAAGGAACTCTCTGCCCTGAGCGTCATGTCAGCGGAGCTCCGGGTCTCGCTGTCATGTGCCATGGCAATTGCTCACCTCGAGAAGTTCACACCGCCAAACGAGCCTACCAGGTTCATGTACGACCTCATTCGACAAATTCGCATGAACACAGAGCACATGGGGATGCTGGGTTGCATTGCTGCCTATGAGCTTATGGAACGGCTGTCTGGTCACGAGACCGCTGCTGAGGCATGCGCCAGCACATTGGAGAGCTTAGCTGGCACCCTGAGAATCTGGGCCGGCAAAGCCACGTCGCTCGAAACCGACATCAAGCATGAGATTGTTGAGCGGTGCTTGATTGTGAGCCGTAGACTGGTGGGGATCGAAAGCGACACCGACACTGGCTACGGATCCATGAGCGAGGGCGATGAGGTTGATGCCGTGACATCACATGGAGAGCTCAGCAATACGTCTCAAGTGGCCGAAATTTCGTCATGACGCGGGTCGACACAGCATCGAATGCCAAGTTGATTGCTGTGCTGGTTTCATGTCCAAGCTGTGAGAGCCCATGGCGTGTTCGCCGTCACCCCCACGGACAACTCGCATCCGAGCTACCTTCATGAAGTACATCATGCGCGCCTGTCCTATACCCTTCCACAATCACACGGCGTTGTAATTTCATTTTGTCACAATAGGTGGTCTCGACAATGGGCTTCACCAGGCGTTAGGTTGTTTGCCTCATATGGCCGTGGCCTGTCTTGTACAATCACATTCCCGGTCATCTCTTCTCTGTATTTTGGTCCCGTGGGATTCGCACAAAACGCCCTCGACAAGCTTGGAACTTCTACGGTCTTCATATCTCAGTCTCGCCGAGACAGGCGACACGTCCTTTGCACCACTGTTCACCTTTCCTTCCTGTCTTGTTTTTACCATATACTATAATGCTGTTACTAGTGGACGTTGATGAAAATGGAATCACATGGGGGACGGACTTCTGCCAATATTTAGACGCGGAGCGAGCGAGCCGGGCGGTACTCATCTGAGGCGGGCGAATCAAGGGGGCTGTTTTAGATTATCTTTTTGGAAACTGTTCACACAAAAACGGAACGAAGCAATGGAAAAAGATTTCGAAACATTACACTGCCTCCACCAGACGCACGATTGCCCAATGTTCTGTTCCTGTGCGGCGGCGGGCTTGTGTGTGTGTGTGCACATCGTGTATTATTGTACCTTGTTCTCCACGATGGCCGCCGCATGGGATGGTTCTCAAGGTTGGCTCAGATTCGCAAAGGCACCTGCACCCACCCACCCGATTCGAGGACCTAGTTAGCCTCGTAAAGGTCCCCGAGCTGCCCTGGTTGCTAGTTGACGCGGTGCAGACGTTCCCGCGAATTATACTGATTACTCGTACAGGACGACAAGGACATCGCTAGGCGAGTATTACTCGGCATGCTTTTCTCGTTTCATTTGTACGCAGCCGAAAATGTGCTGTCTTTTTCTCTCTTTTTTTTTTTTTTTGTGCAGGCGTGAAAGCCAAAAATGAAGTTACGTTTAAACATGGTAGGGTTTGGCTCACAACACTCCCCGAAGCCAACCTCGAACCCATCCCAGCCAGGTGACGTCTTGGCCCGCTTGTGCTTGTGGGGAGGCCAGGGTGCTGGATCTTGAGCCATCCCTCGGAGGAGGAGCAGAGGCTATGCTCTCTGGGTTGGATGGCGTGGCGGCAATGTAGGCCACTTCAAGGTCAAACCTGCCTTGCTGGTTGCCGAAAAAGCTAAGCGTACCTGTGGTGTTAGCATGGTTTATTAAGCGTGCGCGCGAGGGAGCATGTTTGAGAGCCTCAGAAGCCTCCAAGGGGGGGTCTGATGATAGCCACGCCTTTCTTCACCAGGCAAACGTCGCCCAACATCCGGTTTGTCGGGAGAGGAGAAAAGAGAGAGAGAGAGAGAGAGCCAGAGACGCACCTTCTCATCATGATGCTTAACAGCTTGATGCCAGTCAAGTCCAAAGGATCGGCATCGGGCTTCGCCTTGCCGCGGTACGTTGGCTTGAAGTCGGCCCATGAGATACGCAGCTCGCTCTGCTCACCGACGAAGTCGTACTCCCAGCTGATGGTGCTCTGCTCCCTACCATCCGGTCTCTTGGGGAGGATCTCGTCCTTGAGAATCAGCGTGTACTTCTTGCCATCCCCGTTGACGATCTTGATGGACAGGCCAGAGTACGGCGAAAGGTCCCAGGACTTGGAGTCGGCCGTGCGCTGGGATGCGAAGCCCGCGCCGCCGAGAGCCGTGATGTCCAGGTCGCCAAAGAAGCGGGCGTTCTGGTGCGTGGCGCCGCTCGCCGACGGCGACGCGGCTTCGAGGTGGCTCTGGCTCTTGCCGCCGCGGACGCGGTCGTCAGAGGCATGCCATGAGTCGAAATCCCACGAGCTGCAAATCAGGCAAAAGTGATGAGGTCATCAAAGGTCAGTGCCGAGCAAGCCACAATTTGGCATGTGCGGGACGGCCGGGGCAGGAAAGAACTGACCAGGTGCCGCCGAAGAGATGATGGAGGGACTCGCTAGCTTGTATCGACATGGCTCAGGGAGCAATTGGGGCCAAAGGGACGTGGTTGATGGGAATGGGCGCCGAGGGCTTTGCTGTCGTGTGAATCTGGCTGGCGCCATCGTTGTAGATGTGGGGCAGCGCGCTGAGGATTGATTGTTACCACTTGAGGCGAGCTAGGCCAGGCGTGGGGATAATTAGCCTCGAGGCTGCTGCATCTTGGCATGTCGTCGTCCTCTGCTGCTGGCGTCAACGGCACTCGGCCAGCCCGCGTGCTTGTGTCGTTTCGCTTGTCGATGATGGACACAGGCCGCTCTCGTGCTCCATGTCGCGTCCTTCATCTCGTGAACAAAAAGCAGTCGGCACCAACAGGATCAGCAACGGCTACCTTATTCAAGGTGCTGACGCTAGCACGTGGGCGCCGTTGACAGCAGCCGCCAACACGCCACGGAGCAGCGGACGGCCGAGGCCAGGGCCAAATAGCCATCTGACTGCAGCAGCGAGGGCTGGCCCAGCCAGCCCTCACACAGCGAAAGATGGGCAGTCCAGGGCCAGGGTCGAGACCCGGACCAAGACCAGGCAGGACCAGGACCAGGACCAGGAGAGCCTGCCAACATCCAACATGCAACTGTCCCAATTTCTCGCGCCCGGGTACGGCTGCCGCCCGCTCGTCACCCCTCACTGCTGCCTGGCAGCAGCCTGCCTGCCTTAGGCACAAGTGTGTCGCCCGGGGACCTACCTCGCTCTCCTCGACCAATCACAGCACCCGAGCCGTATTCCGACGTAATTGATCGACTCCTGCGCAGGCACTGTTCTGCACATACATAGTACACGCCGCGCCATCCCCAAAGGCCTCATCTGCCCGGCTTGCTCGGCCCCCGAGTAGGTACGCACGTACGTCACTGGCGGCCGCGGATCGTTGGTGCAGCACCACGCAAGACCGGCCTGGCCAAGGAACGCCCTCAGAGCTCCTGGGCCTTCGTTAACACCGGCGGCTTTTGTGGCCTTTGTGGGCGGCGTTTAGATGACCCCGGCCAGGTCCTGCATACGCCAATGCGTCCACGGCCCCAGACAGCCCGTCACTTCTCAAGAATAAGGTTGGCTGGCAGGAAATTCTCGCATCTGGCGAACCAGAGCCTGAGTCTTGGTGCCTTGTGACTGATGATCTGCAGATTCGCAATAGTCAACATTGCCAGTTTCGGTCAACTCCCGCCGCCTTCCAAGCCTTCCAGGATGATCCTGGACCACGGCCACGCCTCGCGAAGCTCTGCTGCTGAGCCCGCACGAAAGACTGAGCGTGTCGAAACACCAGGTTGGGCTTGCAGGGGTGAGCTAAACACAACCGGAAGATGGTCTACGTGCCCCCTGTTCCCGCTCTGCCGTCTCATAGGCCACCTCGCAATCCTGGCCCACAACCGACGGTCGCCTCTCGAGCCTCGAGCCAGGAATCCTAGCCTCGCCCGCTTTTCGCCCGCTTCTCGCCAACCTGGGGCTCCTGTGGTCCATTAGTCCGATGTGCGTCGGATGTTGGTTGCGTAAGGCTGGGTTCTGCTCCTCTCAGGTCCCATCAAGCTCCGAAGAGCGTCGATGCGCACACGGGGCAAGCGCCCAGGGTTGCTAGGAGCTTGGACAACGGATGAGCACAAGGTTTCGCGAACGGCAGTATTACCGTGTACGGAAATGCCAGCAGCTCGCTCAAAATATACCTGGCCCGTCTTTGGCGGGGGGGTCTTGTGCAAGACTTTCGCCTTGCGGAGAGCCCGCGGCTCATCACGACGATGTGCTTGTTGCCTGACAGGCTCGACCGCCGCGCAACATACTGGCTGCCGCAGCTCTGTCGTCGAGATTTGGAAGTCGGTACCTTGAGCTAATGATGGCGCTGCCACGCACCTGTGTAAGTGGAAGCCGGGCTGGGACGACGACAGCCACGACCCAAGCCTCCAGACCCTAGAGGTTGACCAACTCCGCGCCTCTTGGACATCACGTCCACACAAGTCACGATTGAAAGCTATGAGCACGTGCTTTCTCGTGCTCTTGCGCTCCTTGTCCAGCTCAACACGTACCGTGAAGTGAAGGCTTTACGGGCTCCTGCTCATCCCAGGGGCTGCACTGCCAACCTTCGTAACGATCGTATAGCAGACGTCCTGAAACAAGGCCCGATACCATCATATACCATCGGTGTGGGTGCATCGCTTCTGCATGGCTGAAATTGAGCCAACCGGCTCAGTCCTCCTTCAGCCAGCCACGAGTTGCTGCACCACGTCGGGGCGCAAAGGACCAACAGATGCTCAGCCCCCAATTAGGTCCACTGATACGGTACCCTGACGTTGCTGGCGTTTACACACACATACCCGCACGCACACAGACACACATATGCACACACATGCACATAGACAAATGCAAATAGACACATACACCACGGGTGGCGGGCGCCCCCAGCAGCAGAAGGCCTGCGCAAAAAGGTATCACTACCCCTCGCTCCCCCAAAGCTCAAGGCACACACGCACACACGGCGGTGCCGAGGTGGCGGCGGCGGCGCATGTGGCTGCCACTGTCGCTGCTGCTACTGCTGCTGCTACCGTAGAAAGTCAGCCTTTTACATTTTGAGGGGTGTCCTCAGCAGGGGGGTGGTAAAGGCATTGGCATGCCCAGCCGCCGGGTCATCCCCAAAAGAGAAGTGTGTGAGCGTGTGTGTTGTGTGCGCATATGTGGGAAACGCGGAGAATAGACCCCAAAACGGGGAAGGGCGAAATTTCGATGATGGAGAAGAGGCTTGATCGATGGCGGACAAGGACTGCCAACCGGGATAAGAGAGAGAGAATGACAGACAAAGTCAACAGCGGCTTCTCCGGGGGCCACGGGGCAAGGGTTTTGTTCAGCCGCGTGCAGGCTTGGGTTCTGTGTGTGTGTGTGTGTGTGTGTGTGTGTGTGTGTCTGGGGTTTCGGTATCTGGTCGTCCGGCTTTGCTCTTTGGCTCTGCTTATACGATCTACGACGACCAGGGGGATGGTGGTATATCACGATGGGCACAGCAGTTGGCTGAATCGTGGCAGCTTGTGCAGAGGGTTCGCTGCACGTTCCTCCCAGGAAATAACCAGAGAGACAGGGGGGAAAGAGAGAGAGAGGAAAGAAGAGGGCGTGGTTGTTGAGACGCTTCTTCCGTGCCAGGCGGCCTGCGGGCACAAAATTGCACCGAATGCCGGGGACTTCTTGTCTCCGAAAGGGAACAAACTGGACTAGCTCCTCGAGAACCAGGCTACCGGAAAACAAACTAGCAAATGGCCGCGAAAGGGTGGTGGGATAAAGGATGGCGGTAATTGAGGCTGTGCGCGCTCATTCTGATTCATCCCCAACCCCATACCCCCATAACCCCCCGTGCATGGATTGGGGGGGGGGGCATGCGCTGGAACGAAGCATTCTTGCACATTCGCTGCTCTTGGGGGGGAAAAAGGGAACATTTGCAAAATGGGCTGCTGGATTCCTACGGCGCATCTGTGCGTGGGACGCGCGGCTGCGTAGGGTCCGGCTTCTGGCCATGGGGGTTTTCTACCTCTCAACTCCCCAGCTCGTACGGCATCCAATACGAGAGAGCCTTGTGTATGTGTGTTCTCATATAGGCAACTCCGCTTTCTGTCCTCCATTCACTGGGCTTTACATCACTCTGGTCACGCGTGAAACAGTCTGTTGCGGATGATCTTGTATACAAAGCTTGCAAAAGCCTTTTTTTCGCAATTGGAGAGTATCTGCACCGAAAATCCAAAAAAGGAAACGCCAATGCTTCGCTGATAAAACTAAATGATTGAAACCCCACAATAGACCGTGATCATGAATTCGTCGTGTTTTGCAACTCCCAGTCAACACCACAGTCACGAGGTAGAGCGCTTCCGCCTGTTCCTGTGTACGACTTGCGTTTCGTAGTGCCCCCCTTCCTCTTGGAGCATTATCCAATCCTTTTGGCGAGGTTTCACCAACCCTGGTGGTGCGAACCCCCCTCTGATCCGCGCCCCTTGCGGAGCCAGTCTGAGGACTTTCCAAGTGCCTTTTACACCATCTATTGGTGCTGGAGATGCTGGTGTTCTATCATGTTGGGCGAGTCTGGAAGAGACAGTGGGGTTGTCGGGTACTCGTAACCAGAGTCGGAGCAGTTGGCCGAGTGGTCGAATGAGTGAGATAGCGGAGGTGTCTTTAAGCGGGCGATCAGCTACGAGGTTCCCGGTGAGACCAATGGCGCACGTTACTCACATGAGGGTTCGACTGGTCGTAGAAGTTGGGACCGCTGACGTCGATCCCAGGGACGAAGCCGTAGTTCATGTACGGGGACATGGAGTCATCCGTGGTGTAAGTCTCCCGCTTGATGGCGTCGCTGAAATGCGTCATTGAGGGAAGAGTGCACGGAACAGTGCTGGCGATGTAGGTCGGGTAGCCATCAGCGGTCGTCATGGGGTGGAAACCTTGAGTGGTGCCATAAGGAGGCAGAAGCATCTCATCTGGCGCGGGGTATGTCGAATAGGACATGAAGGGAGGTGTGTGGGAGCGTTCCCGCTCGTCATAGCTGAGGGTGAACGGGAGCTCGTCCTCATGTGTCATGGGGGGCGTGAACTGGGGGGCGACAGGCTTCTGAGGAGCAGCAGCTGGCTTTGGGGCCTTGGGACTCGACTGCTTCTTGGAGCTGTTGCGGTTGTTGGTGGTGGGGACAGTCTTCTCAGGGGCCGGCGGCGACGAAGAGTCGTCTGAAGTGCCAGCCCGGCGCTCAAGGTCCTCCAAGCGTCTCTTGAGCTTCTTGCCTGTGGTGACGCATCAGTATTGGCAGGTGAGCAGGTGAGGATTCAGCAGCCAGCAAGCTTACGGTAGTTGCGCTGGGCGATGCGGTTCTGTATCCTCCTGCGCTCTGCGAGATCCGAGATCTTGGTCCAGTCCTCATCAGGGTTGGCCGAGCTGGAGAAAGCACTGCTGGTGCCGTGGGCTCCGTACTGGCGAGGAGGTGGCGGGGCTGGCGGAGCCACCGTGTAGACGTATTGGTGCTGAGACATGGAGAACATGTTGGTGGTTCTGCTCACAAGGGCAGAGGCTGTCTAGGTGTGTGTCACTGGTCAAGTGTGTATGTGCGGCAGACTCTACTTCGACGAAGGGCTCTGCAGTAGAGAGACCTTGAGACTTGTCGAGATGTGTCGAGGTGAGGCTGGCTGATGATGGGAGGCTCAAGAGATCACGAAGGGATCGAGGAGGTGGGCAACGGCGTCTATTATACATCGGGGCCGAAGGGCAGCGGAAGCTGCCTTGTGCTAGCTTGAGCCATCCGGAGTTTGGAACAGCCATGTCCATCGCATTCATCCCAAGGAGGGGGTTAAGGACCCTTGCCGATGGGCTGGCGCGCCCCAGCACGAGGCAGGGCAGAGGTGTGTACAGGAGGAGTACCTGTGGACTCCAAGCCAGTGCCTGACGACATGGGCCCCGGCCAGCGGAACGTCTTCTTTTCTTCATCAGGCATCGTGTCAACCGCCATATGCAGGCTGCGGCAGCCCAGGACGGGCGCAGCAAAGGGGTGTGGAGCCAGCCCTGTGGGTGTCTGGCTTGCTGTCTCTCGGACTGGGAAGCGACCAAGAGGGGACTGGTGATGTGCAGGGGCCTGCCACACCTTGTCGACGCCGGCCGAGCAAGCCGCACCTCATGGGGCGGCTGCGCAGAGGGCGTGCCGCTATCCGCCTTGATCAACCCGACCCGTGAACCGGGGGGGATGGTTTAGGAGTCGCCATTCGCCCACGGCCGCGGACATTGTAGCCGCAAGGGCGTGCGTGGTCTCTCTCTCTCTCTCTGTAGACCCGACAAATCTAAACAAAGCTGGTTCCTCCATCTGGGGACCTCGCCTCTGTCAGCAACTCAGACTTTAACATACCTGTCGTGGCCGCGCGTTTCATTGAGCATGGCTCTGGACGTTTGAGAAAAAGAGCAGGTAGGCTGGATGGAGCGCTCGAGCTCTGACGGGCGAGCACCGAGTGGTTCCTGTGTACGGGCGGGCGCCTGGTGCGTGCCTGAGGCAAGCGAAGCACGTTTGGTGGCCGACGAGGTGCTCCCTGCCTCTGGGCCTGCCGCACCAGCCGCAACCCTCCAAATTTGCCCACTTTGCAGGAGCCTTCTCCGTCGCCCACACCTGCGCAACCGCACTGTACGACCCCCCGCCCATTCTCTCGACGCCTCCTCCGCCTCCTCCTTCTCTCCCTCCTCTGTCAGCAACCTGATCTGCAGCAGTGCTGCGCTGCGCCATCCTCGTCCGGCCATAGGGCTGGCGGGGCTCCTTGTGATAGCCTACTGCACGGATCCAGCGCCCTACCGCCCGCTAGCGCTCGTCTCCTGGGTCTCCCGGGGAGGCTTGGCCCCTCCTCTCTGGTCGGTATCTCGTCGCATTGCCAGAGTTGCTCCACGTCACGGGCAGGGGCCACGCGCTTGAGTGTAGAACATGCTCAGTCAGGACCTCATTCACTTAAACAGTGTAGCACGTCGCATCGCGATTCCCCAAATCAGAGTTGTACACAAGACCGTGCACGCCCGCTCTCCAGACGCCATCTGGACGTGTGAGTACGCCTGTAACCGGCGGCCAACCGTTGAGACGGCCCACCTCCCCGAGATGCTCTCGTGCTCTCGTGGGGTTTACAGCACTTACATTGTCCATCACGTCTCGCAGTCACAATGGCCGACAATAGCAGATGCTACAACACGCTGATGGGGCAGTCCTGGCTGGTCCCACAAGGCCGGCCCGGAAATACCCTCGAGAGTCGCATTTTCGATGTGATTGGCCACGATCCGCTCGTCTATCTGACTTTTCCGAGATTGCAGTGCTGGCTGTAGGACTTCGGACTCGATTCCAAATCCCCAAATATGCGGCAAGGGTTCTCCATGGGAAACCACCCGCCATTGGCAACCCAGCTTCCGATGTTCGAAAAATAGCACTGCAGGTGCGGAACAGCCCTACCGGCATCCAGGTGCTCAGAGCCACTACCTGCCCGCCCTCTGCGAAATCTGCCTCGCACATGGATGGAGCTGTCTATCAAAATAGCCCGCAGCTTGCGTTTCGCTTTACCCACCCCGTCTGGCAGCGGCTAGTGATCAGGCCGCGCCACTTAGCACCAAGGCCAAGCTTTCCACATCTTAGTCTGCCCAGTGCCGAACCGCCCCTTTTGGAAAATGAACTGCCCATATCAGCTCATGTCCAGGCCGACGCGTCAGCCATGCCAGTGTTTTTTGGCTTGCGAGAGCTTCGAACAACACTGAGTCATGGCGTTCAAATTGAAAGCCAAGAAAATTGCTACTTCTGGGTAGCGTAGCATCATCCAGAGCCGACGGGTGGTGTTTTTCTTCTTTGCAGCCAGGACGAGCACCAGACTCCCAGGCATCGGGTTCGTGCGCACTGTTCGTCCCAAGAAGCTCGCGACGGTGCCAGGCCCTGCAGAGTTGGCAAAGCATGGAAGCACGCAGGCGCAATGCGCTTGGCAAGCCAAGCCTCTCGCCCACTGAAGGTAACGGCCAAAATAGCCGTGGTTGTCGCTAAAAGCCTAAGCTTTTTGGGGGGTCGGCAATGCTGCAACCAACCCGGGCGCTTTGCCAAACACAAGAGCATTCGGCGAGGTTTTGAAGATTAGGGCTCGACAATGACGGAATCAGCGCGATGCCACGAGATGGGGCTTTCTCCCCCGGTGACCTGCGCAGTGCTGCTGGCCGCCACCGGCGCACGTGACACGACTGAGATGCTGCTGTCAATATCAAGGAGATTGTTTCCGAAAACTCCCCGGCGATCAGGGCAAGAGGCCGTGAGCTCACCACCAAAGACCCATCTCTCCAGTCGCCCTAAATGGATCAGAGCCCCTGCCAGATAGACTCCTCAGACTCTGGTAATTGCCATTGCCGATCTCTGGGCGGCGCGACTAGTACAATCCCGCGGTGGCGCGACAGTTCACTAGGAATCGAACCACCGAACGAGCAACATGCGCTGGAGGGGTCCGCCAGTACTTGCATCCCAAGCTTGGGCTTCGTTCTGGAATGACCATTGAAGGGTGATCTTCATCTTGCATCACATATGGGACTTGGCTATGGACCAGGAGCGCAGCGTCACCCATGACAAATGAGCACCTCAGGTGGTTCGGACTCACTGGATACAACAGCAGGGGGTCCAGAGTGCGAGCTGGGCGGACGAGGGGGGCAGTTCCGTCATGGGCTGGCACCGCCTTGGGACTAGCGTGCCCTTGTGTCTATTTTCGGGGTTAGCAGATGGAATTACCAGGCCGTCGGATTGTATCCCCGGTGATTGGCCAGCCCTATGCCCATCTCGTACCCGGGAACCAATCAGAGGCGGTATCTGCGCGGCAACTGCCCATGCCTGTCGGACTCGCTGAGCAGGGCCTCCCCCGGCGCATCAATGGTCCTGCTTAATAGTGCTAATTAGCCCCCCGCAAGCAGCGGGCCACCAACCCTGGCGACTGCCCGCGCCCAGCCCCTGCCAGGCCCCTTGACCCATGTCCCTCGCACTTGACGGAGCAATGAAAGCACACTGACAGCGCCAGGGCCATGCTTGGCACAACGGCCAAATTGGTCGCTGGAGCACCCCACAACACCGCACATCACCGCACAGCACAGCACAGCACAGCAACTCGGCCGCAAATTGGCACCAGCCGGCCCTCGACGGCAGCCCTGCGGAAACCCGATATGTGGGTACCAGTAGCCGTTTCGGGAAAGGCTTTTGTCTTCTCATGGCCCCCTCGCAATGTAATGCCTTGCAACTCTGGAGGCTGTTGCACGATCCCTCGACAACACCCTGGCTGGCATCAACTCATTGCCGGGCGATCTCGACCTGCGTAGAGACCGTGTTTCCGGTTTCGGACAATGGTCACGGCAGACCAGCGTTCCATCTCGAAGAGGCCCGCATCCGTGTATCTATCTGCCTGGTTTCTTGGCCGGTCTGCAGGAAGCACATAGCACCACCCGTATCAGAGTCACCCCGCCGCCCCTTCCAAAGATCCCTGGCGACTCGCACCTTTTCTCCAGGTGATGCCGCTTAGTCACCAGCGATCTCTTCCAAGTTGGGGGCCGGCGGGAGGAATAGGTCTCTGCACTGCTTCTCCAGGACGGCGAGTTTTGGATCGTCGGTATGGTTAGTTTCACATGAGTCTGTCAGGGGATCGACGCCCTGCCAGCAAGCCACTGTTTGACTGCCGCGCTGCCTACTTACGTAGCTCTCCATGTCCAGTTCAGAAGCAGATCTGGTCTGGCAGAGACAGCAGCGAGCGGAAGCAGCAGCAGTCTTGCTCTCGCAACATAATTACCGCCCGTCATCGCATTGACCGGCCGATATCCAAACGGCTGCCTACTTGGTTCCTTCCTTGTTGGGAGCCCCTCGGCTCCATGGGATTCCTGCATGTTGGCAACATCCCTCCGCGGCCGGTGCTACGGCGCCCGCCACCGTTTGTCGGTCGGTCAACGGCGGGTTTCATGACCCGTCGGCCGGTTCAAAACCATGCCTTCATGCCATACTGTGAATCGCCCCCCTCCCTCTTACCCCCTTGCTCTTTTGGCCCCCAACTTGCAACCTGGGCGCCGGACGTGGCCTGGGCCTGGGGCCTGTTTGCCTGGAGGGGTGCAAGGTTGACGGGCCCATCGGATGCAAGTGCAGTTGCTACACGTGGGGTCCGATGCTTTGATTTGTCACTGATCCAGGGGGGGCGCTTTGTCTGGTTGCCCACCACCCAACCCTCAGGGCTTGCTGGCTGGCTGGCTGGCTGGGGTTACCACGCACCCACGCGAGTGAGACTGTGCGAGTTTATTATGGCACCTTCCCCGGAACAATGGCCCTTCTTTGGAGTCATCATTGTTGCAAGATAGCGTCGTAGTGTGTGTGTGTGTGATGTTACTAGGGCGTACTTCTCCTGGGCCGCAGCCTTCGCCGGCAGGGCCATCGGGTGGGCTATTCTTTTACAGAGTACATGGGCCTGGCTGGCTGGCTGGCAAGGGTCTCTCTCTTTCGCCCGCGGCGATGGGGGGTTTGGCGGGTATTAGCTATTCCAGGGTTTTGTTGATGATGATGGTGATGATGATGGCTGCGGACTTCTTGGCACAATGACCCACATGCCACATGTGGTCAATAATCACTTTTTTGACTTCTTACATCCGTCCTCTTTTCCCCCCCCTCCCTACCCTACCCCCATCATCATGCCCCCCCCTCTCCCCTGGCCGGTCTGACTTGCAACGATCGTCTATCTAACCAATCAGCATGGCAGCATAGCGATGAAGCGGCTTAAAGGGGGGAGGGGTAGCCGGCCAGCCCAGCTATATCCGTGCGCGCGCGCGCGCATGTTAGTCATCAACGTTCTTGCGCTGCCTTCTTTTGCCCCCTTTGCTACTGACTGGCCTCGGGAATCTTCTGCGCAGACGGGATGGGGGACGGGGGGAGGGGCAGGGAGGGCGTGGGTTATGTTGTGTTGTGTTATCTCCCCAGTGGCCAGTATAGGTGGCGTGTACCTTTTGAACAAGGCGTTGGGTGCGTTGGGCACGCTTTCAACACTTTGAGTAGGGTATCAAAAAAAAAAAGTCGGACGATGGTAATATTAAACCAGGGGGTAGGACCTCTATTAGCTCTACCTAGAAGCAAGACAGGGCAGGGACACCGGCAGGCTGGACTCGAAACGGGAGTCAAAATGAAAGGTGGCTTAACTCCGGCACGTCCCTCTTGTCTCCAAGCCGTGTGTCCCGTTTAGGCAATTGAACTTATTTCTGTCTGCCGGCCGGGGGCACACCTCCTCGACGACGACGACGAACGACGCGCGCTCGGTCGGCTCAACACTGTGCCATGTTAATTTGTCATGCCGCCAGGAGCACATGTCCGATTATTCAGCTACGCGTGTCCTGGCCTCCTTTTGTTATCACCACCGGCTTAGGCTATGCGTTCAACCTCCAGGAGCTTCGACAGGCTATTCCCTAGGCAGATTTGATCGGCGAGGTGTACTACCGGAGTGACCCTGGAACGACGCCGGGTTGGTCGTGTGTGCTGGAATTAGTTCCGCCTAAGCCTCTGGCAGAGCTCCTCCTCCCTCCCTCCACCTTCCAAATAAAACAAAGTCCTTTTTTTCCACAGTTTTGGGTGCACGCGATAATTAGATAGCCTTTCAAACGATATCCACAATTGGGGCTGTAGGGCTCACGCCGGGGCTGGTGGTCCTCACGGTGTACCTAGTCTCACATGGTGACATTTTTCTGGATGAGACGAGTCCTAGGGAGGGAGGGAGAGAGAGAGAGAGAGAGCCCAAATTAGAGTGTGGCCCAGGGGCTCGGGAGCGCGAGACGCACGAAAGACAACGTGCCGGACAGACGACGGGGAGCAGCCTATCACGATCGATTCCGCCGTTTAGGGCAGAGATGGTTTGTCGTGCCAGTGCCGGGCCAGGGCGAGCCGCGGTGTGTGCCTAGGAGGGGCGGGGGAAGTTACCTAGTCCTGGAAGGGTCTGGTCGTCAATTGTATCCTATTAGGGACGCGTGGGGAGAGCATGTACTCCCGGCAGAGAAGGGGGGTGGGGTGGGGGGGGGGGAATGATACCCCTACGGCGGCGGCGCTCGCACTCGCTCGAGTTGGGCCTTGAGCCATCAAACACTCGCTTGGCTGGCAGCAACGCCGGAATGATTCGTCGTTGCCTATCGCCGGGAATCCGACCATTGCGGGCGGCGCAAATCATCCTTCTTTGATGGCACCAGCCCACCCCAGGAGGAGGTCCTGCAGGGCTGGTGGCGCAGGGCGGCCTTAGTTGGCGTTTCGCGGCGTTTGGTCCCGGATGATCCATTGGGCCCTGCTGGGGGAGGGCCAAGAGCGCCGATGAGAAATCGCGGCAGCAGGAGAATGCGAGGAAGAATACCCGTTTCGGACAATGTTCTGCTCGTCAGTCGAGATGGCGCTTACACATGCTTGCGCAGTTGCTCTCTGGCAACGAACGGTGCACCTGTTATCTCCGCGGCCGCGGCGCCGCGTGTCTGCCGGTGTGCGTCAACACCAGGCTGGCGCTGCTGAGAGCCGGTCACACTGGGCAAGCTTGGAGGGCGGGCTGGTAGGGCTGGGCGGCCTGGTTGTCTGTCAATGCATATGTGTGGGTGTGTTCTGTGTGTGTCCGTCCCGACCACCTGGGTCGCGGGATGCTTCTGTTGCTGGTCGGCCCCCAAAAGCAACACCTGTGCGGTGACGTGTGCAGACGGTCACGGGCAGGAGCACTCAGCCACGCGGAAGCCCTCTGGTCCGGTCGGAACCGGCGACCTGTCGATGGACAAGAAGCCGTTGTGTGTATGAACCATCACGACTGGCCGGTTGCTTCGAGCTTGTAGGACTGGCCTGTCTGAAGCAGTGCTCTGGCCGTGGCTTGTCGTGCCGTGTTCCTGGGGCGCGGGGCCGTTGAGGCTTGGCCGTCCCGGAGTAGCGGGACGCTCACGCCACGGCTGTCGCAGTCGATGACATGCGGAGAGAGAGCAGCCGCAAACAGTGGGGAAGAGCCTTGAGTAATCTGAGCCTGAGCAGAGACAAAGCGACAAGAACGAGGCGCAGGGGGGCCCCCCGTGTCGTTGCTGCTGACGCGAGAACCTTCTGAGCCCGCACGGGTGTGCAGGAGCAAGAGTTTGGGGTGGAAGCCACGAGTTCTGTGCATGGCAACAAACGGGCCCGGCGCAGCTGTCGGGCTTGCCAGATATGGACCGTCGTAAAAGTCCAGTGCTGTTGGCACAATATGATATGTCGGCAGACAGAGTGCCGGCAACACTAACCACCAGTCTGCGCCGCACCCGTGGCGTCAGCACCACCCTCAGAAGACATCAGAGCATGAGATGGGGCGGTCACGCCTCAAGCCACCAACCCGGAATGCCGGACCATTTCGGACGAAATCCCCCTCCAGGCGTCCGACACTCCCGCCAGACATGTGCAACTTTGGATCCCCGTCACCCAGGCGAGCTACTTGGGGGACAGAGGACTTCATGCTCGGGCTCGTCAATTCCTTCACGTCCATCCATCCATCCATCTCCACGCGGGAAATGCATATGAATAGGACATCTCTGCTGACCTAAGCGGGCCAAGCCGATCGGCCGACAGACAGGCATAACATAACCCACTTGCCCGAGCGAGTCACATACTTAGTGGGCCTCTCCTCTCTGCCCTGTCCATGGCCTCTTCTGCAGCGTCGCCAAGACCCGGCCCACTCTAGGTAACTCCGGCCAGCCGCCTTTTCTTGCTCCAGTCAAGTCCCTTGGGGACAGGGTCCTGTTTACCCGAAGAGGAAATTCTTGAGAAAAACGACGGGAAGGATGGGGGCGGGTTTAATAGCACCGGTGCGTCTTTGCTGACAGTAGCCGGTGCCGGCTACGCAATAGTCTCCTTGGCAAAAGGGAAACCCTGAAGGAGGTGTCTTGTGATGTTGCTTTATCATTGTCCCGAGGGAGAAAGTCGAGGTGCAGCAGCAAACACTGGCGACCGCGATGGGTGCAACGCACCTGGCGAGAATCAAAAGATCCCGACGAGTAATCATCAGCCTGATGGCATGACTAGCCCCACGCCGACATGCTCGCCCATCTTTCTACCTGTCGTCATACGTGGACATGGCGGCTTCAACGGCGAGCCGCGGTGCGCCACCACGACCCTGCGACAAAGCCGTTGCAGCATGGCAGGCAGGCACTGGAGGAGTGGAGGTCTGGGGCAAGGCTGAAGCGTCGACAAACGATGGCGGCAGGCGGACAGGCACAGTGCTGTAGTCGCATCTACAGTGAGTGTCTCTCGTCCTACGTTGTAGCCACAATGGCAGGATGCGAAGGCTCATGCAGTGCCAAACCCAGACACCTACCTAGCATCGCCACCCGCGGCCGCCTCGTGCTCGTGCTCGTGCTGCAATGCCAGTGCGCTTCGGCCGTGTGTCTTGGCCAGTCCGTGTTTCAGAGCCCTGGGCCGTCCTGAGAAGCCGTGATGCTACCATGCCAGCTGCCAGGTGACGCCGCAAGACGAGGGCGGCGACCTCATTGGAAAGCGCAACTCCGCTTCGCAGCCCAGGGACGTACCCTTCCCAATTAGGGATAGGAGAAGTACCTCGGTACCTTTCCTTCAGTTCCCGAACCATTCGGTGGAACCTGATCAGCCCCAGGGACAGTTGCAGGGCGTCCGTCGCATGGCATGGCGGCCAAGACCAAGGGGGCAGCAGGGCAGGACAGGCAGTGGCCTGGAGTGTCCGAAACCCACTCAGATGCTGGCCGCCCGGCCGGCGGGTGCTCGCTCAGTGGTATGTGTTATCCGCCCCGTGCCTGCCCGCCCCAGCACGTACTGTGGAACAACGACATGCCTGGGACAAGAGACACTGTTTGCCTGATCGGGCGGGCCCATATCTGTTCGCGGCTCTCTGGTTGGCTGCCAGCCCGGACTCTGCGCCAATGGGAGCGCGAGGAATCCGATCGCATTGTTTTTCGACCCCAACTCACAGCACGGGCCCCAATGGGGTAAGTGGGTCAAGGCTAAGCCCAGCCCGGACAAGGTACGTACTGCTGGCCCATTGTCCTCCCTGACCCCTGCCCCCTGCCCTGTACCGCAATCCACACTAACGGATTCTTCCGCACCGTGCTGTATTTGCCGTAGATGGCCGGTTTGGAAACCCACCAAATTAGCACGCCAGTCTAATTATGCTCATGCGAGACTCAGAGAAGTGATTTGTCATGCCGATGTTTGAGTCAGAAGCGATAAGGCCCGGGTGGCCGATGGCAGCAGACTCCTCGTGTGCAATCGCCTCCACGCACATTCTACTGGGAACCGCCCAGGTGCTGTCTCAACACCTGCTGGATCAAAGTGTCAGCAACGGGCGTGGCCCTGTCTGTGTCAATGGATCGCTGTCTGGCCTGCAGGGCGCGCAGCGCGCGCAGGGTCCTGGAAGCAGCAGCAGCAGCACTGCCCTCTGGAGCTGCTGTCTTTGGCCCCCATAGGGCTGAGCCAAGCTTTGGCAGCCACGCTATACGCTAGTCCGAATCTGGAGATTTATAAAAGCCTGGAACTTGGAGTCACTCACCCGTGATGGATCCACGCCCAAGCCTGCTTTCAAGTGCGAGTGGCCTCATACTAGACCCCTGCTCACGTACCCCGTGTGTGTGTGTGCACACCTTCGAGGAGTCACCCACCCACCGCCATTGCTCTCTGGCCATGTCTTTGTCCAAAGGAACCTCCGGCCCTGATACCCGACATTAGACACCGTTGCAGCTTTTGCATATTCCTCATCCATCTCCACCGGTTTTGGGCTTTTCTCTAATGCAGCACGCTGCTGACGCCGGGGGGCGTCGTCTTCCCATCGAGGGGGCATGTGCTCGGCCTCGCCGGGACGAGAGTTCCAGGGATCTGCACTGCACATCGCGGCTATTGCATCGCCATCACCACACTGTTGGTGCGCGCCTCCGCCTGTCGAGCTCTGGGGACTGACTGCTAGCCAAACAAGATTCACTGGCGCAGAGGCTGGCCACGTCGCCAACCTCCCTCGGCCCATTTCCCATAGGGCTGAAGCCAAGGCAGAGGGGGCCAACGCCTGGCTTATCCGGCAATGCTCGTGGTGCTGTCGCTGACATGCATGATGGAGTCGTCGGCGAGAGCGCGTGCGCATGCATGCGTGTATGCTTGAGGTTCAATCCACAGACATGTGTGGACGGAGGATGGTGGACGAGAGTGGAAGACGCTGCGCAATAATGGCGCGCTCGACTACTCACCGCAATGGAATTGGCACTGCACAGCAACCTCGTCGGCTGCGTTGTCCTCCAGAACAAATAATTAATAACACAAATCACATTTTGCCAGTCCTTATTCCCGCCGGAAATTGGAGGAAATGCAAGCCCTTGTCTCAGCTGGCCTTCCCTCGGGACTGGGCATGGTTACCGTACCCGGGAGTCTACACCAGAGCCCCATCCTCTGCGTGTGGCCCTGGATGTGTAAGGCACAGCCGCATGAGGGCTTGCGCGTCCTCTTGGCGAGCTGGCACTACGGGATTTGATTCTTCGGCACAGCAGAATCTAGCTCTGATGGAAATCCCGACTGACAAAAACATCCAAGCTCCAGATGGTCCCATTAACTTAGTGCCATGCACTGCGGGGAGGCTTCTGTTGTGAAGGGCGAGGAGGGATGCACGGAACCCCACGTCTGACAGCATCGGATATCAGTGGCGCAAAAGCCGTTAAGCTCCGTCCCTGTTCGGCAAACAGCATGTGGTCTCGAACAAATACAACCCCTGTCCGCCAGTTAATTGTCATCCAGAATGCCGTGATAAGTTGGAGACAGTCCTGCCACCAAGCTCGGACTGGGGACTGCACAGAGTTTGCGTGCTTGTGCATCCAATGAGACTTCTCATCTTGTGCATTGTGCGACTAACACTCGGAGACACCCGGCACGCTCTCGTCTGGTCGTGAACGTGTCGGCAGGCAGGCGCTCATTTCGGGGACAGGCCACCGTGCCGCTCGTGCCGTCTTGCTCTGGGCACGACCTGGTCGAGTTGCGCTACTCATTAGTGAGGAGCTTGCAGCTCATGGCTGCCATCTCGACTGCCGTCCGTCTGGGGTCCGGGGTCCGGGAGCGAGAGCGAGAGACCATGCTGACATATCCGTCCGGGTCACTTTGTATCAAGATGATGGTGGGAAGTTATCGTGCTGCCTAGCTGGTGTCACAACTGCTGTGTATTTGTCAGGTGAGGTGTGGACACGGAGACATTCCGAGGTGGCGTGTGCCAGGACTGGGGGGGGATCTGCATTGCATGTCTCGACGCGCCTTCACCACACCACCAGACGGATGCACACAACGTAGCATCGCGCCAGCATAGTCGAGGGCGGCTCAGTAAGGCCACCTTCGGCCGCGGCTCGAGCTGTGCCCGGGCCCTGCTATCGCCGACGGTGGCTGGCTGGCCGTGGTCTCGGGTCTCCTTTGATTAGACACATGCCCACGAGCACTCGTCTGGTTTGTCCCTTGAACTTGTCCATGATATTAAAGAGCTTAGTCTCGCCTGGTGATCTGACGTGCCAACACGAATAAATGTTTCGCCTTGGTGAGATGCGGATTTCTAAACGCCGCTGCCACGATGTACAACGCAGCCAACTTGCATCAACTGCACTATCGTCTGGTGTACCTTTTTGAGCGCATGAGGCAACGGGGTATCTCCGCATGTCGAGGCAGTCGCAACCTTAAGGTATGGACAGAGTACCCGCCAGCGAGGACAGTGCGCAAGGCGGGGCAGGGCTAATTAGCCCAGTTGGCGATCAAGCTCGCGCACGCGCCAATGAGAGCGGCCCGTCCGGATCAAGGTGCTGACAAAAAACACGGGAGCGCCGCGCCCACCCCTCCTCCTCCTCCTCCTCCTCCTCCACACGACACCCCCTCGGTCGAGATCGTGCGCTCAGTTTCTTGCGCACCCTGTTGACAGCCCTCCCCCAAGCACAATACGCATCGCCGTCCCTGATTTGCTGCCTGCCCGTCCCCAGCTCGTCGCCCTTCCACGCCTTCCACGTCTTCCGCCAAGCATCGCACCCGCATGCCGTCGCAACCAAAAGCCCCCGAGCTGCAGCCGCTGCGGCCTGGTGTCACCATGCACCCCTCGAGCTCGACCGCCGTTTGAGACGCTCCCACGCGCTCCCAGAGTGCCTCTGGGTGCGCAGAATGGCGGTCGGCCAGGTGGGCTCCAGAGGGCTGAGCCGCCTGCAGTCGCCGAATTGCTGCTGCCTTCCCAGGCTCCCCACATGGTGGCTGTAACCCTGCCTGCCGCCGTCCACGGACGCACCTGACGTGCCCACATGAAAGCCGGTCGGTCTCTGGGGCCACTACGTAGCCGCGTTGCAGACTCCAAGTCATGGTTGCCAACAACGACTGGGGATTCGTCTGGTGACGTGAGTGTCGCTCAGAAGCTCTCTGGCCACGTCTCCTCCTCCTCCTTCTCCTTCCACAAAATGTTGCTCCGGAACGACGCACGTGTGTGCGTCACCCAGCAGATGTTATCGTGTGGAATCCCCTCCAGCCTTATCAGAGGCATCCCCTCTCCTCAGAGAGTCCTTACTCGTCGAGTCGCCTTTGGGCCACAGCAAGGCATGCTGGAACTCTGTTTCTGATCTGAGACTGGCATTGAGAAACACACACACACACAAAAGTTCTTTGCCGTCTTGCGTCAAGCTCTTCTCGAGTTACCAAGCCATATGCGCAAACTAGAATCGGGATGCGGACACCGGCGGCTGAAGCTATCGCCGTCCTCGTTATAGTGTCCGCCGCTAAAGTGCTTGCTTTTGTGACCAAGCAGCTTGTTTCCCATAAACACTATGCAGGCCAGCTCTGTGCGCTTGGGTCACGGCCTGCCTCAGGAGCGCTAGCAAGGGCTGGCACTTCAGAAGTCACCCTCTGCAAATCCCTTGGCCGTGACAACGCCGCCCGCGGGGCCTCATCTGCAATGCGCGCTGCTCTGCGCGACGGCCAATTCCACAACGAGACGGGGCAAGCTGATTATTTCTCTCGGTGCGCCGTCGGAATCCCTATCGGATGTTAGGCGCAAGAGTTACAACAGCGCGGCCATAGAGCTCCAATCGACTCGTACCATGGCTTTCCTCAACTGTAAACTTTACCGTCTCCTTGGGTCCAAGCCACGACCACTAGCCGCGGACAGCCAACTGTCAATGGCCTAGATCCTCAAATCTAGCACTTCAGTCATACTTGCATTGAAGCATATCCCCTCCCGAGACTAGCCCTCGAGTACAAATCCCCATATCTTGAAAGACCGTGCTCAACTGAACAACTCCCGCGATCTGATCGCCATCTCTGGCTCCGGGCTTAAGCAGCAAGCACAGATCAGGGGCACCCAAAAGCGACCCCAACAACATGCTGGCAAGTCACCGTGCCCGTCAGTTGCGGATCCTGGGGCAATCGACCTCTGGAAGGCAGGTTTCACGCACTTTCTCCACGATATGTGATCACATAGCTCTAGCCAGCAAAAGGTCCCATCCGCGTGGGATGGCCCGGATCCGATTAAAGGGCCGCAGATACGCGTTCACCAAGGTGGTCGTGCTTATCCTATGGGTCCAATCTATGACGCTATTCACCAGCACTCTGATTAAGCTCGAAGGTGAGGTTGTCGGGCTTTTGTGGCGGGTGCCGCAATTTATGGTCTAGTTTGTCATGAGCCCGAGAGCGTCAGACCTTCATGGGACACCCATTCACGACGGTTAAATCTCCGAATTCTGAGATGTGCGCCTGCTTCTTGCTGGTCCGATATAGAGCACATTGGTTCTTATCCTCTATGTAAAACCGAGACCAGCTGCGCATGCTGCAGCTCAAGTATATTGACGATGACTTGCTAGGCGAGAGACAGTGGAAGAACAGATATCGTGCGAAATCCGCGACTGCTCGTGGCACGCAATAACAAGGAACAGGCTTCCCAGCGTCAAAGAGACGCTCATCATTGCCGACTCCACCGGTGGCCGGCCATCAGTCAACAACTCGGAGAACGAGGTGTCGCAAATAACATCTGGGTTACTTCGGCGCCACAATGACTCGGCCGAATGGACTACTACCCCGAAGCACTTGTTGTGCGGAGGCAGCGCAGCACCCCAATACACGCAGGCTCGATCATTTTCCGGCTCTAGAAAGGTTGTCGGATTACGTGGAGAAGCCCTGGCGGCCGCGAATCACAATCCTGTTCCGCTTACCGCGCAGTCATAGGGCGTCTTTTGAACCCATCGTGCCCTGACCGTGGCGTCGGAGATAAGACGACGTGAGACGTCATTCATTTTGTGGCTGGCCCAGGCTCACCAACGGCAGCGCTCCACATCCGATTGCCGCTATTTTCAGGCATTGAGGGATCACCGACGCTGATCGAAGGCCCCGCAGCACTCGCTCTTGACGGGGCACGATGTCCCATGGTCGAATGAGCAGGTCGGAGTATTTCCCGAGGCGCTGGACACCGACCCTAGATTCGAGACGGTGCAAATGTCACCATGTCCACGAGCCGCGATTGGAGCGGGGACTCAGAGGATGCCAGCGGAAAAGGGTTTGGCGATGCTGCGCAGTTGTCGCCAGGTCAAACACTAGCACAAGGAGAGACAGTCCGCGACGGTGGCCTGCGGCGGCATCGAGCTGTACCGAGTGCAAGAGTCATGATACAGCAAGCCCACGATTGCTGCATTACTCACTAGCCAGAGGGGGCCAACTACTTACAATTGCCAGTTCAAGCAAGGGGGGGATGGGGGGCTGCTGGTGCTCCTATCTAGGTTTGATGTCTTGCCAACACGCTCTTAGTACAATGCTTGTTCTGCCTGGGGTCGTCGAAACCTCACGGTATTACGACTGCGCAGCTCGGCCTTTCTGCGGCGCGCCACATCCCGCTACAAAGCTAATCAGATCGTAGACGCTCGGAATAGTGCTCCGATCTCTCAACACACGCCCAAGGGAGTTGTGTGACCTCCGAGGCTGCTGTCACACCTGCCAGGACACGCCGAGCCCCGAAGCTATAGGAGCTCCCAACCCCGTGTTTTTGCGCTCGAAGCCACCCACGCTGCTGGTCCCTTAGTGACGTTAGTCACCCACCGCTGACCT